CCCCCCCCATCTGGTGCAACGCAATAAAACCTGCCAGCGGTCTAGAATGGGGAGGCAGTCTGGGCATTGTCTTGGCCGTCCAACCCGTTCTGGCAGTAGGCATGAAGAACTGGTAAAAGGGTCAAGGGACAAAAGGGCCTTTTCACTCCGTTGTCCCAGGCAAGCCAGCCTCTTTTTTTTTTTTTTTTTTCTTCTTCTTTGCCCAGGCGGCACCACGGCGAGAAATCCTCGGAGTGGCTTTCCCGACAAGAGATGCTGCCCAGCGATACTATCCTTTTTTTATTCTCTGGGCGATGCAATCTCTGGGCACGTCAAGGAAGTAAGCCGAGAAAAAAAGGGAAAAAAAAAACAAAAGAATATTGGTACTCTGGATGAGAAGGATGAGCACATGCACCCACCGCCCGCCCAACCAAGACCAAGAAAGATCGCGTCATTCCTTACCAGCTCCATTCATTCCTTCTTCTTTCCAAATTCATTCACAACCTCCGTGTCTGTTTAAAACAGGGCCATTCCTCACTATTCTAGTCCTACTCTGCGGCTCCAGCGCCAAAGGAACAGGCCGCGCCACTATTACTGTAGCTAGAGCAAGCCACCCGGCCAATCTTCTCACCAGCCAGGCAAGCCAGCCAGCCAGTCAACCCCGTCGCATTATTATTCGCCAGCTATTTATCCGTAGTTAGCCTGTCCGAGGCAAATTAAGGTTAACCGTCTAGTGCGCCATCAACTCCCACAACACGAATAACGTCCGGATATCGTCGTCTTCCCACCTTCCTCTTCAAGATCTTCTACGCGCTTGTCACGCACGCCCCCTCCCCGTCCAGCTCCCGCCCAGCCCTGCAGTTCCTCAACTCCGGAGTATTGACTCAATTCCAACGAGGGGGGGAAGGGCATGTCGCGATGCCAGTGTGCCTGACCGCAGGCTCTTCTTCTTTGCAAAGCATTGCAGGGTGGGTGGGCTGAGAGGAGAGATCACCAACAACGGGCCTACCAAGTCCCCCCCCCTCCCCTCCTTCACATCCCGCGCTCGCCCCCAACCCCCCGGCAAGCCCCAAAATTCGTTAGATTGACATCAAATCAACTCTTAGCGGATGTCGGCGATCCAACCAAATAGGAGCAGCCACAGGAACTTTTGTACCCTGCTCACCCATGTCCATCGAGGCATAAGCGCAGCTCTGGAACAGCTCATCCCTGCTTCAAGCGGCGCCGCCAGCAGAGAGACAAGACAATGCTCTCCAGGTTTCCACCTCCCGCGTTGGGAAATGAACGTATCGCATAGCAGGCTCGCTCAGTAAGAAAGATACGGAGGTACTGGGCAAGGCGGAAGGCGGAAGGCGGAAGGTGGAAGAGCTGTAACTCGTTCGTCAGGAGGTCATGATTGCTTCTGCCCTGTCCTGCCTGCTTGCTGCGTATGCTTGGCGCGACCCCTCACAAGGTCAAAAGTACGGATAATTACCTTGACACACAGCTTCAGCTCTCGTTGCAGGGCATGCATGACCAGGCCCGATGCTACATCTGCATCCTGTCTCACTCGTCTACCAGAGGTTCTGGCCCTTGTCAGCTCTGCAGGCGAGGCGAGGCGGGCGAGGCTCCCCCATGTCACTGAGATGACAATGCTGCCGTCAACTCGCCTTGTTCACACTTTCAGAAGTGGTCTGCGTCTGTTCGGTTCCATACTAATACATTGGTTCTGTGAACCCGACCTTTCGCTCTCCCCGTCATCGGATGCCCCCCGTCGAGGAGACGACGACAAGCCGCCAGCCACCAACCAGCCCAGTATCCGAGATATGGCGGCGCCTCTTGCCGCTCAAGAGGAACAAAGGCGCTCTCCTCGGCTCTTCACGGCATTCAATCATGTGTGAATGCCCAAAGAGCCACTGAGAGGGCGCTGTCCCCCCGCCATCGGGGGTGGCCTACGGAATCAGTCGCGGCCGCACCACAGCTGGACAAATCGGTCGCCTCTCCGGGAGAGCAATCAAGGGAACTTTCTTCTTGCTTGATAGAGGAAGAGGGATTCTGGGACCTTTTTCCCATCGGCTCTTCCGCCACGAAGCCAGGTTGGGCTTGGCCGCCCCAGATCGCCCGCTCAGTCCTTAATTGCCAAGCCCCGTCTGCCCCCCGTACCCCGTCCGTCGCCGAGCCAGTGCTGTCGAGACACGACCCTATCACCAGCTACCATGTCTAATCATCCGTTCCATCACCTTTAATTCTAAAGGTTGCAATCCCTTCCCAATACGGAAGGAGGCAGAAAACGTTAAAGCTGGAGACGAGGCTTGCTTGGCATGTGGCGTCGTTCGTGGTAAAATCCACCATGTGGCAAAGGGTCAACTCCTTCGACCCGGCACGCGCCCTACAATTATGGAGAGCCAGCGTAGAAGAACCATCACTTGCCCTCTGCTTTTCGGGATCTTTTGTTTCTGGAGGCGGCAATAGCGGTGTCATCATGTCTTGGCGCTTGGCCAGCCTTGTCCTGCCCGGCCTGTACGCCGGGGGGAAGCGCGTGTTGGTACAGCCGAGTAAACGAGCTGCAACCAATTGTACGTTATCATTGCCAAGAGCATTAGTTTTTGTATTGTAATGCAATGGTAGAGACCCGCGTGATATGCTTCGAGGCCCCATCAAAGGATCGTTGCTTGGAAGAGCTAGTGATGCTGGCTGGCCTGATGCTCTCCGTGTTTGTAGGTAGGTTCCGGATGGCCTATGCTACACTAGATTGCAAGACAACACAGCAGAGATGAATTGAGTTCGCAGATCCAAGTCCAAAGTTCCTGGGTATCTTAAGCGCAGAAGTACGACTGTTTTCGACCGAGACCTGTGTCACAGGGAGCGAACCATCCTTTGCAACACTACCAACAAATGACGCGATTGAGTGATTGACTCATTGCTAGGGATATGCAGTGCCAGCTGTTGGTGCGCATACATGTACCTCGATGTTATCATGCCATGGGAGTTATCCAGAAGTCAAGATCATCAGATGGTCGGGTTCAGGCGCGCGTTGTCGTTGGCTGGACTCAACGAGAACAGACCAGCCCAGAAGCATTCACCTGTCACGGTATTCCAGACACTCATCTTGTTCTGACATGGATTCATTGAAAGCGTAGTTCTAGTCATATACTATCCGCACCAGCTCATATTTGTACAGTCTGTAGCTCACTTCCCCTCCGTCACCGTACTCCCGGCCCCTTGCCCCCGGCACCTCTTCCCCGACACCGCATCCCCCTTTACTCCAGAAGGTGGCTGCGGATCGGCTTGTCCTCCGGACGCTTCCAGTGCGTCAGCACGCCGCCCCAGCTCTCTTCGCTGTAACCCTCCTGGACCTTCTTGCACGTGCGCAGCCCCCACTCCGTGACGCCGACCATCAGGCACGTCTCGAACATGAACGCGCAGCTGCCCGCGCCGACCTTGACCGGCTTGAGCTCCGCCTCGCGCGCGCCCTCGTGGCTCTCCGCGTCCGGCCCGTGGCCGCTCATCACGTTGTGCAGGCTCGCGCCGCCCGGCACGAACCCGCCCGCGCCGCCCTTCTTGGCGTCGTACCCGCCGCAGATGAGCCCCATGAACTCGGCCATGGTGTTGCGGTGGTACCACGGCGGCCGGAACGTGTCCTCGCCCACCAGCCAGCGCGGCGGGAAGATGACGAAGTCGGCGACGGCCGTGCCCGGCGTCGCGCTCGGCGCCGACAGCACCGTGAAGATGGACGGGTCCGGGTGGTCGAACGAGATGGTGCCAATGGTGGCGAAGCGGCCGAGGTCGTACTTGTACGGGTAGTAGTTGCCCTGCCAGCCGACCACGTCGAACGGCGTGTGCGCCTGCGTCGTCGCGAACAGCGTGTTGTCAAACTTGACCGTGACCGTGTACTTGCCGCCGCCCTCGGAGGCGGTCGCGCCCGCGTCCTCGTCGAAGCTGGCCACGGGCGCCTGGAAGTCGCGCGCGTTGGCCAGGCCGTTGGAGCCGATCGGGCCGAGCTCCGGCAGGTGGAAGTGGCCCTCGTAGAGCTCCAGCGCGTAGCCGCGGGCCGCGCCGGACGGCAGCCGCACCTGGTACTTGACGCCGCGCGGGATCACGGCGATCTCCATCGGCCGCACGAGCAGCCAGCCCATCTCGGTGCGGATGTCGAGGTCGCCCTCCTGCGCGACGATGAGCAGGTCGCCGTCGGCTGAGTAAAAGGCCGCGTGCTCGTCCATGCTCTTGCCGGCCGTGAAGACGTACATGCCCAGGCCGGACTTGAGGGTGGGGTCGCCCGCGCCGGCGACGAGGCGCAGGCCCGACACGAAGTCGAGGTCGTGCGCCTCATTGTGGTCGAAGGGGTCCCAGCGCAGCTGGTTCGGGATGTAGTGCAGCTTCCGCGCGCCCTCGTGGGCCGTCGCGGACTCGGCGGGTGCGTACGGCGGGTGCGCGCACGACGGCAGGATGCGGTACAGCCACGTCTGCTTGTTCAGGTGCCGCGGGGCCGTGAACGCCGTGCCGGACAGCTTCTCGGCGTAGAGGCCGTACGGAGGCTTCTGGGGGTTGTTATGGCCGATGGGGAGCGCGCCCTCGACGGCTTCGGATCTGCAAGCGGCGCGCAAGGTGTGGTTAGTGGTGTGGCGACCCCAGACGAACGGAAGTAAGGGTGGGTGGTTTTGATGTAGCTGCAGTGTTTGCTCTCAAGTGACACGGGGAATGGCAATGCTGGAGGGCTAGAGGGGCGGCGGCTACTTACTCAAAGTGACATCCGAAGCCGTTTTGGTAGCGGTACTTTTCCTTGGTGGCGAACTGTGTGACGGGCATCTTGGAGAATTCGGTGACCTTGGAGGTTATCTCAAAAATGACCAAGACTGTTGAGGAGAGGGAATTGAGGAGGAGAAAAGATGGGAGAATTTCTCAGACGTCCCAACTATGGCTTTATTATCAATGGCTGGCTATTCGCGGCGGACCACCTGAAAACGTCATCCGGGGCTCCTGGTGAAGCTGTCCCGGGGGCGGCCTCTTGACGCGCCTTGATTCCGCCACGGGGAGTGCGGGCATGATTCCGAGGGTAGCCGCGCATGGTTGCGGGGACTGGGCCCGGAAGGGAAAAGGCTCTGGCAGGGGCGCACTGTTCCGCTGAAACGGGAAGACACGTAATACCGGCGGAAGCTAAGGTGCTAACAGCTGTAGCTAGGGGTAGGTATGTGCGGGAGTTAGTGCAACATCCCGTTAGCTGTCACCGAGGCGGGGGACGCTTCCGGGTAGGAGGCTTGCCATCTCGTGGAATCGGAATGGCCACGTCTGAGGAAGCGAGATGCGGAAGATCTGATACGGCATGTGGAACATCAGGCAATCTTGGGAAATCGACTTCAATCAATTAATGTGCTACCAAGCAAATTATCATTGCCGATACGTGTCTGCTTGATTGTCCGGCTGTAGCATCCACATCACCAAAGGCTCTCGTCGGCAAGGCGGCTTAAGGCATCATGATAAAGCATGACGGCGACAAGTTCATTCTCCGCCCCCGTGGAAGAAGTCGCAGCATTAATTAAGAAAAGAAATCCTATACGTGTAGAAATTCATATAACCCCTACTCGAAACCCTACCCCACGGACCGAACCGTACCTGACGCCTCTCTCGACAGAGTGCGGGGTTGTCGCGAGGCGGGCTGTGCGGGGATCCCTCACACAACCCGCTGACAGGGCATTTCACACAAACTCTCCAACAGGCTCGAATTATGAGAGGAAATTATGCCTCGGGCTAAATTTTAGCACTGGTTCTGCTCGCAGCACATAGTCAACATAAGTCAAAGTGAGATTGTGTGCAAAGTAAAGTGAGTAGAGACATGGTCTCCGCTCAGCAAGTAAGAATTGTCATTGGTGAGAAGAGTACATAATCTGCGCCGCATAACGGTCGCTGATGAGCAAAACACGCCAAAATTATACCTAGGTATCTCATCGCAATATCCCAGGCGCCGCCCCGCGGGGAACCTTGCGCGGCCAAACAATACAGGTTGAAGGAGCTATTGGAACAGATAGTAGGGTTGGCGGAGGGTGCTTACTCTTCCTCCTTCTTGCTCTTCTTCTTCTTGCCACCACCGCCGAAGCCGGTAGCGCTGGGTTCCTTTTGAAGGTGAACAACCAGTCGCGTCCACGATTCTTCCTTGTCCCACTCAAAGCCGGCAAGGTAGGGCTTGTCGAGCTCGTCATCGGCCTGTTGGTATTCAGTCAGTCGATGGTTCCTGTATGGATACATGGGTAAGCTCCTTGGACGCCGAATTACGACTTACCCGCTTCTTGTAGGACTTATAGATGGCGTCTAGGGCATCCTTGATGGTTACACCCTTGAGGTTGCGGGCACTGACTTCCATGCCCAGGGGGAAGTGCAGGTCAATCTTCTTGACCGGAGGTTTCGTTAGGTGGAGCTTGAGGATGCTTGGGTCCTCTACCGTCGAAGAGCTCTTGTTAATTTTCCTACATGACGGAGCTGTTAGCGATGGAAATCGGGGACTTCGTCGATAGAGTATGGATCGTGGAACAGCTAATGCACGATACTGGCGAGGTGGGGCTCGACCGACCGACCCGCCATGGTGTCATGACCACATGGGATATGGGATGGAGGAGGCAGGCAGTGTGGAAAGTACTCACCATCCGGTTTTTTGCGTCTCAATGGCAATTTCTAGTTCTACACCGTCCTTTTCTGCAATGGAGAGTTTCATGTCAGCGGTAACAGCTTGTGGAGGGCGGGCGGCAGAAAGCGGGGTAGTTGAGGCGAAGTGGCACGTCAACAGATTGCACATACCTAGGTCAAGAACGTTGTAGACACCGGCGGCCGCCGCGGAGCTGGCTCTTCTATGGCCTTTATCCTTGGGTGGTGACGACGAGAGGCCTTGAACGGCAGAATCGACCTTGGAGAGAGGTTCCGTCATGTTGGCAGAGGCGGGTTGTGAAGCTGTTGAGACGAGGCACAGCTGAGCTGCGACGTGTGAGCCAGCCGTTTTGGTTTTCACAGATGACAGGGGAAAACTAACCAGTTGCAAGTGAATTGGGTGCGTGGATTGTGAGTACGAATCGAGTTGCGTATCGATGATGAAGAAGGAGAGAAGGGAAGAGGGGAAGGCAGGAGGGGAGGGGGCGGAGGGGATTGATATGTGTTCGGGGGGATGTGCCTAAGGCGACGGGCAGCGGAGCTTAGTTGCTTCAATAAGCTTGGTCAGGCCACGCGGGGTAACACAGCTAAGCTGTGACTGTACACGGCTGGCAGGCGAAGCAGCTGGCAACGACAGCACAATTGGAACTTGGGATCGCGTGACTTGGAGGTACTTGAGCGTCACTGTGCCTGCCAAAGTGGCGCTACTTTAGGCCTAGCGTTGAGTTGCGTGGGCGCTGGTGGCCTCTGGAGTCCAGCATCTGGGGCGCAAAATCCGGGGAAGCCTGGTCTCTGCCCCACTGGTCCGATTCGCTAGCTGGTTGCAGAGGAGGACGATGGGGTGACGGAGAGGCAAGGGCAAGGCGAGGCCGACAAAAACGACGCTGAGGTGAAGCAATGGCAGGACGTAGGCCAAGATGGGTGTCGCCGCTGGGCATTGAGCTGTTTGTCCTGGTGGAGGGTGTGAGAGTGTTTTGTGGTCTGGTGGTGTGACGGACCGGCCACTGGGCAACAAACGGACCGCCAGGGAGCCAGCGACCCCTCACCACGGCCGGCGCGGATCTGCTGGTCGCTACAAGTTCTCACGCCACTTTTTCCCGCCAAACCAAAGTACCTCCCTCCCCTCGTTTCATTTGGCGTGACGTTCTGGACTTGGTATCTCCATGTACCTCTTCCACCCTCTACACCCAGCCCCCTTACCCATCCCTGGTTTTATTGGATGTTGATGCCAAGCCGCATGACGGTATGGCCACGAGTTATTGCTCCTTTGAGCTGTCGATACCTTGCCAATGCACCACAAAGGGGCAACCAGGGAAATGGCTATGAGGGGTAACCAGCCAGGCAGAAAAGACTCCAAGTACCGCAAACAAAAGTTGTCAGCTGGCAACCCTGGCCGCCCCTGGCATCGCCTGATGACGCCGCTCAAGACGAAAAACAGCCAAGACGACGTCACTGACAATCAAATGTGGCGCTTTGTTTTTCCCTCCTGCACTCTATTTCTTCTCGTCCCTGAAACTTTCATTCAAGCCATCACCATCAGTTCTTTGACATTTCCTCCTAATCATTTCCTGCTACACTCAATTGCACGCAAGCGTCGAATCCGAATCACCTCGCCGTCGATAAAGGCACTATTGTGGGCCATTGCGCACCTGACCCTGTGGGCCCATCCTCATCCACGGCGGCGAGGTCGGAGGCTCGGCTCGGAGCGACGACGACGCCGTATTCAGAAATTGGGAACGAGGAATAAAGTGACAGTCGACTCATCTCCTCAACAAATCAGTCCCGAGAAGTCCCTAATGCGGCGCCCCCCAGGCGTGGCAGAAGTGTTCCCTTTCAACGCTGTTTACTGTTTAAGCACGAGTGACCAGGATCATGGTCTTATCCTTGCCGTCCTGAGTTCTGCCGTGTTGATGCTCCCACTCGTGCTAACACTACCACTGCAGCAAACTTGACGGTAAACAGTCGATAAAAATGACGAATGAGTGTCGACAGGGAGAATAAGTGGCCACGAAGTGCCGCGTTCCGCGATCGGAAATGCGACGGGAAAAAGGTATCCTCTGATACCTGGGTCACGAACGAAGTAGACAAACGGGGCCTTCCAGAGAAATTGTGAAGAGCCAGGCCTGCTAACAAGCAGGGAGTTGCTTGAAAGAGAGAATCGCTTCGTAAAGGAACGCACGGCCTTATAAGTAGACGTTAAGCGGACTGCCTCGTCTCATGGACCGACTTGGAATACAAGCTCGTGAGAACGTGCTGGAAGCTTTAGTCGCTTGCTCAGGACGGCCTTTATTTTCTTGCTCACCGTAGGCATCTGTTAGGTCGCGACGGTCTAAATCACAAGCAAAATGAGCAGGTGCAAGGTGATTCATCATGAAAGAGCGAAGCGGGAAAATAATACTACATACTAAGTTGAACATTCTTGCGATTGGGTTGAAAGCCACGTATCAAATGCAAAGTCCCGATTTGGATATTGCTTTAAAAAAAAATGTCCCGATTTAGAAGATCCCACTTGGGGAAGGGCCGCGCCCCACCACATCGATCACTGGAGACATCTCAACACGCGAGTCTGCTTCTTTGGGGCTCTTGATGGAAACCAAAGCTTCCGATAGTTTCTTTATACGCTACCAATTGATGGGAAGCATACCTAGCTTTTAGTATTTGTTCATTTTCCCCTAGAATTGTGGTAGTAACCAACGCCTCGAACTCTGCATCTCCGTGTGATGACTTCAGGGTAGAACTGGCCCGCCCGAGGTTCTATCCCCTTGTATTTAAAGAGCTCGGTTTTTGTCCGTCGTGACATCATTCAGCACTTTCCGTTCTGGCTTAATCAACGGTCGGATTTAAATAAAGAAAGTCTTTTGTCGACCCTCTGTGATTTGTGTATTTCATCGGTCTGAAAACCCTTGCGGACGCGGGAGGAGTGGGAAGATAGAATGAAGGATGCTGACAGAATTACCAGAGTTGGCGCGACAGAAAAAAGTCATACCATGCTACGTGCTTCTCGTATCAGGAGACGGCCTTAAGAAAAGCGGGCATTCATACTGATTTTATAGTGATGTATTTCTCGGGACGGTTGCGGGCCAGATAATTGTACAAGTGTTGTGGATTGGCCTGCCTGTCTTACAAGGCCCAAGGTCGCGACTTCGTGGGCTTAGCCTGCGCAAAGTTCGGAATGGGATATGAATCTGTAGTGACACGTCGGTCTATAGGAGAGTCTCTGGTTGCACTTTTTCGAGTAGTTGACTGTAAAGCAGAACGTTCAGCTCTATACTGCTGCATTGATTAATTACTTTGAAGATATCGGCACTGGTTCTATACTGTCGCTCTTCTCTTCAGCCGTGGCGCTGTCATTTTCCTTGAATATCACGTCCTTGTCACCTGGGACCGTGTCAGAGCCGGCTGGAGCAAGCTTGCCATGTCGAAGCTGATGTTTCTCAAAAACGATGGCCATATCTTCCAGCTCAATATGCTTTGTCTCGGGAACCGCAAAGATACTAAATAGGAGCGCTAGGAAGGCTAGTGATCCATAGATGAAGCCCAGTCTTCCGCCAAGATTGCCCTTGTTCACGTCCTCCAGGTACGGATACGTGAACGAGATGACAAACTCCATGATGAGCTTGACAGAGTATGCCAGCCGCAGCGTGTATTCACGCAAGAATGGGGAAGGCAGCTCGGCAGCCACGACGTAGGCCAAGGGTGCGTACCCGAAACTCCATCCAAAGGAGTAGAGCATCAGCATGGCGACGATGCCGGCCTTGGCGCCTGCCGACGCGGACGCCGCGCCTTGCGCTGTGTCGGAAGCATGCGCGACCACGCCGAGGCCGCCCATGATCATCAAAGAGGCGGTTTGCAGCAAAGCCGATGCGACGAGCAGGCTGCGGCGACCGACTCGGTCGACGAGGGCCATGCAGATCAGGATGGCGCCAATGTCAATGGCGTTGATGCCGAGCGCCACGCTAAACGGGTTGATGGTGTGCAGAGCCTTGACGAAGAGCGTGCCGTACTGGGATGCAAACGACTGGCCAGTGGATTGCTGGAAGAAGAGGAGCCCGACGCAGACTGCGGTGCACTGGCAGTGCCTGCGTGAGAACATGGCGAAGAACTGTCGGAGGTGGAATCCTGCGGCGATGGAGCGCGAGCCTTTGTGGTTGGGGTGCGATTCGGCTGTTTCTCGACGCAGGCGCTCAATGGCATCAGAAAGATCGTCGAGCTCTTGGATGACGGGCTCTGAGGGGGGCAGTTGTGCCGCGCGGTCGGCGCGAGACTGTCGCAGACGTGTGAGGGAAGCCAGCGCAGCGTCTCGCTTGCCGCGAAGAAGCAGCCATCGAGGAGACTAAAATGGAGGGAAGAGTTAGCGGAAATGATGTCTCTTTGCAGACTTTAGTGCTTAGATAACGCGAGGCAGTCGAGACGCTTCGTACCTCTGGGATAAACCACACTAGAGGGATGATGAATGCCGGTATGACGAGAATCAAGCTAATGGGAATGCGCCAGGAGGCATTTCCTTTGATGGTCGAGGTGCCTCGTACAATAGACGTGACAATGAGACCGCCAAACTTGATGGCGAGCCAGTAAGAGGCGCCAGCGGTTCCACGCAGCCGGGGAGGAGAAATCTCGGCCAAGAAGGTAGGGATGACAGATAGCTGCATACCCAGATAAATGTCTAGAGTTCAAGAGATATGCGTTAGCACTATCTTGTTGTTCCAATTGCGTGACAGAATGCCCCTGATGCTTCAGACGCAGCCACGGACAGGCATGAGGGTTAGGACGCACAGTGAATGCTTCTACCGACCAGCATCTGCGCGCGGCCTGATGATGAGACGATGACGGCCGTACTCCCCAGAGCATACACGCTCATGGCGCAGATGCATGCCCGCCGACCATACCGGTTGCTGATCCAGCTACCGATGAAGACGCCCACCAGCTGCGTGCCGGCCTTGATGCTGTTGAGCAGGCTCAGGTAGACCGTCGTCAGCGCATACTTGTGCGTCTTTGCGTTGTACTCGCCGAACTGGCGGGTGAAGGCTGTGGTAGCCTGCGTCGACGCGAAGGACTGGTCGCTGAAGCCGTAGTTGAAGGCGGAGAAGAAGACAAGGGCGAGCGAGAAGATGGCGGCGGGCGTCGTCAGACGAGCAATGCTCCCCGGGTTTAGCTGCCGCTGCTGCATCATGGAGGGAGGATGGATCGAGAGACGACGGGGCGAAGCAAGACGGACAGGAAGAGACCTCCTCGAGCAATGTCTCACAGATGGGCTGATGGGAGGGATTTATATCTGATTAGATTGAAAATGAAAGAAATCAGATCATCAGCTTCTGATTATCACTCGCGCCGAAACCGAAAAAGGTTACCGAGCCTTCTCCGGCTCGTTCCTTTTCCTCTCCCCCCTCCCTTGCTTACATGGTTCCCCGGCGGTATTCGGGGACCGAGAAGCGTATACCTGCCTGATTGGTGGCATTTTGGCAAACCCACGCCAACTAGCATGGAATTGAGTTTGTAGAAGCCATGATTTTTAGTAATGCGAGTTTCCGCGCACATTATTAGTCCACTCGTCGGCGAAGCGGGTATAATCATCCCTCAATCCCAGCCGAGATCGATAAGTCTGGAACTTTTGTGGAAACCAGCCACGCATGCCAAGAAGTCGCGTTATCGCCGTCAGCAACAAAGTTGTTGCGATTTGGTGCGATTTCCGAGCCGGCACACGGCGGACGCCTGTTGGCCCGCTCCGGATAAGTCGGCCGCTCAAAGCTAGCACCACCTATATAGGGTAGTCAGAATAGTTGACAAAGATAGTGGTAATAACGGTTTATTGGTATGCCTCCTGGAGGATGAGCCCAGTAGCCATGACCAGCCCAGCAGAAGCCAAGCCAGCAATACAGAATCCCAGACCATTTTTCAGTCTGCAGAAACTTCAGATGGCCTACAGGTCTTCGGCGTGTGCGTGTATTTATAATATCCTGTCCAATGCCGTTGAGAGGCGATCGCAAGCTCTGTGGTCCGAAGTCGGATGACTGATGTCCCCCCGCGGGCGCATGTAGTTGGCTATGCCTTTGCAAGCAGTGACCATTGCTATTCAATTGCTCTCGTATAGCAGCTTGGCAAGGCATCGAAAGGCAATGAATGGAGTCTGAGACGGGCACGCGATGGCCGCGGAACGCCATAAGTCTGCTCCGAGGCTGGCCATTTTTGACCGCCAAAAATCATCAACTGCCTTCCAGTATCTGTCCGAATTCCAAAGGCTTGCGAAATACTGCAGTGGGAGCTCCCGGTAAATCGGACCCTTCTGGAGCGGCACACCCCCTACCTTTGATATCGCCGATTCTGCGAATCATCTTGCACCCATACTACTCGGCGCCATAGCTCACCTCTCTGCCTCAACAAGGTCTCAGTTGATTCGGAAAGTGTAGCGTATCCTGGGCAAGATGCAGCCGAGAGGTAGACCACCACCATGAAGTGGAAAGTCGATCCACGCATCTTTGCCGAGCCCCCGCCCACGGGGCTGTTGGGAATGTGAGTACGCTCACAGATTGGTTGGAGCTTGTAGCTACAAGTCTACCAAGCAGTGCCGCGGTCATCGGGCAAACCGTTGACACGCGGCCGGCCATCAACGAAGGGTTGCCATTCTAGTACGGTGTATCTCACTACGGGGGGTATCTCGTAGCTCACCGAGAATAAATGGGTGGATATAATAAGTGATTGGAGCCAAGCTCATCCATCATGCGACATGACGAGAGTGGGCACGTCACAGGAGGATGCTAATGAGACGCTTCGGACATATCAGTCCCGGGTCAACACGACCGGGCAAGTCGTCACACTGGATGAATACTCGAGAACATCTACCCTTAACAGAAGCCAATTTAGGGCCGGCCATTTAGGTGGCGACGGAAATCTGTAAAGCAGGAATTTGCTAGCCGGGAGTCATCCGCAGTGTACACTGAAAAGATGCAACCATTGCCTCGAAAATGAAATCCTGGCACTCTTGCCGTCCATTACGGATATCTCATCAGGTGTCAGTCTGGTTCTAGATCAGCACAAAAAATGATCTGTGGTAGCAACTCGTCTTGTCAGGCTAAAGCACGCGACAGTGCTGCAAGGTGCCTTGATCCTCTGCTTCTTCGAGGGCAACTCAGTCGCTGGACTAGCGAAGAAATCTAGAATCAGGCATGGGGACATAGTGATAATGAGAGATGAATGAGTTGATTGATTCGTTATCTACTGCTGTGACATGTGCCTATATACTGTGCTTCGGTGGAATGTCCATCCGTTCTGGCAGTATATAGGCACATCTCACAGCAGTCACAGATAACCTCAATCAATCAACTCATTCATCTCCGATTATCACTAGGTTCCTGTGTTATTTCCAGGCCATGGTTTCTTCTGCCAGTCGTATCTGCTGGCTCAAGAGCGGAACGCAAATGCTGCAGCTACCCAAGCGTGGCCTTGAGGCCAGCAGTGTTCCAAGCTTGCTTCGAGTCTTGCGAAACGATTTCTCGCAGGTGACGCTCACGCGTCTCGACTTGTCCTTCAACCCCGAAAACGCAGACAAAGAACGTGTAAAACTCGCGGTGGATGTATTGCGTCTGTTGTGAATCTTGCGGCGGAGACCGAATTCTCTTGGGAATATTGTGATCTCTTGCGTTGCGGAAGAAACAGCGCAATGGACAAGAAGCGGCTCTATGAAAAGGCAAGAACCGCCGCTGCCATGAGAGCTCAGTCGTTGTGGATCACAAGAGGTGGTAGAGTCGTCGGCCAAGAGAAGTCAGCCTTGCTGACCAGCAGACAAACCGGTCCGTGAGGCTCTCGCGGTGGGCGACGTCCAAATTGTTGTGTTGGATACTCCACCCTGTCCCTTTGCTGCGGCAAAGTCATCAGAAAGCCTTGTCGCTGGCATTGTCGGCGGCCGTGGCGCACCTGACATTCAGCCCAGAGAAAACGTACCGACAACCCGTTGGGTCACGCCATCGTATGAAAGCGAGCAAGGAATACGCACGCGTCCTCGCTATTGTTTTCACACATTTTAGACAAAAGCCACGGCATGGGTATCGGCGTCGCAGTGCGGATAGGGCATAGCCTAGTTGTGGATGAAGATGCCTTCATTTGTCTTGTTGACCTTGCGTGGCCATTGCTCTGCCGGCCAGGCCGCCCCTTCTCTTTGTGCTTGAGGGTAATGTGACTTTGACGACTGTTGGTCTAAGGCATTCTTGCAGAGCAGCGTCGCCGGCTAGCGAAGCTATTCAGTAGCCTTTGCAGAAAGACTCCTTCGTCCCGTGAGGTGGATTCTGAGCTTGTGTTTTCGTGACGGAGCTGGGCACGGCGATCGAGGCCATGCCTGATATCCATTCGCCTAGGCCGTGGAATTCAGTGCTGAACCCTGGAGCGCTTCAATGGCCAGCGTCGGCACGGCGCTTTCTGAGCTGGACGTGACCGTTGCGGCCCCTATGCGAGGCGCGGTCGGTAACGGCAACACGATGACGTCCTCCCAAACTGTCTTTTGTTTCAGCTCGCTGTAGCCAATGGGCGTAAACTTTTGAGCTGGCGATGTCAGAGTCATTAGGGCGCGGACGGGGAGCGGAGAATCAGGGTCTCCGCGCTCCTCGCGGCAGCGGTGACGAGCGATCATTTCCAGATTGCCAATCAGGATGTTATGAACGAGCTGGCTGGGCGTGCAGCCCGGCGACATTGTGGAGCGGCGGCTATACGAGCTTGTGCCGTGGCGGACATCCCTGCGCAAAACTAGAGGCTGGTTCTAATGATATGCTGTTTGCGGTTGATGCGGCTGAAGTCTGCCATGTAATTCTTCGGCCAGTTGAAGTGTGCCGTATCCGTGTTTGAAATTTTGGACCTCTAAACCGTTGGCAGCGTATCTAGCGGATCAGTTGCTTGTCGCGGAGCTTGTTTGGCACCAACGGCTCTTTCTGTGAACAGCCGAGCCTATCCGGCGTCTCGGGGGCCATTGGGGCGGAAAGAGTTGGAATTGATCCGCGTTGGTGAATAGATAAAGAAAACGCCTAAATTACTGACATCTTGGGGAGTCTGGGCACTGTCGAGAAATGCAATGGAGTGGACTAGCAGTCTGTTGGCGTGCGTTGTGTGCTGGTAAGTCTAGAGTAGCACCGCTTTGAGTAGCAGCATTTGGGTCTGTAATAAAATGGCACGGGCTGTTGTACACTGCAAATATGACTATGCGTGACAAATTGCAGTTAGTTGATGGGATTGTGGAAGCTTGGTACGTTTGAAGGTTTTTCGCACCAGAGCAGCACCAGCACGTGCCCTGAGCTGGCTGCTTCGTTCCCCACAGGCTGCAGCGAACAGAGACGGAGAGGTTCAAGCTGCGACATTTTCCCCGGAAGCAAGATTTTGGAGCATCCGAATCTCAAATCGGAATTGGTGGTAACGCGGGATATTGTGTCATTTTCCAGGCGCTTTCTTATTCCTGTGTATGGTCGGGAGCGGGCTGGCGGTTTTGGCCAGTGCGGGAAGCCCCTTGCTCTATGGCTGGCGCATGACTCCCGCCGTACGGAAAAAGCAGAATCTAGGGCGATCAGCGAAGCGAAACGCGCGGCCGTGCCATGGAGAAACTGGAGCGGCGCAAGCCTCGAACGACGCCGTCTGTCGCAAAAGTGGCGAACCCGGGCTGGGAACGAGGGGGTGTACGCAAGTGCGGGAGTACCTGAGTGCACGAGCAGGTAGAGAGGGGAGGAGTTGGTGGAATTGAACAAGACGAGGAACTTATTATTACGGATAATGGGAAATAGTATATAACTGTCGTTTGACCCTCTCTGTCTCTGTACATATGGAAAGGAGGTGATGGTACCTGGGGGCGGGGGGGGGATGGTGGTTTGGGCCATGCTCACAATTTTAGTTGCGGTTGGTTGAAAGTGCTGGTCCCTGATTTCTTTAGTCTGAGGCTCTGTTAGAAAAAGAAGGAGAAGCTTGTTATTTTTTTTCCTTCTTTCTCGCAACAAGCCGTTGATGGTCTTTTGGTTGTTGGTGTATCTTACTAGTATTGTGGGTAACTAGTGGAGGACAGGGAGGGGGGCGATGGGTAACGAAAAGAGATTCTGTGGGCAGAAAAAAAAAAGCGACAATTCGGAGAGGAGGAGACGGAAAGAGTATATAAAGAGAGAGCAAACGAAACAGAACAAGGCCAGAAGAAAAAAGTAAGATAAAGGCGACAGATCCCTTCTCCCAATTCAGGACCGGGATTGACTGATGGGTCCGAGACCAGCTGGTGCACACGCACGCGGTGGACACTGGATGGACTGGATGGACTGGATGGGAGACGGTGGCGGCCAAAGGACGTCTTGGTAAGTCGAGGACGCGCAATGCAGGCCGACAGCGCAACGTCACCCTTCACGTATTCGCGCTTTCCCCAGCCGCCCATGTATTCGGTCCCTTCACGTACCCCTCGCATGTGTGGAATCTTGGTCGCGTCAATTATCGAGATGATGTAGGTCGCCTGGATTGTTCCTGAAGAGTCTGCAATGAATTGATTTTTTTTTGGTAAAAAGAAGACAAGGCCGGCTTTTTAGAAACTCTTTTGCAGCAACCTAGGTACCACCATAACGTCTGTAACTTTTACGGGTTTACCCACTGGCACAAGTACCTACAGTACATACATACATCAGTCCCTGTACCCACGCTGCAACCTTGCCCACTGAGTTGTCCTGTCCCCTCCCCGTCTGTCCGCCGCGGCGCCGCCTGTCTCTCTGTCTCTCTAGCGCCTGTCCGCCTGTTCGTCCCTCTTGACTTCCGTCTCCTTGCTTGGTCTTGGCTTCTGCCACTTCTACCTTCTACCTTCTGCCATTCTTCTCCATTTCTCGATTGGCTTATCCCTCTGTTTCCCAGATCCTATTCTGCCTGGGTCCCGCCTGTCTCTCTCCTACTGACCTACCATACCCTCGACTTTACCTCCTACTTACCTTTTGCAACACCAAACGAAACTTATCCTTTCTTCTTCTTCGGCAAGCGCATTCTTAGCCTCCCCCCGGCTCCTCATCCATCCTTTTCACTCGTTTATTCTTATTCGGCTTCTGTTTCTTTCATCCTCCGCTGGTTGCTCACGACTCCCCTCGAGCCTCGAGTCGCTGCCGCTTCCCTACACAGCCTTCCTACCACCGCCGAATCGCTGCATGCGACCGACTACCTGCGCAACCACCCAAATCAAGAGCCTCCTATCTGCGTCTGCCGACTCTCTCCCCTCGTCCGCGTCCCTCTAGCCATGCGAAGATATGCCGCCGCCACATGGCTTCCCTGACATAATCAGACGGCCGGGCACAGCAGTAACCACCTCGCCGGAGCTGCTCAAGCCGCCCCTTCCAACTCTTCCGACCAGCTTCTCACAGCACGTTCGCGACACCGAGGTCCAGGTCCCGCCTCTGATTGCCGGCGCTCTCGTCGCCGCCTTTGCAAACACCCTCGCCGAAGGCCTCGACAATGCCCTTCTCACCCACTACTATCTCGAAGACCAAAAGGTCAAGATCAACCTCGACCGGGTCATCGATCGCCTCATCTCCGACTTCTGCGGCCAGATCTGGGACGAGCTTTACAAATTCTACCACAGCGACGAGTCCGCCTCTCGGCCAACCAGCCAGGTCATTCTCCTCTTCGAAGGCCCCATTCGCCAAATTATCCTAATCCTAAATGGCCCCGAAACTTCGCGCTGCGTCCTCGACCGCATCGGCCCCAGCCTGTCACAACGCAGTGTGAGTTGGTCCGCGAATGCCGGCGGGATTGACCTGCCCCTAGCCCTGCAGCTGGTATGCGGTTTCTGGCATCGTGAATTTCCAGACGTCTCTCCAGGCGGCTGCCCAGAGCAAATCGCACGGACCCTGCATTCTCTCATCCTCGATGGCCAGGCCTCACGGCGTCTCATCTCCGAAATTGACCGCGTCCTCCTCTCTCCTAATTATGTCCAAGTCCACATGGCCGAGTCAGCCATTTGGGACGTCATTCGCAAACGACCCTTTCCTCCACCTAGCGACGGATATCAATTAATTCAATTCAAATTCGACTGCCAGCTTTTTGGCCCCCTCGACGGGATTGGCGATCCTCAGCTCGTCAATCTTGGCTCTTTACCTGCTATTACCGGCACTGCCGCTAGTTGCGTCTACACCACTGTGGCCGAATACATAGACACCCGGTGGCCCAAGTGCGGTCGCCTACTACTGAAATGCCTCGAGGATGCAGTCACCAACGCATCCGCCTCGCATCAATCCGGCGATCCCTGCCCGGGCATGTCAGTCTGGGATAGCACCGATGAAGACGCCGTCTTTTGCCCTGGCCTACGCCTAATCCACCTCGAAATAGAAGATAATGCAATTCGCGTCAGCGCCTCGGCTTGGACGCACACGCTCATTGAGATTTTCCAGCAAATGTGCTGGACGTGTGCCGCCCTCAGCGCATCCCCCTTCCCGGGCGGCTCACTATCCGAATGCGCCGTTGCTGTGTCAGACTGGGCCTACCAGGACGGTTCCGTCTACATGGACTGTGGCATAACACATAAACCAGTACAAGAAGGTGAAAGCATGGCGTGGCTGGAGCAATTTCATGGGGCGGCGATAGCATCTGGTTTTCCACTGGCGGGATTCTCAATACCACAAAACACATGACCGAGGCGTTTCGTGTTTCTTTTCTTCTTTTCTTATTCCTTCATTTCATGGTTGGGAGTTGGATTCTGGTGTTTTTGAATCATGGCACAAAAAGACGTTTCTTTTGTGAGCCCATCGGGGCTATCTCAGGGCACGGTTACACGTGTTACTCGTTTTTCTTTTATCACGGTTACATTCTGTATCACGGTTAGACGGATGATGACGGCTGCATCTGGATTATCCAAACGTCCTGTAAATTATTATCTTAATACATGATACCCAAAACTTGCTCCCCGGGACTGATTCGTTGCTGCGAATGTCATGACGCAACCCTCTCTTGTCCCCATGTCCCGTCACCACGGCGGCAAAAGCCGCGCCACTGCCGGCGCGAGCCGTCTGTACCGGAACCCGGCGTCGCCGAGGCCATCAACCACCACGGCACGTGTCTCGGGCCCCGCCATGATCATCGGCCGCTGGTCGGCGGCGGCGCGACGAACGTCGACGGGCGCAAACAGCCGCGACTTGCGCAGCGTGCGGTACGGGTTCCAGCCGCACGCGGTCGGCCTGGGCGCGAGGCGCGAGCAGCGCCATCTTGGCGGCGACGACGACGGCGCCGGAGCCGCCGGACGAGGACGGGTGCTCGACGGGCTGGATGACCATGAGCAGGGGCCGCTGCGAGGGGGCAAAAGCTTCCCAGTCCGTCCGGGAGATGTTGGCGTAGTATCTGCAAGGGTTAGAAGAAGGAAGGAAGGAAGAAGGACGGTTGGTGGAGGGCGTACTCAAAGATGGGGCCGGGCTCGGCGACGAAGGCCTCCACGCCTTCGGCCTTGAGCACCTCGGCGAGGGCGTTTCGGCGCTGCAGGTAGACGTCCGCCCTGACACCCGCGACGGCGCCCCGGGACGAGGACGAGGCGTCGTGGCTGGGGGGGGTGGTGGTCGCAGCGACCGCCTCGTGTGGTTGGGCTTGGCGGTGTGCCGGGCACGGTTGTGGGCGCAGCAGCTGGTGCAGCAGAGATGGCGTCGTCGTCGCGGTGCCACCGAGGAGCCCGCAGACGGCCATGGTCAGCAACATGCCGGCTGCGAGGGCGGTGATGCAGAGACGGGCGATGAATCGTCGCGGCGTCGGCCCGCGGCGGCGACGGCAGTGGGGGTCCCAGTCGGGATTCTGCAGCTCGAGATCGGGATTGCCCATTTTTATTATGACGACTTGATAAGCCTCCTTCAATCCTTGCTTCTCCTCCTTCTTCGTTCCTTTCTTCTTTTAGGAGCCGGAATTCGCGTGCCGCACCCCGATACAGCTTTGGCTACAGTGGGGGAGGTCGCCTGGGGGAAGGGGGTCTGCTGATTGTGTATAAGAGACTGCAGTCAATTTGAGCCTGCTCTCCGCGAGGCGAGAAGCAGAACAACGGAAAATCGTAAAGAATAATGGAGAGGCAGAGGATGAACTGAATTCGGCGGTCTTTTTTTTTAGTTTAAAACTGAAAATCGCGACAAAGACAGGGCAAGGCGGGAGATGAGAACACAGTTATGCATTCCGCCCTCTTTGGACAGCACCTCCGGATCTGGAATGCGGGCATCTAGGAATTAGCCTTTGCCGGGTTGTGCGTGTGTGTGATCTGCGCTCCATGGTACAGAATCCTGTCTGGGCTGAACTATTAGTTACTAGTCATAAACCCCCAATTGACCAAGTATTGGGCTGAACGTGCCCTTGCTGTTACTTCACGCCAAGCTTTCTCCCTGTGTGCATTGCGGTTCTGAGACAGACTCGGTGCCCCCTCGTTCAACGGTTGACCAACATGAGATGAGCGCGTGCCTAGCGAGGCGACTAGTGCAAAATAAAGCGACGAGGGGAGAATTGATTCATTTGAGATGAGAAACGGCTTCGATCAGCTAAATGTTCTTTAGTCTCGTCGAGGCCCTCAAATCCCAGTCGGTGGAGGCACTACCTACCGGATGAACCGAGATGCAACTTTATCCCTGGCAGTCCCGAAGAAGGTTTCGTCCGAGTAAGCTTCTTTCCTATTTCCCGTGCCATAAAACCCGTTTCATATGGGCATTGCATCCCGTGTCCCTGTGCAACGCAGCCTTGTCATTGAGCCAAGGAACTAGTTAGCCAGCTGCATAACACCACAGGCACGGAAGCCAAGAAAGGAAGCCCAGCCCATGAGGCTTCATTATGTCGCCTCTGCAGCATCTTCGCTCTCGTGGTGAAATTCATAAAGACAAATGCAAATCTAAACTGAAATGGAGTGGCCGGCCGAAGTGGCGGCAAAAGTGAGTTACGTGGCGGAGCCAGAGGCGAAGGCAAAGTGAAATGCATCTGAGATGAAGAATCAGCCGAGATGCGCACACGGCTCTTCTTCCAGCCCTTGCCTTCCCCGGGACGGAGCTCAAGAGCACCAAACTCCTCTTGATTTCGGTTACGAAAACCATTTACACACATCATCACTCTCGCTCACGATGCCGCCTCGGCACACAGCCCACCACACCACCAAATCGGCGACAGCTGCGCGGAAGCGCTCTACTCCAAGTCTCTCCAGCAGCAGCGGCAGCAGCAGCAGCAGCAGAAGTCCCTCCCCCCTCCCCCTCTCGAAGCAGGTCCGCGCGCTCGAACGCGCCCACGCCTCGGTCCAGCAGGTCCTCGCCTCCCAGGCCGACCGCTCCTCCACGCTCGCGCGGCGCGTCGAGGAGCTGACCGACGAGCTGGAGCCAGGTGCGCACCGCGCACGCCGCTGACACCGCGCGGCGCGTCCGCCGCACCGCCCTGCTCCTCGCCGACCACCAGCGGGCGCTGGAGGACAAGTCGGGGCTGGAACGGGCAGGCGAGGCGCTCCGCGCGCGACTCGCCCACGAAAGGCCCTCGAGAGCCGCATCCACCGCTGCGCCGCGCGGATCGCCTACGACATGTTCGAGGGCGAGGAGGAGCGCGCGACGCTGCTGGAGATACTGAGGCGCTGTCGGGAGACGTTTCACGGGGTCAGAGGGCGCCGCCTGGGCCGCGTCCTCCCTCGCCGGGGCCGGAAGACGGCGACGAAGCGGTGGCTGTGGCGTGCGCGCCCCGACGCGAGCCGCAGTTGCCGCTGACACCCGTGTCGATGCCCCGCGCGGGGAAGTGGGAGGAAGAAGACGTGGTCGTTCTTGACTCCAGCAACTCTGAGATGACACCGACGCGACACGAGGGGCTGCGCTCAAAGAGAAGGCGCCTAGTCAGCCGCGGCAGTCCACGCGTGGCAAGCTGGGACTATGCTTGAGTGGACGAAGACTGTTTGGACGTCAATGTCTGATTCACGGTGTCCATGATGATCTGCGGTTGATACCCTTGACTTGGAAGAGTTACTTGTTGCTTTGCTGAAAAATGGTTTGCGGACAATCATACTCTCTGTTTCACGATTGATGTGCTTGCGGATTCCGGAAAGGTGAGACTTACTTGTTTGATGAGAGATGGCGGCAGGGTTGTTAAACTTACTTGCGCGTACTGTGGAAAGAAAAAGAAAGGATGCAGGCAGAGTTAGAGAAAGGCGTGCCTTTTTTGGAGTTGAGTGTCATTGGAAAATGTATATCTAGAAATCTGGACTGCAAGTATGCTGCATAGCATGTGAATACAAACTCCCTAAACGCCCTTGTTGTGCCCTTCTTAAATCAAAATTGTCCGTTTCCAATTTTCCGTTTTTACTCGCCCTCAGCGCGAGAGGCATAGCTGGCCGCGCTCTCGCCGACCTTGACCTCGTCGTCGGGAACACCCACGGCCACGCTCATGACGCTCTGTCTGGCGCTCGAGCGTCCCTTGTCACGGGGTCCGGCGATGCTGGCACCGCCCGTCGGCACGACATTTGTGCTAGCTGTGGTACTAACGCTCTCGCTGCGCACATGTCGGCTGGTGCTGCTTTCCCGGCGCTCGCGGACAAGCTTCTCCAGCTCGCGTACGCGCTTCTTGAGCATATCGTTCTCCTTCTTGGCCGTCTCGAGTTCCCCTCGGTAAAAAGCAGTCTCCTCGTAGCGTGAGGTTGCGGGCATGAAGGCGGGGCTCGTGTGGTCGCCGCCGAAGCTGCTGCCCGGCGTAGCCGCCACCGAGTTCGAAGAAGCGTGGTGCGGCACGCGCTGTTGGTGAAAGTAGCTCGAGGGATCCAGGCCGGGGCCGGTTAGGTGTACACCGCCGCCCGGAGCAGCCTGGCTGGATCGTGACGTGCTGCTATCCTGTCGCGAGAGTGGTACCGGGGCCGGGGGTCGGGGAAAGTGCGTGCCACGGCCATCAAAAGAGGAGACCAGCTGGTGGCTCTGGCTAGCAGTCGACGAGGTGCGATGATGGCGTCTAGTCGTGGGTATGGAGAAACCTGAGCCGGAAAGCAGCGATGTCTCGGTGATGGGGTCGTGGCTGTTGGTCGCAGAGACCGAGGACGCGTTCGAGGCTACCGAAGCGTTGTGAGTGGCTCGTAGGAGGGACAGCTCGCGGGTGAGGCGGTTGACCTGGCAGGAGAGCGTTAGCATCCGGCGAGGTAGCATGCTGCAGCACGCAATCATGTGGCGGGGGACATACCAGAGCTTCTTGCTCTTTCTCGAGCTCCGTGTGCAGCTCAGAAGTGGTCATGGGGCGAGGATGTCGGAGGGGCCCAGGACCGCTCGCAAGCTCGGACGGCTGGGCGGGCTGTGCAGAGGGGAGGTGAGGAGAGGGGAGAGAGGAGACGGCTGCGCTTCCATGCTGCTGCTGGTTGTTCACGGCTGTCTGATTGGAGGGGAGAATGTTGAGGGACGAGGATGGCGTGATGTTCCCAGGCGAGGAGGAGCTGCCGGATTGTCCGACGGCGGCAACGCCAGCGGAGGAGGCCGAGGCCATCTGCACGCTGTTCGACGGGCGGCGTGAGGAAGACAGCTGGGGGTGAGGTGAGGCGGGCACCGAGTTCAAGTCGGGCATGGCTGTTCACGATGCAGCTCTGTGTCGTCCGGCTAGGTAGCGAAGATAGGGTAGCTGGTCCTTGCCAGAGGGCGTTGGCTATAAGGCGGGAGCAATGCGGCGAGTCGCTTGAAGAGGACGCATGTATTCCGAAGCGGGGTGGAGGAGGAAAATTACAGGACGAGAGAAAAGGGCGAGCGCCTGCAGCGACAAGGGCGTTTGAAGAAGAGGGAGGGAAGAGGCAAGAGATAGGTGGGCTGTGTCCAGCAGCTTTTGGGAGGAACAAGGTCTCAAAGGCAAGACAACGGCAAGACGCGCAGTGGACAAGACAAGTCTGCCCCCTGCAAAAATCCCTGCAGCAAGCCTTGGCTTGGGTTCAGTTGGGTTGCTATCGAGTGGCTGCCGATGTGAGATTTGTTGATGTTAATTTACTAAAACATAACACGGACGGAGAGGGCCGGTGGCCTGTTTTAATAGGGGTTTTATTACCTCTGTCGTGTGACTGATACAGGCGCCCTATTGGGCATACTAGTGTGAAGCTTCAAGCCGATGACTTGTGCCAGAGGGGCGCCGCTATCACCAAGTTGCGGGGAAGCCGCCCGCTGACCATTGGAAGTTACTGGAACAATATCAGGCGGCCGTGCCGCATATCACTATGAATACCGACGCTTTTGTTGACAGGCAATGCGCCAAGCTGGTTTGTATATATATTACACAGGTCGTGTAATTATGTGCGTCTTGTATTTGGATTAATCTCACCAGTTTCGCGTCAGGACACTCGTGTATTTATTACTTGGTATTGATTGGTAGGTAAACGAATGCAAATAAATCAGTCACGTCATCAGTCGCAAAGGCCGTAGAATCAATCAATCTCAAACAATCATGCCATCAAACCTCAAAAACCGTAATCGTCTAGCCAGTCTTGGTGTCAGCCGGCGCGGGCGCGGCAGCACCAGTAGCACCGGGAGGAGGGGCAGTACCGGCAGGAGCAGTACCGGCTGCGGCGCCGACGGCCGGCTCCTCCTTGGGCTTCTGCTGGCCAAAGACGCGCTCGAGCCCGGCAGCCTTGTACGCGCTGCCGCCGTGGCTCTCCTTCTTGAGGTCCGCGAGGCGGCGGGCCTCGGTGTGGATGTCCTGGACCTGTCGCGAGCCGTCCGTGTAGAACTTGACAATCTTGCGGCCCGTGTTGGTGGCGCTCGCCTTCTCAAAGTACGAGCCGAGGCCGGTGAAGAAGTGGTTGGCCTTTTGCGACAGGCCGTAGCTCTGGTCGGTGGCGCGCGCGCGGTCGGTCGCGTGGTACTTGGAGTCGAGGCTCTGGATCGTGCCGAGGAAGCGCGTCGACACGCCGTGCTTGGTGTCGAGCTCGATGGCGTGCTCGATGGCGGCGTCGCCGACGACGTAGCCGTGGGCGAGGTACTCGGCCAGGATGCGCGCGCGCGGCTTCTCCTCCTGCGTGATCTCGTCCGAGTCGCGCTCCTTGGCGTCATGCGCGGGGTCGTCGCCGGGCGCGGCGCCGCTGGCGCTGCTGATGGTGATGTGGTTGGGGCCGAGCTGGGTGTTGGTCAGGAGGAGAGCCGTCTTCATGGCCGTCTCCTTCTCAAAGGTGACCTCTGCCGTCTTGGTCTCGCCGGAAGTGGTGATTTTGATGTCGGTGACCTTGCCACTGCAGTATGATTTAGCAGCTGCTTCTTGTCCTTCTTTTTTTTTGATAGAAAAGGTTAAAAATTCTCTAGAAGGACTTACCAAAAGACAAAGAAGTCCTTGACCTCGCTATCGCTAGTCGAGGTGGAAATGTTCTTGACAATGACGGTAGCTGGGGACGCCATGGTGTTAGTTCGTGCGGGCAGGTTGATAAAGGTGGTGATATGCGGTTAAGGATGAATCAAATCTGTCTTTTCAGTAGAGATGAGGTGATAGAAGTAGAAAAAGAAGTAAAATTATGCCTGGGACAAGTTTGTTGGGAAGGGCAAAAAGCATGTGCTCGTGGCAACATGGCACCATGGATACATACATAGCTCTAGCTGTGCTTGGGGCGGGGCAAAATATCGCGACGTCATCTCGTGTCTGTGGCGGTGCTGATCCGCATCATTGAGGCACTAGGTTAGTGAGCTGATGGGCTGCCTCCGTCCTTCGTCGTCGTCCTCGTTGTGTGGCTCAGGTGAAACATGTGAAGACAAGACGAATTGTTGAGGACCCTGATGACAAGATTGAATCAGCTTGCGTATCCTCTCCTCACGTCGGACATGGAGTTGATGCCCTGACACCTTTGACACCTGCGTGTCTCAGACTACGGTCACTTTCCGCATGATGGTGTCGGGCTACAGGGTAGTATTGGGATAAAAGGTGATAATTTACTTCGTAGGAAGCTGGTAGGGAAGTCCATGGAGAGAAAAGGCAAGACAAGGTTGGTAAATTATGTGACGATAATCCCGCCAAGTTTACTGAAACCTGGTGCTCCTCTATCACCTCCAGAGCTACCCTCCAGGTCCCAGAGCTTCAGCGCCAAGCAGTGACATAAAGCCGTACACCTCCACGTGTCTCCCGTGGTAAAACGTAGGCAGCAACCGTCGAAACAAAAGTCGAAACGGGTGACGTGAATTCCGTTACATTTCCGTAAACGAGTACTAGCAGACATCCACCAATGGTACTCCAGCACGGCTAGATCTCTCCGTACCACATATAACCTCTTGTCCCAGCTGTTGGTTCTAGTCTCGCCAATTTATTGCCTAAAAGAGACACACACTAGATCGACGAGTTGCGTCTTGGCTGCCCCCCTAAGGTTTAGTATGGTAAGCATCCTGATTCGACTATGGTTAATCTGGTGCGGCAAGATCCACCACGTACGCTCGCATCATCGAGCCTTGACTCGATCAAGAGACGGACTGGAGAAAATGCTCGGCTTCATTTATAATCCCCTAATCAATACACAACTGTTGTCGAGATGAGCATTTGTCAGCAGAAATCCGTGTCTATTTCGCTGTCTATAAGTAAGGCAAAGATGTTGAGGGTTTCTGCCAGTCAAGTCGCACTCGACACCGCCATCAGTTAAATCGATCATGACCGCAACAATTCATCTCGTACGGCATGCCCAAGGCTATCACAACCTCTCCAAGGAGAACGAGCTCCTGCACGACCCGGACCTCACCCCGCTCGGCGAGCGCCAGTGCGACGAGCTCCGCGCATCCTTTCCGCACCACACCGAGATCACCGCCATCGTGTCGTCGCCGATGCGCCGCGCGCTATCCACCAGCATCCTAGCCTTTGGGCAGGACCAGCTGTACCCCGTGGTGGCGCTTGAGGACCTGCAGGAGGTCTCGGACCTGCCCAGCGACACCGGCAGCGAGGTCGCGGCCCTCGGCGCCGAGTTCGGGCACAAGGTCGACCTGCGGCACGTCAGCCGGGATTGGACGGACAAGACGATGGCGAGCTCGTTCCAGGCGGAGCTGGGAAAGCTAGAGGCGAGGGCTCGACGGGCAAGGCTGTGGCTGCGGGAGCTGGCCCGAGGTCAGGGGGATGGCCACATTGTGGTGGTGGCTCATGGCGACTATATGCACTTCCTCACCGACGAGTGGCAAGGCGTCCCCGAACTGGACTGTAAGTGATTTGTACCTGGCAGTTGGAGTGTCTAGGCGTTGCATCTACTAACCTAATCGTCGTAAATCAGTCTACGTTTGGAAGAATGCCGAGTACCGCTCGTATCAATTCAACGATGTGCACAGCTCTGATGAAGATGCCCTCCTAATAGAGACATCGGAAAGTTGGATCCGGCGACAGGGCACCGAGCGCCGCCCAACACGCGCTCAGCAGGAAGAATGGAAACGTATAGTCTATCAGAGGCTCAACCCGCTTTATGCAGCCATGGGTCTACCGAAAGCATATGAGTCAATCCAGTACAAAGACAGACTGTCCTCGGTTTCCATAAAGGCTCTCGCCCCGACATGTCCAGTCCCTCCTCAATCTGCGGCTGCTGTCACTGTGATGGGCTGGGTGGCGCGATAGACGCCGTGGCTGCTCAGGTTCTCGCAGAGACCACGCTCGAATACGGCGATCCCCGATCCTCCCGGCCAGCCCCGTGCCGCGGCGTCTTGGACGCGCGGTCCGTCACGATCTCCACCGCGGCCATCAGTCCGCGCACGCCGCGGCGCAGCACGTCATGTCGGCGACCTCTCAGTGCCGCTCCGGCAGCCAGGCGGCAGGACGTTCATGCCGCCGGAGCTCTGGATGCACTCAACGATGCAGCGGGCCGGCGACCGGCACGATTTGGAGGTCGACTATGCGCCAGCCGTACTCTTAGTACTCTAAGTCCGTCTCCCAGTCGTGGCTGCCGTCATTGGAGCGGTGTCGACGCAGTGTGGTTAGATGCAGCGGCCTGCTCATAACACAGAAGTCTGGATGAACGGACAAACAGGGCAGCATAACGCTCGTAGTCGCAAAAATGGCATACAGTTTTCCTATATCTCATGTGCTTTAGCAGATGCTTTAGCATGTGCTTTAAGCGGCTAAGAGACAAGTAAAGGCTATAATATAATAAGTAAGCATAGGATAACATCATTTGCCCCTCTAATTCGTTTAGAAGTTGGTCTCGGACCGACTCAAGTAGAAACTACACGTCGGCGTAGTTTAAGTTTACCCTTACGACGGGACGCTTCAACAACTGCAGGGAATCAGCCTAGCTTATTAACATTTTTACTGCCCATAACTAGTATACAGTCATAATGACTAAGTATGAACCATAAGGGTATCCCCTGTTTCACCCCTGATCCCCGAAAGCTCGGGATCTACACTGGCCACTCGCGGCGGCAGGTGTGCGGCACGTGTAGTACCTTGACAAAACAGTAACAAATATAGTATACGTTGATTCAAGAGAAAAGAAAAGAGGGAATTTAAAAACAAGACAAACGGAAACAAAGATTTTTATTTGCAGATTAGTGATTCCTTTTATCATGTTAGTTCTGAGGCACCAGCTTTACCACTGAGCGACTGCGACTACAAGATCGAAGTAAATACCAGTCAGCAAGTTCAACATGCCTGGTCTACGATACCCTCAAGTTATCAAGTTCCGCAGCAGCTTATTGGTACTGGCTAGCCTATGTGACTAGCGGTAGATGACTCGGTGAATACGATGCGCAGCCTTCGTACCATTATCCCGCCATCCCAGTTCATTGTTATATCTACCCCATATACGGACAAAAGAAGACAAATCATTACGCAAGTTGCTCGCGATCCCGACATGCTGCCTAGTCTAGAGAGTCATTGCATCTATGCAATGGGCTCATTTTGAAGCGAGAGCGTCGTCTTGATCGCGGCAGTCGTGTTCAGTCGTGGAAGCTGCTGCGAGTATAAGGTCATCATCGAGCCCGACACCGGATCTGAAGGCCTCTGGGTACCTGGCGCATCCCCGGCCAACGGCCGCACGGGCGACGAGTCGGTCTACTTTGACAGAGACGCGAGCACCTCGGCGCAGGACCTGAACACGGAATCGGGGCTTCAATATGGCGCTGGCGGCAAGGAAACAGTCTGGTTCAACATGATTAGTGATGAAGTCTCTGTTGGCGGTAAGGATGAGATTGGATTCTCTGGTTCTTCTCCTTCATGGTGTGATGGGAGCTGACGCACAACGTCTAGGCAAGTCCGTTGGCAAACTGAACTTTGGTGTTGGCAACATGGCCAGCCCGCGCACGAGCCTGGGACGCATCGCCGGCGTCATGGGCCTCCGTCCCTCCCCTAGCCAGAACAAGGGGGAGGGGCGACTTTGTTTCGCAGAAGCTCCTTGACAAGAAGATTGTCAAGACCCGTGCGTTTAGCATGGCCCTGCGCGAAAAGGACCAGGGCCTGCTTACGTTCGGCGGCTACGACACGAGCAAGTTTTCCGGAACCCTCGAGAGGCTTCCCCTCCAGCCGAGTTCGAGACAGTACGTATGAGCCCAGATTCCTCTCTATCCTCTCTTGCCCTTGTTCTCACCTACCGTCAATAGCTACATCGTCTCGGTCCAGTCCGTTTCCTTGACGGGCAGCGCTGGCAGTGGCAGCGAGACCGTCCTTGACGACCAATCGATCAAGAAGCCATTGACCATTGGCATTGACTCTGGCTGGCCCGCTCTGGTCTTGAAGAGTTCTCTTTACAAGATTGTCCAGGGCAAGCTTAAGGCAACACCGGGCTCGTTTGCTCAGATGCGAGTGAGCTGCGACCTTGTCAGCGCCAATTCGTCGCTCGACTTTAAAATGACCGACAGCACCACGGTTTCGGTGCCCCTTGGCGACATGTTGCTCAGAAAGGTTGACAATGACAAAACCTTCATTCTAGCCATTCAGAGCTCCAAGGCCCCAGCTGGTAAACCCCCCCCCCCTTCCTTTCTTCCTCCCTAATAACTCTGAGGCTGAAGCCCGAATCTATTTAGAGACGGATGACTTGATACGTGTAGACATGTAGATTGGCGGTCACTTCTTGCGCCGATTGCTTGTCGTATATGACCCGGATGCGAGCTGCGTCTACGTCGCCCGTGGCGCCGACTGCGGCATGAGCATCGTTGCCATTGATGGCAAGATGCCGACCGATGCCGTCAAGGGCAAGTGCAACGAGCAGCCGGTCGCCGCTGAGCAGCCCGATGCGAGCGCGCTGGTTAGCTTGGGGGTTCTGACCGAGGAGCAGCTCGGGAAGCTCATGAATCCCCGCATTGATGAGGAGTCAAAATCTCCCACCGGGGTGAGAACAGAGAAGAATGACAGACTTGGCGATAGGTTTTGAACGACAGACGCCGTTGTTTCAGGGAACGTCAAGTCTGTGAAGAAAGGAAAGAGAATAGTCATGGCTCTCTTGGCTGAACCGGAGTCTTGGTCACTTTTCGTCGAGCAATACCTATCGCGATGCTGTTCATTGGCCATTTCTTCATCGCTAGAATAAAACTTCTCTGGATCTCGTGTACATTCATTCGTTAGTCAATACGCCCGGGGGCCTCCAGCTATGGCGCGGATATCCGTCCGCGCCATCATCACCTTGCATACATGTCGATGATTTCGTCTAGCGCAGGCTTATATAAGAAGCTGCGATGAACTAGCACTCTTTATGCCGCCATGGGCCAACCAAAAGTATCAAATTCTCATTGATCCAATCCGACTGGTACTCTACCGTGGTGGTTCTTCGTCCGTTGGATCCGTTAGTAGGTCAACACTATAATAAAAACTAATGACCATCTGATGCATGAGGATAATTGGTCTAGTACAAAGGCAGACTGCCCTCCGTCTCCGCAAAGGCTCGCTCCAAGATGTCCAGCCCCTCCTCAATCTGCGCCGCCGTCACCGTGATGGGCGGCGCGATCCGGAAGACGCCGCCGAAGCTCGGGTGGCTGCTCAAGTTCGCCCAGAGGCCGTGCTCGAACACGCGATCTCCGATCCTCCTGGCCAGCTCCGTGCCCGGCGTCTTGGACGTGCGGTCCGTTACGATCTCGACCCCGGCCATGAGCCCGCGGCCGCGCACCTCGCCGATGCAGCCGTACCGCGCCATCAGCCCGCGCAGCCCGCGGTGCAGCACCTCGCCGACCTCGCGCGCGTGCCGCACCAAGCGGTCGCGATCGACAATCTCGAGGACCTTGTCGCCGACGGCGGCGACCAGCGGGTCGTTGAGATGGGTCGTGTAGAAGAAGAAGTTCTTCTGTTGGGACACGCGGTGGATCTGCTCGCTGGTCACAACAGCGCTCAGTGGCAAGCCATTGCCGAGCGTCTTGGAGAGCGTCAGGATATCCGGGACGACGCCCTCGTGTTCGATGGCCATCAAATCGCCGCAGCGGCCCACGCCGGTCTGTGCCTCGTCCACGATCAGCAGCATGCCTCGGCGCTCGCAGTACCGCTTGAGGGCCGCAAGGTAGCCCGGCGGCAGGACGTGCATGCCGCCGGAGCTCTGGATGCACTCGACGATGCAGCAGGCCAGCGACCCGCACGACTGGAGATCGACCATGCGCCAGCCGTACTCCAGCTCCGCCTCCCAATCGTAGCTGCCGTCATCCTTACGGAAGACGGAGCGGTACGCGTTGGGCGCCGGCAGCATCATGGTGCCCGGGACGAGGGGCCCGTGGCCGCTGCGGCCAAAGTGAAACTGGGCGCCGACGGCCTGCGCGGTGACGCCGTGCCAGGACGCGCCGAGCCCGACAACCTCGAACTTGCCGGTGTAAACCTTGGCCAGCTTGATGGCCGCCTCGTTGCTCTCCCCGCCGGTGGAGAGGAACAGCGCGCGGTCGAGGCCGGCGGGCAGCATGCCGCACAGGCGCTCAGCGAGGTTGACGACGGGAGGCGAGACCATGCCGGAGAAGGTGTGGTCGAGATGCATGGCGTGGTCGGCAATGACCCGGACAATCTCGGGGTGGCCATGGCCTAACAGACAGGACATCTGGCCAGACGTCCAGTCAAGCAGTCTTCGTCCGCTGGCCGTGTAAAAGTACAGTCCACGCGTACCAGTGACGATTTCATCGTGGATGTCACTACCAAACCCTAAAAGATATTTTTTCGACTTTTGAACGAGAGTGTCCTGGTCCTCGTTCTGATACACTGTTGATGCTGCATCATCCTTCGCAAGTGGCAGGGCGAGAACGTGGTTGTCGGCCTTGGTGGTGAGTCCCGGCGCCATGATGATCAAGTAGTGAATAGGAACGAAACAGATAATGGAGAGGGGTGCAGAGGAGTGATTCTCATCATAAACTCGGCGAGGGGTTCTTACAATTTATACCGGCGGGAGTATAGATAGATAGATATATTTGGGTACCCCGAATAATTGCCCACTGAATAGTTTCCCGCGGGCAACTCTCCTCGGAAAACTGCCCGCAGTCGGCGTCGGTCTGGACCGTTACCACACGTTTTATAGCGGGTCCCAAAGACTAGGAAAGAGTTGATCTAGCATTGAAGTATCCGGCATGATAAAGTCTTCAAGATTAAAAACGTCGCTGGCGGTGTGGTGTTCCGGCGCCTCATTCGCTAGCACCTTGTTGATGATGTCGGCGTGCTGCGCCAGACATACATCGCCCATATCCCAGCCATGGTTTTCCTTGTGCAGGCTTAGTGAATCAATTAAATGCTTGGCCAACTGAAAAGATGTAGTTTGCGCAAGGCCTACCGGAGAACTCTCAGTCTCCAGTGCGTGACGGAGTAAGAAGTTGACGGTAGTCGGGTAAGCGAAGGCGCCGACTGACAGCCAGAAATCATTCAGCTGCAAAGGCCGAAGACGATCTGTGAATCTTAGTAGTTCTTCTGCCACCTTGCGGCCTTGAATATAACAGTTGAAGACATGTTCCTCCAGTAGGCTTGAATCCTGCTTCGCAGCCTCCAGCTCGACCCTCCGTATGAGCAGCTGCACACTCAGGTATGCTAGGCGAAGATTGGATGCCCCCGGAAGGTTCAGGTTTGCGCCTCGAACAATTATTTCCCGAGTTATTCCGACCAAAGAATCGACCCACGTCTGCAATGTCAACTCCGTTTGAGCTGCGCTTTTGCTCTTGTCTTCCTGGGTGTTGTAGATGTGCTGCAACGCTACCTCAAGAACACGAGTCAATCCGGCCAGAGCGATGAAGATAGATGCGGCCTGTAGCTGCTTATTATCGGAGTCTCGTTGACATAAATATTCTACCGTCGGGGGTGGCACATCTTGCTGCGACTGGACGATACGCGGCGGCGTACCATGCGCAAGGCTCGTCCTTTCCAATGCATGCCAGTCAGCCACGGACTTTGTGATACCCTTAGGCAACTAGCTGACTTACCATTTGTCATGAATGGAAAGTGCCCACCAGATACGTATTCTGAGATGCTTCTCCGAATCGGGTATATTCCAGGATAGCGGATCATAATTCAATCCTAGCGAGTGGGCTATAGAAACGGCCGAGCTCAAGAGGACTCCATTGCCAATCAGCGAGGTCGTTGGACGACCACCGACATTGAGCAGAATCGCAGCAATGATGGAAACTCCGGGAGACAGATGGAGCTCAGAGTACAGTGCTTCATTTGCAAGATTCCAGATGAATCTCCCGTCCGGCCAAGTTCGATCAGCTGGTTTGGCGGAATGTCGGCAGTACACTGTCATGTGGGCGTAGAGACAAGCTAGCAATGACGGGGATATTTTTCCCCTGCAGTCTTGAAGTTCTCGCCGAAGGGAATTTTCATCTATAATCGGCATACAAATGTTGATATTGCGGAAGTATCTTTCTCCCAGTTAGCGGCGCAGTCATTTTCTACACATTTCGAGCTTTGCATACGTGTCGATGATCTCGTCTAGGTTAGGCTCGAGGAGCTTTTCAATCATCTCCAGCTTCTGCGCCGACGGACTTTGATGAGCTGCGAAGCCTAGAGGCCGCTTTTGGATAGTGGTGAATAACACAGGCTTGGACCTTCCTGGCGCTCTGGGAAGGAACATCCTGGTACTTGTCGATAGGGCGCCTGGCACACCGGCGAGATAGTCTGTGAGAACGCGGCTGTCATCCGTGGTAGCTGGGCCGACAATGTGGAGGTTGAGGTCTTCATCGTCGACTGGACCAAAACCGAGAGGCTCTTTGGAAGTTTGAATGGAACCGTGAGACGCTTGTATTTGCGATGGGCTAGCATTATTTGACCTGGTGGTGCGGCGACGGGAAGGACGCGAGGCTGTGACTGCGACCCTAGGTTCCCCTGTGGTGGCTGTGCTGAGATTTCTTGTGCTCGAACGCGGAATGGAAGGTCTCTGTGCTGAATTCGACTGTGTTGAATCTGGGAAATAGCAATTGGACTTGTGCAGCTTGCACATCAGACACGTAGAGCTACTGGCCTCGGTCTGGCATCGTGACTTTCGGCGGCGGCAGGGGACGCAGGCGGGCTGAAGGTGCGACCGGTACGGCCGAGCAATGTGAGCATTAGTATCCATGTATGTGATGATGGTACAATGTTTCAGCTAGAGCTAGATGGCATTGTAGAAAACAAGGGATGATTGGATGCGATGACTGGGCCATTTGATGGAGTGATGATGGAGTGGGAGGGCTCGTTTGCCGCGGGGAAGTCGACAGCTGCCATTCCTGGTAGTGATGGATGGGTCAGGTCCAGCACAGCGAAAGTCTGAGAGGCCGAGAACCCCAAGAGGCTAAATTTTTTACACGACCATCTAGAAAATTGCTTGACAATTTATTTAGTGTTGCTAACTCTTTACCTCTTCAATTATCCGCTTATAGCTTAAACAATCTCGGCACAGCGGCCCGACTGAGCTTGGGGCCCCGACAAGAGAGACATGCAGCTTCAGCTCAGACAACAATTATGCGCGCGCCACACATCACTTGCAGGGGAAAACTGATACAATTGACCCAGTTTTGATGGTAGGTTATTAACAATGGCATGGTTATCTCAAGTGGGAGGGTGGGCAGCGGCGGCGTTTTCTCTCCCAAGTCCACCGTCGGCGTCAGCAACCAAAGGGTTCGTTTTGGCCAGGCCAATGTAATACGCACGGCACATTTCTCTCGATTTCTCTCGATTTCTCTCGAACTCATAATATTACCTTTTCATGACCCCGGTTCATCCATGTTTCCTTTGGGCCCTTTCTCCTGAATGCCCACTGTCTAGACACAAGTGCCAGCGATTCGGTAAACACGCGGCTAGACCCCTGAAGAGACCTTGGCTTTCTTTCTGCTTCCTGTTAGTCACTTTGCTCTTTTATTCAAAATACTTCAGAATGCTCCCAAAACTTTCACTGCTAGCTCTGACACTATCAGTCGCCAACTCGGCCTCTAGGCAAGCTGTTCTCAAGCCGTCACTACCAACCGTACAATCAGCGCCGCACTGCAAAAACATACCAGGAGATGCCGGATGGCCACAGCCTCAGACCTGGTCCAAGCTAAACAAAACAGTCAACCGGCGCCTAATTGCTACGGTTCCTCTTGGTTCCGTGTGTCACGACCCAAACTACGACGAGGTCAAATGCAAGCAGTTGGCTGCCAATTGGGGCCTTGCCCAGCTTGAGTACGCATGCGCCGCTGTAAAAAGTGCTGCAAAATTTCCTTCGCTAATTCCTACCTTGATGTAGTGTTCCCGAGCCCGCAGAGTTCATGTCCGCGTATTTCCAAAACAACAGCTGCACGCTCTTTTCACCGAGGTCTGCGAAGTGCGAGTTGGGAAACTACGCGTCTTATTCCATCGACGTTCGATTAATCGACGATGTCCGGGCCGGGCTTAAATTTGCCCAAGAGCACAACATTCGTCTCGTTATCCATAACTCCGGTCATGAGTGGGCGGTCCTTTATCTATCTGTAGCACGCACGCCGTCGAGATGCTGACCAAGTCTGTCTCCTTGCAGCTTTTACGGACAGAGCACTGGCAAAGGCGCGCTTGCCTTGTGGATGCATAATTACAGCGAAAAGCAGCTGATCCCAAAATATTCGTCTTCATACTATGATGGACCCGCGCTTCAGGTACAGACGGGCGTAGAGGGCGGTGCAGCGGCCGCGTTCGCGACAGTGCATGGCTACACAGTCGTGTCGGGCGCCTGTCCGACAGTCAAGATGGTAAATAAGTACTACCAATACCCATCCATAGACTGTACGGTCTTTTCCTCGGCTAACACTGTTGTCTGACAGGCAGGAGGGTATCTCGCTGGCGGCGGCCACAGTTACTTGGCCGGCACGTACCGCTTCGCCGCTGACAACGTCCTGGAGTGGGAGGTTATCAAGGCGGACAGCTCACTCGTGATCGCGACGCCATCTCAGAACCAAGACCTGTACTGGGCGCTCTCAGGTGGTGGTGGTGGTACGTTTGGCGTGGTGCTCTCGGCCACCGTCCGCGTCTTTCCTAGCGAGGTCGCCGCCAGCGCCGCATTTTCATTCACAGTCGGCCAAGTCGGCGGTGTCGAACAGTACTGGAACTCCGTCAGTGCATTTCATCAGCATCTGAAGCCGCTGGTGGACCAAGGAATCGTTGCCGAGTATGTGCTAAGCAACGAGTCGCTGGTCGTGACCGGGATCATGGCGCTTGGGAGGTCGAGAGACTCGCTAAAGTCTCTACTCAAGCCCCTGACACTGGGTCTGATGGGCGCTTCCGGATCGTCGTTGACCCAGGATATACTAGCCGTCAAGTATGCGCAGGCAAACAGCTACTATGGGCTGTACAAGGACCAGATCCAGCCGCAGCTGGAGGACCTGGTGTTCCCAGCGACCATAGGCGGGCGATTCATTCCGAGGAGGTCGATGAATCAAAACTCAACCAGCGTCGACAATGCACTCCGCCAAATAGCTAACAGAGGTTACGTGTTCGCAGCGATGGCGCTCAACGTCGTCAATAGCGGGCGGAACCAAACTGCTCCGCCAATCGCGCCCAACGCCGTGCAGCCCAACTTCATCAGCGCGTATGGCTCTCTGATGATCAACCCCCGCTGGTCTAACGATTTGATATGGTCCGAGGCCGAGGTGCTCCAGAATGAGCTGCTGGACGAGACCCTTGCCCTGTACGACGCGGCCGTTCCAGACGCCGGAGTGTACAAGAATGAAGGCAACTGGGCGGAGAGGGACATTAAGAAGGCTTTTTACGATGGGACGTATGAGAGGTTGGAGAGAGTCAAGAAGGAGGTTGACCCAACTGGGGTCTTTTACGGCATCACGTCAGTTGGCTTTGACCATTTCCAAATGGACGGCAATGGCCGCCTATGTCGGAAGTAAGGGGCAATGCAGGTACGGAGTATAAATCGGCAGGATAGAGAAAAGTATCACTTTTCAACAAATTCATATCTTATCTTATCTTATTCAGTCTATGCTTAGTGGGGTTGGACAGGTTGAGCTACAAAGTATAGACCAGTTTCGTGCCCGAGACCTTTCCCTGACGCAGCTCCTCGAGGCCGACCAACACGCCCTGCAGCCCCTTCCCTCCCCTGTCCACCGTCGGCTCAATCGGCCGCAGCTTCTTCTCCGCCAGCAACCCCGCGCTCCTCTCCCAAAACGCCGCCGCAAACTCCGCATCCTCCTGCGACGCCGGGAACTTGTTCGCGCCGCGCTCAAACGCCTCGCCAAACGCCGTGTACCCGAGCTGAAAGCGCGCCTCCACCATGGGGTTCCTCTCCCTTAGAGAGTCCCTTGGCGTCAGCGGCGCCACCGTCGCGAAGATGCCCTCCTTGGAGGCGCTCATCGCGCGCGCCGCCACCTCCGGGAACTTGCCGTCGCCGGGGGCGCAGTCCCACGTCAGCGTGAGGCCGTCCCCGACGAGGGCCTTGATCTCAGCGACGAGGGTCTCGGCGGGCTCGTGGTAGTCGAGAAGGGCGGAGGCGCCGAGGGAGCGCAGGTAGGCGTGGTGGCGCGGCGAGGCGGTGGCGAGCACGCGCAGGCCGGAGAGCGCGGCGTACTGGATGCCTAGGACGGCGGTGGCGGTGCTGCCGCCGCCGATGAGGATGGTCTGTGGTGAAGAACCGGCGGCGGCGGAGGTGGATGAAGGCAGGGGCAGGTTGAGGAGCTGGTAGAGGGCCTGGCCGCAGGTGGTGACGCCGACACCGAGGGTGGCGGCCTGCTCGAAGCTGAGGTGGTCGGGGATCTTGACGGCGACGTGCTCCTTGGTTATGGTGTACTCGCCAAAGGCGCCATGCTCACGGTCCTTGCTGTTCGCCCACCGATATTAGTATGGTCAATCGCCTGGGGACGGGGGTTGCCGAGTTCAGCTGAGAGATTGGACTGACGCTCCAAAGGCGATGCCGCACACTCTATCGCCCGTTTTAAAATTCTTCTTCACATCCGGCCCGACTTCTTCGACGATTCCGGAAAAGTCGACGCCCGGTCGCGTCCCGGCCGCGAATCCGGACGGATCATGGATGGCCTTCCAGTCGGTCGGGTTGAGGGCGACGGCCTTGGTCTTGACTAGAATGTATCCCGGCGGTAGCTGTTGCTTGGCCACGGGTTGGATCTCAAGCTTGCCGGGGCCTGTGCAGATGATGGCTTTTGGTTCAGACATTGCGATTCGTCAAGAGGGATTTTGCTTCAGCTATCAAAGGCGATGGAGGTGAAAATGAATGTAAGATAGCAACGACTTGTTATATCTCCTCCAGGTCGGATGGCGTGATACTAGGTGCGGCTGTGGCTGCGGGGTTGAAGCCTGCTTTTTAGACTCTTCACAGCTGCTATTATTAATGCTCATAGTCAGGGCCGGCGTTGTTCAAGGGAATCCGGCGTGGCTTATTAACCCCCGAAGCGGCTCACTCCGCCGCGGTCATACTATTCGGCATCAACCTCATCATCCTCCTGTGGAGATGTCCGATGGTCAAAATTGCCCCCTAATTTCTCCAAACTGCCTTGCCAAACCGGCGGGGCCAAGACGGGAGATGGACGATCGGAGTGGTCCCGGTTAGCCCCTGTCCGGTTAGCCGATCGGAGGCTTTCAGGCGCGGAACAGCCGGCGCCGGCGCTTTTTCTCAGTCGCGGGCCAAGGGTCCAAATGCTTCTTCCTTTTTCTTTTCTTTTTTCACGCCAGGAGGGATATACACCACACCTTGTCCATTCCCGCTTTGCAATGGGCTGGGAGGACCGTGTTTCAACGGACGGGCCGGTCTCCGCGACCCCAGGACGTCGTACCACTTGGCAGCTTGGTCATGGTATTTGTGCGAATGTGTAATTTTAGGGGCATGATAAGGGATCTGATGCTAACTAGTTATTACTCTTTACTTTAGTAGTACAGGCTCAAGATGGCGTAAGGGCCACCCTCCCTCGACAGCGGCACGTACTCTACAAGTCGGTGTCTATTTCTGCTTATCGAGCAAGAATGCTCAACGGTATCCGGAATTTCGGTGCTTCATTCTCGTATCTTCGTACAGTTTTAAAGCCCAGGTCCTCTTAAGAAACCGTCTATGTTCCCGGGTCACTTTACTCAGACTCACCCCTCCGATACGGTTCATAATCTCTGTTTTAGCAACCGTAAAATACATAAGAGAGCGTCAAAACACAAGGGAATTAAGAAATAAAGTTGTTCGCATGTATCTATCTACCTAAATACTAGAACAAATCCCCCCTTTCTCAGCTTTCCTCCCCACTGTGGACTACAACATGGCAACAAGGCAATCAAGTTCTTGTTGCCGTTGGCCGTATTCATCATGCTGCGCATACATTTCTCCATATGAGAAGGTTATGAGATACAATGTAGCAGCTGCGGCCCTAGTTCTGGGCACCGCATTTTCCACACTTCATTCCGTTCTTCACCTTGGCGCCGCATTTCTTGCAGCCGACGTTGTACTTGAGCTGGTTGACCTGCTCCTTGACGTTCTCCATAGTATAATGGCGGTTGAAGGATTTTTCTGTGTGTCTTGTAGTAAAATCAAAGCTTGCTATGATTTCTGGTGGTAGTGTTGTTGGTATTCGACGGTTAGGGGGACGTGAGCTTTATATATGCTCAAGCCAGTGATGGCTCGCACAAGCTCTGGAGGTTCTTCGCCATCATCATCATTACACGCGTTGAAGTATTGAAACATGAGTCTTTGAGCACTTTTACTTGCCTTTGTACTTGCCTTTGTGCGCCTACCTTTGTGCTCTGCATTGAGGTGTTGCCCGCTGGCGATCCGCGACAACACAGCTGCATGTGACCAACAGGCAAGGTCGTTGTGCGCCGGCTATCCGCAACATGAATCATGAAGTTATATAAAGTACACATTAGTTGCATCTTAAAGACGGGGCAAGTTGTCGTGACGCGAAACTTGGCGCGTCTCCCGTCCACCTGAATGACACAAAGGTATTTTGCCACAGTCTCACGAGCTTTATTTATCAGCAACGCACCAAACTTGTCGTCACACGACTACATTAAATAGTAACCTGAAACTGAATAGCTTTCATTCGAATGACACACCCAAAAGTTTACCTTGCTTTCAGCTGATGGTACAGCGCGGTACATCGCAACACAAGTTTCGTTTTGTTCGCTCCCGAGTCGCACGCGTGTAGTCCGTACCCATACCCTACCTAACCCACGGTCCAAAGTTCAGTGTTGCTCCTGATCTTGCAGCATTTTCAGGGCTGATTTCATCCACTCGTCGTTGACCCAATCCTGATGCTGTTCATAGGCCGTCATACCTTGGTATGCACATGCAGAGGTACTTCCCAGGCGATCGGCAACCTTGACCTCGCCGGCCTCCGCTCCTTCCCACTTGGCCAGCATCTCCTTGAAGCTCTCCAACTTAGGCAGAGTACTCGCAATCCTTTCAAGAGCGAGAGGACGTGTCTCGACCACTCCTGGCGGCTCGACATCCAGAAAAGAGGAATCCGGATACTGGGCAACCACTTCGAGCGGAGCGGCCATGACACCGTCAAAGTCAATGACACCAACAATGTCAAAGTCTCCATTGACGAGAATGTTGTGCGCTCCGAAATCGCGATTTGTCAGTCGAAAAGGGCCATCCTGCTCTTCCCCCTGGATACGCAACAAATAGTTGAGAATGGACGGCAGCATGAATGAGGTGCTTTCGCGTAGATAATCTTCCGACACCGATTTCAGCAAGTAACTGGTAAGGGCGTCATAGTAGTCGGTGGATGACGACCACGGACCCTGGCCGGTTTCCAAATCTTTTCCGATAAAGAAGTCGTCTTTATCCTTGTTGTAGTAGAGACAACCTATCTTTGGGAATTGGAGTGAAGCAACTATGGCCTGAATGCGGGCCATTTGGTCGCGAAACTTGCGGTCTTGCTCGGGGGTGCCAAAGAGACCATAAGCAGAGCCCTGTAGTTCGCGAAGCTCGGACGCAACAGTGCCATGGATGTAGTCCATTAAAATAAAGGGAGAGCCTACCTCGTTGTCTGGCGAAGAGTCGTAGGCATGAACCTCGGGGATCGGGATCGATGTCTTCAGTCTGGTTGTGTTAGTTGCCTGGGCCGAGTAGACAATATCAAGGAAATTTGCATCTACCTCAAAAACTTGATGCTTGCAGCTTCCATTTCTATGGCTTGCGAGACTGGCAGGGCCCCACGGTCAGCAACACCATCGATGATGGGTGGGAGCCGAACTCTTGCTACCCAGCTGACGCCGTCGTCAAAATCCAGCCTCCGAACAATATTGAAGTTCCCTATCGCGAACTTGTCCGCGAAACTGCAGGAAATACCTCCCCTGAGTCGGGAAGCAATAGCAGCCACCGCTCCCCATTTCACAACTTTGAAAAAGTCGGTGGCGCGAGTATTCCACGCACTGCCAGGCTCGTAGTTACCAGCACCAAGCCACGCGTCGCTCCCAATAGTACGAGGAGTTTCTTCAGTAGACATCCTGCTGTTTCTTTTTGACCTTTTCCAAGGTTAGTTTCAAGGGGAGCTTGGTAGCAAGGTGCATATGGGGAGGTTTAAGTATGTCTGGTGGCTCGGCAGCCGCACGCGCCTTTGTTCTCTGTGCCGCTCAAAAAGGCGGAAGGCGGCAGTCATTCATGTACATGTTGCAGCACATTATTGTAACACCAACAAGGTCCTGATTCATACCTACGGACCCAGCGCAGAGTCAATCTGCACCCAACAACGATCATATCCAGCCCCCCCTGGTTTAAAAGCGCTGTTTTGCGCGCCCAAGTCTGGCTTTCACGCCGTCAAATTTTGGCGCTCAAAAAATGATTCACACATTTCCATTCCAGTTCAACTAACTCTGTTCTCTAATGTAATATTGAAGCGCCCTTCTCCCCCTTCTAAAAAAAAGCCGCCAGGAAACCCCATGCGCTATGCCATACATCAAGCCATCGCCATGAGGAAAAAACCCGCCCATAAAAGTAAATATATGTTTCTATCATGCAAGTAAAATATGCAAACGAATACGCCGCACTCAATGTCCCTCTCTGGCCCTTTCAGGCCAACAGTGAGCAGGGACACAAGCGCAAATCTCCACCATCCACCATCCACTACTACATTGTTCAACCAGCTCACGTCGTTACTCGAGGGCTTGTCTGAACCTTATTTTCCAAAAATAATGAAAGGGGGTCTCACGAAGAGGTTGAGGGATCATCGGGGAAGCGAATTTCACGCCTCACCGAGGGCTTTGGCTCAGAGGCAGCACCCTGCGATAAGTCTTGTTGCGACCCGGACTCAATGTCCCTACGGCGCTCTCGCACAGAGTGTGTCCGTGACGAGGTGCCGGTCACGCCGCCATCACGTCCCTGCCCCTGGTCATCTTTGATGCCAATGATGCGGCGGCCGAGTCCGGGCAGCACCGGTCTGTCGCTCTGTGCGGCGTCGCTGACATCGCCGCTCAAGGCACGACTCAGCGTGCGAGGAGCCAGGTAGCCCAACTTGCCGAGAGGGATGGACAAACCGTGCACCACGACGCTCGCCACGACCATGAACCAAACCACCACAGTCACCGTGTCCCGAAGATTCTTGACATCTTCTCGGGGAACTCCATTATCGTCACTCAAATGTCTGTCAATGAACTCGTTGGCAATGTACAGGTAGAAGATGGCCGACACGCCGATGGGGCCGAAGAAGCCAACGAAAATGGCATTTCGGTGACTGTCAATTTGATGGATCCATTTATGCATACCATAGATCCAAGGAAGGCGACGAAGCAGCAGAATGAGAAACCCAAGCGGGATCACACGGGAGAGCGAGGTAAAGTCATTATGGGCAATGAGGTCCCAAGGAATGACAGCACCATACCACAGGAAGATGGAAACATTGAGCAGCATGTCGACTGTGGGCTGTAACGAGTCGTCTTTAGTCTCCAGTCGGAACCAATCGTCCCACGTAAAGGCGTTGCCAGCGACAAAGCAGGCCAAGACGTCGTCAGTGCCGATGAGACCGCAGGTGCCGAGAACAAAGAGGCCTAGCGAAATGGCAAAGACGAGGAAGCTCTCACGATCGACCCAGCCGCGGTCCTCTGCCCAGTGAAGCAGATACTGCCCAAGCAACCCCACGACAGCGCCATAGGCGATGCTCATGAGGATGACGTAGGCCCACGTCAGCGCGAACCAAAGACCCATAGCTTGGCCGGCACCACCGTCCGCGGGGTTCGCGCCGGCGCCAATGTACTTGATGAGGTAGAGGGCGAGGAACAGCCAGGGGTATCCGAGGCCGTCGTTGGTGCCCGACTCGGCGACGATGAGGTCCTGCAGCTCTTTGGGGATGTTCTTGTCGGCAAACTTGCCCTTGACGATGACGGCGGACAGGACGGGGTCGGTGGGCGTGACGCAGGCACCGACGGCCATGGCGTGGAGGAAGCTGGGCGTGCCGAGCAGGCCCCAGACGAGCAGGCTGGTGGCGATCCACATCATGGCCATGCCGGGGCCTACGAGGAGTAGCACCGACTTGGCCTCGAGCCACATGTACTTGCTACGCAGCTGCACGCCGGCGAGGACCAGCTGGACGGCGAGGACCAGTCGGGAGAAGTCAAGGGTGATGGCGTCAATGTTGGCCTCGCACTGCGTCGGAGAGAGGTCATTCTGAGGGCAGCCAGCGTATTGCTCGGGGCGAATGAATTGGGCACCTTTGGGACCAAAGGCGACGCCAATGACCATGGAAATGACTACATGGCGAGGTTAGTTTCAGTTGAATTTCTTAGTGCGTTTGCAAAAGAAAAATATGTGAATTTGTCCTCCATTCTTCGTCCCTGCTTAATTCTTGGCAGCCTGTCCCGCCAGCTCTTGGCGATCGGACTCGGCGGTGGAGTGACAGCCACGGAAAAAAAAAAGAGGCGACAAGGAAATCGACTTACGAGCTTCCGAGAGGTAAAAGTGCTCCTTGAGCAGGTATGAAACGAGCCCAAAGAGGGAAATGAAGCCACCCAGCAGGGCAGTGACGACGTTAAAGTTGGTCGGGGCAATGGGCGCGGCCCAGATGGGGAAGATGACTCTCGCCATGGTTGGGTCAGGTGGCGGTGTTTGCGCCCCGCGGGGTGTCGACTTGGTCGACTTTTGTGTTGCGTCGATGCCTTGTTGCTCCCACTCTGCCAAGGGGATGGTGATAGGTGGGATGTGATTGAGTGATTGAAAATCAGAAGAGCGAGAAGCGACTACTTCTCAACGACGGGTTCGAGCCGCCCACGAGCTACTGTTAGCAACGCTGAGCAGGAGCAACAAGGACAATGACGGAAGTCGACGGGATCTGGCTAATCATGACGCGGTGCCGAGCGGCCAGCATAGGTGCAGACTTTTGAAAGATATGAGTCGAGAGCCAAAGAGCCAAAGACGAAATCAAATTTTCAATAAACAGAGATAATGTGTGAGGGTTCGTCGAGGTATTGCGAGTGTGGATGTGCGCATGCAGGAGGTTGCAGATGCAAAGGCAAAGTCGCAGAGAGATTCTGGAGATGATGGTTCGTATCTGTGGGCCACTGGGGCTATCAGTAAACAGGTCGGCATCGGACGCCCTCAACGAAACATCAACTACTCATCGACTACCTTGGCGCACAGTAGCTCCCGGTAAATCAATTGCTTACACCGTTCCTTGTTACGGATTACTGGTCAGCAAGTGAAACCTACCAGGTAGCTACCAGTTAGGGATACTCTGAAGCCGACTTATTCCCATCAAGCAAAATTAGCGGGAGACATGCAGCAGCAGGCATGCATTGTATGTGCCAGGGTACCTAGTAGGTATCTGCAAACGGCACAACCACTCACTGTATGGTTGGTTGCTTTTTTCTAATATTTTTCCATTGATCTTCCTTCTCTTTTGCTTTTTGAATCCCGGTTTGCAACCACAATCCTATCCCAGGTGGAAACAATGCCCGTCGAAATCGACCACATCATGGCCCAACTCCCCACCATGCTCGACACCACCCGCCATGCAGCAGCGCATGCTATTACGCAGCTCTCTGCACAAGCATGACCTCTGCAGGCGGAAATGAGAAACCGGGCGTAGTCCCTAATCTGTGCGTATCTTCTCATTAATTCTGTAATAACTCCACCGTGTATGGACAAGTCCGAGTCCTTTATCCTGTCTGTCCCAGCCAGCGAGAGGGAGCGTCGCTCGATTTTACCTTCCTAGCTCGATTCCATCTTTCATTCTATTTCTGATCCCGTTCATCGAGTAATTCACTGAGACTGCTCTATTGCAGTTCTTTAGGGAGTTAGGAGGTTCACGGCTCATGCATAGGTACTCGGAAGAGCTCTCGTTGATCAGGAGCAGGGTACGTCGGACGCATCCGGTACAGATATGCATGTAACCTTTTTATTGCCTTTCCACTTGGATCTTGTGAAATCTAATAAGAAGCAACTCCTCGGCTTGGAATTCCGACATGACATCCAAAAAAAGGGCTCTAACAAGAACCCGAACTGAGCATTCTCCTACTATATAGCTTAGCACAAGCCAGACAGACATTCATTCCATTGCCTTTACAAGCATTTTCCCCCCAAGGACAACAAAGGAGCCGCTCATCAAAAACCTTTCGGTCCTCCAAACGGAAGCAAGTCAAACACCAGTACATTAGAATTTTTCCTCCGTCCAGCACCGCCCCAGCGTCTACCCTTATTCCCGACGCAAGAGCCGCAAGCCGCCCAGCCCACACTTGAGTTCGCATGAGTCCCCCCCTCCCGTTCACCATAACTGCATTTTCTCTTATTTACATCTTCGCACCCCGTACGGCCAGGGCATCCGCCGCCTGATTCCCCCGATCGGCGGCGTGGCCCTTTACCCACTCAAACTGCGTCGCGCCGCCCGCCTTGCCGCGCTCCTCCATCTTGGCCAGCACCGCGCGGATGATGTCCTGGTTCTTGACAGGCTCGCCCGTCGCCGTCAGCCAGCCCTTCTTCTTCCAGCTCGCCGCCCACTGCGTCACGCAGTTGATCGAGTACTGGCTGTCGCTCACAATCTTGACCGTCTTGGCCACCGGGCACACCTGCAGCGCACGCAGCATCGCCATCAGCTCCGCCCGCTGGTTCGTCTGCGGCTCGCCCTCGAGCCGCTCCGAGATGTTGCGCGCGTCCCCCACCGCGAAGAAGACGCCCACGCCCGCCCGCGCGCCGGCCTTGCCGTTGGCCAGGCTGCTGCCGTCCGTGTACACCCGGATCAGATCCTCCTGTACCTGCGGGAACGCGAGCGGTGGCGGCACCCGCGTCGTCTTGGTGGGCTTCTTCACCTGCGTCGGTATGTCGATCGTCGTCCCGCTGGCCGTCGTGGCCATCGGTCGTTCGCCGAGCGCCATGACGGCTTCCATGCTGCCATGTTCTCGGATGTAGTCGACTGCTTCGGCACGGCTGTTGAATCGCTTGTACTTTGGTCCCTTGACGCCCTTGATGGCTTCCGCCGCGTCGTCCCACTCGTTGAAAATGCCTGTGGGGTTGCCCACCGCAACTGCGTAAAACTTGGCCGGCCCTTCTGACGGGGTCGCGACCTTCTTGCCAGCCGCGAATGCTTCTGCGTCGGACCTTGAAATGAATGATCGAACTGTAAAACCAGCAGGAGATTTTGTGTTAGTGACCGTCAAGGGCTATAGTGCAAACAAATAGCGACGCTATCAAGTGGTCCCCACGTACACAGTGCTCCTTTGAACCCGGCCGTCTGTTGTGCGCACTCGGCGTAAGTTGTGTAGACGCCGGGTCGGAAGCCGACCTGCACGGCGTAAAATTTTTGCACGTTGTCCGTCTTTCTCTTCTTGGAGGCGGCCGGCGAAGCTGCGGACGGTGCCGCCAAAGTCGACGTCGGCGCTGCCCGCTTTCTGTTCATCATGGACGGTGGGAACGTGAGCGGCGGGGGGTGTCGGCGGCTCGCAGTCGTGGTGCCAAGGGCTCGTCGTTGTCTGGTCGTCGTCTCGGAGGCAGGAGGGAAGCAGCTGCTCAAATAGACCGACGCGGGCGTTCGGTGCGCAATCGGCCGCGAAAGGTATCGTGATGTGCAGTAGGGGCGACAAAGGGAGGAGGCGGTTTGCATTGATTGCTGGGCAGGTGGGTGGGAAGACGACGCGTGAAGGAATGATGCTGATACCGGGGAAAATGACAAATGGCTACACAACTGCCATTGTTCTTGAAACGAGAGTGGTCAAGCGATCGTCTTGTTTCCGTATGGTAGCGGCACGGTCGTCAGAGATGTGCAACTGCTCAAAGGGCAGAAATTGTTCAATCCCCAAAGGTTAACAGTTTGTGTGGGGTGTTGGACTCTTCAGAAACGCGAAGGCTTTTGGCATTGGCATGGGCCTGTCTTGCTTGGCAAGCGTTAGCAGGTAAAAAGTGGCGGTAGCCCGAGGCGCCCCGCGCTGCCAGTTATTTAGAGGGCAGCCCAGTCAGCGCCGGCTTGCCAATACCGGATGGCCGTGAATGGGAACTTCATCCTTCATAAACCATGCAGCTAAACGATTTCACCCGCTTCGTGTGCTGCTACGCCATCACAGAACAGTCTCACAATTGCACAGATTCAATAGTACAACATGGTGTTTTTCATTAAGGTGGTTTACAAGTTTCATAGCTCCAGCAATTCCTCGTCCTCGCTCCAAGAAATAGTCACTTCCCAGCGTCAGTTGTATACACCTTGCGCGGCAGAACACAAAACCCCATACTCTTTCAGTGACGGCCTCACCCGGCACTGTAGCATTCCTTGGCCCAGCAGGGACGAGACCTCTCCGCAGCTGTAGCGTGTAAAAATGGGATATTTAAATGCTTGGGCAGCAGTAAGCGTAGTAATAGCAATATGTATGGTGCGCATAGCCGCAATGTCCTTCAAACGGAGCCAACGAGTCTGGCATTGACCCAGGAGGCGGTAATCCTAAACATGAGTGGTCGGGTCCAAAGTAACCAGGTCAAAATTAGCATCTTGCTCCAGCTCCCAGGCCAGCAAGCTCCAATTGAGCTCTCGCCTCCAGAAGAGACCCAACCCTCTTCCGCCTCCGTCAGGACGATCGTCTGAACTCAAGCCGCCAGTTCTTGGCATGTGGTTGCAGAATACCACCTTGCCCATTCTGGCGTGAAGGATAGCCATTGAACATGCCACGCAAGGTTCATGGGTCATGTAAAGCTCCAGCCCATGACACAAATAACCATCCTTGTTCGGGTGTTCTTGCTGGAAGCATTCCTTTTCGGCATCGAGAATCGGTCCGTCGTGGAAAGCGTCAAACTCTAATATCGGTAGGTCAAGAGTCAGATCCATTGCTTTCCTCTCATGACGAACAAGCTTTTGCGCGACCATGCTGATAACACGAAGGACACAGTGTGCCATGGGATTTCCGACGTCTCCAAGCAGAGGATCCTGGCGCCAGCGCGCATCACCTGCCACAGCAACCAGTTGGGCACCATTCTCGTCTCTCTGTACAACGACTGCTCCAATGGCTTCTCCCATCCCACACCGTTTGGCGTCGTCCGCCACGCGCTGGGCCAACGTCATCCACATGGTCGCATCGTCCTTGATTTCGTCAGTCCCTCTGGCCACTATGCTAGGGTGCGGTCCCAAGGGGTTGTTCTTGCGATACACCGTAGGCCAGAATTGTGAGGACCACATGGCAGCCTGAATCTGCGAGGTCGGAGCCACAAGCGGGATAGGGACGGTAGAGATCCAGATATCCAGTCCTTCGAGTAGACTGACTGTGGACAACGTTTTCGCCAGCTCCTCTTCTGTGGTATCTGAGGTTTCGCAGCACATGATGTAAAGCCACATGGACTTTGCAAAGTGGATTGAGCGGCCTTCGGCGGTTTCGTTCATAAACTTCGTCTTAAGATGTGCAGGCAAGTCTGCGGGCTTTGCGCATCCTCGCAGATGAGGTAGGGGGTTAGCACTACCACCGGATCGCGTAAGACGCAAAGCACTGGTATCATAGTAAGCAGTTGTCTACAGAGCTTTCTCTTCGATAGTGGGCAACTCACGCAATAACTTCAGCAGCAGCCTTTGCTGGAACTCTTGTGATGAAAGCCGGAACAATTGTGTGGTCTTGTCGAACTTCTTGTGTTGTCTTAAGGGGAATGAGAACACCGCTCTTGTACTGCAGGGACTTGATATCGTCGACCAAGGGGTTCGGCAACACGCCAGCGGTGAATTTGGATGCTGGTAGAGTGGCCACTGAGGCGCTGTGCTCCAGATCCTGGTCCATGCCGTCTCCGTTCATGTCGAAGGTCACTTATGACGGTGGGATTATCTCGTAGAGTACTCAGAAGCACCACTGCAATAGCCCGGGAAAACTTTGAATTCTCGACGGCGATGCAGCTGATGATCGGTGTCTTTGGTTGGGCAATGACGAACGACTTGGGTAATCTTCCTTCGCGGGAGCGGCCTGGGGGGTGCTGTTTTTGAAGTAGCCTAAGCTCCTTTCCGTTGCCAGCCTCCCGGTTCGCTCTGCTGCAGCTGCAGCTGCGGCATACGAGAAAACAGCAGTGTAACTGGAAGGAGTGCTCCCGATGGAGCCTGTCGCTCTGTTGTGCTCCTCTGTGGCTGTCCGGGAGACAAGTACTAGGTAATGAACTCGCGATTTCGTTGCCAGGCTCCGGGATGCAGGGTCGAGAGAGGCGAAGGAGGTGATGCGGGAGGAACAATTGATGCGTGTGTTTGCGTCTGTAAGAGACACGACCTGTTGTGCTACAAACAGAATTTTTTCCAGGCAGGCACCCGGCAAGGATGCGAGAAGAGGTAGCGGCACCACAGCTTAGAGCATCTCACTTGAAGGTCTTATCTCTTCAACTCGTATAGCAGGCTGCACAAGGGCGGGAAAATAATATTGCCTCCTGGGATTGTTCATGAACCGAAGATTTGTGATGTTGTGAAGGAAATTTTTGTGGAGCTGGCAGCGAACCACGATGGTCCGGATTTTGAAAGGCTGGCTGGTGGGTGGCAGATGCCGCAACGGTCAGGGATGGTAGCAATAAAGAAGGAATGCAATGTTTGCGGAAATCTGCCGTCACTATTACGGTAGGTTCAATTGGGTTGTTTTTTGGCTGGGTATGAGGGGGTTCATCGTCTTGTCTTGGTCGGTTGAGAATGTGAGCCGTGAGTTGGCTTTTCATCGTGGCTTACCCTACACTGCCTGGTGACATTATTGGAGAAGACTTGGAGAACAGTTTGACGTCATTTCTTCCTATGGATGTGATTGAGATGGGTAGCCTTAATTTATTACTCGTATCAATGATTTCTGATGTCGAATCATTTGACATTGGTGGTTTTCGAAGCAAGCCTGGTGGCAAATTTTACACGCTGCGTCTCACAACGCATCGAAACGCAGCTCCGTGGCACGATGGAGAGGAGAAGAAGACAGATGGTAGAAAATTGAACAAAAATAGCATGAGAGAATATCGACAAGCAAAAATCCCAGAGGTGATTGTCTGACTCTGAAAAAGCACATGTAAAAAATACATCTGACGTCTGGGCAATGCATCACCTATTTTTAACGGCCACGTTTCGATATGAATGGTGTGGAGGAGAGGAGATCTGGCTACATAATTGCTGGGATGATGGCATAGTCTGATTCTCGATCAAAGCTTGAGCTTATCTACAGTGGTTTGGGTGCGTGGTTATGTGCTGGGGTTGCAACTGGTATGTCCGAAGCAGGGTGACCAAGAGCCGCATTGCAGGTCTGACCGTGTTTCGTACTCGCAGCGCATGGCAGGGACGACCCAGCCGATAATTTAAGCATAGACTCATGTCTTATATTTTATTTTTGCTGCATGCACAGATCACAGAACAGCACGAGCACGGGTGGGAGGTACCGGCAACCCGGGACAATCAAACGGGACAAGTTTGTTGAGGGAATGGCGAGTGTTTCAGCCAAAAAGGGGCCAAGTTGGTGAGCAGGTATTGCAGTAGTTGATGAATCTCGGCGGCATTGAATCGCGGCGGATACGGCCAAGCCGAGCTGGGATTGCGACGGGGGGGCATCTCGGGTGGCTCTGATGATGGAAAAGCAAAGATGTGTTCGGCACTGCCCGCGAATTGCCCTGGCCGCTGCCGTCCGCAGGTGGCTGAGGACCGAGATGGATGGGACGTTGCAAATACGAAAGCCACGACTGAAAGGCCTTTGCACGCCCCAACTTGCTCTAGCTCAGCCTCAGTAACTATCATGTACCTGTAGGCAGTGATGGCTTTGCATGTATTCACTTTGTCAGCGCGACTTGATTGATGAAAGCCGTCTCCACTGATAAGGCAACTCGAGCTGCAAAACATGGGTGACAAGGATGTGTCTTTGGGCTAGCAGTTGGGGTTGTTATCTCTGAGCAATAGAGGATCAGGGACAGGCCGCGCCAGGCGCTGGCTGGGATGGACTTGTTTATTAGACATGCGGAGTAATAGGATTCGCTAGATGGGTGCCGTCAAGCACATCACACATATGTGCCCGTATCGAGGCGCTCGCATTACCGATGTTGCAGCCAACCAGTCAGCCTCTGGTCCTCTGCCCCCCCCTCACAACGGACTAGGCAAGGTAAGCCGGGCTATGAGGGGCCGTTGGAGAAGGGCGCGCAGGTGGATATGAGCGAGAGCCAGTTTATTATAATGGCCCGATTTGAGGCGTGACGGCGCCGCGAGTTGACTGCTTCATCGGCTTGGTTATGTCCGCTATCGGCATCTCGCAACGCGGTGCGAGACATGCTGTTAGTGCAAGTAACCAGCCAACCCAACCATCCCGGGCAAGCCATTGCTTCTCTACGTTGGGGGACATGACGTTGCGCGGGATTTAGCAGCGCGGGGAAAGAAAGCAGTGGGCAGGATGGAAAGGATCTACAGATAGTTACTTGGAAAAGAGACAATATGATTTGGCCAGCTGATGAGTGGTAAGGTTGTCGGCGCGCGACCGAACTCGAGACAGGTCTTGCACAAACGACGCTGCAGACAGTAATATGGGCGGAATGTGAACAAGCAGAACCTGTAGCTTACGAATTCCAAGTAGCAGGTTCAGTAATACCCCAAGATGTCCGAGGCGTGGGGTGCATACACTGACATGTACACTGATGTATTGTGGGTGTAGTAATACATCTTCAAAGATGCTGATGGTGGGTGAGATGACGGGGTGAATGTCGTTTCCCATCTCGGCAGTATTTATTAAAAGGGAAAAAAGAGGTCGCTCGTTTCGGCGTCTGACAGGATATGAAGCAGGACGGAAAACGGGATTCAGCAGGCTCTCGCGATTCGCCCGCGGGCTTGATCTCACGTTTCCCCGTGCCAAGGAATTTATCTTTTTTTAAAGAAGAAAAGAAGGCTTGTGCGAGCATCAGACGAGCCACACAACCTGCGACGCGATCTGACAAGCGTTTCTGTCTGGTTGGAGCGTGAAGGCCGCTAGGTTGTTAGTGTGGGTGGGAGGAAGCTGGTCTGTATCTCAATCTGCGACCGGGAGGAGACATGACAGAGTGTGGATCAGAACAAGAGCAAGCTTTAAAATAATAAGAGGGAGAGCGTTACATGGAGGGCGGCAAGTGGATGTGGACAAGTCATCAAGTCATTGACGGACGGGACGGATTCGCTGGTGAATGAGTCTTGACTCTTGGGCACTTGGAGCGAGACATGACCCTACCTGTACATGCCTGGTACAAATCAGGCCCTGGTGGTATGCGAGCCGGGCTTTTTGTTCTAAATATGTTGCAGTGCGTATTCGTAGGCGGGATGGAATAAGAATAAGGTTGGCCTATGCTAATGCGTGTACCGTGCACCCTGCCCCTTGCACCCTGGGAGGGTTAGTCACTATTACAATGCTGTGTGTAAAAGGAGTAAAAGGAGTAAAAGGAAGCATTTTAACAAGTCAAAGTCAGTATCCCGGGCATGCAAGGGTTCAAGGTCGGTCTGCACTGTAATCGGCAAAGGACAAGAGCGAGAAGGAGCATGGCCCGGCCAATGCGCCGAATTGTGGCTTGTGCATGATGGTGTGGTGCCAAGTTAGAAAGCTTCCATTGAACTCGGTGTGCGGCTAGTTTCTATTAGGTTGCGTTGAGTTGATGGGGTTGAGTATGATGACGATGCTGTTTGTGGTGGTGTGTGGTGTGTGTTAGTTGGTTGAGAGAAGCTGGTGGCGGCCTCATTAGCCCTTGGGAGTACTCAAGTAAGGTAATACTCGAAGCCCTCCCTCCCCCAACTTGGCGCGGGGAAACTTGTACGGGGGGGTTTTTTTTTTTTTTTTTTTTTTTTTTTAAGCTTGCGTATGTTATATATTCTCAACCGTCTTGCCACCCTGATTTGACACTTGTGCCATCTTTTTTTATCCTCTGCATCTCTCCATCTGTCCCTCGATCTTTGCTGATCCTTCAGGTCTGGTATCTTGCAGTGTTTCAGCGCCGTCACACGTCATACTGCATTGGTTGTCTAGTCGCGCTTGGCAGCGACAGATTTGACTCGGGGCTATTTCCTCTTGCCTTGGAGAAGGATACGAATGAGATAAAGGGCCGACGACGACGACGAATCCTGTGCCAGAAGAATCCATCCTCTCTCGTCTCATTCTCGCACACAAGCAAACAACGAACCCTAAAAAATTCATTGGGGGGCTTATTACTTTGACGGATACCCAATTGTTACCCGGTCCGATATCTCGAGTCAAGCGCCCCATTTCGGCGATTTCTAGGCGTCTTGCAGCAAACCAAACCAAACTCGCCTGTTTATTAGCAGTGCCAAGTCGCCTAGAAAAAAGGACAGAAAACCCCTCGCTCACTCGCTGGGGAAACAAACAGACAAGAAAGCAACCAAGCCTTCGTCTTCGCTTTTCACTTTGGACAGTGGGGAGAAGTTCCCCCACCCAGTCAACGAGGGCGCGCCGGTTTCGCAGCTTCTCCAATTCTGTGGAATTGACCATCAAAAGCAGCGTCAGTGCCGTTCATCCATTTTTTCGAGTTCATTAGTGCGGATACTAACCTGCAGGTAGGTATTGACAGTGAGCCACAGTACTTTCTCAGTACCAACGCCATCAACTGCAAACCCTCTCAGCCCGGACCACTGTTGTTCCCCTCACTACGGAACCCCCAACAACCCCTACCTCAAACCCCTACAATCCGCTATCTCTCACCGAAGCCTCCGCTGAATCCGCATTCTTCGGTACCGTCGGGGTCCCTACGCCGACTTGCTGCGACCACCCAGTCATCAATGATATAGCAGCAACACTCTTAGATCCTCCCGCCACATTCGCCAGCCGAACCTTTTTTCTATTTCTTTTTTTTAGGCTTCCTTTTTGGACCACTTCTTCTTTTTTGGAGCCCGCTCCACCCGCCCCAAAAATGCCTTCAGCAGTTCCTGTGGCCCAAGCTGGTGTGTAACCCATCCCATCCTCCTTTACCTTCACTCTTTCTACTTGCCTACCCAACTACCTACTTGCCTCTTCCATTCTCGGGCCTCGACCAAACTCCTTCGCTGTCTTCTACCCATCATTTTATCCTTGACGAGACTGTTTCTTTTGCATTTCTACGGGCACTCTTTATCTCGCCGTCTTCTGACACGTCTCTCTCCACTACAGACGCAGCACGACGCTTTGCGCAACAATCATCTCTGGCTAAGCTTGCGATGAACAACCATCTCGGTTCCTCGCCACCACACTCGCGATCGCCCACCATTTCTGAACCCGAGCATCAGCTTGCCGTTCAGCACCTCGCCAGCGATGTAGCCCTCCCACAGACGCTTCCTCCCACATCTGCGCCATCTTCCGCCATGGCCGCCGTACTGCGCGGCACCCATGATTTGACTGAGACGCCACCCTTTCCACGCAGTGTTGGCTCGACTGCGCCCAGCTCTCCACGAATGTAAGTCAACCCCCATACAGAGGATGCATCAAACAATGAAATTCCTCGTCGCATTATACTTGGCTTCGCAACCATTATTTTTCCACAGGCTAACTTTATGCGTAGCCCTCCCTATCGTCAAAATTCAGGAAGTCAAACGCCTCGAGTCCGCCCTCACGCCACTACCCTCAACATCCCTGGCATGACAAGATCCCGCGTCTCCCCCGACGGTCGAATTCCCCAGCGCGATGTTGCCGCCAAACTCGTCATCATTATGGTTGGTCTACCCGCCCGTGGCAAGTCCTACATCACCAAGAAGCTCCAGCGCTACCTGTCATGGCAACAACACGAGTCAAGAATCTTCAATGTTGGAAACCGACGCCGCAACGCCGCTGGCATCCGCGTCTCCGTGCAGCCAAAACTCAGTCCAGAACCGGCTCGACTCGACGGGCCCGTCCATGCCGCCTCCATCCTCCTCAACGGCCATCCTGCCCCCATGCCCATGACCGGCGCCGATGATACCCCCACGGATCTGGATCTGAACAACACCGACGACCAAATGGTCCAGTCTGCCAAGTTCTTTGACCCCAAGAACGCAAAGGCGGCTGCTTTGCGCGAACAGGTCGCGATGGAGACCCTCGACGAGCTGCTTGACTACCTTCTTATCCAGGGAGGCTCTGTTGGCATCTTTGATGCCACCAACAGCACCATCGAGCGCAGACGGCACATTGTCGACCGTATCAGAGACCGCGAACCCAAACTTGGAATTCTCTTCATTGAGAGTATCTGCAGAGACCCTCTTCTCCTCGAGGCCAATATGCGACTCAAACTTTCAGGCCCCGACTACCGCGACAAGGATCCCAAAAAGTCCCTCGAGGATTTCAAGAACCGTGTCGCAGCCTACGAGAGCGCATACGTACCGCTGGGAAAGTATGAAGAAGAGAACGATATGCAATACATTCAAATGGTCGATGTGGGCCGAAAACTCGTCCAACATAGACTGAAGGGTTTCCTCAGCGGGGGTATCAGCACCTATCTGTCTAGCTTCAACCTAGCCCCTCGCCAGATTTGGATGACGAGACATGGCCAAAGTATCGATAACGAACTCGGCAATCTTGGCGGCGATTCTCCTCTAACCGAGCGCGGCCACTGCTATGGTGAATCCCTCTACCGCTTCATCACCCAGAAGCGCAAGGAATGGATTATGGAGCAGAAGAGCAAGATGGCACAGGCCACATTCCCGCCGCTCCCTGGTGATAACACTCCGCCCTATCCTGACATGAACAGAGAGCTCGACGAGAAGAACTTTTGCGTCTGGACTTCGATGCTTCGCCGCAGTGCCGAGACTGCCGAATACTTTGAGGCAGACGACGATTATGATGTCAAGAACTGGGAGATGCTCAACGAACTTAACACTGGCCAGTTTGAAGGCATGACATATCAAGAAATTGCCACAAAGCATCCAGAGGAGTTCCACAAGCGGTCCGAGGACAAGCTCAACTACATTTACCCCGGCGTGGGCGGTGAAGGCTACCTGCAGGTTATCAGCCGTCTCCGTGACATGGTCCGTGAGATTGAGCGCATCACGGACCACGTCCTCATCATCGGACACCGCTCTGTCTGCCGTGTCCTCATGGCCTACTTTATGGACCTCACCCGCGACGATATCACCGACATGGACGTCCCCCTCGGCATGCTCTACTCCATCGAGCCCAAGCCCTACGGCATTGCCTTCCACGCCTACAAATACAACGAGGAGCAGGGCTGGTTCGACGAGCTTCCTCACTACAAGCCCCAGAAGGCGGCCCGCGGCACCGTCTAGGAGAAGTGTCACGCGGCCGCCACGACGGCTCTTGTTTCACGACGTGTACAACAACAACAATTAGACCCCAAAGCAGAATAAGGTCACACGATGGCGTTTTTTCTCTAAATTGGGATTGTGTTTTTTTTAGAGGATGGGGTTTCTATTTTTTACAGTAAGTTTTGACAAACCACACTGCGCAGCAACAGAAAAGGGAATCACAGGAAAAAGACCTTGCGACGCCGCATATGCAAAAGCACAATGCGATATACCCCAGAACGACTTTTTATTAGATTTCCCGCAACAGACCTGCGGGGAAAACCATCATGATACCAACGGCGTGTTTGCTTTTTCTCCTGTTTTCCTGGTTCTTTTGCAGCGAATTAGATTGGTGGGCGAGAACTTGTACTGGTACCTTGGGGGTGTTTTTTGTCTCTGTTTCTCTGTTTTTGACCCCTTGTGGTATGGGGCTGGGCACTCTTGTAGTGAAACCCATGATGATAATGATTGCGATTGTCTTGAGTTCTCCCTGTTTCTTTAGCATTTCATAGCTCAGCGAAAAAAATGTACATTATGAATTAGACCGCCACTGCGCTACGTTGCCCGGAACCATGGAGGGTGTGGTTAATAAGGTACTTCACGAAGTAGCCGCATAGGGCCAATCAAACAGACCATGATGTATAGATGTAGCTTCAATACGACAGACACTGCTACGCTGGGGCTTAGATAGACAACTCTTTTCAGAAACCCAGCTTACTTCACGCTTCGTTCGTCTCTAGTAGCGATACTGAACACTGTTAGGGACAATTTCGAAAAAAGCGAACAGGGAGCAAATCGCTTACTCTGAATTCGAGGTTCTCTTTGTCGGTCAGATCGTAGAACTCGCTGTTGCCTTGCTGCTCAGTTGTGGCAGCCAGTCTGTCTCTTCGTCTGTTCTCGTAAAAGTAGTAGCCCATAAGAGCAACGGTCAGCAGGCACGCCGCGCAGCTCGTCGCGACGATGGTGACCTTTGCCGGGATATATCTCGGCGCGTCCCTGTCTTGAAAAGTCAACGGGCCAACAATATTGCCAATTCCTACAAAGCAAGTCGTTAGTTCTCAACTCTCCCAGCATGCACAATACTCAAAGGTTGGAGATTACCAAACGACACGAGAAACATGGCGTTGACGGTCACCTTTTTCGTGTTGCCTGCAAAGTTGCAGGAAGAGTACGAGTAGAGGAGGGCCATGGACGATCCGATAAAGTTGGTCAGAAAGTTGCCCGTGAGCTGCGAGGGCATGTCGTCCCTCGCCGCAAACGCCACGAGCCCACCGCCCAGTACGCCTCCGCAGGCGAGCAGGAACACAATCCCGAGCCCGCTGGCGTTGAATCGTCCGCCGAACCAAGCGACCGCCAGCGTCGAGACGATCGCCACCGCACCGGACGCCACCGACAGCAGCGCCGACTCCTTGGACGAGAACCCGAAGCTCTCGATGATTGCCGCCTGGTACGTGGACACGGAGCCGTTTGGTATGTTGGACAGGATAATCACCAGGCAGATCAGCCACGTCTGCGGGTCGCGCAGGCACTCGAGCACCTGGCGCGCCTTGAAGTGCTTGTTCTGGATGCCCGTGCGGTTCGCGCGCACGCGCTGCACGGCCCAGAGCCGCTCCTCGCGCGTGAGGAACGCGGCGGTCATCGGGCTCGACGGCAGCAGCCACGCGGCGAGCACGCCGATCAGCACGGTGAGCAGGCCGAACACGAGGAATAGGATCTGCCAGGAGGCGAGGAGGCCGCCGCGGTGGAACTGCAGGCCGTAGGAGGCGAGCGCGCCGACGATCTGGCCGGCGCCGGTGGAGACGTACCAGATGCCGACGCGGAGGGGCTGCTCGGAGCGCTTGTACCACATGCCGGTGACGAGGATGAGCGCGGGCGCGACGACGGCGACGAAGCAGCCGAGGAGGACGCGGAGGGCGACCAGCGCGGCATAGTTGTGCGCACCTGCGGGAGGGGGGAAGAATAGCGCGACACCGAGTTAGCATGCGACACTGGTCTGGAATCTCTGACTTGAGAATGAGTTCCGGGGGCGGCTCATTTACCGGCGTTGGCGGCGACCATGATGCCCCAGAGGATGATGTTGGCGCCGAGGTACCGGGCGAGAGGCAGCCGCTGCATGAGGTATCCGGTGGGGAACTCGCACGCGATGAAGCTGATGTAGAAGATGGTGGCCAGCAAGGAGAACTGGTTGCCGGTGATGCCCGTGTCCTCCTTGATGCCCATGACGTTGGCGTAGTTCACTGCAAAAGTATCACGCCCGCGTCAGCGTTTCCAGCCCGTCATTGCGAGTAGGTTTCCACCATGAAAGCAATAAAAAAGTTTAAAAAGCTGGCTGCTCACTCAAGGTCTTGTCCAGATACTGCAAGAAATAGCAACAAGTAATGAGAGGCATGATATGCCAATCGATCTTGCGCAGGAGTCGCTTCTCGTCGCCTTCCGACATCGGTGGTATGTCTCCTTCGCTCCCAAGGAATTTCAGCGCCTCATCCACGTCCCTGGTGCCGATTCTCTTCGTTGGCTCTCCGTCTTCGAAGTCCATGTCGGCTGATATTTCCACAACGTCTCGAGCCATTGTGGTTGCAAAGAATCTAAAGACAGGCCCAGAACTGTAGATATTTTGTAAGTAGCGCAAGAGCAGGGCCGTGGTACACCGAATGATTAGCGAAAGCACCGAGGTGGACGGTGTTGTACTTTATAACGATTCACCCGGCGGACAAAACTGATCGCCGCTGTCCGTTGGTCGGTGATTCGAAGCGCGGTGTTCAGTTTTGTCTACCGCGCATGCGAGTAGATAAACGGCTGGGTTGGGGTTTCACGGCTTGCATCCAAATTCAGCTATAACGTCTCCCCCGCAATATGCTCTTATCTCTCTTGGGTGGGTGAATCGGACGCCACCCCCGCGTTCGGACCTCCGCGGGGGCCCGTGGGAAGGACTACGTGCGGTGTTGATAGGCATTCCGAGGGCGCCGAGCTAATGGTACAAGTCTATCAAGTCCGGGGGTTCACGAGTGGCGCTGATGTTGTTGGTCTTTGCGAGGTCGAATAGGAAAGCCATGGGATGATAGTCATCGCAACCAGCAAACACTGGATTGAGGACGCGTGGGTGGAGAGACCCGAGTGGGTATAGGCGGGATAGGATGGACGGGATGCAACGATGTACTATGCGGGGAATAATAAGAGAGTGCGTTATCAACATCGCAAGTAGGTCATAGCCGTTGTGGTTTGATGGTTGGCAACAGTCTGACTTGATCGCTAATGCACGGACAGTTGGTCCAACCCCCCCTCCTGGCTATCCTTTCGGGTGACCTCGCTGGAGCCGTTAACACCATACATCACCAGGGAATGCACTCTAATTCCTGACAGACTTTCAATATGGCCGTCACTACCGATCTCGCTGTTATGGCATATCAGGAATGCCCCGACTCCCACTTCGGCACCCGTTTCGCACCCCAACGCCTATTCTCTTCCTCAAATGATGCCGACCAGTACTTGGGTTTTCTGGAGCGTCCGTGCTCTTTTCCCTCTGAGCTCGGGGGCGGACGGAATCTTTGACATGTCGCTGACAATGAATAGCGGTTGTGGTCTGTGTCACGTAACACAAGCCCAGGAGCGCGCGTGCAATTGTTGGTTGACGCGACCTTTCAGACTTTGATTGGCAAAAAGTCCACCTGACAAAGAGGAAACGCACTTCTTCGATTCCATTCTTACTCACCCCCGAATTCGGGCCTTCAGGAACTCACATCACTAAGTGCGACAGTAAATGGCGACCACTCCTCGTCTCCGAGTTCCGGCCACGGCGCGCAAAGGGCACGGAATGGAAGACAACGCTTCCGGGTCTGCGTCCGGTCAAGCAGGACGCCCGGCTCTTCTCTCCTTCAATGAGATGCCGGAGTGGTTTCAGCAAGACAACAACCAGTGGATTCTTCACGGTTACCGGCCCATATCCGGCTCGGTTCGCGCCTCGTTCCGCAGTTGGTGCCATCTCCACAACGAGACGGTCAACATCTATTCCCATCTCATTCCCGCCGTTGTCTTCCTCGTCGGCGAGTGGCTCATCTTGCAGTACCTTACTGGCAAATATTCTAAATTTACTAGCACCGATTTTATTGCTTTCTCATGCTTCATGCTTACGGCTACTATTTGCTATACATTTTCGGCCCTTTATCATACGCTGATGAACCACTCTTGCGCCGTGGACCATTTCTGCCACCGACTAGATATGCTTGGTATAGGAATCTTTATCGTCGGCGATATTGTCTTAGGAGTATACCTGATCTTTTGGTGCGAGACTACGCTACGCAACATTTATTGGTCTATGGTTAGTTGGTCCATATACTCGGCTTTTCCTGTCCCAGGACTGTAATCGGATCTAACACCGCCTTGATCGAATTAGATTGGGGTCTTCGGGGCATTGACCATCATCACCAACGTCCATCCCAAGCTCCAGAGTCATAAGTATCGCCCTATGCGAACATTAGCCTTCGTGGCGACTGGCATGTCCGTTGTAGCGCCCTTGATTCATGGGCTCGATATATTCGGGCTAGACCTGATGAACAAAAAAGCCTTTACCTATACAATGGTGGCAAAGATAGGCTGCCTTCTATCTGGGACCGCGCTTTATGCAGTGAGTCTCCTATCTTGCCCATGCTGCAGAACAATCGATCCTAATGCACGCGGTTCGAAAGACGAGGTTTCCCGAAAGTTGGTGGCCTGGCAAATTCGACATGTGCAGCTCCCACTCATTCATGCATATTCTGGTGGTCTGCGCCGCCGTTATCCAGATGATAGGGTATCTGGAAGCCTTCGACTATGCTTACTCACATCTTACCTGCTCGGCCTCTTGAGTTACTACCTTGTGTAGAGCCTCCAGCACTGGGACGAGCGGCGGCCTTCTAACCTAGGTAGCGTTGTTGAAGATTCTGGTAGCAGGGATTAACATTCATAACGAAGGAGACAATACTTGCTACAGGGACCAAGTTTGGTCAGAAGTGATAAGAGTTGCGCCAGAAACGGGATAATGGCCATGTTGCCTTGTGACTGTGAAGGGGTGATTTTGAAGCCTTCGCAAGTCAATATTAGATAGGTGATAATAGGAATACCTAAAATATAGGATTGTCTGCCATTCGACAAATATGACAAGCAAACTACGGAACGAATTTGACGATGACCATAATTAGAGGGATTTATCGTATATAGGTAGAAACTGCTAACTTGCTGATACATACGACCATAGATAACAGAGAACTCGGGGTCCCGTCTGCTCCCCCATAGATAAGCTGTTAATCGGCAGATTAGTAGTTGGGTCGGTGACGACCAGCGAACACCGGCTGTTGTATGTCTTTTTTGCATTCTGCTCTTTTTTTTGCTGGTTGTACAGGCTTGCTCCAGAACGGCATGACGGCCATGTTGGCTTGCTGGGGTGGTCATGCAGCCTCGCCAGAAATGGCACGACGACCATGTTGCCTTGTTACTGTGACGGGGTGATTATGTAGCCTTCACAAATCAATATTGGGCAAGTGTGGAAAATATCATGCGGTAATGTTATAAGATTTTGCTCTATTACCAACATAGAAAAACGGAAAAGTGACCCTATGATATTACACAAATGAACGCCATGCCATGCAAATGATTCCGGAACCACAGCTCCCAATACTTGTCTCCCCCAGCAGCCTCCTACTCCAGTTACTTCTGCCTCGCCAGGATCATCTTCTCCCTTTCGCTCTGCCTCTTCTCGAACTGCTTCTTGGTGTGCTTGCGCTCGTTCTCCTCCTTGCGCTTGATGGACGCGAGCTCGACCTTCTTGATCTCGCCGGCCTTCTTGACGACCGTCGGCAGGTGGCGGTGGCGCTTGATGCGGCGAATCTCGGGCATGTGGCCGTAGCGCTCGACGAGCGCGCCGTTGTACTCGAGCGCCTGTCGCTGGCGGGCCGACTTGACGCCCTGGCGCGCGGACGCCTCGGCGCGCCACAGCCTCACGTTGCCGTCGTCGGAGCCAGAGAGGACGTATTTCGAGTCGGGCGTCCAGCGGGCGGCGGTGACGCGCTGCATGCGCTTGGTGTGGTAGACGTCGCGGGAGTGGCCGCCGTCGCGGCGCCAGAGGCGCACGGTGCGGTCCCAGGAGGCGGTGACGAGCTCCTGGCCGGTGGGCGCCCACTCGACGTCGGTGACGGCGGCGACGTGGTCCTTGAGCACGTTGAGGGCGCGGTCGAAGCGCCGCACGTCGAAGAGGTACGCGTTGTGGTCCTCGGACGCGGTGGCGAGGTGGTACGCCTCCATCGGCGACCAGGCGACGCGGTTGCTGGCAAAGCTAAGCACCGTCCGCGTGACGGGCGTCGACGTGCGCAGGTCGTACAGCACGACGCCGCGGTCCGCGCCGCACGAGGCCAGCACGGACGTCTCGACGGGGCTGAAGGACACGTCCGTTACCGTGTCGGTCGACGTCGGCCACTGCAGCACCTCGGGCGCCGCCGTGTGCCGCTCCAGGTCATATACGGCGATGGAGCCGCCCGACGCGGCCGCAAACGCGCCGCGCGCACGGTGGTGCGAGAGCGCGGAAAAGGCACCCTGGCCGAGCCACGAGGAGATGGGCGCCGAGCCGCTCGGCGTGTGCTGCGGGTCGAACAGCTTGATGGTGCGGTCCGCCGCGCACGTCAGCAGCTTCTGGTCGCGCGTCCACGCCAGGCCCTTGACGATGTTCTCGTGCGCCGTCGTGTGCCATGCCTCCTCACGCGTCGTCAGGTCCCAGACCTTGACCACGCCGTCGCCGCTGCCGCTCGCGAAGCGCTCCAGCGAGCTCGGGTCCTTGGCCATCGAGTACACGCCGTCGACGTGGCCCCGGCCGAGCTGCGCGATGAAGGGCGCCGCGTGCAGGCGCTCCAGTTTGACCGCATTGAGAGCCCTCTTGTACTCGCGCGCGCGCTCGAACGGGTGCAGCGCCGAGTCGAGGTTGCGAGACTGCTTTGGGGCGTCAGAGCCGGGAGCCTGCTGCGAGGCCACCGACCGGCTGATGGCCTTGATTTTCATGGCTGTTGGTAGTTCGGTCGTACGGTAGATGGATGTTTCCGAAAGAAGTCGGTAATGGGCGGTCTCTTGTTTTCTTCAATTATTATCACAAAAGTCAGCGTCCGGTTGGCTCATGCTGGTAGACTGATGGTGGTGGGATTGTCGATAAGGAAAAAAAATGTCTGATAAGATGGTGGTGTGGCTTAGTCATTTTCCGCCACAGTTGGTCGGCTTGAGGCGTGGCGCGCAATTGGCTTCGACAAAGGCAGGGCCAAGCCTCGTGAATCCTCAGCAGTGATCCACGAAAACCGCGATAACCCCTTGTGCGACAACCTTTTATCCGACAGCGCGCCAATTTTTCATCAGAGCCTCAGCTCCGAGAGACTATAACCGCGATTTCTCGACATTCTCCGCCCAATTGTACTGGCGCGCGTGCGCAACCTTCAAGATGGACGGGATGAACTATGAGCCGATGATGACGGACGAGGATTCGGAGCAGCCAAATGTTACGATTTTGGCGGTATGAGACGATACCAAAACCTTGAACGTTTTTTTCATTACTGATCAGAGGCGGCCTCTTGCCCACCCACTCACTAGGCCGATAGCACAAGGGTCGAGTTCGTCCTGTCCCGGACGAGCCTCGCCTTCGCCAACGCGCTGCGGCGTATCGTGCAAGCCGAGGTGCCCACGATGGCCATCGACCTCGTCGAGATCGAGATCAACACTTCGGTGCTGGCCGATGAGTTCATCGCGCACCGGCTGGGCCTGATCCCGCTTGACTCTAAGGACGTCGACGAGCTCAACTACTCGCGCGACTGCGACTGCGAGCAGTACTGCGAGCAGTGCAGCGTGCGGCTCACGCTGCACGCCAAGTGCACCTCAGACGAGAACATGAAGGTGTACGCGCGCGACCTCATCGTAGACGGGCGCCACGCGACGTCCATCGGCACGCCCGTCATCACGGACCCGGACGGCGTCGGTTGCCTGCTGGCTAAATTGCGCCGGGACCAGGAGCTGCGGCTCAACTGCGTCGCGAAGAAGGGCATCGCCAAGGAGCACGCCAAGTGGATGCCCACGTCGGCCGTGGGCTTCGAGTACGACCCGCACAACAAGCTGCACCACCTTGACATGTGGTTCGAGAACAATACCGATCCCGACAAGGAATGGTAAGTATACGGTTCATTTTCTGTCTGGGGGAACCTGTGAGAGGCTTGTACTGACTTTGCTCCCCCTAGGCCAAAGAGCAAGTATGCAGGGTGGGAGCCGGAGGCCAAGGGTGAGCCGTTCAACTACGACGCCAAGCCGGAAAACTTCTTCTTCGACGTCGAGACCTCGGGCAGCATGCAGCCCGACCAGATCGTGCAGAGCGGCATCCGCGTGCTGCAGCAAAAGATTGGAGGGCTGCTCAAGGGCCTCGACCCGCGCAAGTACGGCGGCGAGGAGGCTGGCGGCGGCGACTTTGACGGGCCCCGCAGCCCGGACATGAACTTGGAGGGCGGCACTACGCCCTGGCAAGACGGCGGCTACACCACGCCGTACGGCGGGGGCAACGCCACGGCATACGGCGGCGGGGGCAACACAGCCTACGGCGGCGGTGGTTACGGAACCGCGTACGGCCAGACATCTTGGTGATAACGGGCTTGGCAGGGTGCTGTGTGCAATCTTTCGGGACAGATCTGGGCCCAGGAGTTGTTCATCAGAATGGAAAACTATGGCGTTTTTGTTTACTGTTTCGAATGCTTTCTGGGGTGCTTTCATCTTCCTTCTCGTCTTAGTGGCTGATTGCTTGGAGCTGGTTTTCTCTTTCCTTTCTAATAACGAGGTTCAAGGGTTCTTGTACAGTAACGATCTAAAAAACGGCATATAGCAAATAGAGGTGGTCCTCGTACGACTCGTCGGGGCTGGCGTATTATCGTTACCTCAGTTGGTCTTGGTGTATCCAACGCTTGTAGCTAAGAGGTTCATGAAGAGATGAGGCGCGCAATTCCTGGCGTTCGCTACAAAATAAGTCTGATAATTAATTGGCGAAGCGTCAGTGATGGTAAGGTATTCATTGCTTTCGCCAGACTCTGGCCGACGTGAAACAGTGTGTCTGCTCTGCAGAACAATACAAGACATGTGCTCGAATGAAAAGTAGTCTCAAATCCGTATCCATATACATGAAGAAATCAAACGCCATCTCGAATGCTCCATTCTATAGTCCCATGCCGTGTTCTTTTTGCGTATCCAACCCAACTGCGGGCTCTACTCCTTGTCATCGTCAATTCCTTTGGCCGCTCTATACAGCTTGCGGTGCGCCTCTAAGAAGATGAATGTACAGATGGTATGCCTGTAGGTGATATTAGCTGGTAAGTAGGTTGCAGCGGATGGCCTTAAGTCACGTACGGTCCGAGTCTCAGGAAGCTGGGGACCCAGCCCTTGAACATCCAGCCCATGCCCTCAGCGCGAGAGACGTCGCGGATGACTTGCAGGACGTCCTGTTTGTGCGCGGAGGACATGACGCGGGTCTTGATGACGTCGATGGGGCTCGTGGCCGTGGCGGCAGCGAGGCCGGCGAGGAAGGACGCCGAGAAGTGCGTCGTCAGGGTGTCGCCCATGGGGGTGTACTCGAGAAGCATGCGCTTGAAGGTGTCGTACGTGGAGAGCTGCCCGGCCGTCATGACGGCGGCGCGGCTGGCGTTAGGCAGCCAGCCACGAAAGTAGCTCGAGAGGCCCTCCTCGCGGGCCATGCGCACCATGCCGTCGATGGCGTGGCGGTAGTTGCGGCGCTTGTCGGGGGGCAGGGCGGCGTCGTGCTGCATGCGCACATTGAGGACGTCGGCAAAGTTGCCGGCGATGCCGCCGAGGAAGCCCGAGGTGACGGCCATGGCGGTCAGCTCGGGGAAGCCAGCCGTGTGGCCGGAGCGGGTGTAGCGCGTCTTGAGCTCCTCGTAGACGCCGAAGCGCACGGTTGAGTACGTCAGCTGGCGCAGAAGCGAGGCGGAGATGCCAGAGTATAGGCCGATGACGCCATCATGCTTGAGGATGTGGACGAAGGTGCCGCTCATATTCTTGGGGGCGTTGCCCTGTCGCGTTTGTAGCCGGACCTATATGGTGGTGGGGGTTCATTTAGTCTTTTCCGGTCGCAGAGAGCATTGTAATCGCAGTAGCGACAGCGCATGAGGATTCAATCGCGGGGATAGGGCGTCGTAAGAACAATTTCGTACCTTGACTGCGCGGAGGGGGAGTTACATGTTAGCAAACAGGGCGCCATCAGCGGTTGAGCGCAAGGGCTCTTGATGGGGAAGAAAAAAGCGACATACCCAAGTCTAACGGATGGGTAACGCAGGCAGCCATGCTACTGGCACTGCCTCCAAACCAGAAAGGGTATCGAATGGTGGGCGAGGTCGTCTTCTTCTTGGAGCCTGCCTGCGCCGACGGCTTGGAGGCCGATTCCTGTGCCGAGCTCATGATGACCGACAACGTTGCATCGAACGGCGGGACGACGACAAACGGAGAGGATGAATGAAGAAGAAAAAAGGAGGGGAAAGGCCAGAGGCTACCGCGACATGCCGTATTTAGTTGTGTTGCTGCAGTCTTGTGCCGAAACAAGCTGTGCGACGCAAAAGCAAGACACGCAGGACGAGAGAAAAGATATTTGGGAAGCAAGGGTTATAGATATCGGGGAAAGGCTCGTTTTGTCTCGGCACAGCTCCGCTGGCGCCGAGCTGGAGCTGGCAGGGACGAAAGGCCAAAAAATTTAAACCCCGACTTGTGGTTCGCTGGACGGAGGCAGCGCTCCACTGTTGACTGTTGAAGCACTGTCGTCATGACTCTATAGCGCTGTATCTACTCCGGATTGTGAGGGCAAGTTTAGTGGCTCGGCTTCTGGAAGTCCAGAAGTAGACTCCGGATTGGCATAACGCAGTGATGCCCGGCACTTGAAATCGGACGAGTGGAAGAATTAACTCAGTCGGTATCAAAGATATATTTTGAGTCTTTGAGTACATTATGGGTCGCTGTTCGTGCCGTGCCGCATGTACCTATGTACCCTACGGCGACATCGGCCTTGTCGCCGAACATGCTCACCAACTTACAGGCAACTAATGCGCTAACCAGTTCCAATTACCCTTCTGTCAGCCATTGGCCAATTGGACCCCACTCCAGCTACCAGACCAGATCTATGTACAGTGACCAAAACTTTAGCTACAGCTTCAATTGCACCCTGACAATATCATCGCATCTCTACTCCAATTGTGCAGCATGGCCTGTCGTATGGGCTCGGCACGCCTCCTCACTCGGGCTTCTGCGTTGCCCAGGCTTTCGCTACCCAGGAAACCCCATTTCCGACTACTACCGCTGCCCAGAGCTTTCTCATCATCCAGTGCGCCCAGCCCATCTTCCACGCCATTCGCTCTCCTAACCAAGTTGTCCGCAAAGCACATCGTCAGTCTGGCGCCGCCGCCAAGACACCCTCCACAGTCACCATCCGCGGACACACCTGCAAAACGGACCCCGAGTGGTTCAATATCCCCGATAATGTCCTCGACGCCGCCACGCGCCGGCTGCATCTGCAGAAGGACCACCCTGTTTGCATCACCCGTCAGATCATCCAGGCCAACTTCCCCGCGCCGACCTTCAAGTACCACAACGATTTCAGCCCCGTCGTGACGACGCGGCAAAACTTTGACTCGCTCGGCTTCCCTGCCGACCACCCCGGCCGCGCCCGCTCCGACACCTACTACATCGACGCCGCCACCCTGCTGCGGACTCACACGAGCGCCCACCAGGCCGAGACCTTTCGCGCCAACGAGAGCGCCGGCTACCTCATCTCCGCCGACGTCTACCGCCGCGACGCCGTCGACCGCAGCCACTACCCGGCCTTTCACCAGATGGAGGGCGCCCGCCACTGGGACCGCCGCGAGGTGCCGGGCGGCGATGTCACCGCCGCGGTCCGCCGCGACCTCGAGGCGCTACCGGAGCATGGCGTCATCGTTGAGGATCCGAACCCGCCGTGGCACGCGGAGCGGAACCCCATCCAGGACGCGCACCACTCCGCCGCTGAGGCCGAGGCCATCGGCGCGCACCTGAAGCGCTCGCTGGAGAACATGGTTGTGGACGTCTTCTCGCGGGCCAAGGCCGCGGCCAAGCGTGCGGACCCGGACTTCGTGGACGAGCCGCTCAGAATGCGCTGGGTGGAGGCTTACTTCCCCTTCACCAGCCCGTCGTGGGAGCTGGAGGTGTACTACGCCGGCGACTGGCTCGAGGTCCTCGGCTGCGGGGTGGTGAAGCAGGACTTGTTCATCAACGCCGGCGTCCCATCCAAGCTGGGCTGGGCATTTGGAATTGGCATCGACCGCATCGCCATGCTGCTGTTCAAGATCCCAGACATCCGCCTGTTTTGGTCGCGGGACAACCGCTTCCTCACGCAGTTCGCCGGCGTCTCGGACGACCTGGACAAGTTGAAGCTGTTTGCTCCGTTTTCCAAGTACCCACCCAGCCCTCGCGACGTCTCGTTCTGGCTCAACACCTCTACGTCTTCAGCGGCGGGGGGGAACACCAAGAACGCCTTTCACGAAAACGACGTCATGGAGCTTGTGCGCAACATTGCTGGCGACGTCGTCGAGGATGTACGACTCATCGACGAGTTTACACACCCCAAGACGGGGAAAAAGAGCATGGCGTATCACATCGTGTACCGCAGCCTGGAGAGGACGTTGACGACGGAGGAGGCCAACAAGTACCATGATCTGGTAAGAAAGGCATTGGTTGAAGAGCTTGGAGTTGAATTGCGGTAACCACTCTGCGACGGGGCGGCCAGCAATGAATTAGAGATGCTATGTACGATACGGAACATGTAGTTTTATAACATATCACGCTGTCAAGGCGTAGATAGAGCAAGTTTTGCTTCTATCCTATAAAAATAAGAGATCCGATCCAGGAAATACTACCACAGTGTTCTCCTAAAAGAATCCTACGCCCGAATGAACACTAAATTGGCTATCAAGAGCTTTACACACCACCATCTGGCAAGGAGCGCCTCATAAATGAGGCTGAGTCGTTGCAATTCCATCTCCAATGTACCGATTTTCCCCTCTCCGCGGCGTGTCCCATACTGAATGCTTGGCTCCTCGTGAGAGCCAAAAGACCTCCAACAAGTGGTGTGCATGGCATAGGTATTTACCAAACAGTACATGATACTTGTTACGTACCAGATTGAAGGTGGTGGTATGGGGTAGTCGATCGCGGGATAGCTAGCCGTTACCGCTATTCAGCGGGGTCTTGAGGAGAGCCGAAGGAGGCGCAGCACGGATGACAAAAAGATTGCGGGAAACGGCTTGGCACGCTTGAATCTTGAGCGAGACAGGGATTTCAATTCCGGACTGAACAGGTTTCTCTGCTATGAAGCCATGTGAATGCGAAGGAAGCGAGCCAACACAGCCTCATAACAAAGCCCATGTCTTACGTGGCGAGCAGAGCACCACGCGGCTCAGGCGTCTCTGCGATGACATATTGCCCAAAATAAATGCCAGATAGCCACTGCATCGCCTCTCAGCTGGTCATTGCGACAACTAGAAGAAGAATCCCTCCGCTGGGCAGGGGTGTAGAGCTGTCAGTCTAGCGCTGCGGTGCGGGCTGTGCAGAAGAAAGCCCGCCGGCCTTGTCGCCGGGGCATCGAGAGAGAGGCGCACTGAAACGGAAAATGTTTTTTGTCCCTCGTTGTTTCGAACCTACAATTTGTTCCCTCGTCATCTGCACAGCCCCCGGTCGGCGGGCGCCAGACTCGATGGGGAAGCTGATGAGTTTTGTCTTTGCTGCCACTGGCGGGGATAATTTAGTGGCCGCTTTTAGGCTGTAGCCCACCTGGCGACGAGTTTATGTATGCATGGTTATGCAAGCCCAGATTCGTTCGATTTGGCTGGGCAATCTGATTTCATTGGTTTCATCTCAAAGTGGTTGAAGACAGTCTCTTACCTGATTGCAGTAAACACACTCAGCTCATTTTTGGTCGGTAAAATGTCCAGTCTTGATTTGTTATTAATGCATACAAATAACACGCCCTTGACCAATCCCCCGGCATAGTTGTACATGGCTCACACATCATCGTATCTCAATTCGCAGTTAGTGATGCCGCCAGGAGGCTTACACTTAGGGCAAGCCGGATGCTGACAGGCCTCCTCGGTGCACTTCTTGCACCCTTTCTCCTTCATATGCGTAGAACACTTGCAGCACAACCAGCCCACGTCCGTCTGTTGGAGCATGTAGTCGATCCAGCACTTCTCTAACCAGCAGACAGCTTTGGGGCGCTCCTTGACCTCGTTATAGGGCTTGCATCGCGCCGCGAGCGCGGCCGTCTTGCCGTTCCGGATGCTTAGTAGCGTCGCGTATGCGCATCGGGACGGTTCCTTGGGTTCGTAGCGACCCCGATTGTAGAGCTCGTGTCCGCAGAGCCCGATAATTCTGACTCGAGTGCACATGATCTGTCAGCGCTGAGGATATCGACTGGTGGCGGAGAGGAAGGCTTAGCTTATTAGGACGCTGGAAGTCCGCTGGCAGCATGGGAGAGAAAGCCTGGAAGCTATTTTGGCGATTGTTCTCGCTTTTAAAGGAAAACAAAACATACAGTGTCATTGTCGCACAGCTACAGTGATGAGAAACTGCACAACATTGGTATGTGACGCTTGTGAAGCGTAGGACGCAGAAACACAGGACGCAGAAACACAGGACACAGAAACACAGGACGCAGAAACACAGGACACAGAAGCACAGGACACAGAAGCATAGGGCGCAGAAGCAATGAGAATATACTTCTAGATGCTTTGAATGGCTGTGGTCATAAATTTCGCATCGTACCATAGCTAGGCTATGATTTTCTGTCGTAAATAGCACTGGCAGGCCGGCCAGAGGTAACCATCACCAGCTTGTTTGTACCGTAAGCTAGTCTGCTAGTTGACGAGGTCACCAGCCCAACGTCCTCCTGAAAACAACACGCGACAGTTCATTGCCCGGATTACCTCGTACTCGACCCCATAGCCCAATCAATATGACGTAGACTGCCAGCCCCAGCCATGCGGTAGGTGTTGAAACAATAACTCGACCAGAACAACGATGCACACCCATCGGTACCTAGGTACCTTGCATAAAGTGCACAAGTCTTCCTCTGGACGCCACAGCCATTTTTAAGCTCCCCTTGGCAGAGGCTCAGCTAGAGCGGCACAGGCGCTAAGCCGCGTTGGGATGGCCGCCGCCACAGCCCTCACCACTCTGCTGCCACCGCTTCCCCCGGTCGACTTCGCCTCTCTCTTCCCTCCCGCACTTTTGATACATATATCTCACCTGGCGCTACTCTACTGGGACGATCCTCAAGCCTCTGCACCTCATTTCTTCCATACCGCTCACCTCTTTCAGCGCACAAGCTTTTCACCCCATCGTCATTTTTCGAAACAACTACTCCCAATCGCAGAAGTCTCCTGCGCGGCCTATCTACAATCAGCCACCCCCACCATTTCACACAACCCTCTCTCCCCAATGGAACTGTCACCAAAGCCCAGCCGCTCCTCGTCGACCTCGTCGCGCCGCGGCATCAACCTGACGCTCGACCTGTCGAACCTGCCACCGCTCGAGCAGCCTACGCCGCCGTCTAACACCCTCCTCTTCACCAACCTCGACAACGTCGACATCTTTCGCGCCGACAAGTTGCAGTCCCTCCGCGACCTTATCAACCGCACCGCCACCATCCACGCTTTCGCGCCACTCAAGTCGTTCCGCCGCATAGTCGTCTCCTTCTACGACGTTGAGTCAGCCGTCTCCATTCGCAAGGTCTGGGACGGCGAGGCCATCATGGGCCAGCGCGTTCGCATCTACTTTGGCCACCCCACCCCAGTCCAGTCGAAGCCCGACCACCTCGCGCTGCCCGACGCTGGCAAGCTCTTCTTCATCTCTCCGCCCCCGAGCCCGCCGCACGGCTGGGAGGTCCGCCTCGAGGACGCGCCCAACAAAATGGTCCATGCCGACGACCTCGCCGAGGCCCTCGCCCGCCTCGGACATGGCCGCGCTGGCGGCAGCCGTGCCAGCTCCTTTGACTCGCCCATCACACCCGTCGACGGTTCTGGCGCTACTGTCGGCCGCACGAGGAGTCGCAGCTCTACCCTCATCTACCACCCTGAGGATCACGGAAGAAGCTCAGGCCTTCCCGCCGTCTTTGTCGAGGACATGACTGACGAACCGGAGGAGATGTCACCACTGGAGGCTAAGCCCATCATGGCGCACACCTCTCGGCCACCCGTGGAGCTCATGCACGAGGTCTGAGTACCGTGTCCTTGGACTTGTTTGACCTTTTGCTTTGTCTTCATGTTTATCACCAATGGAGCGCGGATACAGAAAAAACATGTTTAACTATAGGCGTTTCGGATTGGTCGGCTACGGAAGGCGTTTTAACGGATTTCAGTATATAATCTACCTTGGGCGCATAACTCCTCAATACTACAAACAAGCAAATGACACGGTGTCGGCTTCGGCGTTTTTGATATCCTGTTTTTCTCATTAATACAGTGCGAAGTCCGGTTAGACCGACGCTTTCGGTTGCCACATGGTCCTCGCCAACGGGGCTGTGCAGCTACGGCGCCCGTTCTTTGAGGCTTAGAGAATATCTTATCCGAAATCAGATGATTAAATCGAGTGGTCCGCAGGCATACCTGGTTATTTAACAACTCATGCTCACAGCCTCCGTTCTCCATTCCAGTTGTACAGGCCCAGTCCTGATATTTGAAGCCAAGGCATAATTTCTACTTAGCAGTCATACAGCCGAGGAACGTGACAGCCACTAAAGCAGACAGAGCAATGCCAAAATGCACATATCAAACTCAATATACTGGTCGTGATAAACTCATTTTTTTACACAGAATGATATCGATCTCAGAACCGTTTTGCTGTAACTCTTTTCAGTGGGCCAAAATCTACTGTGGAAACCATGCGCATGGGGCCGAAAAAAATGGTCGCGAAATCCGCCCCATATCAGGAGCTTCAACAATCTCCCCTTCACCATCACACGACCACGGACTACAGCCCGCTATCCGCAGCCATGAGCTGCTCGTGCAATGCCTCCGCTCTGAGGCTTTTTGCACGTGGCTTGGTACAGGTACACCATCCAGAGCCGGGCAGATCTTTCGCCCTCCCGATCCGAGTCGCTTCCAGTCCTCGTTTGGCAGGCGTCTTGGCGTCGCAACACCGCCCCTTACATGCATCGCATGCGCTCGAAGATGCTGAGAATTCTGCGCCAGCCAGCACGGCCCCGGAGAAGCAACCAAGATCGACAGAAGACAACCAACCCGGTTTGTCTAGCACGCCAACCGAACCTGCAAGCGGAACGCTTCCGACCCAAACCACAACACATGAAGAAGAAATGACAGAAGCTAGGGCGAAAGCGGCCTGGAGATTCAAGCGGCAAGGGTTCGACTGGAAATCTTTTCGATCTAACGATCCTGCCGTGCGCGCAAAGGTCAATTTTTCGAACTTCGATTGGAAACACTGGCAGGGCAACAAGCAAGGCACCAGACAGCTCGGCAAGCTTGTTGACAACCTAGAGGCGGCTCGAGCCGAGGACCGTGCGGCCGTGGGTATATCTCCGAGAGACGACGATGTATCGCGGGTTCGAGACCATAGGGAATGGTACACAACCCCCTCAACGAGAACCGCGCGATATGGCGCCGCGCCCGAAGATGACGCAACGCCGCCACCGAAGAAGGAGGAGTGGATGATCCAGAAGGCGGCCATGAAGGCCAAGTTCCCCGACGGCTGGCGGCCGCACAAGCGGCTGTCCCCCGACGCGCTGGCGGGCATCCGGGCGCTCAACGCGCAGTTTCCGGACGTGTACACGACGCAGACGCTGGCGGACAAGTTCGCCGTGTCACCCGAGGCGATCCGGCGCATCCTGAAGAGCAAGTGGACGCCGTCGGCGCGCGAGGATGAGGACCGCCAGCAGCGCTGGCACCGCCGCGGCATCAACGTGTGGGAGCGCAAGGCCGAGCTCGGCATCAAGCCGCCGAAGCGCTGGCGCGACGAAGGCGTCGCGCGCGAGCCCGCGTACCACGACCGCAAGATCACGGCGCGTCGCGATCGCGAGGAGCACGTGCGCAGGGAGCGTGAAGAGTACATGCGCAGCTTCGCCAAGGGGAGGCGGGACGCCGGCCGTGGCGGTAACGACGACGGCGCGGCGACGGTGGAGTGGGAATATTCTCGGCTTGACGGCGAGACGCCGATGGAGATGCCGCGGCGGGGAACGAGTAGAGGGGGAAGCGGAGGATCGGTCAACGACAGGGAGATGAGGAGCGAGCTGAAGGGGGATGTCTTTGACAAAACTCTTGCTTCGGAACGGCGCGACTGACGAGGCCGCGTCATATCGGCTCGGGGGTTGTTTCTTGTATAACAAAACTACTTGTACAGTACGTATCTTCATGGATAAGGCAGCATTAATGCAATATAGAGCCCAGCTTTATTTCGTTCCAGATATGAAATGCAATCATGAGACCCTCTGTCAATACGTAACCACACTAGACAGGGTACAATTTACAGAGATATCGACCAAGTACTATACAAAGCAAACTTGTCCGAAAACATGAAGCTGATGAGGCCGTGTTGAGTCAGCCACGCGATTGCTTCCACCTTCAGAACAAGGAAGACGCACCTTTCTTACTCATGCCCAGAATCAGCCCCCTCCTTTTATTCTGCTGCACTCGCTCGGCCTCCCACTTCGCCCACTTAACGCCTCTACCTCGATCTCCCACCCCTCCAGCTCCGTTGCCAATATGGACTGGTGTTTGCTGACGCGCTCGAATGCCGTCTTCGCCCATTCCTGCGACCAGAATGGGCCTGAGCGGCCTTGACCTTCCTTTTTAACATTCTCTTGAGCTGGTGCACGTGGATAACCCTGACCAGCTTCAGGCGCGCGAGGAGATCGACGTCACAGGCGCCGTGAACACTCTTCTTCCGTGGCCGCCGTGCACCCTCCCCGAGTCGGATGCGGGTGCACGGGTACTGCTCCTCGGGCTCGGACTGGGTGCATATGATGAAGCCCTAAATGAATCTGGTGTCCGGTCAGTCAATGGGTATATTGGGAGGTACGCGGAAGACTGCCCGTGTGAAAGGTGGAAAGGGGTGGGAATCATACTCTTTGCAGCTTATTTTGTTCTCGTCGTCGCCAACCTTTTTTGCTGTAGAGCCCAAGATAGAAGGCATGCTCTTCCTCATCTCCCTCTGTGCCCACGTGTGGAGGAAGTGTCACCAACATCACCACTCTCCCATCATCGCTCGACCCAACACGACGGAGCCAATGCACCGAGTGCGATACGCCCGTCTAGCTGCGTATTGCACCTACATCAGTTTAGATCGAGTATGACGCAGAACAGCACTTCTCTTAGACGCTATGTCAAACGCATGTACATTTCTACATATTGAACTGCTGCCTTGGCAGTATCTTGCTTTGGGAGGCCGGCCTTGGGATTCTCCCAAACGCGATTCGCCGGTCTAGGGTGGGCCATTTGTTGGTCCATGTGGCAATGTCTATAAGCGGCGGTTGGAGCCAGAGGGAGCTTTGAGCTGAGAGCTACTGTCGTCGGTGCATCGGAGATATCAGCAACTTTCTCCGATCTTGCAGCTTGAAACATCCTTCTTACATACTCTTCGGCCTGGCGCGCGACGCTGCTGCGCCCCTGGTCTAAGAAGATGCGACGAAACGGGGACAACGAAACCGCTACGGAATCAACCATCTCCCCACAGCGTCTACCCGATTCTATCCCTTTCTGGGTGACAATGAGAAGGACTGGTCAGTTGGGAGATGCTGTTCTTGCTATACTTCGCTAATGGACGTATTCTCCTTGATCGCGCGGAAGCGAGGCTAAGAGCTGATACGATAGATAGCCTTACTGGTCCGTATCTCGACTATGATAACTAGCAAGAAAGGTCCAATTCATTCATGCGCAAAGCCTGGCAGTTCGTCCCACTCTTGATCTTGCATAGCGACCATGCGCATGGTTGCCGCCCACTCTTCATCACTTTAAGATGCCGCCCGCAGTTCGCCGTTCCTATTGCAGGTCCCTCCCACAACCGAAGTAAGAAGGCTGCGAGCCAGAAAGCATGGAAATTGACGAATAAATGTTGGCCGCCCCGAGCATGGCAATAAAAGAGCGAGTCTCCCACGCAGCTCCGTTTGATAGAGTTGGTAAGACGGGACTGCGGTGTTGTCGGTCAACAGATCATTGATGCCCCGGCTTCTAGCAGAAGTTACTCCTGCCCATCGCGTACATCATACAATAGATGCTAAGGGCAGGCTATATTGATTTTTAAGAAAATATTGCACTGCATTGCTTGTGATGAGAAGAAGACGGAGGAGCTGCCTCTCTCGCGCCAAGGGGTTGGCAGGATCAGCTATAAAGACAGGGGCCCCTCCGAGTCCAAAGCACATGTCAGAAGGCGGTTTCAAGCTCAAGTGGGCTGGCTGGCTTTTCCTCCTATGGACTTTGGGGTTGTTACTTAATAGCTAGTGAACGACCGATTTCTTGATTCTCGTCGCTGCCCGGTTTCAATTTTTTATTTCCTTCTCTGCTCAATTCAACGCATAGCGAATTCCTTCCACACCGAATTCACGAGCCGAACGCGAACCGAGCAAACAGCAACCCCTCCCCTTCGACAATCAGTCCTGATCCCGTGGCAATGGCGTCGCCTGGCAGCTTCCCGCAGCCGCCGCAGCGCGACTCGTGGTTCGCGCCGCTGTCCGTTGACCTGCTGGTCAAGGTGCTCAAGGTGACCGTGTTCCACCCCTTCGTGACGGCGCTGGTGCCGCTGTGCCTGCGGGCGCGGGCCATGCTATGGGACGCGCCGACGATGCTGGCCGCGTTTGCGTGGGCGGCGCTCGTGTCGCTGTTGTGGGTGGCGTCGGCGGTAAACCAGCGCATCGCGCACGGCGCCCCGCGCCAGGTCGACCTCGGCGAGGAGGTCATCGTCATCACGGGCGGCGCGAGCGGCCTGGGCATGCTGGTGGCCGAAGTCTACGGCATGCGCGGCGCCACGGTGGCCGTTCTGGACGTCAACGACATGGAGAATGGCGAGGCGCGCGGCGTTACGGCGTACAAATGCGACGTCAGCGACTACAAGCAGGTCGCGGCGACGGCGCTCAAGATTGAGGAAGAGGTAGGAGGGTTACGTCTACATGCGAGAAGCTGCACATGAAACTGACATGCTGGGGAAATAGCTCGGAACGCCTACGGTACTCATCAACAATGCCGCTATTGTAGTTGGCAAATCGCTCCTCGACCTTTCAGTGGACGAAATCGACCGCAGCCTCACGACAAACCTCCTCGGCCCGTTCTACTGCCTCAAGGCGTTCCTACCCGCGATCATCCGCAGCGGCAAGGGCGGAACCATTGTAAACATCTCGTCCGTTATCGGCCACCTCGGTGCGGCCCAGCTCAGTGACTACGCCGCGGCAAAGGCTGGCCTCTCCGCGATGCACAGGTCCTTGGCGGCGGAGCTGCGCGAGTCGCACCCCGAGATCAAGACGGTGCTCATCACGCCGGGTCAGCTGAGCACACCGCTGTTCTACGGGGTGCAGACGCCGAGCAGCTTCGTCGCCCCGGTGGTGGAGCCCGTGGAGGTAGCCAAGGAGATCGTGGCGGCCATCGATCAGGGCAACGGCGCGACGACGGGGATGCCGCTGTACGCGCGATGGATCGACTGGTACGCGGTGCTGCCGGCGGGCGTGCAGGTGCTGGCCAGGAAGATTTCGGGCGTGGACAGGGGGATGCGGACGTTTATCGGGAGACACGGCGCGGCAGAAGGCAAGAAGCAACGATGATGGGGAGGGCTGGCAAAGAAATGTTCTGATGCTGGCGTCGGAGCGTGCGGGAATAGAGGGATGAGCATACAGAGTGCATGGGCGCGGCGCTAATTCATCATAGATTTCATCTATTTGCGTTGCGAATTTGTAGAATAGTTGCTCAACAGTGTAGCAAGGATACATGATGACGAAATTTTGAGGAAGATCCGTTGCGGAGTAGATTCTCCGGACCCCAGTCGAGGATGGTTACCTGTACAATACATATTAAGGAGCGGGGTGCCATTGTTGAGGCACGGGGTTCTACTGTTTTTAGTAGTGAGTAAGGTAGCTGTTCACAATGGACATGTTCTTTTTACCTGCCTACCTGTTTCTCTTTTCTTGTCTTTTATTTTTACGTTGTCTAGTTGAAGCCACCGGCCGTATACGTAAGTCCCGTATCCGTGCCGGCCGAGAGATTGGATGCCGTTTTTCTTATGCGTGCCTTGGTGGGCCCACGACATCTGCATCTGAGACAACGGGCTTGGGCCAGTCAGGCTCGGAGAACACTAGATTCGCGTGTTTGGCGATGGTGTCTATTCAATAACTACTAATTAACGAGTAGTGAAAAGATATTGGCCCAATAAAGGGCGGCACTGTAACTTGAACAGTTGCTAGTGCAACATTGTACCCGGCGCCAGTACGAATGAAGCTGGTACCTGCATGCCGTCATAAGGCCCGCTGGCCAGCTGTTGTTTTTAGTTTAGCAGGTCGTGGAAGGTTTTTTCTTATTTTTGACTTCATGAGCCGGTGTTGTCGTTGTTGAATGAACCAAGGCATTTTCGGCGATTGCTTGACGGAAGTTGACTACGTGACCATGCAAGGATGCCTTTCTGCATCATCCGTACCCGTACGGAAGACATTGATTGCATCACCTTGCAGTGCGCCACCAAAATCGGCCGTGGCAAAATACCTGTTTAATATCTGACTGGTTGGTTAATAACGGACGGCGTTGTTTCAAGGAACGATTAATCCCTACCTCAGCGGACCAAGGAAACCTGGCGTTTTCTTGTGTTCCCTCTTGATGATAGTTTGTATCCATGTATCCACCATCCCAGTTCTTTGTGTACCTTTGTAATGAGTTGGAGAAAACTTTACACTTGCCAGAACTTTGGCCGCATTCGCCATTTTGTGCCGTGAGGCTTTAATAGTGGTCCTTGCAGACTCTGTTGGCGGGCGGCGGGAGGCAGGTGAGGCTTTCTCGGAGCCCTGTCAGATCCCAAAGGACGCTACTGAAACTGATTTATTGAGTTGATTAAAAGTAGAACGCAGCCCGACATTGCCTGGCCGCACCCATCTTTCCTCATCATCCATCTCTCAGGCCCTCCCCCGGGCCTTGTCTGTTCACAATTCGCCTCCCCTCGCCTGTAGGGATTCTCGGGTGCCTTTCGCTTTACTCGCTTGTATTTCTCCGCATCGCGACTTCCTCTTACTGCAAACGCTCAATCCAGCAAACGATCGCTTCCTCCAACCACCAAAAGTCTTCGCCAGCTGCCAGCTTCTTGCTTTTACTCCTCCACAACTACCCAACTTGGCTTTTATCATTTTAAATTTCTTGTCTTGCTTCTTTTGCTCGCCAATTCGCTTCGGCATGCGCTTTTCTTCCCTCGGCCTCGCCCTCGCGGGCATGGCTGCCGCCGTCTCGGCGCTCGACCCCATCGCGGTTGTCGGCAACAAGTTCTTCAACAAGGATGGCTCTCAGTTCTTCCTCAAGGGTTAGTATGGCCTCGAGGATCAAGCCAATCGCCTGCCACTAACCTCTTCCCAGGTGTCGCATACCAACTTCGCCCCCTTGACCCTCTCATTGACACGGACCAGTGTCAACGAGATGCAAATCTCATGAAAGAGCTCGGCGTCAACAGCATCCGTGTCTACCACGTCGATGCCTCTGCTGACCATGATGGCTGCATGAAGGCTTTTGATGATGCCGGGATATATCTTCTTATCGATCTCGACACCTTCGGCACTTACGTCGTTCCTGTTCGTTTTGACCCCTGTTCCACCTTGCTGCCCATCACCAAAAGCTGACTCTCCCACCAGACAGACCTGCACTGGAACCAGACGCAGTACGATTCGTACGCGGCCGTCATGGACACTTTCCAAAAATACAACAACGTCCTTGGATTTTTTGTCGGCAACGAGAACATCGCCAAGAAGGAGGACTCGGTCGCCGCTCCCTTTATCAAGGCCGCTGCGCGCGATATGAAGGTGTATCGCGATAAGAAGAACTACCGCAAGATCCCCATTGGCTACTCTGCTGCCGACATTGTCGAGCTTCGCCCTATGCTCCAAAACTATCTCACTTGCGGAGGAGACTCAGCCGACATTATCGACTTCTTTGCTCTCAACTCGTACTCGTGGTGTGATCCTGCCGATTACAAGACCTCAACTTACAATCAGCTCGAGACCTATGCCAAGGACTTCCCTGTTCCCATCTTTTTCTCAGAGACTGGTTGCAACACGCCCGGCCCTCGCCTCTTTGCCGACCAGGACGCCATATTTGGTAAGGACATGATCAACGACTGGAGCGGCTCCATTATCTACGAATGGATTGAGGAAGAGAACCATTACGGCCTTATTAGCTACGGCCCTGCTGGTGGCGACGCATCTAATACTGATGTTGAAGGAGGGTTTACCCGCAAGGGCACTCCTACTCCCGTTAGCCCTGACTTTAACAACCTCAAGAGCAAATGGGCCACCATCACGCCCACGGGCGTTCACAAGTCAGATGTTGACCCCAAGACACTCACAACTCCTGCTTGTCCTACTTCGACTAACGGGGGATGGTGGGCCATTGAAGGAAACGTTCGCGTCCCTTCCCTCGGAGAGTCCTTGTCGGGATCGTTCACGTCTGTGCCAAGCGCTACTGTCGACAGCCAGCCACAGAGTACTGACAAGGCCAAAGATGGCAAAGATGATGGCAAAAGTGATGACAAAGACAAGGACCAGGGCAAAAATTCCGCTTCCAAGGACATGCAAATCACCATGCTCGGATCCAGCGTTGCGGTTGTCCTTCTGTTTGCCGTTGTGGCGTTGTAAATACAGCCTTGCTTCTAGGGGGTACATTCTTGTTTTGTAATTATTTTACACACACTCTTCAAACGATGAAACGCGAGATGATATACACGAGCTCGCATTTGATTGTATCCATATAGTGTTAGTGTTCTGATGACCATGCGGCGCAGAGATCCGCAGGCTCACCATTTGAGGGGGCAAAATCAAGGCAGTGACGGTAGATTTGCAGTGCCAAGCATTTTGACGTTTAGATACGGTAATAGAAATTTATTCCGAATCCATGATTCTTAGTGCCGCGTTCCTGTAACCTTGCTTGCTTGTGTAGAGGGCTGCCGCTGTGGCGGTGACGCCGATCAGGAGGATGAGTACCGCTATGAGAAGATATGGCCGCAGAGACCTGTAACGCTTTTGGTTTCGATCGTACGGGTTCTCTTCCACGGCTGGACACTGTGATTTTCCATGGAGCTGTATATTGCAAGAATGCCCGGTGTTGGTTTTCGTTGGCTGGCTCAAGAAGGGTGTTGTCTAGTTAAACAGTTGGGGTATTGCTGCGAAGGTGATTCTAGGTTGAAGGGGTGGCAATGGTATTTTCATGGCTACACGACCAAATGGCTCTCAACTGAAGTTTACGTGATTCTTGATTTAAGAAGGCGCACTCAGTATCCTGGCATTCTTGGTTTCCAAGTTGTCAACAATGGTAGGTGTTTAGGGTAGGTATTGGTTGAAGACTTGGTCGACTCCTCCAAATGCGGAAAGTGGGTTATGTAATGCACTAACTATGCAATCGGGTGGTTGGAGATGCAGGCAGGTCCTGAAGGTAAGTACATATTCGTACCAATAATGCACCAGTGTCTACGGAAAGGCCTCTGAATACCTCACTAGATGAATGAAAAAAAAAAAATTGGATAACGATAAGAGGCATATCAGTTGATAACGCCTCCACCCAGCCCACCAAAAAAGTGACAGACAACACCATCATTGACGCAACTTTTCCAGTTGGCTTGTTAAACAAGTCTCTTTTCCTGCCCAACCGCGATAAATTTGAATTCTGGCTGCTCAATATTAATTTTCGGTCCCTCATCTCTGTGCTGATTGTGTATCGCTGGTGGCGACACTTTCGGGGCAAGAAATAAGGGCACCAGTGACGACTGACTCAGCAAATTTTCTCCGCGCCGCGACTGCCCGCATTCGATCGCCTACATAGGCTGCAGGCAGGTAATAGAGGGAAGAACGACAAGAAAAAAAGTACAAAGGCCGCAGGCAGGCGTGCTTGCGCTTGTTTTAAAACATCGCTGTCCGATTTTCATCAATTATCCCATTATTTCGACTCGACTTGCTTCCCCCCGCGCTCGCACCTTCGCATGCGCGCGCACTCTCTATACCGCAGTCATGGCTGACCCGGCGCAACCTGAAGCACCGGGCAGCGCGCCCGGTACGTTGGCTATGCACCCCTCGGCGAGTATTGAAGTCAATTCCTTGACCGCAATCAAGACATAGTGCTCACTGATCGCGCACAATTGCGCGCGACGGCTACCCGTTGACCCGCCCTAGTGCTAATGACGCCTTGTTGGAACAGACATAAAACAGGAACCCGATCTGTCAGTCCTCGAGGGCCTCGACTTTACACTGCCACCTGAGTTGTTGAATCCGAAACGACCTTTTGAGCACGAAGCCGAAGCGCATCACGAACCAGACGCTAAGAGGCTGAAGGCGGAGGAGCCTGAGGCTGCGCTACAGCCCGAGGACGACAACTCGCTCGAGGACGGACTGGCACTGCTCGTGCAAAATGCCCTGTCTGGTGTCGGTGACCTACTACCACAATTTGATACGCCGGTCGATAGCAACTCTGGTGATCCCATGGACATCGACGCCGCAACGTTACTTGAATCCGTCACGCCGCAGCCAACATTCTATTCTGACCCTCTGAAATACGTGCGCAATGTGCAGACCCATACATTGAGCAATTTGGTTTGTCATTTCCCATTCCAGTGGAAAAGCCACTTATAGTAACCGGAAAATCAGTCCTTTACTCTTCTATACTCCCTTGTACAACACGAGCCTATCGACGAGGCCATCGAAGCGATACGAGATGCGGAATCAGACCACGGGAGGACCTTTCGCCAACTTCAAGACTCATTAGAGAGTGTATGGAAACTATTCACAAGCAATGATACCATGGCCGCCGAAGACATGAACGTGGACAGCAATGCTGCCACTCTGCTTGAAATGGCCAACCTGGCCAAGCTGTGTGTCTGGCTCGTCCGAGGGACCGCCGAATCTTACTCGATAGCTGATTCGAAACTTCTTTCAATCTTCAACTGTCAAGTATCAGATTTGCCCATCGATGCTACCGAGCTCTACCTTGGAATCAAGACGCAGAACTGCATCCAGCAGCTGATGAACAAGGCCGATGATCAGCAGGCAGAGCAATTGGTTACCCAGACTCTCACACAAGGGCTTGGGGACAAGCTTAAGGCTCAGCATCCTGAGGACAGCTTACTCAACGCTGATCAAGCTTTCATTACGCTGGCAACAGTGCGCAAGGCAGAGTTGATCCAGGATACCAAGGAACGAATCGATGCAGAGTCGCTCAAGAAGAAATATCCTCCTCATGAATTATTACGGAATTTCGCCACGTACGCAAAGACTCGATTAGCCGCGGTATCGAATATTTCTAGCATGTATGGAGTACACATCCATTTAGAAGTTGATACCATGGAGCAGGTAACATTTGGCGATCTCGGCGGCAGCGCAGATATCGATCTCGACGACCTTTCTGCCTTCTTTGAGAAGACTGCCTCTGGGCTCGTACAGGACGCGCTGGCCGGCCTTACGGAGGTCGAAGCTCTCCCTTCCATTGTTATCGATGCGCCCGTCAATAGCACTACGACCAACGAGACGAATGGCGCTGCGAATGGCACGAATGAACCAACTGTTCCAGTTCATCCAACAGTTATCCTGAATGATGCACATTCTTTGAATGGCACGAACGGCACGAACGACGCCAATGCTGCAAATGGTTCTAACGGCACAAACGGCACAAACGGCGTGAATTCCACGAACGGCACAGATAAGCCGGCTACGACTACTAACAACGAGACCGGCTCGGTTTCGACTGTTGGTAAAATTGGTATCCTGCAAGATTACAAAGAACTCGAGGCCCTGGTTGCCGAAAGCACATCAAACTATGTCAAGACCACTCTCAATGGATTGTCGCCAGTGCCGTATCAGCCTACTGTACCTATGAGCACGACCGAGAGCATGACTGCCCAGGCACCCTTTACCAATCATATGCAACAGCAGCCCGGGCAGCATCACTACTATAACTATACACAGCCACCAGTCCAGGAGCAGCCACCGCCACAACCTGCGTCTGCTGAGAACCTGCCCCCAAATCAATCATGCTCGAGCGACGTGCTGTACGACAAGGCACGTCAGGCCGCCCTGTCAAAGTCCACGTCCCATACGAGACGAGAAGGGTCCCATTCTACCAGAAGACCGTGGACCCAAGAAGAGGAAAAGTGTCTTATGCTTGGCCTCGACTTGGTAAAGGGACCTCATTGGAGCCAGATACTCACTCTATTCGGACAAAATGGTACCATTTCAGATGTGCTGAAAGATCGAACGCAGGTGCAACTCAAAGACAAGGCACGAAACTTGAAACTCTTCTTCTTGAAGACAAACTCAGAGATGCCGTACTACCTTCAGGCTGTTACGGGAGAGCTGAAGACGAGAGCGCCCACCCAGGCTGCGCGAAAAGAGGCCGAGGAGAGAGCTAGGATGAACTCGGAAGAGGATCAAGCAAAGATGCAAGGAATCATGGCTCTTGCAGGCGGCCTGCATCACTTGCCTCAAGGACGGCCCGGGGCTGCAGGTGTCGGTTCCGGCGTAGTCACGCCTGCACAAGCTGCCAGTGCTGCGCAAGCCGCCCAGGGCCGAGCCGCGACGGTTATGTCGAATATCCCTAAAACTGTCGCCGCAACCATTGCACAAGCGCGGCAGAATCTGCATCCTACAACACAGCAAGCATTGCAGGCTATGTCGCAGCAGAACCCTCCCCGACCGCAGGGCCAGGCGCAACTCCCTCCCCATGTTCATCGGCCTCAATCTCAACAATTGCAACACACTCAACAACACAATGTCCCGCAGCAGCAGCAGCAGCAGCAGCAGCAGCAGCAGCAGCAGCATCGGCAGCAGCAATCTCAGCAACTTCCATTTCTCAACGCACACCATCCGGTACCGCAACAACAGCCACAAAAACCCGAGAACCACCAGAACCATCAGAACCATCAGAACCAGCAGCACCAGCAACAGCAGCCGCAGCAACAACAGCAGCCGCAGCAGCAGCCACAGCAGCCAAAGCCGGCGGCAATTCATCATCTTCCAGCTCAGCAGCAACCTGCCATACCACTACCCCATCCGATCGCGCTACCGTCCACCATGTCCAGACAACATTCTGAACCTCACGCGCCCATTGCAACAGCTTCTCCAGCGCCGGCTCCGGCGCACAACTCACTTCCTCAAACACCTTTGCTTCAGCCTTCACCACCAACTGTGCAGGCCGCTCCCATGGTGGCTCCGAAGGAAATTCCGAAGCCAGAGGAGCCTCTGTCTCAGGAGGCCCAGCAGCAAGCAGATAATGCTGCCGACGCAGCTATCTTGGAGGGCCTACAAGCCGCAGTTGCCAGTTCACTGGCCTGAATTCAGCTGTGTTGAAAGAATTCCACGATGAAAGATTATTATGACGAGTATACGAGAGGGTGTTTTGGTTTCTTTATAGGGGGCTCGGCGTTTCTCTCTGTCTCTATCTCTTATTTCATGCATTTTCTACTTTTTGGTCTCAGTTGTAAAAGTTGGGCTTTCTTCCCCTTTTTGGGTTGGGTCTTTCCTCTCTCTTCCTTTGGGAGAAGCGATGATGAAACAGGGCGTTTTTCACTGGTCTAGAATTTATTGGAGAAGATACCAGGGCAACTTTGGAAAGTTTTTGTTTGTTGTATTGTCTAGTTTTTATGTTTAACAAGGACATGAGTCCATGTGCCGATTTTGATACCACGGCATGTCTGGATTCATGCTGTCAGGTTTGTAGCCAATAGAATAGAACCTTGTTGGACCTAGCAATGCACCCCTTCGTGATGACATCGTGGCGGCAAAGTCTGACAAGAACTCGCGGGTGTGGAAAATCTCATTTCTTCAAAAGTGTTATCTGGATTTATCCCTTTGAAAAAAGGTGTGTTACCAATAGTGTGGTGATTGCGATCGTAGGGTCCGCTGCGAATAGGTACTTGGTGAAGAGACGTGTTGTGTGAACTCACTGGCTTGGTTGTTCAGAGCGAATGCTGAGTAGAAGGTAAACAGGCCTTTGAAAACAATACAACTTTTTTTTTTAAAAAAATATTCATAGCTAGCTGCCAGCAAACATCACTACCAAGCATCGAGGGTGGGCGGCCAGCGGGATGATTCCCCGCGTGATGGCATTCCCTGATGTCACCCGACAACACGTGGACCTTTTTCGAGTTCCAGCGTCCGACTCGGCCAGGCCTCGTTACCACGACACGGGAGGCGAGGCGACCATCCAAACGTCAGCAAGGATCCGTTTCTGCGTCGTATTTTGGGATCTTGGAGTCGGCGCATTCCAGGAAACGGGGTTGTATGACTATGCCGCGGTCAACTGCTAAACACGGTGACCTGGGACGGGAGGCATTGCAACCTGGTGGGATGGCCCTACTCCGATGCTGCGTTCCCTTGGACTTGGCAGAGATTTGCCATGTATCCTACCATCGCTCTTATTATCTACCATTCTTTCTCTGTTCCGACCCAGCAAGATCTGCATCTCCACCGAAAAAGACGAACTTGATATCCTGGCGCAAACATCCAGGCTACGTAAATACATACATACACGCCACCCCAACAACGTATAAGACGGACAAAAGATGAGTGGACACGAGCCGTCCCGGGCCCTGCTCCTCGCCGCGCGAGCGCCGCTAGTCGCCGGCTGGACGTCCACGCCCATCCCGTCGCTCTCGCTCTCGGCCGCCGGCCTGCTCGCGCTCGCGGACCTCGGCACCGTGGCGCGGCGTACCGTCGTCGCTGGCGGCGCCTCCTGGCTCGACGCGCTGGTCCTGGCACCCGGCCTGCACCACCAGCAGGCCGTCGACGCCGCGGCGCAGCCATCGACCCTGACGGCGATCGAGACGTGCCCCCGAGGCATCGCGCCGCTCGGCCGCCGGCACCCGGTCCGCAACGCTGCCACGGTCGACTACCTGGAGCGCCTGTGCGCCGCGGCGGAAGCGGATGGCGCGAAGGGGCAGCAGAAGCGTGAGAAGGCGGAGGTAGTGATTGTGAACGTGGGCCTCGGGAGCGAGGAGGGCAGCGAGCTGCTGGCGATGCTCCGCCGACGATGGCAGCGGCGGAGGTTGAAGCGACGGCAAGACCGACCGACCGCGACGACAGCGGTCGATCGCCTCAGCCACATCCTCTACGTCCTCAGTCCGCTCCTCACCCTCGCCGCCATCGTCTGCATGGTGCTCCTCGGCGACTGGTGGGGCCTCGCCTTCATCCTCGCCCTGATGCTCTCCCGCGCCCTCAACATCGCCAGCATCCGTAACCGCAGCCGCAGCCCGGCCCCGCCACCTTCCCCTTCCCAGCCGACGACGTACGTCGTGGAGCTCGGCCGCCGCGTGGTGCTCCTCCGGGGCCGCGCCGACGACCTGCGAGCGGTCACGGCGCGCGCGTGGCTGCGCGAGCGCTCCCGCGCGGACGGCTACCGCGAGGCCGCGGGGAAGCTGATCGTGTACGCGGCGGCGGCGTGCGGCGGCAACCTGACGCAGGCGGGCGCGATGGCGCTGAGCGCGCTGTTGTTGTTGAGCGCGGCGCTGCTGGGGCTGAGCAACGGCGGCGGCGGCCTGTGTGAGTTGCGCGTGCATGGGCGCGTGGCGAGGCCGGAGCGGCGGATGGCAGCGCAGGCGGCGGGTAAGGAGGAGGTGGAGGTCGTCGTGGTCGTCGGGGAAGAAGACTTAGAGGAGGGCAGGCGGGAGGGGTTTCCGGTTGAGGATGTCAGGGGAAGTTGACGACTGGTCCTTGAAGACGTAAATGTCTTGACCACCATTAGCATTCGCATTCAGTGGGCGTTCTTTGCTTTTCAACAGTTAACTTTTTTAGACGTAATGACATTTGATATATGTACTGTTAAATTTTCTCTTTGTAGCTGTTGATTTTCGAACCGGCGACGTTGCGGTCCTAGAAAAGCACTGCAGCAGTAAATGGACAAAAACAGCAGATAAAAAAGCACCCGATTGCGCCTGTTGTACACGTTAAGATGGCCTCTGCAAAGGCCATTTTAGCTGTTCCATACCCGGAACATGTGACGCCGCCCTGAAATAGAAAACTCGCCACGGCACCCATTAGACAATGACAAAACAAGCAATTCCCTTTACGCAGCGGTAGCGTCGTCTTCGTTCTTTGGTTCTGAAGCTGTTGGTGCAGGCTCAGCAGCAGGTGCTAGGGGCTCTGCTTCAGGTTCCGTGACGGGTTCCACGATAGGCACCGCAACGGGCTCTGTGACAGGCTCCGTGACAGGTTGCTCGGCAGGTTGCTCGGAGGGTTGCTCAACAGGTTCTGACTGAGTAGCCGGGGGCTCCTCTGGCATGACGTTCTCGTTGCGCTCCTCTAACTGTAATGCGGGTGGCTCCTCCGCCGTTGTTTCTCCAGCTGATTCGGGGATGGGCTCCGGCACCGACGGTTCCACGGATTCTTTTTCTTGACTGACTTCCGGTTCTGGCTGTGGCTGCGACTCGGGCTCAGCGGGCGCCGGGACAACGGGCTCAGGCTCCTGCAGCGCCGGAGCGGCGAATTCTGCTGTAGTTTCAGGTGCAGGCTCTTCGACCGCTACCGGCGCCGGCGCCGGCGGCTCTTCAGGCATCGGCTCTTCGCGATGATGCTCCTGCTCCTCTTTGGGCTCTTCAGGAACGATGGCTTCGCTCTGCTCTGGCTCAGCCTCTGCAACAGGTTCCTCTGGGATGACGGGTGGAAAAGAGGGCTCTGGATGAGCCTCTCGTTCAACAGGGCCGGGGGTCGCTGCGCCGGCGGGTTCCTTGGCCTCGTCTACCGACCCGGTGCCAACTTCCGAAGGCGCACCAGACTCCGTGAGAGGGAATCGCACAGATGCCGAGTCTTCAGGCTTGATGCTATCTTCCGTCATCAGGGAATCTTGATGCCGGAACGACTTTTCCGTGCTGTCCGTGTTCATGTGTTCTGACTCCTTGCTCTTGTCATCATTGTCTGAGACCCTAGACGAGGCGTCGTCGGCTTTGGGCGTAGCAATGTTGCCAACTTGCTCGGGTGGAGGAGGGAGCAGTGCTCCGCTGGGAGTTGGAGCAAGTTCTAGGTCTCGGTTTTCTGCTGCCTCGGGCTCCTCACCGACAATGGTCGAAGGAGGCTCTGCTACTGTCGAGCCGGTCTCGGCATCCACTGGCTTCGCGATAACCTGGGGTACATCTGACATGTTGATTTCTGTCGGAGATGGAAGAACAACGTTCTTCAGAGGACTACCCTCTACTTTCGACGAGTCGCTGGCAAGTGTAGCGAGTGGTGGAGGTAGTGTCAAGTGGTTGGCTGGTAGCTTGTCGGCCGCGGCAGCATCTGCTACCATCTCCTTCACCTCGGCAGGGATGGGAGGCGCATCGGTCATAGTTTGGTCTTTGTCTTTCGATTCTTCAACCAGGCTCGTATCTGGATGGTCGCTGTCGCCGTGCTCCTCGTCATCCTCGTCGCCCTCGTCACCATCATCACTCTCATCATCGTCGCCGTCTGCCATCTCGGTGTCACGGTGTGAGGCACCGTTGGCTTCGTTCGTGGTACCCTGTACGAATTTCATTAGCAAAAGCGATAGCGCAACGCAACTCGCAAGACTCACATTTTCTGCCGTCGTCGCTTGGCTAGGCATTGCGACACCGTCGCCATTGGGAACACTGATGTGTGGGGGTCCGCCCGCGATACCGCCTCTGTTCTTCTTCTTGCCGCGACCTGGCCCGGCCTTGGTCTTCCGCTTAGGCGGAGGAGGCCGGCGACGGTGGGGTTGAACTTGGGTGAGAGGCGCGGCAGGAGCCTGCAATGTCTCGACCCGTGTGGAAATGATCTCACCACTCACGGCCTGGCCCTCCGCGAGCGTAACCTCTTCAGTGTACGGGTTGCCTGCGGCGTCGACACGCCTCACTGTGGCTCTCGTGACAGTCGACCCCTGCGCCTTCTCTTCGGGTGTCTTGCTCGCAATCGTAACGGTATTCTTGCGTCGCTTGGCAAGACGCGTGATTTCTGGTGCTTCGACGTTCCTCGGAATTTGTTTCCAGATTTTGACGGAATATCCCTTTGGCGCGGGCTCCTCTTCCTTCTTCTCGGGCTTTTCATTGACGTTTTCTGTCTCGGCCTCATCCTCGTCTGTGGGCACAGTACGCTTGTACAGCCGGCCGGATCGGGCTGCACGCAACAGCTCTTGACTATGGGGTGTCAGGAGCCCGGAATCCTTCGGCATACCATGAATCAGTTCGGACGCCCAGACGTCATTGACTTGTTGAACTTCTTGCTCGATCGGAGGCGCGACGTTGACCCATTCCTGGCGCCATTGCCGAACGGGGAGGCCTGCATTTTGTTAGTCAGGACATATGCTGCAGCAATTGCGTCCGTAATCACCTTCAAAGTCATCATGTTCGGCATAGCCAGCGCGGTTAGCGCGACGAGTCTAGGGGGAAAATGTTAGCTGCGCGTGGTGAAATGGCTAGCAGAGGCGACTCACGCCAGGTGCCATGGTACTTTTGGGGCGCTACAACGGTCGCGGTCGGGGAAGATATGAAAAGAATATCGCGCCAATAAAGGAAGAGATTTGGACGTCAATGAATTGATGCGACAGCAAAGATGCGCTCGATGCTGCCGTCACAGCATTCACAACACGGTTGTCAACGGCGCGACGGTGTAGGAGAAGCGCCGTCGGCCAATTGGTGTCGGCTGGTCCGCATTACGTAAGCATCCAGCATCCGATGGCTAGAGAAGTTGAGGGATCATTTCTTCCAAGCTTCACTTGAGTTATTTTAGGTATTTATGATACAAGTATTGTCCATGTCAATGTTTGAGATTTGTATACTGTCTATTTTCCCTCAAGTGCATTCGCAGTACGCCGCGCCAACTAGGACGACCCATTCGTCCTCCAATAAAGCAACAAGTTTTCTGATGACCACTCTTGTATTGTACAGGTATTTGAACCATGGTTTGTCCTTGGTTTTTGGAATTAATTGATGGGAGAGTCTGGTTCATGTTAGTCCCCCAGTTCCGAGCTCATCTTGGCACGAGATGGCTTCAAGTCTTGACGTCGTGACGGAATTCACTGCTTCGCCACCTGGCTCGACTTCCCAGCGTCCTGTTGTAGCCTTGGATTAGCCAAATTCTAATATATGACTGCACTCCATATCTTACGGAAAGTCTCCCCTCGACGACTAATCGGTCGAGCTGATAAAATTGTCCGATCACCGTTTGGCGCTGTATCCGCAGCGTTAGCCGTGGTCAAAAAGATTATGAGAAAATCCGTGGCATCCGGCTCCTACCTTCATTGCCTGCAGTTCCTTAAGGCCCTTTTGGATAAGTTCCTGGACCTTGCGCGAGTCCTTTTCGGCCTTGTGCTCGTGGAAGGCATCCCTCGTTCGTCGTTTCGCATACTCGCGGAAGTTGTAGGCCGTGAACTGCTCGCCCTGTCGCAGTAATTGACGGTACTAAGTCGGGAAATGACGAAACGTTAGAAAACGAAATGGCACATTTTGGGAGCTGTACCGGGTTGACCTAGCAAACGGGGGGCTGATGCAGTTGCGGCGCACGGCAGCGGCTGACGGAGCAGTTTTTGACTTTTCCCACGGTCGCAACCCGGCGCATGACGAGGTATGAGGTACAAAGAACTCACCAAAGACCGAACCTGCTGGGGCGTTTCGCCTCGTAATGTTGCGACGGCAGACATTATGGTGATGGGTGTGAGGCTGGGGAGGGGAAAAGTTGATATGCAGGATCGAGTTCCAGCTGTGCTGGGGTAAGGCTGGTGGTGATGTCGCTCGCAGTAATGTCGGTCTTAGTCGGGCCGGTGCTCAGTAATTGGGAGCGCGAGACTAACTTAGCAGGTTTTGCCGACCCGCACTGTGTTGATGAGAATGCCGATATTCAATAGATAGAAACACAGTGGGAATATTAAATTCGTGTATGCAATTCGAGTCAATATATATTTCGTAAATATTCGAGATACAATGCTGGAAGACCCAGGGTGATGTACAGTTGAAAATTTCTTTACATGGTAGTTGGGGTATCGGCCATCTATGGAACGGCCAATAATGGCGAAAACTTTTATGTAACTGACTGCATGTTGTAATCCAAATGCTATATTTGTAACGTGCGACGTGGTACGTTCCTCGATAATTGCCCCTCTCTTCTGAAGAACCAGCACCAAACGAGCAGGGACATTGTTCTTGCGTGGCTGCGTTTGTGCACAAAGCCGAACTTGCTGTCTTCGGGAAATTCGGACTATGCGGGCTTGCGTAGCCTAACACGCGGCAGCGCCCGCCGAGGCCGGCCGGGTCGGGCTTGCTCACTTTGGAAGGTCAGAACACATTGATGGACCTTGTGAGCTGTACAACATCGCTTCGATTCTGGTACTTGAGCTTCATGCAGCATCCGAGTTTGCCGCTGGCGGTGCAAAGGCATGCAGCGCTCTTGTGATAGTGTCATCAGAAAACCCAGGCGTGTTCAGCATTTCGCTGAAGCGAGAAGCTTCCGAATCTCCTGTTATCTGTGTAGAGAGCGTATACTGGCGCTGGGACTGGTTCGGCTTGACCACCGTGGGCGTCTGGTGAGACGGTTGCGATGTGAAGAGCGAAACGAATGCCAGGTTCGTGACAGAGGCGTTTAGGTTTGCGAGCTCGGCTGGATGACTGTTGTCGGTCAAATTCCATCTCAAGATCTTGCCTTTTGTGTGACCAGTAATGAGCGTTGTGCCGTTATAGTTCAAAGCCAAACAGTTGGCCGGGCCAGCATCGGCGTCGGCAACACCCAGAGGCGAGTTGACCTGAACGACGATGGAGGACGACTCCGTACTTCGAGAGCCTAGCAGCGGCTTATCACCAAAGAATTCAACAAAGAAGATGGAACCGTCCTCGGCGGCGACAACGAGAGCTCGGGCACAAGGGTCCAGGGTGGCGCAAAGGGGTATTGATGGGAAGAGTAGAGTCCTCAAGACTTGTCCAGTCTGGTAGTTCCACAGGATGCATGTCTTGTCTTTGCTCGAGGAGACACAAAGGCTCGTCTCGGCATTATCGCCAGATGCCACAACGAGAGCGGTGATGGCTCCACGGTGGTTGGAGAGAGTCAGACCAGGCTCAAAGCCAGGGTCGGCGGCGTACTCGAGCAGCCTAGCCAGAGACCAGACATTGATGTTTGAGTCATCAGAAGCAGTCAACACGTGGCTGTCTGTAGTGGCAAGGCAGGAAACTGCTTGCACATGACAGGGTGGCGTGGTGATTAGGCGACCAGTTGACGTCTGTATGCTGGAGTTAGTATGCGACGAGCTGGGAGATGATGAGAAGCCCCAAAAGAAAGTATAAAACGGTGTGCTGGCATGTGCGTTCAAGGAAAGGTATGGATGGACAATGTCTGAGTTGCAATGAAGTTTTAGGCTATGAAAAAGTAAACCTACCTCCCAGAGCATCAATCTGCCCTCGGCAGTTCCCAGAAGCAAGACGTTTCCTGCGAGAGCCACGCTTCGTATCCTCTCCTGAAAAGAAATGAGGGCTTCTTGGGTACCACGCTGGCGTGAGTAGACATGAACGTGAGATTTTTGGTCCTGAGCGGCAAAGACGTGAGTGTCGCTGATGGCGAGGCAGTTTGGACCAACAGAGCTCTTCTTGAAGGTGGCCTTGAGACGCCAGGCGGGGGCTAGGGTGTGAGTGTAGATGCCAACGTCTTTGGGTACGGCGGTGTTGGCAGCGAGGGGGGGCCCGCAGACGGCGGACACGAGGTCCTCCGTGAGCATTGCTTTTGGCTTGCTGCGAGTGGCGTGTTTTTCTGGAATTACCCCTTTCTTCGTTGATGAAGGGTAGACCTGGTAAATGATCTCCAGTATCTAGTTAGTATCGAGGATGCAAGATGGCGCAGCGGCTCTTGGCCGAGCAGTAGTTGGCAGGATGAAATGAGTAGTCGCCTGGCCTCAATTGGTCTCGGTTGATGACGCTCAGACAGTGGAATTTGCGGGCTCGGCGTCAATGATTCCCGAAGAAGGGATAACAAGGCGGAAGGGGTGACACGGTGAGAAAAGAAAAGAAAAGTGAAAAATGATGTCTGGCGATGGTGGTAGCTTTTTTTTTCCTTTGGCGAGGCAGACGTGGAGACAATGTCGTTGGAAAGTGGATTCAAGGTGGTGTTGTATGTACATACATAGGTAACTACAGCGTACTCGATGGTTTAGTTGAGGTACCAAAGGTACAGCGGTTAAGCAGGGCACTCAAGCTTATGTACATATGTATGCACATACATACATACGTACATACATACATACATACATAAGGTAGTACCTGTCAGAGACCGCTGTAACAGCGCTCGTGAGGGCCTGTTCCAGTGGAAGGGCATGTCCGATAAAAAGCGTTCGTGCCGCTGGCTCCCGCTGTTTGATTTGTTTTGTTTCGCGTACCCACGCCGGGTATCTACTTGTGCCGCCAACACCGAGCGAGGCTGTAGATGGACCTTTTGCTTCGTATCAAGAGCAATCAATATGCATTGCTTAGTTTACTAGCTGTCGACAATATGACAAAAACACTGCAGACCGGTCAGGTCCTGGATGCTGAGTTGACCGCCTCTACTAGTTACTGGCGCAGCGCGACAAACAAAAAATTAGGTAAGCCGTGGCTCGCGGTGTCTCACCAATTGCCCTTTCCTCACTGCCCCTCCACTGCCTCAAGCCAGCACAACGCCACAGGCACCACATTCTTCTTGCATTTCCACCTTCATCAGTCTACTTTGATTCTGCCACGCAATGTCGTCGTTTTTTTCTTTTTCATCTCTTCTTTCTTGCCCACTCCTCCACCTAGACTGAACGCCCTGAAGCTAGCATTGCGCCACGCCTTCGCAAAGACCCATCTTGCATCACCCTCTAGCGATACGCGTTCTGTATTGCTTTTGGCCAGAATGATGGGTCACATCCCTTGCATCCCACGCCGTATCCGCCCATGCACATCATCTGCTCATGAAGACAAGCTTCTGCGGGCGTATCGAGAGTTTGCCCTCGTTGCCAATCCCGCGTACTTGCAGAGACTCTATTTATGGATAGAGACGAGTAGTAGTAGTCTTCGGTGCGTTTGTTTCAACATTGTCTCCTAGGCTGCTTCGCCCTGGACATACGCCCGCAAAGTTGAATGCTGCTTTTAATACGTATGTAGGAAACCGCCGCGATACCCTCGCCTTCATTCTCTTGGCCATAGTTGGGGGCGCTCACTCAACTATACCCACACCACCAGGTCTCAGCCACGACAGCCAGAAACATACCATACTCTTTGTCAATTCGCTTGAATGAGTATTCACAAATGACGAGGACCACCGCTGACGCTATGCTCCTCGCTCGCTCCATTCTCGAACCGACTTGCGTTTCCAGAGCGTACCACAAACGTAGCTCAAGGGGTCTTTTCGCCGCGTGAACGCCTCGTCCAGCACACGAGCACAATTCCGTTTCTCACCGTCATACCCACTCAAATTCCTTGACAAACTTAACTTAGTTACCTCAGATCAAGACCCATGGCAGAGACCCGTCTCGCAACGTGCTCGACTATATCGGCGTGGTCCCAGCGAGGCGTTGCCCCCTGGTCCGTCACCGGTTACATCAACCGACGCAGGATACACACAGGACCGGATCTTTTCACCGTAAAACGATTCTCAACGGGCCGTAGGGAGAGTTTGCGCCACATGTGTGCTGTCAGCGTCGATTGCTTGCCTGCACTCTTCAACAGGACAGGTACAGGCTGCAGCAAGCCTTGGCCTCTCCCAGCCGCGTTTTTTACTTTTGCCTGGGCAATGTGCAGTCGACGCTCTACTTTTCTTTTTACTTGCGTCAATAGGGACATGGCCAACATGTCAGCACTTGTATCGCACATTATCGATTTGGCAACCCGGTCGTGGTTGTAAAGGGAACCCTTGGCCATTACAGCCAACCAACTAGTACCTGCAGTTGCTTTTTTCCTACCCCGCCTTGTCTTTTGGAATTGCTTATTCCAGAGTCTAACCGCAGTACGAATATACAACGGCAATTATGGAAAGAAGAAGAAGTAAGGGAAGAGGAAGAGGGAGAAAAAGAAAGATATGCTGTCAAGTGGGTAATTTTCAGTCGATACAAATCCCGCTCAAGGGTATTCCACTTGGATCGTAAAAGACGTCGACCTGCCCTCCCCTCGTCGTCTCGATACAGATGTTTTTGGACTCGCTTCCAATCCATCCACACCACGGCTCGGTGCGACTAGACGGTCTTGGTCTTTGTCTGGAGACAGACAGCTCGTGGTAAATTGTCTCGCCTCCTTGGCCCCCAAAGCAGCTCCGCGTGGCCCAGGCAAACAAATTGCTTGTCGCCCGCAGGCCCTGTCTCCCTTGTCTCGCCCGCCCGCTCCCGCGACCCATCATCGTCGTCGCAGTCGCCGCCACTCGAGACAGAGCCCGGCTGTACTCGCTTCGGTGCTGCCCGCCCGTCGCTCCCTGATACTAGCTAGCCAGCAGCCGATCCCAGACAAGGCTGTCTTTGTCTTTGTCTTTGTCTTGTCCTGTCTGTCTCTAGTCCCGAACCCCCGAACTCTCGCTGGATGTCACTTGCCCTGTTCCCCTCCTTCAATCTCGGACTTATATACAAGCTTGTCCCAGGCACCCGGCCCGCGGCCCACGCTGGCGACCCTCCTCGTCCCCCATGCCCGCTCCCGGTCACGACGACCCTGCCTCCGTGCCGTTGGATGGCTTACACACCCTCAACTTGCCCCTAGAACAGCAAACACTCCCACACACGAGCGCAGATTCCAGGCCCAACAGCCCTACCAGGAACTCTGCCTCGGCGTGCTCCAGCCGCTCCTCTCTCTCACGGAGGAGATCCGTCTCGAGCATGAAGGGCCTCATGCCACTTACACTGTCGGCCTCAGCAGCAAGCTACACGAGTCCGATTCTCCACGAGGAAAACTTGAGGCAGAGAGTAGACGACTACCTGCCTGAGCTGCTTGCGCAAGATTTAGAGCTCGCCAGCGATCTCTTCGCCGCCAAAAGTATGAGTGCGGGCGCCCCGACATACTCAGTCGTCGCCGAGTACATGGCGCGAGCCAAGGCCACTGGGCAGTTTACCAATCGACTGAGCATGGCCCTTCCATACCAGCCAGCGTCAGCTCGAGTCCAGGTTCTCGGTGCTATTGAAGAGCGGGACTCGATTGCTTCCCTTCTCGAGCAGCAGCAGCAGGAGCAGCAATACCACCATCACGACGGCTATCTGGACGGATCCGAGCTGGATGACTTGTCCAGCGAGGACGGCTCATTCGGGATGCCTCCTCCACCAATCCGCTACCGCCGAAATCTGTCTATTATCACAACCGCGACGTCCTTTACGGATTCAGTAAAGAAGCAATCCCCCCAACATTCGCCCCTGCATATGGAACCCGTCTGCGGCAGCTGGATCGACGGCGACTCTGACTCTGACTCTAATTCCAACTATGATTTTGAGGATGAAGAAGATTCATATGCTGGACCAGAATCGCCCCCAACTCTACTACCAAGATTATACGTCCCTCAAGAACCACTGTCACCTCTTTTTCCCAGATCCCCCACAACGCCGCACACTGATCTTGACCCGTTGGAATACGAACCATCCGCCACCCAGGAATGCAGCCGAATTCTGCACAAAAAATCCCATTCGGTCTCTGATGTTCCAACTGCTACGTCACTGATGCCCAAGAAGGGCACGGCATCGAAGCAGGCTGCTGCAGCCGCCCCCGACACTACACCGTCTAATCGCGCAAGCATCATTGCACAAGAGTTTCAGCGAGCTACGTCGCCCGACTTTTCGGCCGCCGAGCAACGGACGCCGGTGTCACACGTCCTTGCCTCGACACCGCCACCCGTGCCACAAAAACATCACCAAAGACTCTCGATGCTGAGTGCGGAGAGTTTGGGAAAACAAAAACAGACGCTCGCCGCCGCCGCCGTAGCCGCCACCGCTCGTCAACAGCCGGCACCCATCCCGGAATCACCACCCATGACTGAAGTGGACACCTCTTCTGAGGCCGGGATTGAAGAGGGCAGCGCTTACGGCGACCAGGCGAGATCCTGGCAACCCCTGGAAACGGACTACTCCAGAACGACGCCGCCCTCCTCGCCGCCTCGCCACTTTGTCACCTTGGCCAATGCGGCGACGCCCTACGTCCCGAACTTTGGCGGCGACGAGCTCGCGAGAGTGGTGCCGCTACCGCCGGATGTGATTGAGACGCTTCGGGTCTCAGTTGCATGTTTCCCCGAGACAATCCTGCTCTCGTCCAGCCTGACGATTGAGACGATTCGATCGTACTCGAAGAAGATGAGACACCCTGAGACAGACGTGCTGAGACTCGCATCGACCCTAGTACCGGACGACGAGGGCACTGGCAAGAGGTCACTCTGGTCAAAGGTGAACCCACTCAAGAAGTCATCGTCGTCCAGCCTACGGCACAGCGCCATGCGCTCCATCAACGGGAGCCGCTCGGGCAGCATCAGCGGCGTCATAGGCGGGGTGGGTGGTGGAAGCGCGGACTCGCAAAAAGCATGGAGCGCGATCCAAAACGTCTTTGGCTCATGCTCTGAGTACATCTGCGACGCGCTCTTTGCCCACATCATGGCCTACAATTACATCTCGGCGCTTCTCGCCCGCAGCGCCGCGTCCGCCCCTGCCGCCACCACCGCGAATCTCCTGGGCCGCCACACGAGCTGCCGCAGTCGGCCATCCACCGACCAGAAGCGTGGGGACGACATTCCCCGAAAGGCCGCCTCCCTTCTCGGGCTAGGCGACGTCGACTCTGCGGGGAGCAGCAGCAGTCGCTTCGCTCGGCGCACCAGCACCATGGCTAGCTCCATTGCGTCGCGACCGTTATCCACGGACGGGCTGCTCGCTGGCCAACCGATCTCGACCGCGGCCGGCAGCGGCGATACGCCGGTGCGTACAGTCCACGCGGGATTGTACAGGTGCATTGTACGACTTATTGCCACGGCCCGTCTCACCTCTGTGAGCGGGCGGCTGGACCAGCCCATCGTCGACGAGGAAGCCACCGAGGTCGATCCCTTGTTTATGAGGAGCCTTTGCGAGGTTGTGCGGCTTGTGGAGGAGACGTCGTAATTTCGGTGCGAGCATGGCCCTTTCAAAAATGTCACAATACCAGGGGACCAGTTTTCGGGGTTATGATGCTGTGTGTTATGGAAGATTGGTTTGTTTTATTAAAATTTCAACGTGCAGGATGGAAAGACTGTCATTAGCGAGGAGCTCGGTTGCGTTTTCACTTCGGAACGATCTTTTTGTCGCTTTATTTTACATTTTCTTTGATGACACTCTATACTGTTTTGCTCTTCTTGCTGTTCATTGACCAAAGAGCGGGCATCTCTTTCGTACTTTCATAATACCGTATACGATACCACTTTCCTAATATCTACCTGTCTCTACAGCGTGCATTTGTGTCTTGCATTGGGTGCCACCACGCAGCGTACAATAGGAACGCCAGGGCCACACGGCACACAAGTTTGGGACAAACGGCCAGAAAGGGTAGGCTTGGGGAGTTATATAGTGCGACAGTGTAGGGGTTCATGGTGGGAGCATGTAGGGACGGGATCGATGCTTACCCTACGCGAGCTCGGTGGTGGGAGAGGGACCGATGAAGCTACTAGGCGGCATCGGTGGAGGAATTATACGGCTTTGCATGCATGCACGAGTGTCATGAAACTTCAGATGGGGGTTGGCTGTTGCCATGTATAGTATTGAATAACCTGGGGTATCTTGTGCCTGCCTCCAAAGGAAAAATAACATTTGTCTCCCGGCTGTTGAAATGCCAAAGGGGAAACAAGTACTGTGGTATCTATGCGTTATTGTATGTAGTACATGAGCTGCTCTCTCAATCCGAGCGCTGCAGAGTATTGTTGAATTCGATCGTTTGTTTGTTTGCATCCCGGGGTTTTCTTACAGGGCCAACGGGCCAATGTTGTCGCCAAACAGTTCCTCGAACCACGGCTTCTTACCCTTTTGGCAGATGCCGTCCCACGATATCGGCGAGAAGACGGCCTTGCCGCCATCCGTGGCCGGCTCAAACACCGTCACCGCCTTCTCACGACCCTCCGACGCCGGCGGCATGTACACAACCTCCCCCTCACCGTCGCCGGTCCTCTCCGCGGGAAGCCGGAGGATGGGGCGGACGCCGGAGCCGGTCTGCGGGGTGATGAGGTGTGCCGAGACGAGGCGGCGCAGCTGCGGGTAGAACCACATGCGCTCCCACCAGTTCTCGATGCGCCAGGCCTTGAGGTTGTCGACGTAGGCGTTGTGGTGGATGCCCACGGGCGTGGTGCCGAAGTAGAAGTCCGTGTACAGCGGGACCTCCCCCCAGGTGACGTCGCGCAGGGGATCGCGGTACTTGCCGGCGTCCCTCGCGTCGTTGCTCCCGGCGGCCGCGGGGAGCAGCTCCGGGGGCACGCCCTTGACGCGCACGCCGTCGACGACGCCAGCGCGCTCCGACTCGGCCTCGACCTGCTCGCGATCATCCAGGCGCACAAAGTACCCGTCCTCCTCGGCGCTGCACGTCGGCGGGATCGTCGCGAAGCCGTAGTCGAGGCCGATGCCAAACTCAAAGTTCCCGCCCTCCTCCAGCGCTGCTCTCGCCACCGGCCTTGCGTCCCTGTGCACGCCAACGGATTTGCTCTCGCCCGCCTCAGAGTCCCAGGTGGCGCCGAGGTGGCGCGCCCACTCCCGCCAGAGCTCCTGCTCGCCGACGACCTCGCCGAGGAGCGCCTGGTCGCTCCAGAGCTGGCGGCCGGCGCGCTCCGCGGCGGCGACCTTTTCCCTCGATCGAGCGAGCGCGTCGCGCAGCGCGCCCATGGTGCCCATGATCATGCCGCTGTTGACGCACCGCGGGCGCACCCGCCGGAAGCGCCGCGCCGAGTCGAACAGCGGGCCGGACACGCGGTCGGTGCCCGGGCCGTACATGAAGGCCGGCATGGGCGACTGCGGCCAGTGGTCGTAGTGCGGGTCCGAACCGGACTGCGGGCCCGGGTGGCAGTCCTTGGCGGAGGTGACGACGATGCGCTGCCTGGGCGGCGGTATTGGGAAGTCCTCGCCGCCGCTGCGTTGGAACTCCTTCTCCCACTGGTCGCGCACCCGCTTGTCGGCTTCCTTGTTGATCTGGTGGTATCGCCGGATGAGCACCGACGGGGGCAGCTGGAACCAGACGTCGTGGGCGTCGACCAGGACGGCGAGGTCGTCTTCGTGGGCGGTGCCGCGGGGGTCGGAGAGCAGGGCGTCGATGGCGGCGTGCAGGCTCTCGAGCTTGGCGATGTGGCTGCCGGCGAGGTGCCACTCGGGTCGGTTGAACTCGCCCTTCCAGTTGAGCAGGATCGGCAGCGGGTAGCCGAGGGCGACGGAGGACATGACGGACTTGCAGAGGTTCAGGTGCGGGCCGTCGGCGGGCATGAAGATGCGGAGGCGCCGGGTGGTGCTGCCGGCGGCGTCGTGTGCGGAGGAGGAGGAGGAGGGGTGCGGGCGAGGGTAGGAGAGGTTCTGGAGCTGGGCGAGGGTGACGGTGCCGTCCCAGGACGAGGAAGACGAGCGGAGGGAAAATGAGGAGCTTTTGGTGGCCTGGGGAGGAAGAGGCAGTGGTGTTAGTATTCGGTGATCAAGGAGAGGGAGCATGCGCGGTGTAAGAGGGGGCGGGAACGGATTGCGAGGAAAGACTGACCATGAAGCCAGTGGCCATGATGGTCACGGCGACGACGAGAACGGATAGGCGCTTGACATTGCGAAAGCGCTTCTTGTTCTTGCGCGAAGGCGGCGCGAGAGCTGGTTCGTCGACGGGGAGGCTGACACGGCGGCCACCGCGACGAAAGTGTTTAAACATTGCGCTGAGGGCGCCCAGGGCACGACGTTGTGTATAGATGGGAAGTCCGTTATTGAAGTTGATGAGCGAGTGTTGTAATAACGGGAGATTGAATGTCGGATTGAAGAAATACTAATATAAAGAGACAGAAAATAGGAAGAATAGAAGCAGAAGTGAATCAGGTTGAGTTGCTATCGGGGGAAGAGCGTGTAGATGAGATCAGGTCAAGTGGCTTGGATGTGGAACGGAGGGGGGATGTAGATGTACATTGGACGAGTGTTTTACAGGGGTGTTTTCACGCATTAGCTGCAACAGGGAGAAAAAAGAAAAGGAAGAGTAGAAAGATAAAAGCAGTACAGAGAGTGCATGGTGGACGGCACAGCAGGCACAACAGTTCAGTATAGTTGCCAAGTACACTGTAATTGACCAGACTTTTCCCCAAAACCCCTTGTATCGAGAGACAGATGTATTTTAGCTCCAGAGACGCGGGCTAGCTAGGACGGAAGGGTGCTACGGTGGTGACCTTGTCTTGGGACGGGCCCTTTTGTGTGTGCGCCATTTTGTACCGTCAGCCAATGGATCGAGGACGTGGGTGAAGCATGGGCTGAGACCGGGGGGGCGGTTTGGACCACGGGTATTAGTGAAAAATTTAGTAGGAAGGATATCGTGTTAGTGGAAGTTTTGTTGATGTCGTGTGTGTGGTTTGTGGCGGCGCCTCCTTGTCCCTTTTTTACTTTCTTCTTTGGTGTGTCAAGACTGCATACGCATATAGCTCGAACGATGCAGGGACAGATCTTCTGTCAGAGAAGCAGGGTCGAGTTTTGGATACATGGACGTATATCCTTTTTGCGTTTATTCCCTTTTGGTACCTCTTTTGCGTGAGACAAGCTGGTCATGGCCAGCTACGGGCTGACGTATCATTCGAGAGAGAGAGAGACAAGGTGCCCCTGCAGCGTCGAAGCGATATCACTGGCGCAAGGCTGGGCGGGCTGTAGCGGCTTGCCTTTTGCGGTAACAAGCACAGGGAACAGTTGTAGCTTGACTGGGGGGATGAATTGAATGGGCAGTCAATCAAGTGGTCAATTGGTCAATTGGTCAAGTTTGTTGAGAATCACATGTCAAAAAAGTTTGCGCTCATTATCCGTCCCGCGCAAAGATTTCAAAACCTTTCATTTCCCTGTTGCATTGGGGAATTAAAATTAGCTAACCAAGACGAAATCGAATCACGTAGAAGACGGATTTTTCGAATCAAATTTCTTGTTCAAGGGCGAAAGGGTGGGAGGGACGGCAGGCAGGACAAGTACAAAGTACACGCGACCAGAGCAGCTGGATCTTGGCTGCATGCATAAATGTGCTAGGTTAGTCGCAGAGATGTACAGGGTCGTTTCTTTTTACACTTTAATCACCCGCCGCATTGGCACAACCCCCCCTACTCTCCCGCATCTCCCTCGCGACTCAACGCTTACACGTGCAGCAGAGGGGCTCCCTCGGAGGCGGCTCTTGCTCGCTTCCCCGGTTTTAGCATGTTATTAGCGGATTTTATTCGCGGACGGACTGGGTTCTGTCGCTATCTGGCCAAGACAGAACCTCCACCACGACTGTGGAATTGGCCCTCTCTCCCTGGATGCAACCTGCGCCCTTTTCCTTGGCTACTTGCTCGCTCCAGTTACTGCCTCCGGAGCGCTGTGGGGCCGTTAATTATGGAGCGATTCGGTGCCGTACTGGAGCTGAGCGTCAACTAGAGGCCTACGGAGCTCCAATATTGTGCTATTTAGACAGAAGAGAAAATTGTTGAGAATTCCCTATGGATTCTTCTTGCATGGAATGTTTTGGATAGACATGTGCATATCTGGCGTATGCTTGGAGCTGTATCTACTGTTCAACAGCTGGGAGCTATGGGAGCAGCTGTGCCTGCCAAGGACTGTCATGTTGTGGCAGCTTGTATCCGTACAAAAGTAGGGAGTCACGCGAGCGATGGCGTCCAGATGGCGAGAGGAAAAAAAAAAACCATAGAAGATTAGAGGAAATTGAGTAACGTTTTTGTCAACACCTTTCTCCCGCTTTCGGCAGGCAATAGAGCATGTATACACATACCCTCGGTACAGGTACTCTCCCGCTAAATTGCAGCCCTGCCGCACTAAACCCATTGCCCGTCCCCCGTGGGCCGCTCTCTGGCTGCTGGCTGGCCACGGGCTTCCTTCCACCAGACACAATCAAAGACAGCTCCGCCCCCGTCTTTTCTCAACACCAGTATAACATCCACCACCATGGCTGGCCACGTTCTCCATTTTCCCTATTTCCCGTCTCGCGTGTCTCTTCTGTAGATGACGCTATCGTTTTGTGTTCCTGCATAGCTCGGCATCCTTACGTCCTCAGGCGCTGGCTGTGCTGCGCTGCGCTGCCCGTACATCTCCATCTCCATCAACACCAAACGCGACATTCACCGAGCCAACAACCCACCCCATTGGCGCGATGGTGAGCCCTCAAAGCCACGAGCGGCGGCAGGCCATCAAGGCTCTCCGTAACCAGAGCATCAAAACCATTACCGGTTACACAATCATCGGTTCGTTGATCCCGATCCTTTCGGCCTGACCCAATCACCAGCAAACACCCGCCGTCGCCAACTGCCTCTAACCACACCTCCCTTGGCACAGGCTTCTGCAATGTCGTCCTCGCCAACATCGTCTTCTCCGCCAGCTACCTCGTCATCCCCTACTCGCGGCCCGTCGTCCTCCTCATCCAACTCCTGCCCGCCCTCGCCGCCAAGCTCCTCACCCCCTTCCTCCTGCCCTTCCTCCCCTGGCGCCTTCGACCCTGGCTCTTCGCCGCCTGCTGGTCCCTCGCCATCTTCGTCACCTCGGTCACGCCCGCCAACGTTCCCGCCGTCTGGCGCGTGCTCATGACGGCCCTCGCCGCCGCCACCGCCGCCGCCACCGAGGTCTCGTGCGCCGGCCACCTGCGCCACTTTGGCCGCGCCGGGCTCGCCGGCTGGGGCATCGGCACCGGCGCCGCCTCCCTGCTCGCCGCCGTCGCCCCGTACTTCCTCTCCGTCAGCCTGCATGTGCCGCTGCGCGCCGCCGTCGGCCACGCCCACTACTTCATCGGCGCCGCGCTCGTCGCCGGTTCCATGATCCTGCGCCGCCCGCCCGTCTTCACCACCACCACCGTCGACAGCATCAAGTTTGACGCGCGCGCCGCCGAGGAGGGCGGCTCCTTCGTGGTGCTGGAGCCACCAGCGCAGGGCGAGGCGCAGGCGCAGACCTGGACGGCGCGGATCGAGCACAACCTGCGTCTGGTCGATCCACTCGCCAAGCCGTACATTCGCTCGCTCTGCTTCGCCTTTACGCTGCAGGCGCTTGTCGCGCCGGGCATCGCGCGCGCCCTCGCCCGCTCCGACCTCTTCGCCCACTTCGAGACCTTTACCGCCGTCTACGGACTTGCCTTCCAGGCCGGCAACCTGGTGTCGCGCTCCACCATCCTGCTCGTGCGTGTCCGCCACCTCAACCGTCTCACCTCGCTGCTCGCCGTGCTCAGCGCCGCGGTGCTCCTCAACGGCGTCGCCGCGCTCGTCTCCTCCCCATACCTGGTGCTGCCCACCGTCTTCGCAGCCGGGCTCCTCGGCGGTGCTGTCTACGCCAACGTCTTCGCCTCGGCCCTCGAGCAGATGGCCGTGGACAGGCCCGCCGACGCTGAGTTTGGCCTCGGCGTCATCGGCGTCGGCGAGACGGCTGGCACGCTGTGCGGCTCGTTGCTGGCGGCGCTGGCGGAGCAGAGCCTCTGCGGCGTGGACGCAGGGACCGGCACGCGGTGGTGCTACACCAAAACGTAGCATTCAGTTGCATCATTCATTCTCTCATTTCACGGCGCTTTCAACAATGCGACTTGACGCATGATACCCAATCTGGTTTGTTATTTTGTTTCATCAGCTTCTATAGGATATACCCCTTGGTAGGTGGCGTGCGGCTACCAGCTTCAACATTTAATGATAATATATTCACGCAACCTGTGCACTACATACACTAATTGACTAATTGATTGATTGATTGATTGATTCAACGCCAGCGAGATTCTCTATTCCAACCGTTTTTTAAGGCCCATCATCAGAAACAATGGCCGCAGCAGCTCCTCCTCGTCAAACTCGCCCGCCGCCAGCTCCTCCTCCGTCGGAAGCAGCTCCACCAGCCTCGCCAGCTCGAAGCCCGCGCCCATGAAGATGTCCAAGTAACCCTGCAGCGTACGGTGCTGCTTGCGCAGCCCCGGCGCCAGCCAGTCCACCACTCTCTCGCCCTCCTCGTGGTACGCGCCCAAGTTCCACGAGCGCTCGCCCTCTGCATCCTCCACTACGCGCGGCCTCCGCGGCGCCGTGTACACCGGATGCTCCAAGTTGACGACGAACAGCGCGCCGGGCCTCAGCGCCCCGTGCACCGCCTCCACGAGCGGCCGCAGCGCCGCGATGTAGTGTAGCACCAGCGAGCTGAACGCCAGGTCGTACCCCTCCCCCAGGTCGTGGGCACTGCCGTCTAGGTCCGCGATGCGGTAGTCTATCTTGGCGGCGAGGGCGGGGTCGAGGTCGCGGTTGAGGGCGCGCGCCTTGGTGATCATGTTGGTGGAGATGTCGAGGGCGGTCACGGAGGCGGCGCCGCCGTGGGTGACGGCCCACCGGGCGAACCAGCCGGAGCCGCAGCCGACGTCGAGGACGCGCAGGCCGGCGAGGGAGGGCGGGAGGAGGGTGCGCAGGCGCTTCCAGAGGAGGTCCTTGTCGAGGTCCTTGTGCCCGGAGCGGTCGATGGTCTCGGAGTAGGCGGCGAAGAAGTCGGGCCTGTCGTAGATGTTTTGCGACATGACGGGGGTTGGAAGGTTGCAGAGGGGGAGGCTATGGGATGGATGTTGGAAAGGTCCAAGTGTAGGCGATTTGCAGCCGTATTTATACCGGAAAAGTATATACCGGAAAGTTTCTTTCAGCTGCTGTGCTTGCTATCTTCAACGTGGCAACGGCTGAGCAAAATCTTTTCCTATTCTGGAAAGTAAATAAAACAGAGTTGACTCAACATCATGGTTCCTTGCTAAAACTAGACGTGGAACCCCGCAAATAAAGCACTCGGCTCTCCATATTCCATCTCCATCCGTCCTTCACCTGGCAAAGCTGCCATGCGTAGTGCAGTACATGGCCCGCTCTCATATGAGTCACTGGGTGGTCCGCTGGATACGATGAAGACGCGTTGATCTATTTGGGCAAGCAGATGGGGAGCTGAATTTTTGCACTTTGTTTTACATATCAATTTCGAGCCTTGTCAGGCATTTCATCTTATTGCCGCTGTCCGTCTCGCCCACAACTCACGTTAGATTTCCATACTTGCGCCTACAAGTCAAACATGCAAAACACAACTACACCGCATTCTGACGGGCATTTGTGAATGCATCTTACAGTTACGTATCCGTGCTGTCTGAAATAATATCGCCTACACCTGACTCTTTCATCCTTTCAAGGACAGTTTACAGGAAATAGATCCCATCATTCCGATTTTCTTCATTCACATCTCCCAGCGAACATGTGGCTAAATCTCTCCGCTAATATGCATATAGTCATCTACTACCATCACCATAGCCATCATCGATGCCTAGTCGTCGCCGCTGTCGTCGTCGTCGCCAGGTCCCTACCAGTCGTCGTCGTCGCCGCCGTACGTTTCCTCGTAGGCCTCCTCATACTCCTCCCGCGCCTCCTCCAGCTCCTCCCTGTCGCTGCTGCTCGCCGACGAGCTGTCCGCATCGCGCAGGGCCTCCTCATACCGCGCCCGCGCCTCCTCGACCTCCTCGCGGTCACTCGACGACACCGAGTCGCCGTCAATGTCGTGGGCGGGCAGCACCGCGGGCACCATCGCGGGGGCGTACGCCGCCTCCTCCCACCGGTCCTCGTCCCTGTGTACCCTGTCCTCGAACCTGTCGACCCTTTCGTCAACGTCGTGCTCTGCCTTGTGCTCGAGGCGGTCCAGGCGGTCCTCGACGCTGTCGACCTTGTCCTCGATCGCGTCCTCGGCCTTGCCGAAGAGGTAGGAGCCCGCGGCGCCCGCGGCTAGGCCCGCGACGGCGCCGACGGCCAGGCCACCGGCCATGCCCATGCCGCCGCCGCTGCTCTTCTTAGCGTCACTGCTGGAAGGAGGTGGGCCGGACGGTGGGCTGTACTGGGAGTATTGTTGTTGGTGCTGCGGTGGCGGGCCAGACGGTGCGTCGTAGCCGCGAGAGTCTCCGCTCGGCTGGGAAGGGGCGTAGTAGCCGGGAGCCTCCCACTGGGTCTCGTGCGTGTTCTCGTTGGCGTAGTACCAGCGCTGGTTCTGGTGATCGTAAAACGGCCGCCACTCGCGCGGGATCGGTGGCTTGTCCTGGGGCGGCTGGTACGGCGGCGCGAGGGGCGGCGAGCCGTACTGGTCCTGAGGAGGCGGCGAGTTGTATTGTGAAGGCGGCGGCTGCTGCTGCTGATCTTGGTATCCGTAGCCTTGCTGTGCTGTGAGAGGTTGTCAGCGACGTTGCGTGAATTCCGGTTGCTGGGTTCTGCTTACGAGGGGGGTATTGGCCGTTGTTGGGCCCCAAGCCCATGTTGCCGAAATTTTGGGCGAGGTTGTCCTGATAGGTAGCCATGGCGGCCTGCTGTCAGAAAAAGAGTCAAATTTCAGAGAAACGGCGGTTGCTGTTGCTGCTTGGGTAGCAGCTTTGGATGTTGGCGGGGTCGAGGTTGAGGTTGAGGTTAGTGATAGCTGACAGCTGGCAGGTGGTGGTGGTTTTTTGTAAGAGAAGAGGTGCCAAGAGCTCTGCATTGATATGCAATCGCGGCGCCCCAGTTTTGACTATGACGGGCCGCTCGGGATGCAGAAGCGGCGCGTCATTTTTTTCCAGGGTCCCTTTGATGGTTTTGTATGTGACACGACACAGTTCTGGGCGTGCAGAAGCTGCGCATCCTGACTGGGGTCGTGGATGAGACGGAAGTGATTGGGTGCTGGAGGCCTCAAAGGAACCCTTTGGTACGACCCAGGTACCCATTTGACACGGCCGCAAGGAGTATTTGGTTGCAGGGAAAATATTCCGAAATTAACAATACATAACAAGTAACTATACAGGTTATTCAATAAAGAACTGCGCCATCAGCCTGGAAACACCGCCACACTACGGATACGTCCGATATGTTACCCGACGAGGTGGAGACTGTCGAAACAGACATGTATTGAGGGAAGAAGGGCGGTGCGAAGCACAGATTGAGCAAAAGCGCGTTCGTTCTTTCTTTCTGCAGTTTTTTCTCGGCTTGGTCTTGCATTTTCTTGTTCTACTTTTATGCATTTCTGGTTCTTACATGTATGCAAGTCTAGCAAGTCTCATACACGGTTTGCTGTACGCTACCTCAAGAGAATACCCGAGTCGAACCGTTCGCCAGGTAGTATTGCTTCTTGGCATCTGCGGCGATAATATCTCGCTTGTCTAGCAATGAGTCTTGTGACGATTCACCTGTCATATGCCAGTCTGCGTTAGCGGGATGCTCCCGCCCGCAGCCAAGGGAGCCGTCCCTCATTCACCCGCCTCCAGCATGACTCGAAAGCACACTACGCAGAGCAATGGTAAGCGACGTGGATTAACTGCAGTGGTTACTGAGCTGGTGCAGGTGAAGACAACAAAGGGTAGCGTACTGTGGCGGCGGCATCCCCAGTACTTGCTTGTTTACTCCATTTGGCACAGTGCGGCCTTATTAGTAGCGCTGGCACCACCCAACGATGGTATTTCGGGGTTCAGCAGCCATCATGGAGGCTGGATATAAATAGAGACTGTAGGTAAAGACTCCTGTCATGGCTCTGAGACGAGATTGTTGTTGCACAAAGCAACAGCATGGGGGTGACAGCTTGTCGCTGTCATGGAGGGATGACAGAGCTAATTTCCCCCGCCCTTCAGTGCCAAGCAGGGGCTTTGGCTTCACGGGGCTCTCCGTGGCCACAGCGACATGCCACCAAGACAGAGTTGCAAGAAACAGAGTTACTAGCACATTCTGCGTCTAATGCTTGGCGGAAGTGTCTCAGTTTGGCGGAATATTCGGAGCTGCTGTGCTGTTGTCATGGAAAGAAAGCCTGGGCTAAAACAGTTCGCACAAAGCTCTGCTCCGCCTCAATGACGGCCCCGCTATGATGTTTTGTGCCCCTCAGTCAGCCGCGAGCCAGCCGGCCACTGTGTAGTTAGCCGATGGAGGGATGATGCAGGTCTTGTGGCCATTTGCACTTTGCGCATCTTTTCCTCCTCATACCCACAGCAACGGCTCATCATCGCCCAACACAACTTCACTACCTCCTATCTCCGCACCAAGCGACGCTCTACGTCTGTTCTCCGTATACCAGCTGCGACTTCGACAGGCCCAACAGCCATCCCCACCCCGCACGACCCCGCGCTCTCGAATTCACACAGTCGCGTCCTCATACACATCGGCCAACAAACAACCCTCGCCACCATGTCGGGATACCCAGGTCAAGGTGGCTACGGTGCTCAGCAGCATAACGGCGGCGCCTCAGGCTGGGGCTACGGCGGCAGCCCGGCTCCGGGATACGGCTACAACGGACCGCCCCAGGGCTATGGCGGTCCTCCTCCTCAAGGATACGGTGGTCCTCCGCCGCCTCAGGGCTACGGCCCGCCACAGGGATACAACGGTGGTCCTCCTCCTCAAAATTACGGCCCTCCGCAGGGCTACCACGGCGGCCCGCCCCCGCCTCCCCAGTACAGCCGACCCCCGCCGCAGCAGAACCAGTATCCGCCCCCGAACCGGCCGCCACCTCAGGGCCATGACTCCTACGGTTATCCTATGGGCGGCGGCGGCGGCGGCGGCCAGAGGACGGGACCCCCGCCTCCTCAAGGAGCACAGGCTTTTGGCCATGGCGCGCCGCAAGGCTATACCTTCCAGTACTCCCAATGCACCGGTCGCCGCAAGGCGCTGCTCATTGGCATCAACTACTTTGGCCAAAAGGGCGAGCTGCGCGGCTGCATCAACGACGTCACCAACGTGTCGCGGTTCCTCAACGAGCGCTACGGCTACAAGTGGGAGGACATGGTCATCCTGACGGATGATCAGCAGGACCCTCGCAAGATTCCCACCAAGCAAAACATGCAGCAAGCCATGGAATGGCTGGTTCGCGACGCGCAGCCTAACGATTCCCTCTTCTTCCACTACTCCGGTATGTCCTTGGCAAGTCCTAGTCCTTGTGAGTTGCTTATGACGCTAACCTTTATAATCCAGGCCACGGCGGACAGACGGAAGACCTGGACGGCGATGAAGACGACGGCTTCGACGAGGTCGTCTACCCCGTCGACTACCAGCGCGCCGGCCACATTGTCGACGACGAGATTCACTACCGAGTCGTCCGACCCCTCAAGCCTGGCGTGCGCCTGACGGCCATTTTCGACTCGTGCCACTCCGCCACTGCCATGGACCTGCCATACGTCTACTCCACCAAGGGTGTCCTCAAGGAGCCCAACCTGGCCAAGGAAGCTGGCCAGGGCCTGCTCAGCGCCATCGGCTCGTACGCGCGCGGCGACCTGGCAGGCGTCGCCACGACTGTGTTCGGCTTCGCCAAGAGCGCGTTCAAGGGTGACGACGCCTACGAGAAGACCAAGCAGACCAGAACGTCGCCTGCCGACGTCATTATGTGGTCGGGCAGCCGAGATGACCAGACATCGTATGTTTCGGAACCAAAAAGGTTTTTTTGTAATGCATGCTAATCCTTTCGATAGTGCCGATGCCACCATCAACGCGCAGGCCACCGGCGCCATGTCGTGGGCCTTCATCACCGCCATCAAGCAGAACCCGAACCAGAGCTATGTCCAGCTCCTCAACAGCATCCGTGACATTCTGGCTTCCAAGTATACTCAGAAGCCCCAGCTCTCGTGTTCCCACCCCCTTGGTAAGTCTGAACCGCGCAGCAAGTTCTCAAAGTTGTCTAACCAAACCTAGATACGAACCTTCTCTTCGTCATGTAAACTCGGGGTTTATGCTAGGGGTTTGGGTACACATCTCTGGAATCTGGTTTATAACGCTGTTTTGAGTAGTAGACTTACTAGGCAAAATGAATGAAATGGGCTATTTGTTTTCTACTGTTTCACACGATTCTTAAGTCACCAAAAAGTTTTCTAGGATGAATTGACCATTATGGGAGCTGACAGCAACAACAGTAGGCAATCAATTTCGCTATTTACCATTCGGGGCGAAAAAGGTGGCGATTCTAGGACCTGGTTAGCAACTCTTGACTCACTCCGATCGAACAAAAGAAACTCACCCCATCACTAGAAAGCAGGCGCACAATATCCCACCTTTCAAACCCGTCGCCCTACGCTTATCGCCGCCACCGTTGCCGCCCAGCACCAGCAGGTTGACGAGCGACGCTGCGCCCAGCAGCATGGCCATCTCGAAGCCGTCCAGTGCCAGCACGACCGGCCTTCCCAGCGCCCAACCCGCCAGCACCGTCAGCGGAGCCACGCACAGTGCTACCTGGATCGCCGAGCCGGCCGACACCGCCACGGCCAGGTCGAGGTTGTCCCGGGCCGCCACGGCCGCCACGGTCAGGCAACTCGACAGGTTGCCGGCCAGCGGCAGCAGCACCACGCCGATGAGCGCCTGAGACAGCGGCCGGCGGCGTGTCACCGCGTCGAGCGTGCCGGCGAGCAGCCGCGCGGAGACGGCGAGAAGCAGCGACGCGACGAGCAGCACAACGACGGCAGCCAGCGCGGCGCCGAGCCGGCCGTCCGTCGTGCCGCTCGCCTCATCTTCCTCCGGCTCTCGGAAGGCGCGACGGCGTCGGTCGGTGCTGAGGACGCGCGCGAGGCCTGCGCGCGCAAAGGAGCGCGGGAGCGGCCGCTGGCTCATCCAGGACGAGGCCCGGCTGTTGGTGGAGCGCGAGCGGGACTGGCGCGACAGGAGCAGCGGCGACAGGACCGTATGCGCGCTGTGCGGGCCGCGCGTGCCGGTCAGCGAGCGACCGCGCGGCGGCTGCAGCTCCTCGTCTGGGGGGGGGGGTGGTGGAGGGGGGCCGTCGGCGGAGTCGACGCTCGCGGGGGGACCGACCTCGAAGACGCGCCGGGCGTAGAGGTCCGACGTGGGCTGGGTCTTGGCGCCGTCGGCGAAGCGCAGCGTGCGCGGGCCGGGCGTCAGCGGCGGTGGGGAGGATGTGCGGCGGCGCAGCAGCGGCGGCGGCGTGACGGGTAGCCGAAGCGACTCGCCGCCCTCCTCGTCCGCGTCGCGGTGGGTGCTTTGCTGCATGGTGTGCAGGAAGTAGGCGGTGTACATGAAGAGGATGAGGACGGCGGACACGCGGCTCATGTGGACGACGATGTCGTTGATGTTGGGGGCTTGGCTGAACGTGAAACGGAACGCAGTCTAAGGATGGAAGGTGTGTGTAAGCTGTGTGCTATAATGTTGTTGAGAGGCTGGCCTAGGTAGGGGACGGGAACGTACGGGGATCATAAAGACAAAGACGGAGACGCAAAGCAGGCAGGCCAGCATCTGAGTCTCGGTGCCGTCGAGGGAGTCGTCGCCGCCGGTGGCATCGGCGACGACGAGGGCGCTGCCGAGGATGGGGAGGAGGTTAACGAGGATGGAGCCGAGGATGGAGGCCTGCACGACCTTGACATGGCCATTGATCAAGGTGACGCTATTCTTGTCAGCGTGGTTGAGCTTTGTGCCTTTGACGACGAAAAGCTTCTTACACGCTATGAGCCGAGTTTGTCAGTTACCACTCCCCACCAGACGATCGGGACCAAACTTACAAGAGGATGAGCTCCACGATGTTGCCGAGGCTAATGTTCAAGAAGGCGCCAACCGTGTCGCCGGCCTCGAGGGCGATGCGCTCGGTGGCGTCGGTGAGCAGCGACGACAGCGGTGCGATGGCCAGGACGTTGACCGCGAAGACGAGGACGGACGGCAGCGGCGGCGCGGCGGCGTGGTAGGCGGCGATGCCGAGCGGCACGCACACGAGCAGGATGTTGATGGGCGGCTCCAGGATCATCTCGCCGACCGCGGCGGAGAAGGCACCCGCGTCGGTCGTAGTGCAGCTGGCGTCCGAGCCACAGGAGGAGGTGGCATCGCTGCAGGTAAAGGTATGGTATTGTCCGGGGTGCGCATGTGGATGCGCGGCGGCTGGATGGTGGAACGAACGGTGGAGGCCCATCCAGGTACGTAGTATGTCATTATAGGCATCTATTCGGGTTTTGTGAAATCATACGGGTTAGGGAGGGAGGTTCAGTTTGTCAGATTGGTTCGCGTGTGTTCACGGGCTCACTTGTAAACACTTGAGCAAGCCACCGGCGAGGCCGGCAATGGCCGCTCGTCTTGGCATCGTGCAAGGTCGCCTCATAGCGATGGGTAGGGAAGCGTAGGGCCATGACTGGGGAGGCCGGATCTTGGTCGTCGTCGTGGTCATGATGCTCGATGTGCTGGCTGTGACTTGGTGATGATGAGCTGAGAGTGGATGAGCTGAGAGTGTCGGCCGTGGCCATGGAGCCTGCTGCAGGCAGGGGCTTTTAGCAAGTCGAATGTCTTGACAAGGAAGAGCAATTGGGATGGTGAGCTATTTAATGGTTCAGGCAAGCTGGTTGGGCTGGTTGGACAAGGACGTATGCCGGGCTGCGTGGGCGCGTCAATGTGGGAGGCGAATGGGATGAGGGGTAGAAGTATAGCAGTCTACGGATATTATACAGCGCATTGCCTATATATTGGGGTAAGCCAAGTCGATTAGGCACGGTTGCATGATGTAGGACAGGTGACAGTATATGCAGAGCTCCTCCATCATGCTGGAACCGTTGTTGTTATAGGCGGTCGTGCGGGATATACAATCTGGGCGTGTTGGAGAAGGGGTGCGAGCGGCGAGACGGACACGGGCGTATCTTTAAGGGTAGTGAAGGAAAGGTAAATAACGGCGAGTATATGCGGGATTTACTTGTTAGAAGTTCCTTTTACGTCAAAGGGGATGAGAGTTGTGGTTTGACCTGGCAAACTATTTAACTTCCGGGTAATCGGCGAGGGGGTGTTGGTGTAAGTGGGAGGGGTTGATCGGCGGCCCTCTTCGATGACGGGCGGGGGGCCGCGGACGACGAGAACTGAAAGGGGTGAGCCCGAAATTTATTTGAGAGAAATTAGCATATTATAAAGAAGCCAAGACATGATGCAATACGGCGCCCTGGCGTGGTTGCAGACAGGAGGGGGTCCGAGGACGTCGCTCCAGTGATTATTAGTGAGGGGTGATGCTCAACTCGACCAAAATAGGCATCTTGGCCACTAACTTACTTGTTAGGTTACGCCGTGCCGTGCGCCACGTTGTTTTGGGGATTCTTTCGGGTGACTCCGATCGAGCGGGACGATGCATAATTTCGCGAGTACTTGGCGTGTACCGTTCTATCTAACGTCCTCCCCGCTCGCCTCCTATGAGATGAGGCTGTGCCTTGTTATTGCTGAGGGGTTTCTTGTCTGTGGCCCCGGTAGGGTTGCAGCGATCAAAGAACGGTCTGACAAGGGAAACCCGGAGCGGAGAAGTCACTCACGCCCGCCCGCCCTGCTCGATATTATAGTGATCGCCGTCGGCATGTGTCTGGGCTGCCTCCCACTAGATCCGCATCCAGCCTACCAGCCAGCCAGCCCTCCGAGGCTCCATGGCATCACGAGGACGGCACCCTTATTAGCGACTGAATAATAAATAGCAAGGCGCTTATTTGGTGCAAGTGAAAGTAAGAGCGGTGAAGAATACGTGGGGATGGCAGCAGATATTACGAGGTTAGCTATTGCCTAGCCAGGCTCTGATAATATCAGGACATTACATTCGTGGATACATTTGTAATAGAGGGGGTTATTGAGCCTTTCTTATTTTTCCTATTCTAAGAAAAAAAAAAGAATAACTAAATACCATAAAGTACCCGATTACCGATTAAGCCAGTAGCGCACCACGAACCAAAACCAACCTGCCTTGGCTAACTCAACGTCACCGCCCCATTCCCCATGCATTAATGTAGACTTTATGATAGTGAGGCGACCGGGCAGTGCTGCTAGAGTTACCAAGGTAGCCACAAGGTGCCTTGTTGTCCCTGGTCTCGTCGATTTTTATTACCTCTCTTTGACACCCCGCCGTCCAACTTTACGTTGTCGCTGTCGCGTATCCGTATAAACAAGTTTAAAAGACTTCAACGCTGGCAAACCCTGGTCGGCCGGCCCATGCAAGTCTGACTTTGCCCCTCAGCCCACACACCATTTTATTTTCGCCCTTTTTTTTTTCTTTTTTCTTTTTCATAATTACTCTGTTCTTCTTCATCCCATCTCATACCAACAGCATTCCCATCCCGCAGGCATGAAGGTGCGCGCCGCCACCGACGCCGACGTCCCCGCCATCGCGGCCATAATCCTCGCGGCCGCCGCCGCCGAGGTGCCCTGGAAGAGCTACCTGCCCGCCGGAGCGTGCCGGGACCCGATCCTGGTGCAGCACGTGGAGGCCGTCGCGCGCGCCCACATCGTGGCCAGAGATTCGGCCGTCGTGGTCGGTGAGCTGTCCGCGGCGGAGTCCGGCCGGGACACCCCCGAGGTAGTGTCCGTCGCGGTCTGGGACACCACCACCGCCGCCGAGCGCGACGACAGCTGGGCCGCCGTTGAGGAGCATCACGCCCAGCTGGCCGCACTAGACACCGCCATGCGCCGCGGCCGCCAGCTCTACTTCGCCGCCGAGCCGCCGCATCTGTTTCTGCGAGTGCTGGCGACGCACCCGGACCGCCGGGGCCGCGGGTACGCCAAGGCCCTGTGCCGGTGGGGGATGGCGCTCGCCCGCCGCAGGCGCGTCGGTGTGTGCGTCGAGACCGGCGCCGCTCGCGGCTACGTCCTCTTCTCCGGCCTGGGGTTCCGCGACCTGGGTGTTGTGGACTTGCCCCCTGTCCGGGGCCGCCACGAGGGGACCGAGGAGGAAGGGCAGGTCCTCAAGGCGCTCCGCATGGACGCGGAGGCGGTGCGGGCCGCGAATCCGGGTGCTTGGGACTCATTTTGCAAGTACATTTTTGGTTGACAGTCAGTACCTTGGTGTGTGTTTTTTTTTGGCGTTTTCGGTGTATTGGTTGCAATCCGGGAGACTGGCTCTAATCACAGCCACCTCTATTTAATCATACATGACTGCGAGTCTCTAAATGACATTGCACCTATATTCATAATCATCCAAACGTAACCCATGACCCTCTATTCTATTCTATGCGCCATTTTCCAGTCCCGCCATGTACTTGTCCATGATGTCGTACGACATGTTGCTACCACCGCACACCACAATGACCACGTTGGAGTTCTCGTCCAGCCCGGGGACCAGCTCCCTGATCTTCCCGGTGTATATGATCGCCGGGCACACGCCGCACGCCAGCTCTACCACCAGACGCTCCTCGTCCGCGAAGCGGCGACAGGCGCGGATCGCCTCCGCGTCCGGCAGGACCGCAGTCACCACGTTGCCCGCGAGCGCGCACTCGAGCGCCCGCGCGCACACGCGCCGCGCGCCCAGGCTCGTCGCCAGGCTCGTGATGCCCGGCAGCGTCACCAGCTCGCCCGCCCGCACCGCCCGGTGCAGCGAGTCCGCGCCCTCCGTCTCCACTGCCACCACGCGCGTGCGCTTCCCGTCCACCCCGAGCCCCTCCACGCCCTGCATGATGCCGGCGAAGAGTCCGCCGCCGCCGACGCTGCACACGATGGCGTCCACCACGCCGGAGGAGTCGTTCGGGTAGTGTTGCGAGGAGGCGGCCAGCTGCGCGGCCGCCTCCCGCGCGATGCCCGCGTTGCCGTCCCAGATTCCCTGGGCGTCAAACGGCGGCACGTACACCGGAGTCTCCCCGTCGCCCGCGGCGGCGGCGGCGGGCATCAGCGTGCCAGTCAGGTGGTCGTCGGCCTCCTGCCACGACGCGCCGACGCGGACCACGTCGGCGGCGCCGGCGGCGCGCAGCTTGTCGACCATGAAGGGCGTGGTGGACAGCGGCACCACGACGGTGGCGCGGCAGCCGAGGGTGCGCGCGGCGTGCACGCAGGCGAGGCCCGCGTTGCCGCCGGAGGAGGAGTAAAAGTGCGGCGAGGGCGCGGAGGGCCCGGCGGCGCGGAGGGTAGCGAGCTGCTGGACCATGAAGTGCCCGATGCCGCGCGACTTGAAGGACCCGGACGGCTGCAGGTTCTCGAGCTTGAGGTAGACATTGCTGGGGAGAGGAGTCAGTTGGGGTCGGCATGGAAGGTGTTTGCTGGGACGTACCACCCGGCTATGCGCGAGAGGTTGGCCGACTTGATCAGTGGCGTCTCGATGTAGGGAATCTTGATGTCGGCTGTCATTGTGCAAGGCAATATTTTGAAGTGATCTGAGCTGAATGACAATGCTCGCAAGCCGGGTGAACGCTGATACTTGTATATTCCAAGCCAGGACCGAAGATTTGTTTGTACCTATGTATGTAGTTGGGTTGCGCAGGCGGCCCCACAAAGATGGAGTTGGCAATGGTCTTCTAGAATCACCTTTTTTTCACTAGTTATATGTAAAAGGCGCAAATGACATGGAAATCGTCATATTGGTGGGGAAATCCGATTTACCCTTGACTCAAACATTATATTATATCCGCCAGCGCGTTAATTTTGGCGGATATAGATCGTGGCCGAGATGTAAGATCACGCCCTGTGATGTCGCGCTGTACTTTTTCCGCCGCTCTAACTGTTACGGCTGAGCAGGATCGGCAGACAACCGTACCCATCCTCTCACACCAGTAGCAATTTTCCTAAAAAAAAAGAAAATAAAAAGAAAATGTGGCCATTGTTCCAGTCATGCAGTCAATTTGTGCTCCCTAATACGAGATGTATCGCATAGGTCCACACAGTCTACGCGGTCAAACCAAGCTCGGAAATGAAAATGTCCGCCGCCCGCTCCCCAATCGCCAAGGCCGTGTTATTGGTATTCCCAGAAACATTGCCCGGAGCAATGCTGAGATCGGCAATCTTCAGACCCTCCACCCCGTACACGTTCAGCGCCGCATCTACCGCGCCGCCTTGCCTGCGAGGCTTCATCTTGCACGTCCCCATCGAGTGCCACGTCGTGTCCACTCGTCGGCGCACAAACTCTGCAATCGCCGCGTCGTCCTCCGCCGAGTACACGATATCCTCCACGTCATCGGGTAGCGGACTGTTCGTCTCCGTCACGGCCGCGGCCGAGTCGGCCGCAAAGGCGGGGTGCCAGGGTCCGACCTCGCCGCGGAAGCAGGCCATGCGGCGCATAATCTCGCGCTGCTTCTTATAGGCCCACACGTGCTGCTTCATGTCTAGACCCTTTTCATCGCTGAGGAAGCCGGTCTCGAAGTCTAAAGGGTCGTCGAGGCTGGGGCCGGTGATGTGAACGTGACCTCGCGACCATGGGTGCAGAATAAATGCGGTCAACCCAAGGTACTGGCCCGGAGCGACTCCTTCGCCAGGAAGACCGGGGATGCTAGACTTTGTTGGCAAACCTGGACGGTAAAGCGTGGGACTCGACGTACAAATTTACCATGCTCATGCACACGACTGGCTTGTCGGGCTTGCTCTCGAAGTCCGCGACCCATGCCGCCTCAAACTCCGGCCCAAGAGCAGCGGCCTCCTCATCCGTCGGTCGCAGCTTGCCGGTCGCGTCCTGGCCGGTGTACCCTAGTATCTCGGGACGCTCCGAAAAGATGGCCTCTGGGCTCAACAGACCAAATGACATGTCGCTCAGCGTGTCTCTCGGCCCGAGGCTGGTCTTGTACGCGGAGCCCAGGAGCTGATGGTCCTCGTATCCGACGCCGACGCCCAGGTTCTCCGCCACCACCGCCACGCCGGCCCGGCCAAGAACCTCCGGGTTGCCGATGCCCGAGCCCTCGAGCACTGCGGGGGTCCCCAGAGCACCGCAGGACAGGATGACGAGCCTGCGCGCGCGCACCGTCACGTCGCCCGCGTACTGGGGACGCAACCTGGGGTTCGGTCGGAAGACGACCCCAGCTGCTCGTCCGTCCTCGACGATGACTCGACTCACCTGCGACTGCACCACGACATGTAGGTTTGGGTGTTGCCCGTCCTGCAGGCGAGGGTGCAGATAGGTGTGCGCCGTGTCCTGGCGACGACCGTCCGGCGAGACGTAGCGGTTGGCGCGACCAAACGAATTGACCGCCTCGAGGGACTGAACGTCGTCTACTTCGGGATATCCCGCCTTCCTGACGGCATCCATGAAATCGTCCTCGGAAGCACCGCCGCTCCAAGTGCCGCGCGAGATGTGCACCGGACCGTCCCGCCCATGCACATCCAAGGAGCCTTTGCCGTGGTAAGTCTCGAGCTATGTGTCCCAGTCAGCAAGGCTCAGCGCCCACCATTCAAGACGAGAGTAGAAAGGGACCTTCTTCATGTACGGAGTCATGTCTTTGGCAGACCAGCCCGGCACGTCCCATGCGTCAAAGTCGGAGCGGTGCGCGCGGCTGTACAGGGCCATGTTGATGGACGAGCCGCCGCCCAGAACCCCGCCGCATTGGATAGGCAGCGCGCGGTCGGCGAGATGTTTGGACGGCTTGGCCGGGTAGAATAGCGTTGTCCTGCTCCCCGGCATGATGTGCTGGAAGAAGAGCCCGATGTTGACAATGGTCGGGTCTTGGTGGTTGTCCATGCCGCCCTCGATGACGAGGATGGACAGGTTGGGCTCGGCAGAGGCCAGGCGCGAGGCGACGATGCAACCAGCCGTGCCGCCTTGATTGACCTACTTAGCATCTCTTGGAAGATATCGGGTCGACTTTGCTGTGGTGGGAAACGTACCGCCTGCCACGATTACGTCGACTTCATCGAGGCCAGCAGGGAGCTTTTGGTGCAGACCCATGATGCTGTGTAAACCGCTAATGAGGTTAGTAGAATGGGTGAGATGAGAAGGGATGAAATTTGTTAAACTATTTAGACTTAAAGTCGCTACTCTCGTGGGTGTACACATGATCCAGGTGAAGGAGCCTTACCCCAGCCCTACGAGGATGGCGAGCCTGATCGCACCTTGGCATGTCGGATAACAGTGTCGATCGCCACTGGAAGCTTCAACTTGGGCCAAGGAGAGAAAGTCAAACAAAACGACGAAACGCCACATACTTAGAAGCTAGGCGCAACTCCCGCCAAAGGCTAAGTATGCTTTTAGCTGCACTCCACACACACACATCGCCAAGGAAAGGCTTGAGATTCAGTAATGCTTTCTAACCTGCTCAGAGTATGGGCTGAATCAAAAGATCCCCTAGTTTAAGGCGGTCTCAGCCTACAAGTGCGTAGTCGCATGCCTTGCCCGTTGATCGGTTGTAGTCGTTCCGAGTTGAATGCTCGAGGAGCACGAAAACTTTTATTTATATATATGTATGTATCTATATTGTATAATTTCCACGATGCTTTTACTTCGGCTTCTTCTTACAATCGTCTAAAGTTAGTTACTTAAAGTGATTATAACTATTGTACTTAGAGCCCTTAGTTGCACAGTGCTGGCAGATAGGCTTTACCTCGTCGCACTTATTAGAATGGGTTCTAGACTTGAATTAGCCACTTCCTATACAGCTGTGTATCCGGGAATACAAACTTGCTAGTAGATGTTAGTAAGAGAAGAGAATTAGTAGTAATATAGATGGCCTACTACTGTCTTACTCGGAACGGAGCTCAAGACTTTAAACCTAAGATGCAATCCACAAACGCTGTTGAAAATTGCCATGGATCTCAGGCCCAAGGTTGCTTGCCACAGCGAGTTCTCCTTTCGCCAATTGCAGGTATGTGGTTTCCATTTAACCATCATGCACTTTCCGGCAACTAGAGGACTAAAACTTTAACGGTTCTTGTTGTCATGGTGAGGTAATAACGTATTGATTCGGTTTTAGTTTTACTAAGACAACTTCGTCATATGCTGCATTGTTAAGTTCGGCACCAGAAGCTTCGATTCTTTTGTACGAGTCCATCCACTACGTTCAGACGATGCACATTGGCCGCCGGAGCACCACCGAAAGCGCATACACATGTTGCGAGAAGCGAGATCACTGCAAGAATACAGTGTGGTTTCTGCATGCCATCGAGAAGACCTTTTGCTTGCGAGCGGAAATGCCCAGTAAGTGTTGCTCCCATCACAGAAGCCAAACCAAAGCGCTCACCATTCACCAGGTTCTTGACGAAGATTTTATTGATTATCGGCCATCTCCAGCGCAAAGCGACTCCTCTCTGCAGAGTGACTCGCTATTCTTTAGATGCTCCTATGCGCTACTCTGCTCCTCGATCTTGAAGGATGCCTTCGGGCAGGCAAGCCTACACAAGCGTCCAGCCGGAGATGTGAAGGTTCTGGACCAAAGAGTCGATGCGTGGAGGAAGCTACTACCAGAGTATCTACAGAATTTAGACGAGCTGGAGCCAAATCTCGCGATGATGGATCATCAAGAAAGAGGAGCGTTGCTCGCCGTCTTCCTCCAGCACCACGAAGCTCTCCTCTCAATCCATGTGCAACGAGCAGCTTTCGGCGGGGAGGATTCATTTCTATTCAGATTCAATAGAAGTATGGCATCCGCTAGGGCAATTCTCAGGGCCAGCGGTCAAAGCGTGCAAGAGGATGTACGATCAAACCTATGGGTAACGCCCATCCCCTTTCTACCTATCTTGGGGAGCGAGTTTTGGGCAGCTAATCTTGATGTTATTCTTTAAAAGTTCTTTTTTCCGAGTCACCTGTATTGCAATCCTTACGTGCGCCGCCTTGTCACAAAATACTCCGATAGCACGCAAAGCCGCCCGTATCTAGCGATGGAATCAGGATTCTTCGCACGAATGGCGCGCGGGGTGCAAGGACTTTCCCCTAGATGAAGTGACGAGCATCATCCGAATGCTGACTGCTCCTGAAGAAGCGAAACAGCAGGGCACGAGCGGTCTCGACCTCGACCGCGTCGCGGCCGACGAGGCGAGAGACATGACGGAGAGGGTCTGGACCACCAGTCGGCAGCATCTCGTGCACTGTGCGGCCACGCTGAAGCGGACTATTTGGTCGTATGAAAACGGCCACGGTCATTACGACGCAGTGTCGCAGCTGGAACACGCGCATCGAGGCATCGACACGCTGCTTCGCGGGGCTATTCGTGCAGAAGGGGAGACTGTTGGCCATGTTACAACGCGCACGAGGGTTCATGTGGGATATTGTACTTTCTTGTTTTAATCACTCGGATTATCTACAAAAATGCTATGAAAAACTTTGTCAAGCAAATGTCGCTTGTTAACCTGTACAGTTTGTTTCGTCATCCTCCCCGTCCACGTGTTTAAAGCTCATCGCAATTCTTCGGCAAGCTCTACTATACACCTCAAATATGCAGTCCGCTCTTCCGGACCGGCGCGCATCTCCGCTTTCCGGGATCGGCCACACCACCTGCGCTCCGAAGGCAAGGCATCTTTGTAAGTGGCCCCAGCAATGGTTTTCGGTAATGCGCCATCGATGCAATCAAGTCCGCAGTATATTTGGCTTTTTGGCTCGAGACCGGAAACCAGTTCCCGGTCCAGCATTAGCGGAATCCCGGACCAGATGCTTCCGGCGGCTTGCATGGCTCGGGACCGAATACACATTCCCTCCACATAAGAAGGCCGAAGAGAACTCTATTTCTAAAGACGTAAGCATACATTTCGCTCGGATATCTGCCTCATTCATCAAATCACCGCATCTATTGAAACGAAAATGAAGTATGCCGTCGTCAGCGTCCTGCTTTATGCTGTCTTGGCTGCCGCCGGGATCACCCAACGCGGCCAAGAGAGCGACGGCAATGCCGTGCGCCGGGACGGCCCGCCGACTGTTTACACCGAGAACAGACACGCTGGTACCCTTCATGGGATGGTTTACCGAGCTCCTCCCCCTATATGCCAGGAGGAGGAGTACAAGAGGACTCGTTACTAGCTTTGCCACGTACAGCTGATCCTATGCTTCCGTCACACAGCTTTCCAACACTATACTGACAGTCTGGACGCAGCTTTACCGAGTTTTATGGCTTTCACCTTTTGACGCATACTCGGCATGACGAGCCAAGAAATATCCGAGTGCGGGATCTTGACAGATGCTCAAACTAGAAAATTCAACATGTGGTTGCGAGAGTCCACAAGTACCAAAATATAGGCTTGAGCAATTGAATCTTCTTCTTTTCATCCTTACCACAACATGATCTCATCATCAAGTAGACAAGACATAGCTTAAAAGTTGCGTGGCTGAGCAGTGATTATGAGTATGAACAGAAATAGCGAAGATAATGACCTCCCGACCCCGACGAGCGACTTTTCCGATTCCCTTCTTATAATCACTTGTTCCTCCAGATAAGCTCTTTAATCTTCCTCGAATCTTCACTCTTCTCCACCATGTTGTAAAATTCGCCATTCGCCGCCAGCAATTGCTGCGGCGCTCCATTTTCCACAACCTTGCCCTGCTTCAACACAAGTATCGAATCAAAGTCGGCGACGGTGAGCACTTTGTGCGCCACCACCAAAACGGTGATGCCCCTGAAACTACCTCGAATGGTTTGCTGGATGGCAGTTTCTGTAGCGTGATCGATGCCACTCGTTGCTTCATCCAGGACAAGGATGCGGCAGCTGTCTTCGAGAATGGCCCGGGCAAGACAGACAAGTTGGCGTTGCCCATGGGAGATGTTGGATCCTCCAGCAAGAATCTCGTGATCAAGATCAGCAGCAATGACATGCTCCCCTTCCTGCTCAAAAGGCGCAAAGTGGACGCTTCGGAGAGCGGTGATAATCCGGTCATCCCTGTGCTTCCCAAAGACATCCACATTTGATCGCAGCGTTCCAGAAAATAGGAATGCATCCTGAGGTATCACTCTGATGGCATCTCGCACGCGGTTCCGGGGCACTTGGGAAATGTCTTGGCCGTCAATCAGGATTTCGCCAGCCGCGACATCGACAAAGCGCAGAAGCGCATTTATCAAGCTAGACTTGCCCGCGCCGGTGCGGCCAACAATCCCTAATCGCTTGCCCGCGGGAAGAGAAAATGAAACTTCGTTCAGCGCCCATGGTAGCCCTTTGCCGTATTGGACGCCAATACGATGCATCTCGACTCGCCCGTCGCCCGGCCAGTTCTCTGGGGTGCTTGCCTCCTCCTCCCCATCTTCTGACGGAACTGAGGCAAGCGCGAGGACGCGGTCGATGGCGTTGAGACCGGTTCTGGTGACGTTTATCTGACCGATTGTGACGGTAAGAGCTTGACGCAGCTGAAGAGCTAGCGTAATCGCCAATCCCGTGCTGGATGCCGTGCCTTTGCTGAGAACAGTTGCGGCCGTCACCGCCGCGACAAACATGCTGCCCATGGCTCCAAGGCGAATGCCCAACCAGGAGTGGCCGAGCGCCATGTGTGTATAGGCCGTGTTGGTCCTGTCGATGTGATGCTGCATGAACTCGACGTAGTGACTGACCTTGCTGAAAGCTCGGATAGTCGCAAGGCCTGCTTGCGCAGAGGATACATGGTTGGAGAGTGGAAAGCTGCAACTATTCATTACGGGGCGTAGCTTTTTCGATGTTTCTAGAGCTTTCTGGGCAATGGAAGCATAGACAAGAAGCATCACAGCACTAGACAATATTGTGTACGGCGATGACGACAGGCTGATCTAGGTCAGTGACATTCCTTTCTTGTGTTTCTTCTTCGCACTTGCCTGCTAGCGCAAATAAACAGGATATTCATGATGGAACTTGAAATACCAATAATCTGCGGCGCCATACGGTGATCGATGGCATACATGTCAGAGTCGAGTGTCTGTATGACCTGTCCCGGAGGGGTTGAATCGATCCAAGACAGCTTGGCCTTGAGAACTCGTCGAGTCAGTCCCTCGAATAGCTTCCTGGAGGACTTGTGGCCCAGCTTTGTAAAGATCAAAGTTTTTGCACTCAAGAATACTGAACTTGCCACTGACAGCGACAAGTAGACCGCGACATCATAGGTGGTAGAGCGCTGCTGGGTGATGATGGTATCGCGAGATGTCCATTTCGCCAGCCACCACGAGTTGCTTGTTGAAAGGAAACGGTAGAACAGAACAATCGGAATGGAAAAGATGTAGCCTCGTAAGCTTCCAGTTTTGGTAGCATATGCACCAAGAATTGCGCAATAATCTTGGGGGTTGACATGTTGCGTTGAAGTTGTGGTCTGCTTGCACTCGCCAGTCGGAGATGCTTCGACTTTTCCGGCCTTCAAGTCTGCCTTTTGTTCTTTGCTCTTCTCCGAGGCAGTTTCGTGCTTTGCATTTTCCACGTAATTCACCGCGGCTGATCCATTTTGCAAGGTGACGAGACACGACGATAGTTTGGCGCAGTACTCTGGATGATGCGTCGCCAAAATCATCGTCCTCCCCTCTAGAAGGCCGCCTTGAAGGGCATGCTCGCAGATGTGTCTCGCAACAGGCGGGTCCACGGCGGCCAAGATATCCTCTGATATGATGAATTCAGCTGGGGAATACAAGGCTCTCGCGAAAGCCACGCGCCATTTCTGGCCGCCACTGAGTGAGGATCCGCCAGTGCCGGCCTCGGTGAGATCACCGTGGCTCAACGTATGCAGATCATGGACGAGTGCGCAGGCTTGCAAGACTCTATAGTAGCGATGTGCATCAAAGTCGTATCCAAAGATGATGTTTTCCTTGATTGTGCAGTCTTCGATCCAGGGCGGCTGCGAGACGAATGCGACAGATCCAGCCACGACACTGCTTACCGTCGAAATATCTGGAAAAGGGTCCACTTCAGGCTTGCCAAGCTTGCCAGATTTCACAGCGGCTTCATCCAAGAGTGAGGATAACAACAAGCTTTTCCCGGAGCCGACCTGGCCTGTAATTAGGCTGACTCCGTACTTTGGAAAACTGACGTTCACATGTTTCAGGGTGACCTCCCCATCTTCCGCCCAAGAAAGATTTGCATTTTGAAGCAAAATCTCATCGGCCAAAACAGACTGTCGGAGTTGCTCTGGCTGTTGCAAGTATAGCTGCAGCTTTGCGTAGCTGAGCCGCGCTCGGTGCAGTGACGCGAACCGCGTCGGGAGCTGTTTAATGACTGTATGCAGGTTACCAAACAAATTGATAGAGGTAAAAGCTACCGACGGGCTAAAATGTCCCGTCCTGAATGCGTAGATGGATATCGTCACAGAGGCGAAGAGAATGGGTCCGAAAGTCGCGACCAAGTTAACCAATTCTTGATGAACACTTGACTTCCAGGCGGCCGCCAGGTTATCATCGCGGGCGCTAAAGATGCGGTTCTCCCAGAAACCCTCCATGGAGGACAGGCGGATTTGGCGCAGCCCATGAAGCGCTTCGGAGACGAGGCTCGAGGTTCGCTCGGTAGCCTCCAAATGCCCTGCTTGAGCTCGGCGTAGATTCGTGGAAAGCTTCCGTGATAGCCAGATGGCTAGGAGCGGCAAAGTGCCACCGATCAAAACAGTGGTGAAGCCCATTAAATGCGATAGGTACATTGAATACAGCCCAATTTTCAAGGCGGAGATTGGCAAGTCGTGGGCTCTGAGAAAGGCCTGGGCAATAGCATTACTGCATGGTGTTCAGTGTTAGATGTAGGCCTGCTGAACGTAACGCAAGCAAGCCGGTACCATACCTGTGACTTTCAATCCCATCCATCACACTGGGGGGCTTCGTCCCTTTGTTTCCATCGGTGGACGTTTCACGGCCTCGGGATCGCAAGCGCATCGACTTTTCAAATACCAAAGATTGAAGGAGACCAAGCATAGGCAGTTGAATTCGGGTATGCCCAATCCAGTCAGCCCAATTGTCGCAAGCAGAGGCGGCCAGAAGGCTCAGTGGGAGCAGCGCAACCCAGGTCCAACGCCAAGCGTCAAGATACGGCCGCGTTTCCAAGCATTGTAGGAGACTGTGCACCACAAAACGGCTGCCAAACTCTGAACCTGCTCCCAATAGCACCAATGACCACTGCAGCATCAAGGGCCTTCGAAAAAGCGTTGAGAGCTGCTTCCATAGCGTTTTGGTCTGGTCGCAGGCATCGTACTGTTTCCTCATGGCAGATGCGGTTTGACTGAAGGGTATTCTTGGCAGGTCCTGCAGCGTCAGTGTTGCAGGCAGAGTCGAACACTCTCGATGGAGTCCCCATGAGAATAATATCCAGTCAAGTATCGACGCGCCACCCTCATTCAAGACTGCAGTGGCTCCACGGAAAACGACAGGGCGTCGAGGGACCGATGCAAGACACAGTAGTACGGCGGCAGCAGCTGCAATCTGCGGCAAAACGAGCTGTTGATCCAGAATCGCCTGCCCGTACCAGAGGAAAGCAATGAGGTTGAGCGAAGACACGGCTGTGTAGACTGCCAATTGATATCGTTCTGCGACGCTCGTTTGACGGCACACAACATGCGTCTGGTACACGAGCAGGGCCTTGAAATTCACTGTCAGCGCGGAAACGATACTGAAACAGAGCCTCTTTCGGTGTAATGAAGTAGAGACGCAGACAAGTAACTACTCACCCACAAGACAGGGCCAGCCCACTGCCGCAAGTCGGTACACGGCCAAGGCTGGACTCGGGCGGCTAGAGGAGCCGGGCTTGAAAGCGACAAGGCCCCTCCCAAGGCGGGAGCACATGTTAGAATGCCGTGAATACCTGCATGGAGCTTCGCTGCTTTGGCCTGGGACGCTTTGGTAGCTTCGCCGTCGACATCCTTGTACAGCTGTGCTTGCGGGTGGCTGGCTGGCCAGGCACAAGGAATGAAGCAGCCGGTGGCCAGTGCCGAAGAGAGTGCAAAGACGGAGACGTTGCATGCGCTGAGGAACGTCGACTCCATGATATAACAATGCCCTGTCGCTTGAAGATGTGCGCGACGACCGAGAGATGGTTGTTAGTTGGCTGTCAAATCAGGCTGTCGCTGGCCCCCTTGATAGCCAACCGCCCCCTCAAAGTCGCCTCCTTGAAGGCGGGCGCCGCTGCATACATAATCAGTGATATCGCTGGCATAAGAATAATAACAGACTAGGGTGCCGGCGAAAATGAATATCCTGGATGCGGGAATGGCACGCAGGCTTTCCTGCCAAGCTTCTTTCCGTACAGCTTTTAGTTTCTGGTCTGGGGTATTAACTATTTTTAGATGTTCGGGTGAAGCTGGTATGCGGTGCCCCTTTTATATAATCTCACGAAATGCACGGATCATCGCTATTTTTCATCGTCTTTACAACGACACCTTGAAATCGAACCTCAAGGGTAGCATTGGGATGAAGGTCTGGCCTTGGCACAAGACACATTTGTGCACGACCCAAAGCCAGAGCCATGTTCGGTAGCTTGTCTTTGAGGTCTCTACCAATTGACCTTGAACAACCTGCCGCAGCTGGTAACTAATTGGCGCATCCCTTGACCATACGGATCTTCACTGCCATGCAACGCTGCAAACGATCCTTTGCTGACCTTAGGCTTATTACAGTTTGTATTAGTTATATATATATATATTATTATATTCTTAGTAGTATTTCAGTTACGATGCCTTCTTTTATTAGTATAGCTCTATACTAGTATTACTAAGGAGTGAGTTTAAGTGTTATTTAATAGTCTACAGGTTCTTTTTAGGTTTTATTTAGTTTAGGCTTAATATGGTTATACACTATTTCCTAGTTATAAAGGCTGTAGAGAGACTTTTATAATAGTATAATATATATTAATATTATAATTAAAAGGTCTAACTTTAATTACTAATTATATTCTAAATTATATTCTAAATATTAAATTTAATATAATAAAGTTTTAGAATATAAGTAGACTTTTTAGACAACTAAAAAGAAGCATTACATAATAAAATTCTAAAATATATAATATAGGTTAAGAGAAGAGATAGCTAGGAAGACCCTACAGATTCAGGCTCACGGGCTCACCGTGAGCCAGTGAGCCAAGAAAGGATCACGACCTCAGCGTGAGCCAGTGATCCAGGTAGCACAGTAGAGGATAGGAAGGGTATATAGGGAAGGGGATTCCCAGTAGATAGCCAGACTAGATCTCTACTGATCAATCTAAGCAATAGTTCTACTATTGGGAGTAATCTCCTAAACGTGACTCAAGCTACGATACTGCTCATCTGCACCTGTGGTGCATTCAACCTGACTCACTTCCTAAGAAACAGATTTACTGTGGATTAGAGAAGAGCCACCGTTACACTATGTATGTGTTTTGTGCTTAGATGCCAGGGCAGTTCTCGGTCAGGACGTTGTTGATCTGGTTGTAGGGGGGCTGGTCGACCCAGATCAGATCGAAGTGGTCGCTGGGGTAGTCGGGGGCGTTGTCGTCACCGAGCTTCTCAACAATGTCGGTGAGGGCCTTGTGCTCCCAGCTGCGATGATATTAGCCTGTGTTCTAGCGTCCCTCGGTTTTACCGAGACGACCAACTTACCAGATGAGAATGTTGCCGCTGCCAGTGTAGTTCTTGACAACCTTCTTGACGCACTTGGGGTCGTCGCGGTCGCAAGAGGTGTCGACGCTCATGCCGAGGTCGTCAGCAAGAGGCTTGACGGTGTCGTAAGGACGCTGCTGCTTGCCGCCTGGTTGAAGAAGAAGAGTTAGTTTCCATTCCAAGTAGCCCCCTCCCGTTCCATAGCGTCTGTCCACGTACTGGACTTGGGGGTCTGGGCCATGATGTGGCCAATGTTAAAGTTGGAGTTGGCGCCAAAGACGTTGCGCAGGCACTGGGCGCGCTGGACGCCCTGGGCGCTGAGGCCATCGCCGTCGTCCGGCTTCTCGCCGTGGCGGATGAGGTAGACGGTAGGCTTGGCCAAGGCGACGGCCGCGGCGAGGCCGAGGATGGTGATGAGCTGCATGGTGAATCAAATGGGATGATTCGGGTTGTAGAGAAGAGTAACGAAAGGAAGATGATGAACAGCAGGACATGATCTCAGTTTATATAAACTACCTAGCTGGTGCTTACGCCAAGTTCCACGGCCCGTGAGACGGAGTTCGGCGGCGGCAAGAGCAGCTGGTCGTCCCGCTAGTTAGTCCTTCTGACAAGTCTGACTAGCTGATAGGCCACACGTGGGACGATCGTCAGGTCGTCAGCATCCTGGTGAGGATGGACGTACAGTGCTCGACCTTTTCAGCTCAAACCTAATAGATTCCACTCGATGCATGTTCGCATGCCATGATGCACCGATTTCCCCGGATCGCTCTTCCCAAGCCTTCTTTCTATATTGCCTCATCTTGGATACCGATATCCTGGAGCGGCCCCCATCCTTCGGTGAGCCAACAAGAAGGTACTAGTTCTAGTTAGTACAACCAGTAGACCATGTCGGCCGAGAAGCCGTGCTTACGGGCGTTATTCTAGCCCTCGTGTGCCTGCAAGGGTTTTTCAAGGGATGAATGCCGGTCGTCAACCACTCCCATGGCTCTGGCTGAGCATGTTGCCTGGGGCTCCCGCATGCGGAAAGACGTCACCCACCACTTGTGAATAACGAACAGTAAAAAAAGAGCCAACAAATCCCGGCATTCACCGGGAACTAGGGAACTTGGTCTGCACAAGATCTGCCCCCCTGCATGTAAGCAGGACGCACTGTGGTCCAATGGCGGAGCGGCGTTCCAAGTTGCTTCCCACCCCCCCAGGGTCCGGTATAATCACCGTTTGTCGTTATGATCTGCTGCAGCTTTCGTGTGCTAATTTACCCTGGCCTTTATGCGTTTACCCTTGCAATATGCGGTGTGCGGCCGAGACTATGCAACGTGCGGCGGGTGGACTTACTTTGCGCTGCCAACCGCAGAATAGTCTAGCGACAGATAATAGGAGCAAATGGCCGGCAAGGCAATAAACTGACCGAAATTTAGGCGCAATTGTGCCCGTATGTTTTAGTTATTTTGTAGGATTTGGACAAAGTACATTCGCCCACAGAAAGAATTGAACTTTCAAACACAAGCCGCTGCTGCCCACAGTCAAGTAAATCTCAACCCCAGGCTGCAATCTCTGATCGAGACACACACAGAGCCGGAAGCAATCCTTGATCGTCCCAGTTGACAGAATATATCCCTCTTCAGATTCGAAACCGTTAGCAACTTAGGGTAGATATTTCCACATGTGACCGAGAACTCACTCACCATCAGGCCGTGTGAGGGCTGTTGCTGCCGCAAATCGGGCACGAGTCCTGAGCCGCCGAGATCATCACCTTGCACTTTTGGCATGGCACGATGCTGGCGTCGTTGACAAGGGGGGCGATGAATGAATCTTGAGCCGCCATGTTGAAGTTTTTTTCAAAGTTGTAAATTGAGTGTTTTGCTTTTCGTTTCTGCTTCTGCTAGGCTCCCTCCTCACTTCCCACGACCGCATCGTTGCTTTACTTTATACTTGAACTCCATGGATGGTGCGCGTGATCGATCAACTTCCACTTCCACACAAGTCACACCAGATGCTGGAAACTATTGAAAAAACAACTCACGCTGGCGAGAACACGGTTATGCATGAAAAAGCAAAAAGTATATGGTGGCAGAGACATGCACGTTGTGCAACCAGAGATATGCCCTTTTCGGTAGTTAGGAAATACCAGATGACCTGATTCACCTTGTGAGACATCGGGAACTGCATTGTGTTAATTAGGCAATCGCGATCTACTCCTTTCGTTTTTCTGTACTTCTCGTGACACGATCCTCAATGAGATCGGTCTTTGTAAGTCTGTCAAGAATGGGCAAACTACCGAAAGAGCAAACCAGAGACATGTGAAAAATCATCTCGTTGAATTATAGCATCACTCGCGTGATAAATACCTCTCTCAATACCTCTCTCAATATCTCTCTCAATATCTCTCTCAATATCTCTCTGTACCACCCTCCTATTGACCTAGTGACGTCTTTTCACTTCCAGGCTGGTCGCTCAACAAGCCCTGTCTGCGCAAGTTGCTTCTCGCGTCTAGTCCACAATCAAATCCGCTTCGGATCAATGTGCACCATGACCTCTTCCATGGTATTCGCGACCGAGCGGCCCAAGGCCATCGCAACCTCCGCCAGCCTCTTCGGCACGTAGACCGCCACCCATCCAGCCCAGACCGCTCCGTAGTAGACGCACGCGCCGAGGCAGCCAAACAGCATCTTGAGACTCTTGTAGATCACCTCACCTGCATCCGCCAGCACCCCAACCACCGCCTTCGGTACGTCAAAGACGACGGCTCGCACCGCGATCACCAGCCCGCGCCAGACGTCCCGGAGCGTGATCCGTTTGAACCAGGATAGCGCGGCAGCCACGGCCGTATGCGCCAAAGATGCCAGCTTTTGCATTCCATAGCCGACGGCCCGGTACGTCCGCGCGATGCCATCCAGCACCCATCGGGAGATGAGGGCCAGCACCCCGGGCGTGCGCCGCGCCGTTCTCCCGATCGCCCTCGCCGCGCGCCCACACAGCTCCGGAACTGCCTTAGCAGCCCTGGAAACGCACTGTGGTGCCTTCCTCAGCACCTTCGGCACCTCTGCCACCTTCCTACCGAGCCAGCCCACGATGCGCGCGCGCTCCTCCCACATCCACCGCGGGAGGTGCCAGACCAGCAGCTTCGGCGGCGCCACCAGCGCATAGTACAGAAACCTCCCGATGCGACGAACCGCCCGCCGCACCGCCCGCGCTTCTCGGGTGTGCCTGGCCCTCCATCGTCGCCATCCGCCACCGCGCCGCGCCGGCAGGTACGCGACCACCTCGCGGTGGCCACCCGCCGCGGCGAGCCGCAGCGCCAGTGCCCCGTCGTCCGGCGACACGAGCCCGTCGTCGGCGCCGCCTTCCTCCATCAGCACCTTCACCACAGCCAGGTGGCCGGCCTCAGCAGCCGCCTGCAGCGGGGTGCGCCGGCGACGTGTCACGCTGCTCCCCTCGCCGCGCTCGTAGGCGAACGTGGTCAGCAGCCCGAAGCCGTCGACGCTCGCGCCGAGAGCGATCAGCGCCCGCACCGCGGCGACGTGTCCGCGGCGCGCGGCCGCCAGCAGCGGCGTCTCGCCTTGGGCGTCGGGCGTGTCGGGGGAGACGTACCCGCGCATGACGAACCGCGTAATCACGTCGTCCTGGTTGTTCGTGACGGCGGTATGGAACGCGGCACAGATGTCGTGGGCGAGTAGGAGCGCCGCCTCGCTGGGAGGCCCGCCGGAGGCCCGGCGGATATTGGCGGTAGCGAGGATGGGTAGCGCGAGGCCCGGCGTGGCCGCGATGCGGTCGTCGAGGGTGTTCGCATGCGCGCCTTCAGCTGCGTACCTCGGCAGGTCGTCCACGCTGCTGCGGCGTGGAATTCGACTGTATACAATGACGAACCCGTCAGACATGGCTATGGATTAGAGAAATGAATAACAATATCCATCATGGCACTAGCAAAGACGCGATGCATGCTTTATATGCCATGTTAACTTTCCTTCTTCAGGCCACTGGGTGTCCCAAGTTGTTGAACAAGGGCGGTGCGGCTGACCCATTGAGTAAAACGCCTTGTCTATTTGTTGGGTGTGGCTTGGTTCGCCTTGCCGCCTAGAAGCGATTAGCTTCCGAGGCTTCACAAATGATGCCGAGGAATCTTGTGATGATTACTCTTACCATGTTTTCCATAGAATGTCATAATAAAATCGAAGCGCTTGACCTCGCAGTCTTTGAGTCGTGTCCCAACAGTTGGTGTTGGTCAGCCCGCTGTGACCAATCTTGGCTAGAACGTTCTCAAGAACGGCGCTCTGCATTCTAGCTTGACCAAGTAAGAAAAAAGGATGAAGAAAAGAAAGTTCCGTTGTAGTGATACATGTTGTAAGAATCGCTAATACAAGGGGTTTTTGTAAATGTCAAGTGATAAAATCTCCTCCTGTTGGCCCTCTCTAATAAGCACGCGGCTCATTTACATATCAGAACATTTGCCTCATGGTGCAGTAAAACTGATTTTGGGCCATGGCCCGAGCCTGATCAGGCGTTTGCATGTCGTTTGGATCCAGTCTCAGGTTATTAAAGCCATTATGAGTCACAAACGTTTCGTAAATGTCACAGAGCTGGCTTGACAATTTGGCGCCATTTGCACCATTCGCCTCGCCGTTGGAATAATCTCCAGGCCCTCCTGCTCCCATGTGCATTCCAACACCTCCATACGAGTACTGAGGAACCGGCTGATCCATGCGTCCGCCACGGGCAAGACCAATCATGCCCAGCGCGGCGTTAGAATGGGCGTCGTTGCCCTGCTTCGGGTAAAGCTGTTGAAGGTAGTCACGCAAAGACCACACTATTCGCCATAGCCGCTTTGAAATGTGGCTCTGAGGTGATAGCTCTTCAATCAGGCTCAGGCCTGTGTAGAAATCCTCTCTGCATGTAGATGCGAACTGGGCGGGGGCTTGAGTCGACGCCAAGAACATGATTGCTAGCGCCGAAACAAGAAATTGACTGTAAAAGGCTTGAGATTTTCGGACCATGTCTGTGTGCCTGTTGACATGATGGAGATAGGCAACTGTGTCCTTGGCCACGGTGACACAGACACCTGCGAGATGGGGGGCGCCGTTGATGGAGTTGGTGGTGTGCAGAATAGGTGCATGCAGCCAGTTTCGTATCTAGATTCTCGTTTAGTGACAGAAGTGAAAGCCCAAAGTTGGAGCACTCACTTGGTTCTTTCGGAGGTACGTCCAAACTTTCAGTCGTTGCAAATTATACGACGACGTAGAGTTTATGTGACCCTCCTCATGCCAATCTCGAATTTGTACCTCACTCGGCACACATCCGTACCAAGCAATAATCTCCGCATCAAGTCTCTGAATATCATGTATCCATGGTTTGTCGTTGTCGAGGAATGAGGCTCGGCGCTGCTCGACAAGAGACCAAACTTTTGCGCCCAGCTTGGAATAGGATATCATGGAAACGAGATATGGGTGCTCCGTCTGCAATCAGTGTTAGCAGCGAATGGGAGTCTGAAAGCGAGTCACTCTACCGGATAGTCTAGCTTGGGGTCTATATCTGCATCTTGAATGACATATGGCAACCCGGTGTTGAACGCCCAGCGGCGATCCAGCACATACGCAGACCAAAAGCTATTGAGAGCTAGTTGACGCTCAATTGGATCTCCAATACTCTGGTGAACTTGGGAGCGATGTAGGCCAAGTTCCAGACATAGTCGGCATACCTGGCCAATGACGCGCCAGGCCAACCCCTCATCGTCGGTTAGGAAACGGTAGCCAGCAAATATGCATAGCAAGGGAAGCCCCGAAATGTATGCTTCTTCGGCAAGAAGTTTGCGGTTTAGAACCGGCTCCATGCTGTCGAAAAGCTTCTGCGCCTTTGCACAAGGGCCGCTCTCCTCAACCACAAGCGCACAGCACAAGACCATCTTGAGCTCCAGCGTTTTGTCATCAGTGAATAGTTGAGCACCTGGTTGATGTCGTAGGGCATCGAACTGCGCAGCAATATGCCGGGCATGTTCTGTGACGCTTCCCATGTTGAGAACAGGGTACATGATGCCGATTTCATCTTCGTGGATCTGACATAGGCGAAGCATCTCATCGTTGCCGTACTCTAGGATTGGATCACACCCAGCGGGCAGTGACTGGAGTGATGGCTCTATTTGACTGCCCGAGTCTTGCAGATCTGGGTAGGCGATTCCAGTATTCGTTTGGGCGATACCAATCATGTGCGAAGTGCTCGTAGAACCTCGGAATGCGCCGGGCGTCCTTGCCTGGCCAATGCTAGGCTGGCGTCCGGAGATGGAGCTCTGAGCGGGTGAAGGCGCAATCATTGATGGTGCGATGATGGCTCTGTCCATGGAGGAGGGCATCATGTGCGAGCGGTCCGCCGCACCTGGCTGCATGCTTTGCATGGCCTGCATGGCCTGCTGGAGGGCGCCGACTTCATCTTGGAGGGCTGTGAGGTGAGAGGTGACGAGTTTGTACTCTTCCGAGTCCTTGAAGGTGTTTGCGCAGCAGTTTGGGGTATAGAGGCAGTTGAGGCCCATATTGCCGCAGCGCTTGCAAGGAGTTTCGCCATTGCATTTGATCTTGCGTCTTTTGCATTCGTTGCTGGCAGGGGTAGCATGTTAGCGAGCGCAGGCAAGCGAGGCCGCCCCCTGTGAGGCGAAATGAGTGTTTGAGACTATCCGGTACGTACCAGGCAATGGAGATGTACTGCAGCGAGAAAGGAGAGAAGGCACCCCGGTTAGCGGAACGGCTGAATCACGGCTGGCAGATGAAGTAAACGGGTTGCCCATCCAGTCGCCCATGCCTGCCTATGACTGACTGTGGCAAGGCAGGCAGGCAGACAAACACAGACGGAGCTTGCCTGGTGCGTGCACACCCGTCAGAGTCGGCGATGATGGGGGACGCGCGAGGACAGCGTCCGCCAAACCACAGAATTGGAGGAACTCACTCGATTTCGCTTGCTGCGCGTCTGCTTGGCCGAAGCCTGGCCATCGTCTGTCGATTTCCTCTTCCCAGCTGAGGCGCCGCCCACGTCGCCGGGCGTCGCGGAATTGCCTCCGAAGGACGCGGAACCAGGACTGGCATGCTGCTGCGGCCCGAGCCTTGGTGTTTCGTAGGTCACGCTGGGCGAGTTACTCAGTGGAACTTGAGCCTGCGAGAGGAAGCGCAAATCGGAAGCCTGCGTCTCGATTTGCTCCATGGTGGAGGGCCCATTGAAGGGGGGGGGAGGGCAGAGAGAGGAAGATGGCGCGGCGGCTTGTTTTGCCCGATAGGTTGGTTTCCGGTACACACTCGATTTGATCAGCGCATCTGGTAGGACCGAGTAGGAGTAGAAGGGGGCCTTTAAATGAGAGAGAAGGGAAAGAGAAAAAAAAGAGAACGAGACAAAGGGTGAGAGAAGGCGAGAGAGTAGGACAACCACTCTGAGAGCCCTGTCCAGGTGCCAGCTAGCCGGACCGCCTTCCCACCCCCCATAAAGCCAGGACCACAGCCGGGGCGTTCGCCACACGTGACCCAGGCGTGTGGTGGTGAAGTCGTCCCGTCCCAAACCAAGACTTTAGGATGAGTGGCGCAATCAGCGGCTACACTTCCTCCCCCATGGTACTTTTGACCTTCAAGCCACTGCTCTCAAGCCACTATCACAACATGCATCCGTAAATAGGCCTGTCACCGCAACCCAGGCTGCGGAAGCACTGCGCCGTTCGGGGGCTGAGACACGAGGGTCGGGTAAGGATCCCATTCCACATGTTTACAATTTAACTAATTTTGACCATCCGAAAGTGCCTGGACATCCCGTCGTCTGCCGGCTTTCCATCCTCTCGGGCATCTTGCATTGGCTGCAATTACCCGCTCCTTCTACAGGGCTCTCTCTCCCCTCTGTGGGGGGCTTAAGGTCGGTGTTGATCTTCCACGTTGTTGATCTTCCACGTTCATTGACATTTTTATTTCTTCAATTTGTCTATTCTGTAATGTTTCATCACTCGTGCGGCGGAGCACTGCTCCCCTTTGCCACTCTACCCCAGTTTTTTCACGCCCTTTTGTCCTTGTCCTCGCCACTCACAGCGCCTTGGCCGGCAGAATGGTGCCCTCGCAGTCGCCAAAGCCGATGCGCACGCCGTCCTTCTCGCAGTATCCGTACATGACAACGCTGTCTCCGTCCTCGAGGAAGCGACGCACCTTGCCGTTCCCAATCTCAAAGTCTTGCTTGCCGCCCTCGGTCATCTCCAGCAAGCTGCCGCGCTCGCGTAGCTCCGTGCCGCTGATCGTCCCAGAGCCCAGCATGTCGCCCGCTCGCAGGTTGCAGCCGCCGTACGTGTGGTGGGCGACCATCTGGGGGAACGACCACAGCAGGTTCTTGGCGCTGGTCTCGGAGATGACGTTGCCGTCCGTCTTTCCGTCCGCTGTGCAGGGATACGATTAGCAATTCATGCAGACGTGGTGCCATTTTTGCAGGAGATTTTTTTTTTCTGCTTACTGTTGATCGTAATCTGAAGCTTGATGTCGTAGACGTTCTTCTTTTCGGCCTCCTGCAGGTAAGGCTGGATGGCGGTCTTGTTCTCCAGCGCCTCGGTGCGGAAGGGCTCCAGGGCATCACCCGTGACGATCCAGGGGCTGATGGTGGAACCGAAGTTCTTGCCGTTGAAGGGTCCGAGGGGAATGTACTCCCAGGCCTGGATGTCGCGGGCGCTCCAGTCGTTGAGCAGGACGTAGCCAAAGATGTACTCGTCAGCCTGGTTGACGTCGACGGCGTCGCCCATCTGGGTGGGCTTGCAGATGAAGGCAGCCAGCTCGAGCTCGTAGTCGAAGCGCTTGCAGGCGCTCGTGATGGGGATCTTCTCGGCGGCGGTGGGGTTGGGCAGGATCTGGCCGCGCGGGCGCTGGATGGGCGTGCCGGAGACAACGATGCTGGACGAGCGGCCGTGGTAGCCGACGGGGATGTGCGTGTAGTTGGGCTGCAGGGCGTTGTCGGGGCCGCGGAAGAGGACGCCAACCTTGAAGGCATGGTTGTAGCCAGCGTAGAAGTCGGTATAGTCACCAATCTGCATGGGAAGATGCATCTTAGCCTGGTTGACGGGCACGAGAACTTTTTGCCTCAGCGCATCATTGCTCTTGAGCAGAGCATCGCCGCCCTCGCCGAGGATGGCCTGCAGCTCGGCGCGAACACCCTTGTGGGTGGCGCGACCGGACTCAGCAAACGCATTGAGCGTCGGCTGCGCAAGGGTGGCGGCGGAGCCCTGGATGAACTTGAGGCTGGCAGCGGCCGGGTCGCTGGAAAGGGCCTTGAGGTCGACAATGCTGTCGCCGATTCTAACACCGGCGCGGGGTGCGTCGGAGCCGTTAGAGAAGATGCCAAACGGCAGGTTGTGGATGGTGAAGTCGCCCTTGGCGTCGGCGGGCACCCAAGACGTGGTAGCAACCATTGTGATTGTGCGTGAGGTGGTAGGAGGAGATGTGGATGAGAAGACAGAGGACTGGATGGGAGGATTGAAATGTGAAAGAAAGGGCTTTTGTTCAAGATCAAGAAAAATGGAAAGAGGGAATGAAAGCGGAACGGCGTTGGCTCCCCCTCCTCGACCTAGAGCTCTGCCGCAAGCACCCCTCCAATTGCCCACCCCGATGACCGTACCCACAACGGTCACGGCCCCGCACCGCCCTCTAAGCCGAGAGCAAGACGCGAAGTGAGAGACAGTATTGAAGGTAGACATTCGTCCAATGACACAAGATTCATTTACAATAAACAAAAACAAGCATCATTGGACATGGTCGTTGAATTGGTGTTGATTCTATGAGGACTCTAGCCTGCACCTCGCTGAGGTCTGGCGGCACCGCATTGTTTGGTCATTCCGAGTTCAATACTTTTCCGGCAGGCGTTCGATCTACCGTTTTGTAATGTATCCGGCCAGCGATTGCGCCAACTTGATTCCGTAGGCGTTCCAGGAATGGGGAAACGCTGACAGGACCTTTAACCTGTTTCCCCAACACTACCCCCGCAATCCGCGGATCTCATCCTATTAGATTGAGCAGCCTGGCGCGTCTTCCACCAGAGACATTTACCATTGCACACAAACAACTCTATTTCATGTTATCCTCGCACCCCGCCAGATCAACCAGGTTGTAAACCCACTTACAAACAAGCTGTAAAGGGGCCATGGCGGGGTTGTGCCTCGACGGAATTGCTCCCGCACCCCGCCTCACGGCCGACGAAAGCCGCCACTGAAATTCAGGAACCATTACCCCACTGAATTCCGCAGCATGCCGCGAGCAGCCAATTTGCGGAAGCACGTCACAAGTCACCGGAACATCGCATTCCTTCCAAAGCAGCGTGTTACACAATGATTATATATATCCTTGTTTTCAAAGGAAGATTCCGACTCCTATATGCGAAAATACACAAGTCTAGTGAAGTGTCCCGATAGAACCCGACAAGTTTGCTACATGTTCCGAGATGAGTGAAAAAAAAAAAGGTGAACCATTCCTGCCGCGCGCGCAGGGGGCGGCAATGATCGCGTTACGCAAACATCTTGAAGTCTGCGTCCGCGACGTCATCCATGTCCTCGTCCTCGCCCGCCTCGTCTTCGTCGAGCTCCAGTTTGCGGCCAAACAGCGTGCCGAAGAACCGGTCGATGGCGTTCTGCTCCCACTGCCGCCTGTCCTCGGGCGCCATGAAGTTTTGCAGCTTCTCGTGGACCGTGAAGCGCATCTTGCGGCCCTTGCTGGCCTTGCGGTCGACGACCTTGCGCGTCCTGTTCTCACGCGACGCCGTCACGACGACCGACGGCACTGCGCTGGTCTGGTTGGCTGACGAGTCCACCGTGCGCTGCTCCACGAGCTCCTTGAGCAGGAGCTGGTAAAAGTCGGCGTCGTCAAAGATGGTCTCGTCCTCGAACACCTTCTTGGCGTGCTGCGCGGGGGCGCATGAACGCGGAACGCGAGTGCGCTTCGCCAGGCGGTGCTCCGGGTCGTTGAGCTGGTCGCGCAGCGACCCCACGAGCGTCTTGTTTCGCGAGCCGAGGCCCTTGGGTGCCGCCACATTGACGCTCTGCACCTTGTGAGACCACTTTTCCAGGCACTTTTCACGCGACTTCAGCGCGCGACGGTCCTGCTCTCGTAATTCCTCCCAGATTTCGGCGGTCGTTGTTGAGACCTCGTAGTCGCGCTTTCTCTTCGTACCAGCACCGGTCGCCGCACCGCAATTTTCTCGCAGGCTGCTGAGCGTATTTAGTAGGCTGAGAGCAGTAGCTTCAGCCGTAGTGTAGGATTCCGTAGTTGTGTCCTCTTCTTCGGGCTCCTCCTCCAATGCGCTGAATGTGTTGGCTGCAATCAAGGCTTTTTGTAACCGAATGCGCAAATTCAGTAAGCCGTCATAGAGTTTCCGTTGCTTTTGAATAGCCGCACCCTTTTCGACGTCGGCGTTTGGTGTTCGTCCGTTCATAACTGGCTTGACGTTTGAAGATTCGTCCTCTCCGTCCTCCTCATCTTCATCCTCGTCCTCTTCTTCTTCATCGTTCACTGATTCGTTGGTTTCGTCATCGTCGTCGTCGTCGTCATCTTCGCCTTCGCCTGACTCGTCGCTTTCCTCAGCCTCCCCATCTATCAGGGCCTCCAAGCCGTCGCTCATGTCACTTTCCTCTTCATCCTCGTCGTCATCCAGTTCCTCTCCGCTCCCTTCATCCTGATCTTCAGAGCCAGACATGTAGTCCGCGGCGGAGGCTCGCCTGCTCTTGGCTGTTCTCGGTTTGGAGCTGCCACGAAAGACGAAGTTGCTGAGCTTCTCGCTGTCTGATTCGCCGAGGGCATCGTCACTTCCTATTTCTGAATCACTGGCTTCCACGGTATCGATCTCGAGATTTGCCGTTTCAGGATCGTCGTACTCGTCGTCATCGTCCTCCTCCTCCTCGTCCTCGCCTTCCTCATCCGAGCTCTCTCTTTCTAGCACACTTCGACTCACTTTTGAGCCTCTGTATTGCGGTCCGAGGGAGTTTTCGCCTTTTTGGCGCAGCTTGCTTTTTGCGACAGTGACATAGTGCTCGGTGCCGGCATTTTCGTCATCGCTGCCCTCTTCGCTGCCACTCGCTACCACATGTTCGGTTTCTGGGTCATAGTCTGCAAACAGTTAGACCTGGGCTCATATTATCCGTAGGGCAGTACCCAATTACCTTTCTCAATATGTTCGTCAAACTTCTCGAACAATTTCGCGCGCCCCGTAGCTTTGCCCATATTTGCCGAGTTTGCGATTAATTCGAGATAGAAGCCTGGGAACTACAGAGTCGCCCCACGCCTGGAATTTTTTGCCAGGCGCTTTAACTTTTAGGCGGTCAGACCCGGCAGAATCCATTAGCATCCGTCAGTGGGTCTGCCAGTGGTCTCTTTAGTGCACAGCTCTCTGTAAATGGTATGAAGCTCACAATGCTCCTTGAATCATGCATATGAGATTATAAGTGATTCACCAACACGCGCCAAGCTGAATGCCATCGCTTCCGAGGCCCAGTTCGATTTACAGCGATCTTCACTTTGGTGCTTGAATTAAAACGCGGCAAATTACTACGCTGCGCCTGTTGGCCTAGTTTCGTAAGTATGAGGCCAACCGCATGCAGGCTATTTCGTCTAGCTGGTGCTTTGGCGCATGAGAATCCGCTGGTGAGTCGAGGTGAAATTCTGATTTAAGTCAAATCGCTCACATCTATAGGGCTTACCTCGAGCTGGAACGCCACCTCACTGGCCAAAGAAGCCACTGAAGCGCAAGATCACAGGCGTCGACAAAGTTATTGCCGTGTCGTCGGCAAAGGGCGGTGTTGGGAAGAGCACAGTAGCTGGTATGCGTTAGTCCCTTCGGAGTTCTCCAGTCACCCGTTAACATTTACAGCGAATTTATCACTGGCATTTGCAAGACTGGGATTTAGGGCCGGTATTCTGGATACTGACATCTTTGGTCCCTCAATCCCGACATTGTTTGACCTGTCTGGCGAGCCTCGGCTTTCCAAAAGTATGCGCAATGTGTCCGTGGATTAGGATGCATCGCTGACCTATCATAGATAACCAGCTTGTCCCCTTGACAAATTATGGCGTCAAAACCATGTCAATGGGGTATCTCGTTGGTGAATCTGCTCCTGTAGTATGGAGAGGGCCTATGGTCATGAAAGCCATACAGCAGCTTCTGCATGAGGTTGATTGGGGCAGCCTAGATGTACTCGTCTTGGACTTGCCGCCCGGGACAGGCGATACCCAACTGACGATAACGCAACAAGTGATTCTTGACGGTAGGATTGCCCAGTCGTTCCACCACATGGTAGCTAAAATCAGGCGCAGGTTCCGTCATTGTTACGACACCGCACACCTTAGCTACCAAAGACGCCGTAAAGGGCATCAATATGTTCAAGACTGTCAATGTGGACATTCTTGGACTTGTACAGAATATGTCACTGTTTACTTGCCCGCACTGCAACGAAGGCACTCATGTGTTCGGGTCGAATGAGCGGGTCGAAAAGATGTGTTTGGAGCATGACATCGAGTTTCTCGGCGATATACCACTGCACCCTAGCATCGGGGATGATGCAGAACAAGGTAAGCCGACCGTGGTGGCGGAGCCAGATAGTGAGCGGGCCGCTGCATTTCTAAACATTGCCAAAAGCATTGTGCCGAAAATTGAGATGCGGGAGCGTTAGTAGGTGGCCGGTACTTCAATGGGCAGCCTGTGTATCAACATGAAGATATGTACTTTTGAATTGAAATGGATGAATTTGATCAGATCGTTCTCAGCTTCCGTAGCTTGTTACTTAAATCTCTACAAACCCGCGAGAAAGTAGCCTGGGAGAAGAGAGCCAGAATGGCAGTTAGCCTCCGCAGCAACGAACAGGGAGCCTCTTTACCGTGACGACGAAAACAATGTCTGCATAACGCATAGTTTGAAAGCCCTTCCCGTCCTTAAAACGCCGTACTATGCTCATGGGGAAAAAACGAAGGTGGTTATCCTGCTGTGGGCACGAGATTCATTAGTCTAAATCCTCGTTCACTTGATAGACGTGGCGATTGCGGCTTGGGTCTTTGCGCATTGCTTGACCGGATCCAGTGAAACCAACTAGGTAAAAAGGTTAGCACGCCATTCGTTGCCTGGAGGCACGGAAAACGATAAACGCACCTCTGCCACGGATGCCCTCGGGCGTCCGGAACATGCTATCCTTCTTCTGCGTCTTTCCAAACTTGGACTTTGAATTGAACTCTTGCCACTTGTTCTTTCCGGCTTCAAGTTCCTTCTTGGCCTTGATCTTCTTCGGTTTCGGCGGTTTGGCCTCTGCAGCGGCATCCTTGCCTGCAGTCGGGTACGTGGTCGCGCCGGCCGAGGATACAAGGCCGGGTGTCGAAGCAAGTGGAGGCGGAGGCGGCGCCTCGGCCTTTCTCTTGTTGGAAATTGGGCGAATATCGCGGGAGCGCAGTGTTTCTGTGTTATCATAACTCTTGAACTTGACAACGTAGACGGGCGCGGCGGCGGATCCAGTAATGGAAGTGATCTTGGCTGGGTACAAGCCCTTATCGCCGGACATCCATTTCGCCATGACTGTGTCGTTCACTTGATAGGCGACGGGTGTGTCGTCCTTCTCCTCTGGCGGTGGAGGCGCAGCTTTCTTGAAGGCGGGGTGGTTCTCGCGTGACCATTTCTCGGGTTCAGGCGGCGGCGAGGGCTGCTTCGACGTCGGCTTCGGGGCCTGCTTCGGCTTCAGTTCTGCAATGTTCTCATTGAGAAGATCGACGAAATTTTTCAACTCCTGCTCGAGATTTTTGAGCTCGGCATTGTCGGGGTCATCGCGCAGCTGCGCAAGAACAAGGTCGAGCTGGGGTGAGGGCTGGTTAGTGGTGTCGAGGAGTGGTGGTGGGTTGGTGACGAACCTGCTCCTGGTATAGCCCTCTTTCGACTTCCAACTCTGCTAGTCCAGACATTGTCGCGTTGATGGGCAATTCGATGTACGGGAAGCCGGGGGAGATGCGACGGCGGGAAAAGCGGAAGCAGGGGGGCGGCAGTTGCTGGTATTTGCGTGAGGCTGGAAGAGGAGGCTGTACGAGGAGGATGCACGACTCGATGGAGGGAAAATCACAAGTACTCGGGCGAAGTGGGGCACGTGATGCCTTGCGTTGAACTTTCTAGGTACCTACAGTATGTGCATAGGAACTAAAGATACAGGGCATTTAGGGGACACAGCTAGCAAGATGCCCCTGAAATAATTTACCTGTCATTTTGAGATCGGGAAGCGGCCCGAGAAAAAAGCACCCAACGTGGCAGACCGGCATACATTAGTTAGTACTGACTGTACCACTCGGTTCATCTTGTCATGATAGAGAAAACGACAAGGGTGGTCCACACAACCCGTTTAGCGCATCTGGCGCAGAGCAGCTTATCTCACTGATCTCTTCCCCACTGCCATGTCAAACAGATGCCTATTCAGTTTCACAAACTCACCGGCATAAACATCTGAGAGCATCCGAGCATCGGATTGTTGATGTAATCGGAAAACAAAATAGGACCAAACATAAGACGTGGGCTTTAGCTGGTTTTAGAAATTGTAGCATTTGGCCGACTACCTCGGTCCAACCACTGGTCAGGTCTGTCGCTTCGCAGCATCGCGGGGTGATAGAGTGAGCTTGGTCGTAGTTGCCGGTGCAGAGACTGGGTAGTAATTTCATATTCACCCCCCAGCTGAGATGACTTGGTACTCCTGAATCCTGAGTCGTGTCTCATGGAACAGTCTGTTGGTAGTACGACGTTGTATTGGTGCCGTTTGAACCGATCCCTTGATAGGAGACCGTGACAGCTGTACTACCCTATAGCTGATCCCGGAAGTACTCGTGATGGCCTGCGTGCCTTTTCAAGCCAATCCGAGATGCAGATTTAGTACGTCGACGCCACAACTCGCAACCATCTTAACTAGCTAGTTGCCCTCACGTCCTCACGTGCAGGTTTTAGCCAGGAGCTACATTCCAATCACGCTTGGAGGTTCTAGAGGCTTACAATTAAATGGCCCTTTCTTGCGCCATGACCATTGGTATGTTGGGCTCGACAGTCGACTCACATTCATTCTTTCGCTAATGTGCAATAGAAAGGAATATTAAGAATAAAATAAAAAGAAAAACACACAATTGATCTTTTATCTAATCTTCTCTATGCTAACAATTACATACTTCTCTCACCGCACAGCGGCACCAGCCGCTGCTGCTCTCAGATCGCCAAATTACCGAGTACTAACCAGCTGCAGACCATGATCATGCAGGGGTACCACTCACTTTTGTCTGATAGGGAACTAAGAATAGATCGGCGGGTTTTGAGTCAAACATGTTTGACGGATAGCCTCTGTGCCGTGCTGGCAGACAAGGTGCCGCCAGCGGGCAAAGCACCACCCTGCTCGTCTCCCCTATTCGCTGTACACACTCGGCGGCAACTTCTCAGTCATGTAGATTGTCGACCGTGTTGCCCTTGGGGGCCGTCCTGGGGCGATGGCCTCCATGAAACTCTGCCTTCGGCTGACCCTGACACTCTTCCGCAGCCCTGGATTCTGGTTGCTCGGTTCTTCCATGATGGCCCCGTCATGCTCTGCAGAACCGAGGTGAAACATGGCGATAAGCGGTCCCTTCTTGCCGCCGGAACCACCTTGGGAGCTCAGAAGCTCGTAGCGGACGCCCATCTTGTGAATCTCTCGCATGACCTCGCCCGCCGTCCACGACTGGGGCTCGCCGCGCACGGAGTAGTCTCCCGGCCCACTGGACCCGTTGGGGATGTGGAAGAGTAGGTCGATGCGAAAGTACGCGTACGCGGCGACGGTGAAGATCTCCAGCATGAAGCCCGTCGTGTAGAACGCGACCTTGGTGAACAGCGGGGACATGGCCGCGACGCTCTCCGGGTTCGCGATCGCCGCAATCTTCACGGCCATGCCGACCATCAGCGTGGTCGCGCTGAAGACGACCAGGCTCGCCTTGCGGGACAGGTCGCCCTCGCCAAACTGCTCGGGTGGCGGGTGCGGCGCGGCGCCGGCGAGGAAGATCCACAGCAGCGGCATGGCGACCAGCATCATGTTCCAGGAGGCGCCAAAGGTGAGTACGATCTCGGCGGCCTCTAGCCGGACGGGCCGCCCGACGCTGAAGAAGCTGAAGGAGGTGGCGATGACGTTCATAATGATGACGGCGGGGACGGAGAAGATCAGGAACAGGGAGATGTAGCTGAAGGCGGGCCTCCAGGCAAAACCGGGGTGCATGGCGCGGACGATGCGCTGTGCGAGGAACAAGTTGACAGCAAATATGACGGCGGCGCTGAAGACGTGTTAAAAAAGTGGCATGCAAGGGGATAATGCGAGAGAGTAGCTTACCCGCCGTTTTGAAAGATGGTTGCCGCCAGGACAACACCGCGAGGACTGGAAAATGCCCAGACGATGCGGAAGATGCAGGTCATGACCCGGACCATGCAAAAGTCAAACATGAGATCCGAGAGGAGAAATTTGTGGCCACGTTTGGCATTTGCTCGGTAGATGGAGATGTGCGTGATGGCACCGAGAGCGAAGAGGATGAGGAATATCGCCGTGATGAGAACATCCTCGGTGGCTTTCGGAATGCCTCCCGGGAACGGCCCCTTGGCAGGATCTGGCTCTGCACTCTGTTTCTGGCCGACTGTGGCCTTTCCAGCTTGACGTCCCGCAGTTTCTGCGTCTGGATTTGTAGTTGCCAGAGCAGCCTCAGCCATAGCCGTAGCCTTGGTGGTTGGAGTCGCTGTTGCGCGTGCACTGGCTATACCTGCTGTATCCGTAGCCGCGGTTGTCGTCTGAGGGGTTGGTGAGATGGTCAGATGCAGCCTCATAGAGGTGTCCAGCAGGGCGTCGAGCGGGTTGATCATGGTAAGCGGCGGCGTGATGGATGAATTGGCCGTCATGTTGGTGAGGAAAGCCCGGGAGCCCGGGTCGACAGGGAAACACATGAACAAGTTGGTTGGCGCGGGGGCTGCTGAGGCTGACAATGACGCAGAGCTCGTCAGATTCTGCGAGAGAGCATCACTCGCACCACTGAAGATGGGAGACATATTGCTGGGTGTTGTGCTCTGCAGTTGGAAGGAAGTCAAACAGCGCGCCGGCGCGTCACGGCCAAGTTGATGGCGACCGTCCCGATCAACAGGAGGGGAATCGACAATTGTAGTCAGCGGGATTTGTTGTAAGAAGACGGTGAGATGCTATGTATAGAACAGAGGTGCAGAGTTTATCAGCATCACAGCCCCCTTTGGAAATACATAGATATGCAGGTAGGTGGCGATGGACTGCACGGATGAGGGTCGAGCGGCAGTGGCTAGGGTTGGTTGTGTTGGCCGGAGGTTGTTCGGGTCAAAGGGCACCCGTTTCTCAGCCCCTAAATCTCGATGTCAACGTAACTCGAGTAAGGCTGAGTTCATCGGCAGCAAGAGCCGCGGTGCCGTGATATGTATGATTGATTCCTGGGAGCGAGTACTCCGGGCCGAGACCAGTTTCGCATGCGGCTTACAAGGGAGCCCCAGGAAAATACCACCCAAGGTAGGCTCCGGGAATACCTTTCAATAATTTTAGTGACCGAGCGCAGAGACTATTGGAAGAGAATGCGTATGTTTTTTTATCTGCCGTTACAGGTTTATACGAACATTGTTTTATGGGAAGCTGAAGATGTTACACATTCTACCCGACGTGTCCAGGGGGGTCGCAGCCTTACAGCTACTTACAGACCCGGGTATTACGCACTGTCGCTCGAGCAAGACATTTGTCTAGGGTTACTCCGGGCCGAGTTGTCCACCTATACGAGTCGAGTCAGGCAAAAAGTCTCAACGACGCGTCATCTGGACGTCAAGTTTGCCCGGTGGGTGGTGGAAGGAAGGAAGGAAGGAATGATGGATGAATGTATGGATGGATGGATGGAATGAGCCAAGTCACCCCTTGCCTGCCGACTGATACGGCACGGGACACCTTGTTTACTCCAGTTACACCGAGTCTCGTTGATTGAGACACTGCCATCGGGGGTAGTACCAAAATCATGCCCGCCTCTGAACTACCTCGAGCCCATGAGAATCTATAAATTGCCCGTGTTCAACCACATCTGCTTCCATCACATGTGTCAGTTCATATTCACCAGCTAGCTTTATACCTCTGATACCAACTTACAAGCCCAAATACGAGAATAGTTCAACACCAGCCCACCAACATGATCTCTACTACCCCCGCCGAGGCGGGTGAGTCAGCCGATCTGTTGATCTTTGGAGACCTCACAGCGAGCTTCGATGTAGAGCTTCGACGCTTGCTTCATGTCAGAGGAAACGAGGCGATGACTTCCTTCTTTGAGCGCGTGGCCTTGCGCCTTCGACAGGAGCTGGGTCGGCAGCCATCAGCCATACAAAACATGTTCCCCCGCTTCACAACTCTCATTGACCTGGTGTCTGGATTCGGTGACAAGATGGACGGAGAGCCAGTCATGCAGTTTTTCCTAATGACGGTCTGCCAGTTGGCCAAGTTTATCCAGTAAGTCTTACACAACGAACGACCTCCCGTTACATCGGATCGTGGCTCTCTCTAATGCTTCATCTTGTAGCTTTGCCTCGGGGAGACCTTTTCCATCACCGCAAAATACCTACCTCCTTGGCATTTGCACCGGCTCGTTTGCTGCTTCTGCCATTTGCGTCTCTCAGTCCGTGCCCCAGGTTGTCGTGGCCGGAGTAGAGGCTACCATGGCCGCTTTCCGAACAGCGCTTCGCTCAGTGCTGCAAAGAGACATGATCACCACGGCCGGGAACAAGAACTGGTCTGCTGTGGTTTCGCGCGATAAGCCAGTGAATGACTTGATCGTCAAGTTTACGAACGACAATGTGGGTTCCTCCTCACGCGCCTTTTCCATGGGCAACGCCATGACGATGCTGACTCTCCAGAAGCCCTACCATGGCAAGCTATCCAATCTCTATATAAGTGCCACGACACCATTCAACGCTACCGTCAGCGGTCCCCCCGATTCATTGAACGATTTCTTTGCGCGGAATAACCTCGCACAGCATCGACTACCCATTGAGTCACCGTTTCATGCTCCCCACATCTTCCATGAAGCTGAAGTTGAATCTGTCCTGGAGGGTTTCCCGGCGGATGCACTCCACGAGTACAAACCTCGGATCCCCATCATCTCAGGCTCTACGGGAGGGTTGATTGATGCAGCCGACTTCAAGAGTCTGTTGCGAACGGCCAGCACCAGTGTGTTGCGAGAAATGGTTGAATGGGAGAAGATCCTCGCCACTCTTTCTGCGGCTTTGGGCGTGCGAAAGGTGGGAAAATGCAACGTCTACCCATTCTACTACAATAGCACCTCGCTCTTGTCTTCACACCTGACTCATGAGGCAAGCATGGAGGTCGCTGTGCATAACATGATCGGGGCGCTTCCTGCGCAGCAACCGATCAGGCCTACAGGCCGACTTGACCAGAGCAAGATTGCCGTGATCGGCTATTCCGGTCGATTCCCTGAAGCGACGTCCAACGACGAGTTTTGGAATCTTCTCCGAGCTGGTCGTGACGTCCACCGCACCATCCCCGAGGATCGATTTAACTGGGAAACATACCACGACCCGACGGGGAAGAAGAGAAACACGAGCAAGGTCAAGCATGGCTGCTTCATCAACGAGCCCGGGCTGTTCGACACGCAGTTCTTCAACATGTCGCCCCGCGAAGCAAACAGTACCGATCCAGCACACAGGCTCGCAATCACGGCTACCTACGAGGCAATGGAGATGGCCGGCATGGTGCCCAACAGGACTCCCTCGACACAGCAAGATCGCATCGGAGTCTTTTTTGGCGTCACAAGTGATGACTGGCGAGAGGTCAATAGCAGCCAGGACGTTGACACTTACTTCATCCCCGGGGGGGTCAGAGCCTTTATGCCTGGACGGATCAGGTATGTACAGTCGATGAATGCTGCAGGAGGGCAGGAGTACACGGGACGTTCTCTATTGACACAGTGTAGTTACTTTTTCAGGTTCTCCGGCCCCAGCCTCTGCATTGATACGGCCTGCTCATCCAGCTTTGCCGCCATTCAGTCGGCCTGTGGCTACTTGCTGAGAGGCGAGTGCGATACTGCGGTTGCGGGCGGCACGAATGTCCTCACCAACCCGGACATCTTTACTGGTTTGGATCGTGGTCATTTTCTGGCCAAGTCTGGTAGGTCCTACTCACATTACATGCTGGTACAATCTCCAAGAGACCGTTCAAGCTGACCGGTCACCCTGACAAAAGGCAACTGCAACACCTTTGATGACGAGGCTTCCGGATACTGCCGGGCCGAAGGTGTCGGCGCGGTGATCCTCAAGCGTCTGGAAGATGCCCTCGAGGACCAAGACCCGATCTTCGGCGTCATCGCCGGATCCAACACCAACCACTGCGGCCAGACAGACTCAATCACTCGACCTCACGAGGGGGACCAAGTCTCCGTCTTCAAGCGCGTCCTGCGATACCAAGGCGTCGACCCCAACGACATCAGCTACGTGGAGATGCACGGCACCGGAACGCAGGCCGGCGACGCCACGGAGATGCGTTCCGTGCTCTCCGTGTTCCTCCCCGACCAGCGGCGCGGTGCCGACCGGCCTCTGTATTTGGGCTCAGCAAAGGCCAACGTTGGACATTCTGAATCAGCGTCCGGCGTGGTGTCCCTGATCAAGGCGCTGATGATGATGAAGAATAACGAGATACCGCCGCACTGCGGCATCAAGACGCGCATCAACAGGAACTACCCGACGGACCTTGCCCAGCGCAACGTCCGCATCGCCTCCAGGCCCACACCCTGGCGGCGGGAGGATTCCGCCGGTGGAACGAGGAGGATGTTTTTGAACAACTTCAGCGCGGCTGGCGGCAACACTGCAATCCTCCTGGAAGATGCCCCGAGTCCGCAGGAAGATACCGTGCACTCTCAGGGGCAGAGAGAGCGTGGCACGTACTTGGTCGCGGTCACGGCGAAATCCGCAAAGTCTCTCGCTGCTAATCTGGAGCGCTTGGTGTCGTTCCTGGAAGAGAACCCCTCCTGCTCTCTCCCAGCGCTCTCTTACACGACCACGGCCAGGCGGATCCATCACGGCTACCGGGTCGCCTTCTCCGGTGCTTCCATCGCCGCTGTTCTGCAGGAGCTCAAGCTGCGGGCTCAGTCCCAGTCTCAGGTTCAAGTCCCCAGGCGGCCATCACCCAGAGCACCAAAGGTCGCCTTCGTCTTCACAGGACAGGGCAATCTCTATACAAGCATGGGCCGGGAGCTATACGAGACCGTCCCCAGCTTTCGCGAGGACCTGGTTCAGTTCAACAACATGGCGCAGCAGCATGGCTTCCCGCCATTTCTTCCTCTCATCGACGGTTCCGTCCCGAGCCTCGAGGGCGTGGAGACATGTGTAGGCCACCTGGCCCTGGCATGCCTGCAGATGGCACTGAGCCGGCTTTGGAATACCTGGAACGTCCGCCCAAGCGTGGTCGTGGGCCACAGCCTGGGAGAATATGCGGCACTCTTCGCAGCTGGCGTCATCAGTGCCAGCGACGCCATCCTCTTGGTAGGCACGAGAGCAACGTTGCTGACGAGACATTGCACCCCCGGCACTCACGGCATGATGGCCATCAAGGCAGCCAAGGACAGCGTCTTGCCCCTGCTGGCAGATTCACCTTGCGAGATTACGTGCATCAATCAACCAGGCGGGACTGTCGTCGGGGGAGAGAAGCAGGAACTTGATAAGCTCGCGACCAAGGTCCAGGCGCTGGGCTACTCATTCGTACCGCTGGACATTCCATTTTCCTTCCACACTTCCCAGGTCGATCCTATCCTTGCCGAGTTTCAAAAGGCTGCGCAGAATGTCCAGTATTCTTCCCCAAACATCCCCATCCTGTCTCCGCTGCTCGGCCGTGTCATTCAAGATGGGGAGGCCTTTGACGGAGACTACCTTGTCCGAGCATGCCGCGGCGTGGTCAACTTCCAAGGCGCGCTGGAAGCTGCCAGGCTTGCCTCCATCGTCGATCAAGACACCATCTGGCTGGAGATGGGCTCGCATCCGGCCTGCTCTGGAATGATCAAGGGGACGTTGGGCCCCCAATCGACCACTCTTGCATGCGTCCGGAACTCGAAGTCACCATGGTCCTGCATCGTCTCGGCCCTTGAGCCCATGTACATCCAGGGCCTGGACATTGACTGGAACAACTTCCACCGAGACTCTGGCGAGTCTCACCAGGTCATCCAACTGCCGCGCTACAGCTGGGACCTGAAGAACTACTGGATTGCCTACAAGAATGACTGGCTCCTTACCAAGGGAGATTGCTGCTCCGGTACTGCCAAGAATGTGCAAGGAGCGGTAACCAATTCAGTTGCAGCTGCGGCTCGATATATTTCACCTTCAATTCAGCGCGTGCTGCAGGAAAGCCACACGCCCTCGCGGTCTACCATCCTGGCCGAGTCGGATCTATTCGACACTAGGCTGGTACATGTTCTCCGCGGGCACAAGGTGAATGGAGTGGCGCTGTGTCCATCGGTAAGTTGCTGCTGTGACGGGCCTGTGCCATGTTTACGATCAATGAGACTGACTTTCTGCAGAGTCTGTACGGTGACGTTGCTCTAACCGTAGGAAAAGCCCTTGTTGAAGGATGTGTTTCAGCCCACTTCACGGGCCTTGACGTTTGCGACGTCAAGGTCGACCGCCCTCTGATTGCCCATCCGTCGGAGACGTCCTGTCTATTCCGCGTCTCGGCCACGGCTGATTGGGCCTCGCAACTCATATCCGTCTCCATCTACAGCGTTGATCAGGCTGGCAATACGACGGCACACCATGCCAAGGCCAACGTCCGCTTGTCCGTCGACACGACCGCCTGGCTTGCCGAGTGGAACACGGTGGCTTATCTTATTCGCGGTCGGATTGCTTCTCTCGAGCGTGGTGTTGCTAGCGGCAACAGCCATAAGCTGAAGCGCTCCATGGTCTACAAGCTCTTTACTTCCATCGTCGACTACAGCAGCGAGTATCAGGGCATGCAGGAGGTTATCCTTGACAGTGAGGAGCTCGAAGCGGCGGCAAAGGTGTCCTTCCGCGTGGGTAAGCAGGGATTCTACATGAACCCGCATTGGATCGACAGCCTGGGCCACCTGGCCGGGTTCATCATGAACGGCAATGAATACTCGCAGTCTGACCAGCAAGTCTTCATCAATCACGGCTGGAGTCGCCTACGGTTCGGCGAGATTCCTCGCGAGGGCAAAGTCTACACCACGTACAACAAGATGCAGCTTGTAGAGAACAAGCTCTATGCTGGTGACACATATGTTCTGGATGGAGATCGTATCATTGCCATGTTTGATAGAGTCGCGGTGAGTCTTGCATGCCAAGTAACCCAACCATTCAACATCCAACACTACTAACGTTCTGCAGTTCCAAGCAGTCCCGCGCAAGATCATCGGCAAACTTTTACCCAATACAAACGACACGGCACCTGTGCCCAGCATCAAGAGACACACGCCTCCCAGCAAGGAGACGTGGCCGGCCGCTGCCCGCGCTGCTCCGGCACCAGTCCAAAGCCACACTCGGCGTCCGAGTGCAACGCCCCCTTCGGGAGACTTGGACTTCCCTCGCGTCTTGACAATCATCGCGGAGGAGGTGGGAATCGCGCCGACGGAGCTACAGCCCGACATCCAACTCGTCGACTTCGGCCTCGACTCACTGCTTTCGCTGACAATCTCCTCGCGCATCAACGACGAAATGGGGCTAGACTTGCCGTCGACGCTCTTCGCGGAACATCCAACAGTCAAGGACCTGCAGTCATACTTTGCGGCGGAGGGATGTGTTCCTAGAGAGACGCCGGAGCTTACATCATACAACTCCGATGATGAATCGTCAGACTCTACCGTCGCAGCCGACGAATTCCCTCCCGCCGACACCGGAGCCGTGACGGCCAGGATCCGCCAAGCAATCGCCGACGAGACGGGGATACCGGTCGACGAGCTCGAGTCTGCAGCCTGTCTTGCAGATCTTGGAGTCGATTCGCTGCTCAGCCTCACCATCGCAGACTCGCTCACCGAGGCTCTTGGTGCCGAGGTGTCTAGCGAGCTCCTGCTCGAGAGCAGAACCCTGAAGGACTTGGAGGCCACGTTAGGCAAGGAATTGGGCTGGAACGCTCCCGAGCTCTCTGGCATAAGCGACATTGGCACACTCAAGCCCTCGACATCAATCATCGTTAGTCCCCCAAAGGTGGTGGACCCAATCGTCGCCAACGAGCCGCATGCAACCTCCATCCTTCTCCGGCGCGCGAGCACCCCAGTCGCTAACCGTGTCCTGTTCTTGCTCCCAGACGGATCCGGCTCGGCCGCTTCGTACGCCTCGCTCGCCAAGCTGGATGCCGGCGTGAAAGTCTACGGAGTGAACTGTCCGTGGCGAACCAACCCGGAACAGATGACCCGACTGGGTGTGACGACGCACCAGGTCGTCGCCAAGTACGTTGCCGAAATCCGACGCAACCAACCCCACGGCCCCTACTATCTCGGCGGGTGGTCCGCCGGGGGCCTCTTCGCTTTCGAGGCGACCCGCGAGCTCATGGCCGCCGGCGAGGTCGTCGAGAAGCTACTGCTGATCGACGCACCGAACCCCATCGGCCTCGAGAACCCGCCCTCGCGGATGTTTGACTTTTTCGAGAGCGCCGGCGTCTTCGGCAAGATGACTGGCGGCAAGGTGGTGCCCAAGTGGCTGCGCCACCACTTCGACTCGACGGTGAACATGCTGGATGGCTACGTCCCCAGGCCGCTTCCCGGCGCGCCGCCATCGGTGGTCATCTACGCCCGGGACGGCATTTGCAAGGGCCCGGACGCGCCGCAGATGGAGACGGCGGCGGACGACCCGCGCGAGATGCTCTGGCTGCTGCGCGACCGGACCGACTTCTCGGCCGCCGGCTGGGCGTCGCTGCTCGGGCGCGACCGGATGAAGGTGCACGTGCTGAGCGACGTGAATCACTTTTCCATGATGGACGAGGGGCCGCGCATGGAGGAGATGCGAGGATATATTCGGGGGGATTTTTTGGATTTGTAATGCCTCTCAGTTTAGTTGTTTAATATCTCTATAGAATGAAGTACCACCAAGAGATTGTCATGTTCAACCACGTCCTCCGCACAACAAGAGAAGCTCCCATAGTCACACAGAAGAAGAAAAAAAGACGAAAAAGTAAAAAGAGCAAAAAAACATACAACAGCCGGTGTTCGCTGGTCGTCACCGACCCAACTACTAATCTGCCGATTAACAGCTTGTCTATGGGGGAGCAGACGGGACCCCGAATTCTCTGTTATCTATGGTCGTATGTGCCAGCTTTTCCTCAATCACCGCATATAACCAATTTGTTGTCTAGGTTTACTAGAATCTCGCGGCGCGACAGAGTCGGGGCAGAATAGGACTCAAGGAAATGGCGTATCAGGGTCGCGAATGGTATCGGAAAGCCATGCCGCAAGACACACCCTCGCAAGCCGCTCCATCTCGGCCCGGGCTGCGTCAGGAAGACATGGCACTTTAGGTGTATGGACTCATGCTAGAACTTGCAAGAGGAAGACTCTAGGACCCAAATCGACAGCCACAAGCACAGTTGGAAGAATCACAAGGGTACTTTTCAGACTCTTTTATGCAGGCTACACCAAGTGAACCAGATAGTGTGCCGATCGCGGGCATAATCCCGTAACTACAACGGGTGATCAGATGACCGTTTGTACACTGGCCGGAAACTAACACGCCCGCAGTCAGCAATCGGTCTGAATCCCAGTGGATAAGTAACGTATGTATGTAGGCTGCCTGTTAGTTGTCTATGAACATGGCTGGCCACCCCGATCGTCGCTGTATTGTCAATTTATCCTCCCAACAAGACAAAAACAGTCCAGACTTTCGCTCCAACTCGTCAAGGGTCAAGAAGAGTCCCTAAATGTACCGATATCCTGAACTTGTAAATGTTACGATATCCCCATCTTTTAACATCCAGCTCCATTCAGCTCCCAAAGAACCAGGCCACTGCTGGGCCACGATGATGGTCCTGGCGCCGGCTTCTGGAATCGACTTCTCCATGTCTAATAATAAGGTACGGTCACAGGAGTGTGCCAATTGCTTGGCCATGATGACCGGGGGCTTATGCATGCGCTTTCGCGAGACATGGGGATCAAGTGTGTATAAGTGTGAGACCAGTTGGGTCCATGACCCCGTGGGACGGGATATGCATAAAATGTGTGACCACCCTCCCTTACCAAAATGCTCCTGCTTCCCTTCTGCTCTTGTTGAGATGCGACGCCACTACTAACTAACCCAATAATCGCAGTAACACCAACACCACCAAAAGACTACAATGACAACCTCGTTTACATCATTCCTCATTGTAGCCCTCGCGCCGCTGTCGAGCATTGTGCGATCGAGGACGATCTGGTGCAGCTGTCGACGAGGCTGCACGAGGTCTTTGCAACGGTCGGTTTCGCCTACTTGATCAATGCGCCGCTGTCATTTGACCACGATGCTGTTTTCGGCATGGCAATGGACTTTTTCCGCCTCCCCGAGGAGACCAAGATGAGCGTGGCCAAGAAGACGTTTCGCAAGGCCAACGCAAACACCTACAGATGGCAAGTCTGTCTCTTTTGCATACACAACACGCGCACAACGGCCCCGGACTTCTGACTAACAAGATTCGGACATGCTAGATACTTCCCTGTGCAACCCGGCGCTGATTCTCAGAACCTCAAGTCCGGGTTTGAGCTCGGCCCGTCACATCGGCTGCCTGCTTCGTCGCGGCCGTCCAGCTCGCCCTTCATCCTCACCGAGCCCAACTGCTTCCCATCCTCGCCGCAGTTTACCTCGCGCGAAGCGTCTCGAGACCCTGTACGCGGAGCTCTCCTCCCTGTCCAGCACGCTCCTCGCGCTGCTCGCCTCGTCGCTCGCGGCAAGAACCCGGCGTCGTTCACCTCCATCCTGCGCAACAGCGTCTCGACGCTGCGCCTGCTGCGCTACTCCCGGCCACGGCGGGCCCAACACATCGTCCCCTTCCGAAAAAGAAGAAAGGCTGAGCTGCACGCCGCACACCGACTCGGGGCTGCTGACGCTGCTTCACTAGGACGCGACGGGCGGGCTGGAGGCGCGCAACGCCGAGGGCGCCTGGATCCCGGCGCCGTACGTGCCCGGCAGCGTCGTGGTCAACGTCGGCGACCTGCTGGCGAGGATGAGCGGCCGGTGGTTCGTGGCGACGATGCACCGCGTGCGCAGCACGAGCAAGGAGCGCTTCAGCATGCCCTTCTTCTCGGAGCCGGGCGTGGATGCCATGGTCGGGGAGCGCGGCAGGGAGGTCCGGTACGAGGAGTTTGTGCTCAACAAGATGGGCACCTGGGTCGAGTTTCAGGACGAGATGGAGAAGACGGAGATTATGAGCACGGTCAGCGCTAGCTCCGAGGTGCATGCCTATTAAAAAGACAAGTTTATCAGGAACAATTGTACGAGACACGGGCTGATGTGGCCCGGTCACGATGTGAGAATACAAGGAAATTGTCCTTTTTCGATCGCTTTTTGCAGGTCATTTAGGAATGAAACGCTCACAAACAGCTCCTATTAAAAGCCAGAGCCTGCTTGCTGGCTCATGCATGACCTTGCAAGACTCCCTTCGAGAGAGCAGTCCTTTTGCTTGCATCGGGGAGGCATGAGAATGAACTCGACGACCCGCCTCCCTCGACAAACTAGACTAAGTTTACCAGGAACTAACCACTTGGCTTGGTGTCCGAAACAAACGCCATCATCGGGCGGGAGTCCGTTGGCGCCTTGGCTCTGTTCAGCAGGATGGACGAGAGCTTTCCGGCTTCGGCTTCGCCTTGCGGCCGGGGTCGGAGGTCGGACCCGTTCTCAATCGGTGCAACGGCTTCGTGGTAGGCTTCAAGGTTATCTTTTTTTTTAAAAAAAATCTATTCAGACACGAGGTAGATCAGTCAGCCGATCTGCAGCCAGCGTGGAGACTGGCACGCATCTACCAGTAGAGGCATCTCTGTAGAAGTGTGCAGGAAAGCTTAGGTCCGGCCATTATCAAGAGTAAATTCAGGTGAAGCTATGTATGTAGCTTGTGTACTGAATCATGCAACTAAGCGCAAACAATAACTCTACCATCCGCCCCGTCTTTTATTCTTTTAATTAGTTTTTCGAGCAATTTACTATTGTTTTTCCTTCATCTGCCGTACTGTGCTTCAGTGTTAGCTCCGTGTGATCTCTGTGCGTGTGAATGAAACTGACTGAAGTGACTATGCTGGGAACAAGGTTGGGGGCGACTGTAGTTGTGGAAGCTTCCGCCTTTAGTTTATCAGAGCAAATAAAACCGCGACTTTCAACCAAGTCACTTTGGCCGAGTGGTTAAGGCGGTGCCCTGCTAACATAGTTTGTAAGGCATTACGTTCGCGTGCGTAGGTTCGAATCCTGCAGGTGACGGATCTATTTTTTGCCATCTCTCTCCTTTGACACGAGGAGTATTTCTTTTTAAGTGCTCGTAGCTACCCTATATACACGAGTGATGAAAGTTGTATGACGTTCTGCTGTTTATATTTATTACCTGTCTGAATGCGCTTACACGCTTACTGGAAAGTACTCCCAACTGGAAAGTAGCCAATTGTAACAAGCACCACACTCTATAGTATGCCACAAGATATAAAAGAGTCTCGTATCCCCCAGCATAGTATAGAAATTATTCGTCGGGCGTCTGTTTCTACTCTCGTAGCGACTCTAGCTAGCGTAATGGCTTCACCTAAGCTATTGTTAGGATTGCAAGTATCCCAAGCAGAAAACAAAGATAGAAGGGGCTTGATCGATCAAGTATTTGGGGGCGTGCAAACGGTCACGTAGTACGGCACCCAGCGTGCGCTGAGATGGCTGACTTCCAGGTGCACGAGGTACTGAGTGTGACTCGTATTGTGCTTATTCATTCATTCTATCTGACTAGGAAGAGTTATTGAACCATAGTAAGAAATAGAGTAGTGAACAGAATAGTGCAAAGGAAAGCTAAGTACCATGGGAATCTAGCACTAAAAACGGCAACGCAATCAACTATATCAGACAACTAAAACAGCGCAATCAATTACCACAGTCCCGGGCACTGCCGGGGCATCGTCAACGCGCTGTCTGGCGTAACCATGCCAATGCCTTATTAACGTTTTCTTGCACGAACACGTACCGCAAGAGCCAGCAGGGCGACTTTGCGCGAGTTGCTGGATGGCCAGATTAGGAGAGCGCTGCAGTCTCCCCTCTCACATGAGCACTGGCTGCATCGAACAAGAGAAAGATCCTGGGAGATCTCAGGGCCCCCGTCTCGCCACCTTTCCGGACCGACCCAAGAATTACGCTCACGGCATACTGGTAGGCCGACTTGACCTTTGCGTACTACAAGGAATTAATGGTAGGTAGCTGAAGCTCAACACAGTGCTCGACGTTGAGTTGGTACAGGTGCATCGTAGGTACTTTGGATCAATGGCTGATACAAGTACACAGATGTCCTGTTAATGGCTGATGGCCTCTTATCAATAGCTGATCTCTTATCAATAGCTAATGCCCCTCGGCAATGGCTGATGCAAAAAGTCGAGTTAGGCGAAGCAGGCAAAAAAATCGTACGACACCTGCAGGATTCGAACCTACGCACGCGAACGTAATGCCTTACAAACTATGCTAGCAGGGCACCGCCTTAACCACTCGGCCAAAGTGTCAATTGATGTAGATAGTATCGCTAATTTGATATAATAGTCTCTATTCTTCCTCATCACGCTGACCAGCTGGCTTACCCTGGATTGCGTTTACGAACAGAGGTACAAACATCGTAACTATCTTGTGCTGGTTTTGAGTTCGTTTTCTCTCTTTAAAGAAGAATAGCCTCTCTTGAGTGTAAGAACGCACAACCATTAATCTTCTTCGTCAACGCTTTCCTGTGAAGCCGCGCAGCATTTTCGCAATGGCATTCCACGACGACAAACGCTGGAGGTGCTATGGACTGGTCCAAGCCATAGGCATGCGCTTCTGCGGAGCCCATGACTCTGAGGTTAGGCAAAGTATCGGAGAGGTTGCTCACATGGTATGCAGACTGAATCCCTCGAATTCTGTACAGACATCGATAGCCAACTCTCCAAAAGGCGTCTCGAACAAGTGATCAGCCAAAATATAATGTTTCGCCAAACCCGAAGAACGAATGCATCCGGCTAGTTATGACCAGAAAACGCCAACTGCCCGTGTCTCTTATAGCCCTTTTGCTATGGAAGTCTAGCAATGCTACACTGAAATCCCGCGGCGCGCACCGAGAAGCAGTATACACAGTCACGGGGTATAATAACGAGAGTGTAAGAGTGATAATGCCAGATTCTAGTTTACAGGTGTCATCTCATCTAGCTATTTCGGAGGCTGCCAATGCTGTGAACTGCTTTGGCTTCTTTGACAGTTGCCCTCGCTCTCCACTTAAGTGAAGGAGCCACCAGTGAGAAGAATGACTTGACCTACAACATGTTAGTAACGTTGCTCACTCAAAGAGATGACACTGGAGGCCACGAACCGTTGACCCATTCGCTATCAGCGTGTGCCAGGAAGGCGACGACGCGCGCAATGTCCTGGGGCACGGCAACCCTCTTCAGAGGACAGCAACCAGCCAAGCCCTTGTCGATCTCTGCCATGGACGAAGAGGGTGTTGCCCCCGGCGAGTAGCGCCAGGCGTTTCTACACACGCCGCTGTCAGCCAAGTCCCCAATAAGCGAGTTGGAGCATTCAACTTACTCGTCATACATGTCGGTCTTGACGCCGCCCGGGGCGATCGCGTTGACGGTGATTTGCTTGTGACCGCAGTCGACCGCGAAGCTGCGCGTAAAGCCCTCGACCGCCGCCTTGCTGCCCGCGTAGAGCGCGTGGTTGCCGATCCCGGACATGGTCGCCGCCACGGACGACGTGAAGATGATGCGGCCGCCGTTCTGCAGGTTCTTGTACGCGTGCTGGGCGACGAAGAACTGCGCGCGCGTGTTGAGGTTGAAGACGCGGTCGTAGTCCTCCTCGGTGACCTGGTCCTCCGGCTTGAAGACCTCGGTACCCGAGTTGGATACGACGACGTCAAGGCGGCCAAAGTGCTGCAGCGCCTCGTTGAAGAGCCGCGTGACCTCGGACACCTTGGAGACGTCGGCCTTGATGGCGACAGCGCGGCTGCCGGCCTTTTCAATCTCCGCGACGACCTCGGCGGCGGCCTTCTCGGAGCTGCCGTAGTTGACGACGACGGAGGCTCCTCGTTGGCCCAGCTCGAGGGCGATGCCACGTCCGATGCCTCGACCGGCTCCGGTGATGAGGGCCACTTTGCCCTGAAGAGTGTATGCGAGACGGTTGGTAGAACCCATTGGGGATAACTGAGAGGTTTATGATGTGAGTGTGTTGATGTCTTTTGAGGTGATGGCTGTTCTTGTATGGAGTGTTCTGATCTTTGTTCGGGCTGAGGGGATGTTGGCTTTTTAAGTCCTCCTCCTTGATTCAGAGGCCTACATTGTTCTTGGGATGGAGCCTGAACAGCAACAGTGCGCAGCGGCCTTGCGCGCCAACGGAGTCGGGTCGTTTTCGAGGGATAGACGCGAATGGTTTGGCCATCGAAGAAATAGCACATTCCTTCACAAAGTGCCACTACAGCAAAGTGAGTGTAACTGTTTCGCCACGCAAACGAAACAGACCGCGAACACAAGGTGTCTCGCGCTTCGTCCTCGCCTCTGTGCAGCTTGATCCGCTTCGCCAGCACAACCGGGAACGGCTCTGAGTCGTTCCCCATTGATAAGCAGCACAGAGCAATTAGTAACTCTTCGGGAGAATTGGCAACATGAAATGCACCGAGCAGACTTGAGCCGACCAGATGATTCGCTGAGTAGGTGCCAGGAAGAGCGGGTGTTGAGTCAGGCAGATAAGAAGCAGAGAGTATGATGAGCGAAAATAGCCTGAGCTGTTATGCCGAACAGATGATGAGCTCATCAAATAATAATTCTTCTAAGCATCTAATCAGAGAGCTTCCATAATTTATGAAACGTGAAGCGTCTTAGCACCGACAGCCATGCTGGTTAAAGTGGCATCAGAGCGGGTTGGGCTAGAAGTGCGTTGATGGACGGGACGTTTATTTTCATCGGCTCATCAAGCCGATCGGGTCATTACCAGTCCGTGCGGCCCGCGCGCTTGGAAACGGACACCCCAGGGACTTAGGATTAAAGCGAACTCCGAAAAGCGAAAAGGCGACGCAGCGTTCCGAAACAGAGGCTGGCAGTGCGACCGCACTGACAGGCAGTGTCTATCCTGCACATGCTTACTCCACGTATCAGGTGAAGGGGAGTTGGGAGCAAAACATGACGAGCCGAGCCGGAATCAAACGGCTGTACTTCTCCCGTCAATCTTCCATTTTTATGTTCTGCGACTCTTATAGATCATTTCCGTGGTGCTTGCGCAAGAAGATGGTAGAATGGAACTCATTTCACAACTCAAGGTGGCGTGGAGTGTCCAAATTGAAATAGTGATATAAAGATGAGTATAGATTTTCCTAATTTTCCCTGATAGTTACGGTGAAGCAAGAAAGCTCTTGAAACTGTGTTTCTATTCTGTACTGTACTTATAAAGGAGGCTATTAGTCTTTGAATGAGCCCTTGAACACCTTTTCAAAGTCATGCTCATTCCATCGAACCAACGGAGCTAGACCAGCAAACTTCCACACTCCGTCAACTTTGGTATAGAAGTGCTTGTTAGTCGCGTGGCTATGGCCCTGCAATTTGACCGTCTGCAAATCCGGTGCCGTGTAAACCTGGTGGGCGGCCCTCAACTGATGATATCCAACAATTTCAGTTTCGGAAATCCGCTCCCAGCGCGTCGCGCCGAGCAGATGCTGCGTCTTGACGCATTGATCACCGAGAAAGTCGTCGTTGGACACCATAGCTACGAAGTCGTCTGCCGGCATGGCTTCCCATACAGCCTTGCCAATCTTGGAGTAGTCAACGTAGAGCGTCGGAGCGACGATGCCACGCAGACGAGACCAGTCCTAGAGAAGTTAGTAAGTAGCTGTTGGATTGGAATGAAAGTTTTGGAGAGTTTTGTACTTTTGCGTCGTAACTATCTCCCCAGTCGAAGAGCAATGCCGATACATCAAGATAGTCTAAGTCGTGAGCGAGGGTAATGAACCCGATTGCTTCAAGTGCCGCTCACCCTGAAATGAAATGGCATTGGAAGAGCTTCTAGCTCTAAAATCAGCGGAGGGGGAAGTCATTTTGCCGTGGGTAGAATGTTGCCAACGGAGTGAGCATGTTGCGCAAGTGTCGAGGCGACAGAGCGTAGTTTTATAGGTGAAGGATTTCCTCTGGCATCATGTGGTGGTTATGCATCGGGCAGTTAGTCCACGAAACAGTGATTTGAGACGTGGAGCGAACTGATCGGGATTCATTGTACTACTTGATGGTTGATCGTATAATCAGCAAGGCTCGGGTCAACTATTCCGACGCTGAAGTTGCAGTGCGACTTGGTAAAACCACCCGGGCAAGAGGTCGGAAACTCCACGACGCCGACGAGACGTCTTTACCCATGTAATCGGGGCAGTGTCACACTGATTGGGGGAGTGAGATTGTCGAAGCCTGAAACTGGCTGGGATTTTCTAATCATGTCACAATTGATCCGAAGCTTGGAGAAACTGAACGTACCACCAAATCTAGATTTGGCTCTTATCGATCCCCCGAGAATGAGATTTTGCAAAAAAGTATCCTCTGTTGGACAAGGAGACTAGACGTGCGAGACAATCAGACTCCCGATGAAAGACTGTAATACTGCTACTCCAAGATGTTATGGGCGACCGAATCGACAGTACGAGGAGGAGTTACATGACGCCAAGCAATATCTGCAGTGGTGATGATGTTTTGGTTAGTCGATGAGCTCTATTTATAGGTACATAGGTACAGAGGTACATACATATGTACAACATGCACATACTGTACATAGGTGTTGTGGTGCTGAGGTTACCCTGGGGGGATTTCCAGCAGCAGGTTACTGCTGGGGGTCGTCATCGATCGACTGTTAAGCGTTGAGCTCTAGCCCGTGCTATTACTACGGCGAAGGCTGGGTCAAAGACCCTGTCCATAACAGTTGCATTTGGTTAATTGCGACCTAGATGCTTTGTTAATTTTCTAGCAATTTGGTGAAAGCAATCAGCCTGAGTGAGGTTGGGCAAGGAGGGCTATGTGCATAGCTTGAGTAGCCCTTCCCTTTACTATAGCTGACTACCTCTAAATTCACCAGCGAGATCCTGGGGGTGGCCCCGAAACGAGGTAATACACACAAAGACATCACGCGCAGTTTTGTACGACCTTTGGTTCGCCTCACAGACCATTGCTTTGTCGTCAGCCTTGTTCTAAGCACATCAAAAGGAGAGCCAGAGCCAGGCCAGCCTGTGTCGGGACAGCCAACCTCGAGGAAAGACTCCGACACCGCCATCACTCTACCAGTAAGTTAGATACAGCGTCATCACTCTAACTAACTAATCTGGTAGCCCAGTACCTGCAAACAGGCCCTGTTGTCGCGGCCCCCGCTGGACTTGGCTTCGTTTTAGCCCGCCCTTTCCTCCTAGACCCGGACCGGACTCACCTGGAACTCAACTGAACTCAACTGACTCTCCTCCCGTCCGTTCGGTCCATCCCATTTTATCCATCCTCTTCCACAATCTCAAGACGACATCATCGCTCAGCCGTTGCGCACCAATCATCACGGGATCCCAACTACCGCCTACTCGACACCCCGCCGCCAATTGGTTGGTGAATTGGCCAACGGTACTCGGCACATTCGCTGCTATATGTGTGGTAGCGAGCGCCCGCCACTTCGTCCCCAGCAAATCCATCTCGAGTGCAGCGCCTCCCATCACCGTCTTTTTGCTCTTTCCACCATTCCCACCATTCCCCCCACGGCCAGTGTCTCACCGCAACTGCAACGCTGCAACCGCATCATCTCCTTTATCCAGCCTATCCAGCGTTGCAACGAGCTGCCTCTCCCCCGACATCGCAGTGTCCTCTTTGGTCCACGTTTCCTGCAACCCGCAGCCCAATTTCGGCACCACCCCCCTCCTCTCGCCGCCCATCCAACCGAATAGCCCTGTCGACGCCTCCTTGCTGTGCTGTCAGCGCAGCCCTTTCAGCGAACCATGGCACGAGAAAGAGACGGGGACAGCGCATCTGCAGCCCCCGATGGCCAATCAAAGCATCGCGACCCCGACGCACACAGCGACATCTCTGCAGCTGCACACCAGCACCGTCATAAGCCGCAGCATCAAAAGCACCACCACGTCGGCGGCCGACTTCATGCCCGCGTCCCCTCCTCCAAGGTCCTGCACACAAAGTCGCACCAGCATGGTCAGGCCGCGCCCAGGTTAACTAGGCGCACAACCTCCCCCGGCGACCGCGAGTCCAATCGCCGCCCAAACTATCATCGCCGCGTCAATAGCGAAGCCAAGTTGTCGCGCGACACCTCCTCCGGCAACCTCCCCAAAAGCGCATCCCAGTCTAGTCTCAAGCGCAATCGATCCAGCATCGAAGTCTCTAAGCGCAACCGCTCTTCCGATAAGCTGCCGCGCAATACTAGCAGCTCAGCCGTCAACAAGCACAAACCCAATAAATCCCAGGTCACCTTCGACATTGGCGTCGATGATCCCGAAGACGAATGGGTCGATGCGAGCGGTTCCAATTCACCACACATGTCCAGAAAAAGCTCACTCCTCAACAGTGGGCAGTCTTCCCTGCAGCGGAACCCCGCGTCAACTGGCAATTCCAGACCACAGACGCCCAACAAGCCTACGCAGCCATTCCCAAATACTTCGCCCTCCGAGCAAGAGCGACTGCGCCACAAGGAATATCTTACCTCTCGCGTGCTGAAGCGCACTATGTCGCACGGCGCAACAACGCAGATGGCCACCCAAATGGCCCAGGCCAATCTCCCACGCCATTCTCCGGAATCAGACGTTCCCAATGCATCCCTCTCGACACCTGGCACCCAAGACGGCCTAATATCGAGATTTGTCGAGACTCCCGGATCAGGCATCATCAGCGAGGGCTCATTCTATCATCCTTCCACTGGCTCGCAGCCGCCACCAGTCTCTCCACGCGTCCATTCCTCTTCCAGCCTTTCACAAAACGGCTCAAAGCATCTGATCCCTGACATTGATGACAGCGCTCTTGTGCCGAAAGCGTCTGGACGCAGCACTGCTCCCAGGGCAGAGACCTCCCGGACACAACAAAAGTTGAATCTGCAGCGCCAGAGCTCCGCACTCGAACCTGGTCAGGCTGTTGGGGCTGTTGGGGGCGTTGCCGGGCCTTTGATTGGTATCACTGGGGCAGGTTACGACGGCGCCAGTAGCCGTGATCCACGCGTCAACAGGCTGATGGAAAGGACTGGCATGGAATATCTCGTGGTGCGAAGATGTCAGAACCCCATTGTCCGCTCGCTTAATCGTCTCAACCGTCTACCTGACCTTGAAAAGAGCAAGCGCATCCCTCGTCCTGCCACACCTCTTACTAACGGCAAAAGAACGGCAGCTGAAACATCGGGCCGGCATACACGTAACGTGAGCATGCCAGACTCGAGACCGACCGCAGCAGCGCCGAGACGGGTGGCGACTATACGGAGCAGCGGTGCGGGCTCCAGCTTCGAAGGGGATGACGCGGGCCGATTGAGCGAAAGGATGAGCGGCTCCAGTGCTACAGAGGAGATCAACGATACCGCAACGATACTGAGAAACTTGTGGGAGAAGTCGATGGACCTGAGCGCGAGCACTGACTGACGGCGTTTTGACTAAGAAATTTCAACGATGATTCTACGGCTTATATACGCTACACTTCAGTCCTACTATCACGGCCGCTTTTGTCTTTTGTCCAGCGTCTGCATGATGTTTTTTTCTGGGCATACGGAGTCCATGATGGTTGCTTCTATATACTATGGATCAGAGGCGATAAGTCGCTTCCTGGTTCAAGACTATTCAGCCTTTTACGTATATATTTATATAAATATACATATCACCTCTTTTAGCGATGATGGCTTTTGCGAATGGCTGTGCCCTGGTGAAATGACAATATAATGCAGCAAGAAAGGTGTCAATGTAGGAGTGGTTTAAAATGCTTCCTTGATCATTGTTTTGTGCAAGTCGGAGACCCCGTTTCTCGTTTCCAGTGCCTGCATACGAACCAGAGCACTCGACATTACTTATACAATATGAATAGCCTATATGTAGTTGAAGAAAAAAACCTCTATGCTGCAGTTGGTGGTTTTTTTTATACCAATTTGCCTTGACGGCGACATGTCTAAACATTAGGAGACAAGAGATCATATTTGACGCAGCGTTCAACCTGGGACTAGTCAGTGGGTGTTGCGAATCTGGTCATGCGCGTTTGGCAGGGAATGAAACTCACGTCTTCGATGCTGGCCTGCAAAAACTTTCTCGTCTCCAGGCCGACCCAGAGGAGGATCATGGAAAAGTCACCCGCGGCCGCCGCGCCGCCTTGCGTGCTGAGCTGGCGCAGGATCGGGAGGGAGCTACTAAGCAGGTCGACGTCCGGGTTGAGGCTGCGGCCGATGCCCTCGAGCAGGAGGATGCTAATAACCACGTTGACGAAGTCGCCCTCGAGGCGCACGTGGTGGCCGCGCACCATCGCCAGCACCTGCTGCAGGATGTCGCCGATGCGCACGCTGCCCAGCGCGAGCGTGCGGCTCTTGACGCCGAGCACCAGGTGCTGCATCTTGAGCGCGAACACCTCCTGGTCGAGCACCGCGTCGGGCTGCCGGCAGCGCTCGCACATCAGATGGCCCGCCTTGTAGCCGTCAAACTCGGCGACGGCCCGGAACAGGTCCAGGAAGTTGCGCCGGTTTGTCGCGTTGAGCTCCGTGACGAGCCCGGTGTCGATGAAGACGAGCTGCGGCCGGAAGCCCTCGGCGTCAATGGCGGCGAGCTCGGCGCGCCACGCGGCGGGGTCGGCGCCGCGCCGGTACGGCCGCAGCCGCTCGAGCACCTCCTCGGTCACGTCGGACGGGTCGGCGGCGGGCGGAGGCGCGTCCGCGACGTGGTGGCGCAGGGGCAGCTCAGGTTTGGCGGAGCGGTAGAAGCGCACCATGATGTTACCCGGGTGCAGGTCGGCGTGCACGAAGTTGTCGAGGAGCAGCATGCGCAAGAAGGCGTCCAGCCCCTCGTCGGCGATGTCGTACTGGAACACGCCGCCGCCGTTCTCCATGAAATCGGCGAGCGGGATACCCTGCGCAAACTCCTCGATCAGCACGTTGCGCGTCGTAAAGTCGGTGTACGGGTACGGGAACCACGCGGTGGACCGGTCCTTGAAGTTTTGGCGGAACGTGGCCAGGTTGGCCGCCTCGATGCGCAGGTCCAGTTGCAGCTTCATCATCTGGCCGAACTGCTCGACCTCACCGGGCAGCGAGAGCCATTCCATGGTCGGTACGGCGTTGAGGACGGCGGCGAAGAAACCCATGATGCGCAGGTCGCGCCGGACGGTCCGCTCGACGTTGGGGTGCAGCACCTTGATCGCCACGTACGTCGACGGCACGCGGCTCGGCGAGCTCAGGAGCACCGTCTTGACGTGGTGCTTGACGTTGTCCGCCATGTGTTGCTGCTGCCTACCTGCGACGAGGTCCGAGTCCGCCGGCGACGCCAGGTCCGGCTTCAGCTTGGCCTTGTAGACCTGGGCGATGGCGCCGACACCGAGCGGCCTCTCGTCGAACTCGTCAAAGATTTCCTCAAAGGGGCGGCCACCAAAGGCCGCCTCGACCGTCGCGCGCGTGACCCGCATCGAGTGGGCGGGTGCGTTAGAGTGCAGCTTGGACATTGTCTCGCAGAGCTCGTTGGGGAAGATGTCGGAGCGCGAGGCCGCCCACTGGCCGAGCTTGATGAAGGCCGGGCCGGCCAGCTCCATGGCCTTGACCAGGAGCGCGTACCACCACAGCGTGCCCTGCCGCTCGTCGTCGCGCTCCGGAATGCGCCGCCCGAGCCAGATTATGGGTACTGAGGCGATTACGGGTACGAAGATAGCCACGAGATGAAGGAACCGCACGCCGGTGAAGAGGGGTTCCCATATGTACAGGTCGACGAACAGCAGTACCTCATGCGCGAGGCGTGACAGCCCACGGTCGTTGTCGTCTACCGTCTTGCGTATCTCATCGCGCGACAGCTCCAGCATGCGGTGCTCGCCGGTCAGCTCGGTGCCGCCGTTGTCCTTTTGCGCGAGCTCGACAAAGGTCGCCGTGCCGATGGCCGCTGCGCCAGCCGAAGCCCGCAGCGCATAGCCGTTGTTATTTCGCCTTCCGCCGCGCCGCCACGGTATTTGGCGTGGCGTATGTAGCTGTCGCGCGCATTGCGGTCGGGGAATACTAAAAAATGAGGTGGGTTTACAGCCAAGTGTTTGTCGAAGACCCGACCGGAAGGTGAGTCTGCCGAGCAGCAGCTCAAACCTCATCTCGATGGGGTAATTGATGTATTAATCGTCTGCGTCGCTGTTTTCATGCTCGAGTCGGTAGCAATGGTAAAGGACGGTTGAGTACAGAGGGGGACTCTGATTCCGGTGCGTGCCGACAGCTTGCTCGGGATTGCTCTTAACTGTCAGATTCAGTGACGTACTTTACATGTGCAGGGGCAACCCGAACCCACCACTCCGAGCAGCTTGCCCGCAATAAACTGTTAGTGCCTCGCCTGGTAGCGCAAGCATTTACTAACAAATGCAAGCCTGTTTGCTTCCTCGGAGAGGCCCCACGGACTTGCCGGGATGGCGCGATAAGATTAGAAATTTCTCCGTCCCTTTTTTGCGTGGCGCCGATTGTCCCTTTTGGCCGGCCAATCCTCGTCTGCGCATTTGCAGCATCTTCATTCTCATTTCCAGACTTGTATTCTACCACACAATATTTCCCGATGGGTTGGTTCTGGGCTGATCAAGCACCCGCTGCCGGGCAGATGCCCAGCGGCCACCTCGCTGCCTTTGCTGGCAAGGAGCCTCCTGTAAGCGATGCGCGCGCAAGAACACCACCCATAGCGCCTGTCTGCGAAGGCTAATCTGAACCTCCATCAACAGGCCGGCTGCCCGATGCACAAAAAGTCACTCGATAAACTCAACCCCAGTGCCGAAGCGACGAGGCCCGCGCCTCCCGTCCCGTCCACCTCTGGCTGCCCCGTCCCCCACGACCAACGCGCCGCCGCCGTCGCCTCGGCCACTTCGAAGCCGGCCGCGGCCCCCGAGTCCAGGTCGATCCTGTCGCAGCTGAACCCCCTCAACTACATGTTCCCCGACCTGTCGCAGAAGCCCGCGCCCAACCAAAAGTTCGCGCTGCCCACGTCGCGCGAGGAGTCGACCATCCCCAAGGGCGACGGCGACGGCACCTGGGAGTACCCGTCGCCGCAGCAAATGTACAACGCGCTGCTGCGCAAGGGCTACACGGACACGGACATCACCGCCGTCGAGTCCATGGTCTCGGTCCACAACTTCCTCAACGAGGGCGCCTGGGCCGAGATCGTCGGCTGGGAGCAGCGCTTCCACCGCGGCCTCTACCGCGGCTGGCAGCTGTGCAAGCGCGGCGAGGAGCACTTTGACGAGGAGCTGGACCGCAATTGGGACGGCAAGGAGCCCGAGCCCAGCCTCATCCGGTTCCAGGGCCGGCCAAAGGATATGACGCCCAAGGCGGCCATGCTCCAGGTTCTAGGCTGGATTTACCCGTCCAAGTTTGGGTACGTGTGTCCCCGGTGCCGCTTACCGATGGATATGAGACTAACGTTTCTACAGAACCGAGCCCCCCTTTGACCGACACGACTGGTATGTCTCGCGCGAGGTCAACGGCGAGCAGAAACAAATCCGATACGTCATCGACTACTACTCTGGCGACGCCGACGAGAGCGACGAGCCTGTCTTCTACCTCGATGTCCGCCCTGCGGCGACGCCCCAGGGGACCGCCGAGAGAATCATCCGATGGAGCAGCGATGTTTGGTGGAAGGCCATCGGCGGTGACGTGCGAGAGCAGAACCCGCAACCATTCTTCCGCCACAACTCTCCCAAGCCTTTTGGCTAAGTAAATGCGGCGTTCCTTGAACGGTTTTTCTTTTACATCATCTGCATTTTTCACGGACTAGCGATGCGACAAATGTCACGAGGTTTTCTGTTCCCTCTCCTCTCCAAATTGGTGGAAGTATCTGTAATTCTATTGTACGTCACGGTGTAAGATTTGATGAGCAAAACAAACATTATTGATTTTATGTTTTTCTTAAATTTGTACATATTTTGTATCTTTTATCTCTAGCATTGTAAGTCGAAAATCGTATTCTATCAATTACAGTCCATAGTCACAATCTTGAAATGCAACTACCGCTATGCAGCTGTAGAAGATTTAGCATCAGTTTAGGATTCATTGGCGATGTACAGCTTCTTGGCGATGTACAGCTTCTTGGCGATGTACAGCTCATTAGCAATGTACAGCTTATTATCCATGTACCACCAGAAAGACCACTCCAGCCACCGTCGCCCCAGCTCTCCATCACAGTGGTCAGGCCATCGCCATGCCCAAGGACCAACTTTCAGCTTGGTTCTTCTGTGCCGCGAACGCGAGTTGGTGCAACTTCGTAGCGAGCCAGAGGTTCCGGCAATTTCCATTTCCATTCCCTCAGATAATCCAGTGGTGCTTTGCCACTGTCATCTCTAGAAGCGTCTGAGGTCCAATCCAACCCCAACGCCACACACTTGTCCAGATGTATCACAGCCCGTTCGGCAGCATGAGACGCCGGGGTCCGTTCGCAAAGATCCTTCGCCTCAAGATCGGCGCCATGGGACAAAAGCACATCTAACATGCGAAAGAGACGGCGCTTGCATATGCAGCGCGATATTGGCGTGCCGTAAGTCGCTGGAGCATTGGGGTTTGCTCCGCCTGTCAGCAACATCTCGACAATCGATCGTCTTGGGAGCCACAAAGCCTGGAGGAGTGCCGTTGATCCATCAAACTCATTGGCTTCGTCAGGGTCGACCCCGGCGTCAAGTAAAAGTTCAATCTTGAATTTAAGTTGTTCCAGCGCATCCCCCACCGTGATAGAACCTTCAACCATGTCCTCAGAGCCTTCAAGCGTCTCCTCAGAATCTTCCAATGCTTCCTCGCCCCCCTCGAGGTCCTCCTGGAATTCGAGATACTCTTCCAACAGGTTCACCAGTTTCAATCTCTCCGGAGCTGCAAGGGCGAGACTCGGACTGAGCGGGTCTAAGCCGTACATTCTTGAGATATATTGAACAGCATCGTATTTCCCAGTCATGAAAGCTACATTGAGAGCGACTCTCCGCCATTTCCTGTCAGGGTCGTATCTGTCCCCCATGCGTAAAGCAAATTCATCATGCTAATCGAAAGGGTGGCCGCAAGCATTATGGGGGTAAACTTTTGTTGAAGTCGGCAGTTGACATCTGCGCCGTTTTCTAGGGGAAATATTGTCATTTCTCGGCTCTTGGTACGGATAGCTCGAATAAGCGGCTTCTCTCAACTGTTGTCACCATAGTTAACATCCGCGCCGTGGGCCAAAGCAATTTCGGCGGATTTAATGCTGCCTTTCTCAATTGCCCAGTTCAGCATTCTGTTCTTGGGGCTATTGCTATGTTTGACGTGTAGGTTGTGGGTTAGTTAATATTTCATTGATGCGGCGAGAAACACACAGCAGGCTGATCAGGCTCTTTGTTCCAAGCAGCGGCTCTGCGATGTACTAATACAACTCCGCCGGCAGCGCCTCCAGCCAGTTTATGTGCGGCGCAGCCATTGTTCTTTGCGGATGGTTTTGATAAAATAAAGACGGGTTAATGTTCTGAAGCTGGAGGAAGCTCGTTGCGTCTTGACGAGATGGGGCTGGCTGGTTGCGCAAGAGCTATTGCCCAAGAGGCACCTTGGTAATACCTGCACAGCGGACAACAGTTGCATAAAACGATTACGGACCCGGAAGATAGAAGAAATGTAAATGCAAGGGATATAAAAGACGTAAAACAGACAGAAAGATAGAAAGATGAAAAAGATGAAAGTTACCTCTGGATTGGTACCTGCACCAAGCACAGGCTAAAAGCTGGACCCGCTAAAAAGTTAAGCTGGCACGAAATTTATTTCATCTTCCACCTAGCACAAACCAGTCCACCAATCCAGGCAAGAACAGCACATCCGCCCTGCACTTCGCACATCAGGACTGGAGATGACGGTCGAGGCTATAGAGAAGCCCAAGAAGTCGCGCACCGCGTCTCCCGAGACCACAGGGGACGGCTTTGTCCGCCTGCACATCACCCCGTTCGACCCCGAACTGCTCAAGATTGTCGTACCATCTACCGCTCTCCCTAACGTCCGCAATATCTCATACCATTCGATCGAAACGTTTCCCGAAAGGCGATTTGGGTTTATTGAGCTGCCTCAGATGGATGCCGACAAAATCAAGAAGAAACTCAATGGCATGGTGCTGAAGGGAAGCAAGATGCGCATCGAAAAAGCCCGTCCCGAGAAGCGCGTCCAGGCAGAATCGACAGACGATGCCGGGAAGAGCGACAAAACTTCAAAAGCCAGGAAGGGTGATGACAGTTCTGAACGACCAAAGAAGCGCAAGCGTGAAATGGGTGTTGTTGATGGCGTTTTGCTTGACGATCGCAAGGTCAAACGTGGGTGGACAGAACCTGCCGACCATAAAAACAAAAACAAGAGCAAGGACAACGCTCAAGATTCTAAGAAAGCCGGAAAAGATATCAAACGAAAGCAGTCGAGATCGAAATATATCGAGAAGGAAGAGTGTCTCCTCAAGACTAGAATGCCTCCAAATGAAATGCGAAATCTTCCCGAAGAAGATACCAACGCCAAGAAGAAGAAGAAGAAATCATCTACTAGACAAGTTACGGTTCACGAATTCGAAAAGACGACAAAGTTCATGAGCTTCCTTCGGTCGGCTGCTCCAGAAACCCAAAGCAAGGCCGCAACCGAATTCATTGAAGGCAAGGGCTGGGTAGATGAGGATGGCAATGTCGTGGAAGTTGTTAAAGAGAAGGAACCACGCAAGCCGCAGTCCAAGAAGACAAAGAAACCGCAAACACCGCCTGTTGAGCCCGAATCTGAGAGCGAGACAACGAGTGAAAGCGAGACGTCGTCCGACGACAGTTCGTCAGAGGAGGAGTCCGAAGACGAGCCAATTGAGCAGATGGAGAAACAAAAAATGAAGATGCTTTCGGATAACAAGACCAAAAGCTCCGACAGCGATCCATCCGATTCAGACAGCGACAGCTCGGACGAGTCAGATGATGAATCCGAAACGCCCGTACCTGAGGTGAGCGGCAGCGCCACCTCGAAGCCCTTGAAGATCGATATCCCGCGCCATCCCACAACACCCAAGGCTGTTCACCCGCTGGAAGCACTCTATAAGCCGCCCAAGCCCGATGAAAACGGGACCAAGACGCCTGGTGTGGAGAAGACAGGCGGCTTCAGCTTCTTTGATGCGGATGGCAACGGGGACGAGGAAGATGACGATACGCCGACCAACGGCGGGGTTCCCTCCATGCCCATGACGCCCTACACGAAACAAGACTTTGAATGGCGCAACGTGCGTAGCGCGGCACCGACCCCAGACACTGTCCACCCCGCGCGCATGCGCAGCTTCTTCCCGGCGGACGACGACGAGATGGCGGACGCTGGCCAGGAAGAGGAGGGCGGCTACGAGGAGGAAGAAGAAGGCGTCTATGACGATGAAGCTGCCGGTGCGACTTCTGGGCAGCAAGCGACGAGTGACTTCCAAAAGTGGTTCTGGGAGAACAGGCGTGATCTCAACCGGTCCTGGATGTCGCGGCGAAAGACGGCGGCCAAGGAGAAGCGGCACCGGGAGAACAAGGCGCGGGCCTCGAAGGCAGCATAAACTTGGCGTTATGAGTGGGATTGCATACATGTACATGAATCTAGAGCAGCATTTCTTGAGTCATATATGTTATTAATTTATATTTGCTGTCCGAGAAATCTTCCGACAAAGTATGTACACTATTTTTGTCTGGAAAAGATAATCTCCAGTGGCCCCTCGCCGAGTCCTTGTTCTGACAGCTGCACAACGATGCTCGCGACCGCACCGCTCACCGCCGTCTCAACGCGGGCCGCATACGCGGCGTTCGGCCGGGCCGTGTCCACGAGGCCGTAGCGCCAGACGACCCAGTAGTCGCCCGACACATGCTCGAATCGCCACTGCACGGGGAACGCAAGGTTTTTGCGGTCCGCGACGAGGACCGGCCGCCCGCGGGACGCATCCTCTGATCCAGAGGCGGAATCCAGGCAGAGGTCGAGCGTGCCGTAGCCCGGATGGTGGTACGAGCCGACGAGCGCGGCCGGCGCGTGCGTGGACGGCAACGCGGGCGTTGGTCGCTCGGGGAAGAGGGCATCGACGGCGTTGTCGACTGCTTCTTCTCCCGCCGCGAGCAGCTTCCTCCAGCTACGTAATTACAGGGGGGGGGCAACTGTATGGTTGTGAAGGACTTACTATTCGGAGACGTCGAAGCGATCGGCCTCGGGGGTTCCGATTCGATCCTCGATCAACTTGCGCGCAATCACATGTCGGATCTCGCTTGCCCGGTTCAGGAAGATGACCAGGCCGTAGCCGAGCTCGGGCAGCCAGGCGACGTTGGCGCCGTGGGTTTCGGTCGAGCCCGTGTGCATGTAGGCGACGTGGCCGTGGATCGCGGTGCGGAACCAGGCGAGCCCATACATGCTGATGTCGAGGCCCTGCGGCGGGTACGCCTCGGGCGGCACGACCGTCCGCGGCGCGCGAATGTCCGCGTGCGCAGCCGCGGACAGCGCCGCCGCCCTGTCGATCAGGCACGCCAGCCACTTGACGTAGTCCTCGACGGTGGACAGCTCGGTGCCAGCGCCGCCGATGCCCGGCGCATCCCAGAGCGGGTGCTCGCCAAAAGTCCCCCGCGCGCGGTCCCAGTAGTACCCGCGGGCGACGCGGTGCCGCGCGGCGCGGTCCACGTCGCGCAAGTTCAGGAAGGTCGAGGCCATGCCGAGCGGCGCCCACAGCGCGCGGCGGAGCGTCTCCCGCAGGGGCTCGCCTGTCAGCGCCTCGACGGCGTGGGAGAGCGCGACGTACATGAAGTTGTTGTACTCCCAGCGCGTGCGCGGCGCGTGGGAGAGCGGCAGGTGCCGCAGCAGCCGGGTGATGTCGCCGGGTGTGGCGGGCGCGACGCCGTTGCCGAGCGTGCTGGGGAGCGCGTCGATGTGGCCGGACAGGCCGGTGCGGTGGCTCGCGGCGTCCTCGAGGGTGAGGTGGGCGGTGGCCCAGTCGTCGGCGAGGACGAAGTCATCGCGGATGATGGACGAGATGGGCGTCTGCCAGCCACGGGAGAGGGCGGGATGCGTCTGGTTGTCGATCATCTGGGCCAGGACGGCGGTGACTTGGGCCTTTGTCGTTGAGCCGACATACCACAGCGTGTCGGTGGTGGCGGGCACGTCTGGGAGCTGAGCATATCCGTATGCCTTATTTACGTGCGTGTTAGCATCGCACGAGGATGGCATGCGAAGAGATGCACTTGCCTTCGCGTAGGACCTTTGCGCGTCAACGACGCCAATGGCCAAGCCTGCGACTTTCCATTCGTCCAGCAGACCCTCAATATATTTGTCGAATTGGGGCCTGAACGGGTTCTGGCCCAACGATGCGGAGGACGGGTGAGGGTTGAGGGGAGCCTGGGCGCCGTCAGAAGCGACAGGTGCGGCTAAGATGACAGTGGCACCAAGCAGCAGCTTGGGGCATCGCATGATGCCGACGAGCAAAGCTGTTGGCGTTGTTGAAATTACAGTGTAAAGGCAGAAATCTATGAAATTCCTGATGTCTCGGAGGGAGATGAGGCTGGAGCTTCGGATGAGGATAAGCCTCTCTGCCTCATGCAGGAACGGTTCGTTTGTATACGTTTGCCCCGCACAAACCAGGCTCAAATCCAACCTGATTATTTTTCAATTTTTTTTTTCCAGGAAATCGCTCTGGTTTCGTAACGATTTATTTTTGCGAATGTTTTCTATTAGTTCATCTGCTAGAGCTGCGCCTTAGATACTAGTAACTTACAAAAAGACCACGGCATCTATAACAGATAAAAGGGTAACTAAAGGCACTCAATATTGCATCATATAAACCAAAACCCCCAGCTACGGTCTTCTTGATGGAAAAGTAAGAAAAGGGCTTTTAGGCCGCATGTATGCGAGAATACCATCTGTGCTGACAACGGCTAAAGAGTAATTAGCAAATAGCTCCCTTGCGGGGAGGGGCTGACATGATTTATCTGCAACCTGATACTACCTTGCATACCTACATACATTCTTCCCCACGAGCTGCAGTCATTTTATAGATGATAAGCCACTGGCCGCTTCGATCTCGCAACTGCCGATCTTGTCCCTGAAACCCCAACTACCAAGGTGGACAGGAACAGCAGCTCTCTCTCTCTCTCTCCGAAATCGAGCGCTCCCAGCGACATCCCCTCTCTCCGGGGCCGGAACCATGAGCTCCATCACGCCGCCCACGTCGTCCCCGGCGTCTTCCTCCGGCCCTGCCAAGACCTCAGCCTCGAGTCGCTCCGTCACGCCCGAGCAGCCTCGCAAGAAGAAATGGGCGCCCAAGAGCAGAACGGGATGCTTGACCTGTCGGTACGTTAGCCTCCCCCTTTTCGCTTCCCTCCTCCCTGCTCGCCGTTTGCGCACTTATCCCTACCTGGGTACCCTGCGCCGAGGAGCAGGAGGAAGAGCACAGATGAGTCGACCTGAGCTGACCATGCTGCGCATCTGGCCGTCGTGATCAAACAGCGCACGTAGAATCAAGTGCGATGAAGCGAAACCTGCCTGTAAAAAGTGTGTCTCCGGTGGGCGGACCTGCCAGGGCTATGAAGACCCTTTCGTGACATCGCACCAGCACCCTGCCAAGGTACAAGGAAAAGCCGGCATTCGACTTCAGTCCTCCAACGCTCCCCAAGTATGGCCAATAGCCTCGTCGCGGCGGGCCTCCTCCAAAGTAGTCGAGCCCTTTCGCACGCAAACACTCGAGCCCTTCGAGTGCGACTTTGCACAATGCGCCAAGTACTGTAAGTCGTCAAGGGCTTCAATACCACAGAGATGTCGTTCCTTACCAATACCTCCACCTTCCAGACTTTGAAGTCGTTCATCCCATCGCTTTCTATAAGCTGGATACGGACAAGCGGGTGAGAATGGCCGTCGCCAACATCAAGAACATCAACCGGCCGCGCTTCATCATCCACGCCACCGCCGAGTACCTCAATCGCGTGTCGCGCGCCCAGAACGCGCTGCCGAACCCGTCGGCGCTGCCGGCATCGCGCAAGGAATGGAACAAGTTTCATCGGTACGCATTGGAGGTCCTCCAAGACGTCAACCAAAATATTGAGCAGCACAATCCGACCCCAGAGAGTATGGCTGCTGTGCTGGTGCGAATATTCTCTCTAATAAATTCAGAGGTACGAAGCTGGTGATCCTGTGCGAAGTTTAGTAAACGTCCTCTGAGTGATGATCTGACACTTCCTAACAGCTGTATACCCTCGGGCCGTCATGGCGTGCGCACATCATCGGCTTTCTTGCCTTTATAAAAATGAAGTGGAATCTGGGGAGTATTCTCAAGACTGGTCTTACCATTCCTTCAACCACCTGGGTGATAACGTGAGTCTCTCCCTTTCTTCACCAGCATGCTCTGTTGAAAACCCATCATCTCATCATGATCCATGTCTCAGCAACGCCGTCCTTGTCAATACGACAAGCCCGCCAAATAACCAAATCATGCCGGTGTACGACTTTTCACTCGACGAAATCCGGCAAGTCTTTAGCCGCCAATTCTACTCCGAGCTCCCCTGCCCGAGCGTCCTCTTCCTCTGCATCCACCGCATCAGCCAGCTGCGCATGCGTCTCGCCAACGGCGAGCCCGCCGCCGCGCTGCGGCCCCTCGCCCGCGCCATCCTCGACGAGGTCGAGCTCTTCGACGCCAATTCCTGGACGGAGCCCTGGGGCGTGCCCGATGACAAGCCGGCACTGCGTGTCCTGGCGCGCGCCTACCGGGCCGCGGTGCGGCTCTACGGCATCATGACCCTGCCGCTGCCCACCACCAGCGCGCACGGCAAGGAGACGGCGCGCGACGAGCTCATGGCGCACGTTCGCGCGGCGATGCCGCTGCTCGACGCCAAGCTGGCGCTGCACTGGTGCCTGCCGGTCGCGGGAGTCGCGCTCGCGGACGGGCCACTGGAGGATCGCGCGCTCGTCGAGTACGTGCTGATGGGGTGGAAGCAGGACATGGAGTTTTACCTGCCGTTCCACGTCAGGGACACGCTGCGGCGCTTCTGGGCGTCGGGGTCCACGGCGTGGGACGACTGCTGGACGGAGCCGTTTCCTCCGCTTTGTTGACGACGGCACAGCTAACTAAACGATTCTGATGACATGAAAAGTAGCGCATAATGTACAAAGCATTGATCATGATAGAGTATAATATATGATGCCCCTATAAACGCCAGCTGCACATGCTGCGAGAGTGCTAATCGAAAACAACTTTTGATCCCGCAAAGGCAACCGCCTTTTGCGATTCCTTTGCTTTTTTCCTCGCCTCCCAGCTCGGGTGCAACGTTCCCTCATCGTCACGCTTCGTCGGCGGCTGCTGCGGTCGTCTCGATTCCCGCCCCCCATCGTTATCACCACCACCACCCGACGAGAACGGGTTCTTGACGCCCTTTTTCCACGGCGTTCTACCACCATCAGCACCATCTACGGCACCGCGCTTCATGTCCCACCCGTCGTCGCGGCCCTTGCCCCGCCCCTTACCGCCGGCGCCGTCCTGGATATGCTTGGCCTTGCTGCCATACTTTTGCTCCCAGATGGCGCGCCGCGCCATCTGGCCGCGGCGCTTCTTGGGCGGCGCGACGTCGACGTCGGAGGCCGACTCGGAGCCGGACACGTAGCCGCCCATCAGCGACGGCAGAAAGGTTGAGTTGGTGGGACGGGCGGCGGCGCGGTCCGCCTTCTTGGAGCGCTTCCGCGGTGGTGGGGGTGAGGGTGAAGGTGACAGGGAGATGCCGCGGGAAGTCAGTTTCCGGCCTCTCGTGGTTGTTTTGGCAGGTGGTTCCCCGTCGTCGTCGCTGCTGTCGTCGCCATCGTCTTCTGCATCTTCGAGGTCCGAGTCGCCGCCCGAGACGGAAATGTCGTCGAGATTGACTGCTTCCTTGCCGCGGTACTTTTCCCATAGACGGGCACGCTCCTCGTCCTCGTCTTCGTCAGAGTCGGAGGAACTGCCCAGCAAGCCGTCCATGGCGTCAAAGTCGTTTTCTCGAGCAACTTCCTCCTCACTATCGAGGTCCTCTACCGCCTGTGTATTCTCGTCGTCGTCGCTGTCGGCACTGAAGCCCTCGAAGTCGGTCTCTTCGCCGTCGTCGTCGTCAGCGCCGGCCCTGCTCCTATCCAGATCCGCGGGCGGCGTGGGCTCCTCTGCGTCCTTCCGCTTGCCCTTGCCGCCCTTTTCCGGGGCCGGTATTCCGAGCGCCCCGCAGACGGACGCCACGGCCTCATCGACGACCTTCTTCACGCCTCCGTGGTTGTACAGACCGCTCGTGACCTTGTGCAGCACCGCCCGCTCGTCCTCGGGTAGGTCGGGCTTCGCGACGCCACGCTTGATCAGCTCGGGCAGATCCTGGTGGTTCGCGACTCGCTTGATCCTTAGTAGCGACGTGTAGAGGTGCGCGCGCGCGGTCTGGTGCAGGTCTAATGACTGGATTGTTCGGTTAGCCTTGCGAGATGGCAGCCCCCCCCACGTACCTTGAGCACGTTGATTTCTCGTTCGAGCTTCTGTTTCTGCTCCGGGTCGCCGCCAATCGTGCGCTGCTTCTTGGCCATGCGCTGGCGTTCATGGCCTTTGGCCGCCTTGAGGGCGCGGGCGAGTTCATCCTGGAACTTTTGGAGCTGTCGCATTGATAGCGGCTCATCCTCCCTCTTGCGCTTGGCCATTTTGGCCATTGCGAAGTCTTGAAATTATGAGCAGGGTTGTATGTATCACGGAGCTAGAAGTAGCAGATTTATAAAGTCTTCTCCTCGACCGCCTCTCCGTTCGTTGTTGACCTCGTTTGTCGGTCTGAAAATGCTTATCGGTTCGTCTTCGATAAGCTGCCTTTTTTTCTTCCTCAGGTGGTATGGAGAGCTCGCGCAGTGGGGCACAGTGGAATCGGGTCACGGCCTACAGTGGGTGTACATAAGTCGGTGATACCCTGGAGCAAAAGAATCGCGGCCGAGACGTGGGTAAGGGTTTCGTCTTGTCTTGCCTGACGCTATTTTCCTTCGTCTGATTGCCCCAGGGCTCTGTTTTGAGGTCTAGGGTTCTACTGTATGAGGGCGAGTATCAAACTCACCAATACCGTGCCATTCTTTCTCACCAGACCTCTATATACATACATCGGTAAGCAAGTAGAGGCACAAATTTTCAACACCAGAGTCAGGAGCCAGTTTTTAGTATTAACAGGAAGTAGTCAATTGCAAGGTAATACAATTCTTTTACTCGCTCGTGTGTAAAATCCCACGTCAATTTACCAATGAAAGTTGTCGATGGTTGCTGCATCTTTACAATAACAACTCCCAGGCCTTGGAACTAGCTTACGGTGCGAATAGCCGCTTCTCGCCGCTCGCCGTCGTCGGACAGATGATCAAGCCTGCCGCGTCTGTTAGGAAATAATGCAGAGTTTATATCCGTAGATGAGCTGCTCAAAATGAGCCGGAATTGGCTGGACACTGTTTCGATGACAGCAGGAAACCGGATATTGCAACTCAATCGCACTCTGACAGGGGTTAATCCCGTGTGGCCATGGTTTCTCATCTTTTACAAAACGTTGGTTGCTAATAATTCTTATGACCCATGCTTTGAGACTCTCGGTGAGGCAAATTACGTATTCGTACTTGCTTGGTCCTTGATCCGCCATTGCCCATATGAGTCGAAATGACGGGCGAATATAATTCCCTCGTAGACTTACAGAGTCTCTTATCAATTTCAGCCGATCAATGCTGGGCTTCATTCGATTGCGACTTTTTCCGATAGACGCCGTGTCTAAGCTTGGCAGGGTCGCGTCGGCGTCAAGCCACAAAAGACCAGTCGTGCGAGGACAAGGTTTAGAGAAACCGAAATATGGCTCTCTGCCGCTTCCAAGTCGGCGATTGACTTTGCATCTCCGAGCCGAGAGGTGTTGGCCGAGTTTGACGTTGAGTTTGACCAAACTCGATGTCTTGTAGATCTCGGGGCCTGACGGAGACGACGCGGCATCTGGTGAGTTCAGGCACAGAGACTATTGTGCCTCTGGCTCTACGCCAGCTGCACCTAGACCATTGACTAAATAAGTACGAATTATACTAACATGAGCTAGGCACGGTCACGTCACTGCTCCATGTCCATAGCTTCCCCCAGCCTTGCATTACTGGTGCTAGGTGCTGGATGGACAGCCTATAATGCATCAGTTATTAGCTATGGGCAAGTTTTTCGCAGCTCCCCGCACGAACGGGCACGGGGGTCGCCCGAGTCGCACGGTAGAAGACAACCTTTGCTTTGATTGATCAGACCGTCGATCCTGTGTATTTTAGCCTTTTGGTACGGCAGTTGTAGGTACAGGTGTATTCCTTGCATCAACAATATCGCACCTGCGCGAAAGGAGTGCTGGAGGTCGCTGGACAAAATAGGCGGTTATTATTGCTCCGCATGGAGTATTTTATGTGCCTTGTAATAAGGAGAGCAAAGCATCTTGTCATGCACATTGCACATGCTGTGACTGGTGGTATTGTCTGTACCACTGATGTACCCCAAACTTGGCCTTGGTGCTTGGCCAAACCAGGCCTAGAATGAATGTATGTACTGTATGTACATACAGAAGCTCCAGCTCTGGCCCAGCTAGGCTGTCAACACGCTGTTGCCATTTCAAAACAGTGACGAGCTGTGCATGCACTTCGTATTTTACTTGCCAAGTTGTCGGCACAGAAGCTCCGTCGTCCGGCCAGTTATTTGAACTGGAGAGCCGGGTCTCAGCGGGGGGGGGGGAACATGTATCATGCATGCCGTTCCAGCGACCCGGGCAAAACCTGCGAGAGCGTCGCGACACTTGATGCCATCTACCCGGTGCCTGATCATCCCGAAGCGTCATGGTGTGAACGCGCATCATGAGCGGAAGGGTGAGGATAGGATGGAGGTGACCGTTGAGTATTAGGAGCTTCTAGTTGTGTGTGAGCGAGAGTACACTAGCCATGTGGAAGGAGGCTATAATGATGCACAAAGACAAGCCTGACGTAGGTAAAAAGATGGTGTGTTTGTGTGGTACACCATACACGCAACCATCCTCTATTATTACATTGCCTACTACACTCTTCACCATGTTGATCTCTGTCCCGCCCATTCTCAACCCCGCAGTCTCAAAATGGGCTTGGACTGGGCTAGGCTGGGCTGGCTCTGGCTTTGCGCCAGCCCAGTGCAGTATCCAGTGTTGTGGCTGCCACCCTCCTCCTCTCCTCCTCTTCCCTCCACACCATCTTCAAACTGATAATCCACGACAGGTGACTGGCTAGTCTCTCGTCCACCCGCGTTTGGCTTCGCCCATGTATCGACCATGTACTCTCTACTGCCTCGCCTCGCCTCTTTTATCAAGTGAGGGGTTCCGAATAGACAGCGCGCGACGGTGGTTCGGCATTAGCTCTCTCTCCAAATGCGTACCTCATCAGTCAAACGGCTGGCATGCGCCTTCTTCTCCTCACTCGTAACCCCTCCCTCTCTTCTTTCCCCTTGATCTTGAAACCTAGATTTATCAACACCTGGTTTCTAGACTTGATTTCTTGATAGATTTCGTCCTTTCGCCGTTCTGTCTGCTTGTCGCTGCCATCGCTCGTCGACTCGACCTCTTTTAGCCTGGCCTGCTTCGATTGACTTTGACCTCGCTCGACACGCCGTATTAGAGTTTCGCACTTGCTAGACACTCAACCAGACAGACAACCAGTCAGCCCTTCCTGGGCCTCTTCCGGTGGCAGCTTGTGGCGCGCCAACAAAACAACGAAGAAATCTCGTCTGCGCAAACTTGTCACCAAGTTCAAGGAAAGCATCCTGATTTCTCTTGAAATCACTTACAAGTATGTAAGAACCGATTCCATCCATCCACCTTCATCTTGGAGCGCCCCACTGCATCGGGGCCACTCGTTGTCTCGTCGCCGCCCGTCTCGCCTGGGGCTGCCTTGCCAGCGCCGCCTTGGCCGGCGGGCCGTGTCCGGGCCTCGTCTTCGTACATGACCGCAGAAGGCTGACAACTACTCTATTTACCCATTCATATAGGTCTCCCGCGACACTGCGATTTGTTGAGCCCTCGGTCCCCCACCCGTAATTCTGTGAGGTAAGCTTTATCTTATACCGTCCGACCCGCCACAGCTATTCCCTGCTCCGATTGCTGCCGGCGGGCGGATCCCATCACGAATCCACATTACACATGAGTTGTAAATGAGAGCCGCATCGAATGAGCATGGGTGTCCTTACTTGACTATTACTTGCCGCCTCCGTCTTCGCAACGCTTGGCCGTTCTGCCACCGTTTCGGCGGCCAAACACGGCTTCTTCACCTGTCTCGAGACGCCGCCGTCATGTCCAGGGTCTCTGACGGCCCGGTCGTGTCCGGCACGTTTCGTCTCATATTTGGCTTATAGCCTGGGCGATCCTCCCTTCTTGTTGCACCTTGTTCTTGTATCGCATTCACCCTTCCTATTATTAGCCACTAATCACCTTTAAAAATGCAGGCTCCCACACATCCACCGCTCTCTTCTACGTCAGAGCCCCCCTCCAACCCAACACTCAACATGACTACCGGGCCTTTGAAGCAAGCGGCCGAGTCCGCCCGGACGAGGACGTCTGACATGATGAAGAGTGATACTGTTGCTCGCATTTCAAAATTCATTCACACTCCCTACATGGTTGCCGCCCTGCCATTCATCAATGGCGGTATTAGTGGCATGGTCGCCACCACCGTCATCCAACCTGTTGACATGGTCAAAGTCCGCATCCAGCTGGCTGGTGAAGGTACCGCATCTGGGCCAAAACCGAGCCCAATCGCTGTTGCTCGTCAAATTGTCGCCAGTGGCAGATTTGCCGACCTATACACTGGCCTGTCGGCTGGCCTGTTGCGCCAAGCTGTCTATACCACCGCTCGCCTGGGCTTCTTCGATACCTTTATGGGATCTCTTAGCTCCCGAGCCAAGGCTGAGGGCCGGAGCGTTGGATTTAAAGAACGCGCCACTGCTGGTCTCACTGCCGGTGGTCTGGCTGCCATGATTGGCAACCCGGCAGATCTTGCTCTCATCCGCATGCAGAGCGACGGTCTCAAGCCGCTTGCCGAGCGTAAAAACTACAAATCCGTTATTGATGCCCTGTCATCCATCGCCAAAAGCGAAGGCATCGGCGCACTCTGGGCTGGCGCTGCCCCGACTGTCGCCAGAGCCATGGCCCTCAACTTTGGCCAGCTCGCCTTCTTCAGCGAAGCCAAGGCCCAGTTGAAGCAAAATACTGATCTCTCTCCTCGAGTCCAAACTCTTGCCGCTAGTGCCACGGCAGGATTCTTCGCTTCCTTCTTTAGCCTGCCTTTTGACTTTGTCAAGACACGCCTGCAAAAGCAGCAAAAAGGGCCTGATGGCAAGCTGCAGTACAAGAGCATGACAGACTGTTTTACCAAGGTGGCTAAGCAGGAAGGCCTCCTACGATTCTACTGTGGTTTCGGCACATACTACGTCCGCATTGCACCCCATGCGTAAGTTGACCTACACCCAAAGCTATTCATTCATTCTTGTTCACTAACTTGCTTTCAGCATGGTGACGTTGATTGTTGCCGACTACCTTGGTTGGCTCACAAAGTAACGAGTAAATTTGATACCGAGTTTTTGTTTACCTCTATTTCTGTGGTTTCATCTCTTTTCTCGTCTTTTCCTTTTGCTTTGCCATGTTCACGGCTTCTGTTGATTTCCAAGCGGCGTGCGCCGTCAACGTCGTGCTTCACAACCCCATTTCATGCTAGTCAATTTCCAGTTGAGCTAGACAGTTCTTGAATGACAATATCCGTATACTACCAATCCTATTTCTTTTTTTTCTCTTCTTTCTTTTTTTTTTTGGACTTAAGCATTTATTTAACAGTTTCACTGACATCGTTCCCGTCTACCGACTATTGAATATAGAACTCTTAAAAATATGCTTCTCTACTTTACAATTAGGCCAGGAGCTTGGCTCCGAATAGGTGGGGCACCCAGCTCTGCACGCAAGATGTAGGGAGTCACCAAGTGGCACAGTTTCGGCTGTCGCAACTTGCACCAAACCACAATTTCGGCACATAACGCTCATCTGCGGTACGCAACCTTCCAGGCGGCTCAAACATGTAGAAATGGTTGGCAGAAAGCGGCGATCAAACGCAGCCGGAAGCCGAGGAAGCAGCAAAGCCACTCCTACCACAGGCGGGGCGAGCATTTACCAGGAGATGCTTGCTGAAGCTGGCGTGCAAGGATCCGCATCCAGAGACAGCATCAATGACGAACCTCCGATGAAAAGACGTCGTTCTGGCCGACAAAAGTCCATTCACGAGCAGCAAGCAGCAAGCGGACCGGCCGCGACTACAACCGCAACCGCGACTACGACCACCCGAGAGCAATCTGTCGACAATGACGACGACGATGACGAAGACGAAGATGAAGAAATCGAGTTTCAGGACGTCCCTCTGCCACCCGAACAGGTGCAAACAATTGAGCGCGACTCCGAAGATGATAGCGATGAAGACGACGAAGACATGATATTCGAGGACGTTGGTTTGGCCGCGGCACTAGAGCAGAACACAGCTACCTCTTCGTCAGCGACTGAGCATGTGTCGAAAGATCTTGAGCTCAACCTGACGGCTCAGCAGGCCGCGAGCGCATCCGCGAAGCGCAATGCCGATCGTCGCAAGCCCATCACTAAGGAAGAGCGAGACCGGCGGCTCGACGTGCACAAGATGCATCTGCTGTGCCTACTCTCGCACGTCGCGCGACGAAACCACTGGTGCAATGATGAGCAGGTGCAGGAGACGCTACGGGCGCACGTTAGCAACAAGACGGCCGACTACCTGACGCCCGGCCCGCATCTCCCGCAGTTCGGCCAAGCCGAAAGTCTCAAGACGGGCCTCAAGCAGGCGGGCGATGCGTGGCGCGCCAAGTTCGAGGTGACGGAGCGGGGGCTGCGGCGCGCGCGCTGGGCCGAGGACGCGGCGCAGCTGGACCGTTACCGGCTCCCAGACCACCTGGAGACGTGTGCCGACCGGCAAGACTTTCGGCGCGCGGCCGCGACGATGCAGGGCTCGCGCGACGTAGGGGCGCAGCTGTACTGTGCGCTGCTGCGGGGCGTCGGCGTCCGGGCTAGACTCGTGTGCTCGCTTCAGCCGCTGGCGTTTGGCAACGGAGCCCCGACGCTGCCCAAAGTGGCAGAAACGACGGCGCCGACGAGGGAGACGGCTACGGCGCGACGGGAGGACGAGATGCGCTCCCAGGTAACGCAGTACAAAGAGATGGCGGCGGCGGCAGTGCCGACCAGCCATGCTGGATCGTCTGTGCGACGGCGGCTGGGACACCCAAATGCTGCGAGTCGCAACTTTGAGCCGCTGCCGTCACCGTCGCCCACAAAGCCGCAAAAGAGCTTTGCGGCGCCGGTGCGTCTCCGCGAGTCTGCATATCCCGTCTACTGGGTGGAGGTGCTGGACACGGGGCATCAAAAGTGGCAGCCGGCGGACCCGGCGGTTACGCATACGTTTTGGAAGTCCAAGTCTCTGGAGCCGCCGATTACAGACAAGGAAAACTGCATGAGCTATGTGGTTGCGTTTGACGAGGACGGCACGGCGCGCGACGTGACCGTGCGGTATGCCAAAGCGTACGCGGCCAAGACGAGGCGTATGCGCGTCGATGTAGCGGCGGACGTCGCCGGCAACAACTGGTGGCGGACGGCGATGCGGTCGTTTCGGCGTCGGCACCGAACAAACTTGGACCAGATTGAGGATGCGGAGCTCGTGGGCGTGGAGGCGCGGGAGCCGATGCCGCGCAACGTGCAGGACTTTAAGGATCACCCTGTGTTTGCGCTGCTGCGGCACCTGCGGAGGCACGAGGTGCTAGTGCCGACCGCGACGCCGTCTGGCACAGTGAGCTCCGGCAGCAAAGGCCCACTAGAGAAGATTTATCGACGGCGGGACGTGCGCGTCGCCCGGAGCGCGGACAAGTGGTTCCGCATGGGGCGCGAGGTCCGGCCCAACGAGATTCCGGCCAAGTGGCTGCCAAAGGCGAAGCGACCCAAGTACAGGTTCGAAAACAATGACGACTACCACCGCCGCCGTGAAGAAGAGGAGGACGCGGCGGGCGTGCCCATCTACACGGAGGACCAGACGGAGCTGTACGAGCCGGAGCCGGTGCGCGATGGGCGCGTGCCCAAGAACAAGTTTGGCAACGTCGAGGTGTACGTGCCGAGCATGGTGCCGCGCGGCGGCGCACACGTGGAGCACGAGCTGGCGGCGCGCGCGGCGCGGGTACTGGGGGTCGATTACGCGCCAGCGCTGACAGGGTTCGCGTTTCAGGGCCGGCAGGGCACGGCGGTGCTGCGCGGCGCGGTGGTCGCGGCGGAGCACGCGGCCGCGGTGGAGGCGGTGATCGCCGGGTTGGAGGAGGCGGAGCGCACGGCGGAGGAGGAGGCGCGGGCATTGGTGGCGAGGCGGTGGTGGAGGAGGCTGCTGACAGGGCTGAGGATCCGGGAGCGTGTTTGGGCGGGCGTGGATGAGACGGAGAGGAAGGAGGCGGAGGAGGAGGTTGATAAGCTGCTGGAGGAGGCGGATAAGGAGGATGGGGATGAAGGGGATGAAGGGGATGACGGGGAGAGTGATGAGACGGAGGAGTTTGACATGGTTGTGGATGGAGGGGATGATTCGGACGAGTATGGTGGTGGGTTTCTTGTAGATTAGGCGTGGTGTGATGGTTTGTGATGATTTATGAGATGTATTGATATACGATATACAAATACACGATATATTGACTTACCTTTGGCTGTGGTACAGTGTGAGCTTTTTTGTCATGTCCTGATTCAGGGTTCTTATTTACTTGAGGTGGGCACAGGTTTTCTTTGTGTGTTAATGAACGGGGCAAAAGCAATTTTAATGGACAAGATATTCAAGAGTTTGGTGATGTTGAATTGCTTGTTGCACAATTGGCATCTGTGAATCTTAAATATGTAATACTTAGGGTAGCATCCCGTGATCTTGGCAGGCGAGGCTGCAGCTTATCGGAGGTCGGGAAGTTGATGTGACCGACCCGAACCTTGATGAAGCGCTAATAAGGCGCGGCTTTGTTTCCGAGGCGGGGCCGGTCGAGAAGTTGATTTTGTTATTTTTGGGACATTTACTTCCGTGCTATTGTCCAAGTCTGTCAGAAACAGGGGGGTACAGGGAGAGACATGGCTGATGTTGAGACACGTGGCAGGATACAATCTACTTGTGATGGCCTTGTCTGCTCGGACTCGACGATGAAGCAGTTTGCTCAGACAAGTTCAGGCTGTGTTTGGAGGATTTCTGAGAATTATTCGCGCCCGCCAAGAGAGATGGCGTCTTGGAATTGCGGTGGACGAGTCACGACTTGTTCGCTGCCTTGGCTTGGCTGCACGCTGATGGATAAACGATGAAATACCAAAACCCCAAGCCAAGACTCGCGAAAACACCCAAGACTGATGAACTCGCGAAAAGGTCCCCCATCAGTCAATGCGGCTGGACTCGCGTTGCGTCATCACCGTCAGCAGCCCAGTAGCCAAGCAGAGCCCAGCCCCAGCCCCGGGCGCCTTTGGCTTGTTTCCCCTCGGGCCGCAAGTACTCCGGAATGTCATGGAAAAATCAAAGTTGCGCCAGTCGTCAACGCTAACATGATATTGTTGGCCTGGGATCATTTTTGGTGCCTTGGCTGCTGCCACCAATTTCTTTTCTGTTCTCTTGATAGCTTTCTTTAAACATACTTCATCCTTTGCCAATTTTCCGGTATCATTCCCTGCCGAAATCCTTGTACTCACGATTTCCCGACTCGGCACCAAAAAAACAGCCGACCGACTCTTCCTTCCTGACCTCCAACGTGATCAATCGTGCTGCGCCTAATTTGCAGGCACTCGGCTTCCGAACCCCGCCAAACAGACAAACGCCAGTCTTAGCCTTTCTTTGGCCACCATTTCATTCTATCCTATCCTTTGTTCTTCTTCCTCATCGACGTTCGCTCTGCCTCACCTTCTTTTTTGCTTTTTCGCTTCTTAGTCTTATATTCTGCTATAGACACTCTCCGAGTCCTTCTTTCCGCGTCTGTCGTTTTACCAATGCTCTGATATCCCGGCTCGCATTCATGCCACTCTTTGTCGCATTGACTTGATACCACCACCACCACCGAACACCGTCGCGTAGCTCGACGATCCTCGAGCGGCCCGGCTCGTGTGCCGCCGCCACCGGCATTACTTCCTCTCCCGCGATACCCCGATCGTCGCCGGACCCGACATCGTCGTCGCCGGCTTTGGCGCGCCGCCTCCGCCGCCATGGCGATCATCCGTCAGACATGGACGCTGATGCGCAAGAACCTGCGCACCCTCATCCTCCGCCACTACCTCGTCGTCAGCTTCATGGCCTTTCTCGTGCCCCTCGTCCTCTCCGTCTTCTTCAGCTTCGCGCGCAACCTCTTCGTCCCGCCCGCCACCTTTGGCATCGGCGACGTCCGGCCCCTCATTCCCATCAAGGACGCCCTGCAGCACGCCGTCGACGCCGGCCGCACCAAGCTCCTCCTCGTCAACAGCGGGCTGGCCGGCGGTAGCATCGACAAGGTCCTCGACGACGTCGCCAGCACCGTGCGGAATGCGAGCGCCGGCATCACCATCCTCCGCCTCACCAACGAGAGGGACATTGTCGCCGAGTGTCCCAGCACGCTCCGTGGCGTGACGAGCTGCTTCAACGCCGTCGTCTTCCGCGCATCCCCCGACGAGGGCACCGGTGGCATTTGGAACTACACCATTCGCACAGACGCCGCCTTCTACAACGAGCCCGTCAAGATTCAAGTCGATAGAGGTGATAATGTTGAGCAGGTATACTTGATTCCTACCCAGCACATGGTCGACAAGGCCATCGCCAAGGTTTCCGACCCCAACCAGCAGGATCCTCTTGCGAATATCCAAGAAAAGGCCTTTACAAGCCTCACCAGCGAGCAGCGCGTTGCCCAGACGCGCCGATTCTACCACAATTCCATCATCAACTTCATGGGTGTCGCCTTCATCGCCACCATCCTCTGGATCTCCTATCACTTGACGGGCTTCATAGCCACCGAGAGAGAAGCCGGCATGTCCCAGCTCATCGACGCCATGATGCCTGTCCGAAACCCCTGGATGGCCATATTTGCAAGACTCGCCGCCCACCATTGGTCCTTTTCTCTCATCTACGCCCCCGCCTGGATCATTGGCTCCATCGTCATTCGCTACGGCGTCTACAGCCACACGAGTGTCGCCATCGTGCTCGTTCTTCACATTCTTGCTGGCCTCGCTCTTGCCTCCATGTCCATCATGATCGCCTGCTTCTTCAAAAAAGCCCAGCTCAGTGGCATCACCTCAACATTGTCCATGCTGCTTCTTGGCATTCTCGCCCAGGCGCTTACCAGACCCCCCACCGGAACGGTTACTTTCCTCTCTGTTCTCTTCGCGCCCTGCGCCTACGTCTATGCGATTATTAACATGTCTTGGTTCGAAAAGTATGGCAAACCGGCCAGCCTCACGTCCAGCTCACCTGAAGCTTCCTTCCAGTTGCCAGGCATCTTTTTCTGGACCATGCTCATAGCCCAGATCTTCGTCTATGCACTCATTGGAGCCGCTTTTGAGTACATGTTCCACGGAACTTCAAGCAAAGGCCGGAATGTGACCAACAACGCTACCTCGATGCAAGACGATGCTGTGCAGCTGCGTGATTTTAGCAAAATTTATCAGCCGGGTATCTTTTCTCGCATCTTTGCCTTTACCTCGAAAGCTAAAAATGCCTCCCAGCCCGTTGTTGCCGTGGACAAGTTTAGTCTCAACGCCCGCCGCGGCCAGATCGTCTGTCTGCTAGGAGCCAACGGTAGCGGTAAGAGCACCACTTTGGATGCCATTGCCGGTCTTCACAGGCTTACAAGCGGTTCCATTTCCATTGATGGAACTGGTGGACTGGGAATCGCGCCACAAAAGAACGTACTGTGGGACAACGTCAGTGTTACGGAACATATTTACACTTTTAACCGACTGAAAGCGCCCAAGAATCATGCTAGCAAGGAGGAAATCAACGAGTTGATTAAAGCAATCGACCTCTGGCCCAAGCGCAAGGCTCTCGCCAAAACACTATCTGGTGGCCAAAAGCGAAAGCTTCAGCTGGGCATGATGTTGACCGGCGGCAGTGCAGTCTGTTGCGTTGACGAGGTTAGCAGTGGCATCGACCCGTTATCTCGCCGAAAATTATGGGATATTCTTCTCGCTGAGCGCGGGAAGCGCACCATGATCCTGACCACCCACTTCCTCGACGAAGCTGACCTGCTTGCTGATCATATCGCCATCCTGTCCAAGGGAACTCTGCGAGCGCAGGGCTCCTCTGTCGAGCTCAAGGATAGGTTTGGTGGCGGATATCGTGTCAATGTCCACAAGACTGCCACGCTGAAATCGCTACCCAGTGTGGAGGGCGTCAAGAAGAAGGATGCGTTTGACCAGGTCACATATGTCGCCCCTTCATCTGCGCTTGCCGCCTCCGTCATCAAGAAACTAGAAAGCGATCAAATCCCTGGCTACCGTTTCTCCGGTCCTACAATTGAGGACGTCTTCATGCAATTGGCAGAAGAGATCAAGGATGAGGAGGCTTTCCCAACTGGCCAGACGTCCACAGAAAAGACTCGCGACCCAGACGATACGTCGCAAAACGAGCAGCCATCGCAAGCCTTGCAGCTCATTGACGGAAAACCAGTCGGCTATCTGCGACAGGCCGCTATCCTGTTTTGCAAGCGCATTACCATCTTGAAGCGCAACTGGCAGATGTATGCGATTGCCTTCGTCATCCCCATCCTCGCTGCCGGTCTTACGAGCCTCTTTGTTGCCAACTCGACACTGCCAGGCTGTGCATCTGGTGATCAGGCATCAAATTACGGCACTGAAGACGCATTCAGCCAGATCCTGAACATGAGGGACGGCACGGGTCGGCTTACCTTCCTTGCCGGACCACCATCCAAGGTGTCGACAGATAATCTGTTGAGACTGTTTAAGCCCATCTTGGCAGGGTCTACGAATGGTGCGTCTGCCGGGGCTGGCCTTCTTAGCAGCCTTAAGCTCGTCGACACCTTTGACGACTATACCAACTACATCACAAGAAATCCCGCAAATGTGACTATGGGCTTCTGGTTGGGCGACGACAACAGTAACGCAACATTCGCCTGGGCTGCAAACCTGTTCATCACCAGCTCCATTCTCTCGCAACAAATCCTCGATGTTCTGCAGACAAACACCTCCATCTCGACAGACTGGTCAGGCTTCGACACCCCGTTTCGCCCTGGTATCGGCAACGCCCTCAACCTGGTCATTTACATGGGCATTGCCCTTGCCATCTACCCCGCGTTCTTCGCTCTCTACCCGAGCAGTGAGCGCCGACGCTTCGTCCGAGCCCTGCAGTACTCCAACGGTGTGCGTCCGCTGCCCCTCTGGCTTGCCTACCTCACGTTTGACTTTCTCTTGGTTCTCGTCAGCTCTGCCGTCGTCACCGCCGTGTGGGCCTCGCTTTCGAATGTATGGTACAACATCAGCTACATCTTCGTCGTCTTGTTCCTGTACGGCCTGTGCTCCATCATCTTCTCCTACATCGTCTCGCTCTTCACCAAGTCGCAGCTGGGGGCATTTGCATGGTCTGCCGTCCTGCAAGCCATTTTCATGCTGGGATATCTCATCACCTATGTCTGCGTCCTGACATACGTGGATGTGGCTAATATTGACAAGACGCTGCGCGCGACGTACTTCATCATCGCTATATTTTCCCCCATCACCTCGGCTATGCGAGCGCTCTTCATTGCCGCTAACCTCTTCTCCATTGCGTGCGACGGCAACGTCCTCTCCCCGAACCCGCAGAGCCTGCTCTACTATGGCGGCCCCATCCTCTACCTGGCCGTGCAGTCCGCAATCATGTTCCTCATGCTGCTGTGGCTGGATGGCGGTTCGCCCTTTTCGTGGCTGCATCGCATCTTCACCCGTGGCCGAGCGCCCCAGGATCCCGAAGCCGTGGACCAGGACGTCCTTGACGAGCAGGAGCGCGTCAACGGCGCTGGCGCGAGCGACGACGGCCTGCGCGTCTCGCACCTGACCAAGTCTTTCAAAAAGAATACTGCCGTTGACAACGTTAGCTTCGGCATCCGGCGCGGCGAGGTCTTTGCGCTGCTCGGCCCCAACGGCGCGGGCAAGTCGACCACCATCTCCGTCATCCGCGGCGACCTTAAGCCCAGCCCGCGCCACGGCGGTGACGTCTTCATCGAGAACGTCTCCGTCACCAAGAACCTGGCGCTCGCGCGCACGCACCTCGGCGTGTGCCCGCAGGCCGACGCGCTCGACCAGATGACGGTGCGCGAGCACCTCGAGTTTTACGCGCGCGTGCGCGGCGTCGCCGACTCGCGACACAATGTCGCCGCCGTGCTCGCCGCCGTTGGACTCGAGCACTTCGCCGGACGCATGGCGCACACGCTGTCCGGCGGCAACAAGCGCAAGCTCGGCCTCGGCATCGCCCTTATGGGCAATCCGGCCGTCTTGCTGCTCGACGAGCCCTCGTCCGGCCTCGACGCCGCCGCTAAGCGCGTCATGTGGCGAACCCTTGCCGGCGCCGGCGCCGGCCGCTCCATCCTCCTCACCACGCACTCCATGGAGGAGGCCGACGCCCTCGCCGGCCGCGCCGCCATCCTGGCCCGTCGACTCCTTGCCCTCGGCACCCCTGATGAGCTCCGCCACCGCTTCGGCGACCTCGTCCACGTCCACCTCGTCGCAGCCTCGGCGCCCCGCACCCCCGACGACGAGATGGCTGCCATTGTCGCCTGGGTCCGCGAGCGCCTGCCGTCCGCCGACATCGACCACAACACGTACCACGGCCAGCTGCGCTTCACGGTCCGCGCGCGCGACCTCAATGTCGGGAGCGGAAATTCTGCGGATCCCCGCCCCCATCAGGAGGAGCAGGACGTGTCCGAGTCGTCGGAGCAGCATCAGATTCAGAGCGAAAAAGACGGCGGCGCTCCCGCGGCGGCGCCGAACGCGAGCGAGTCGGCCGTCGGCAGCCTCGTCGTGCTGCTCGAGGAGAACAGCAAGCAGCTTGGCATTAGCAGCTACAGCGTGGCGCCGACGGGCTTAGACCAGGTGTTCCTCTCCATTGTCAGTCAGCACAACGTGAAGGAGGAGAATACGTAAAAAGCGCACAGGCACAGAAGCACGCTGACATCTTCAACGCCAACTGTCCAGTTTTTTTTCTTGTTTCTGTATCTGATGGGATCAAATCTCCGGTTTCTTTTGGATGTGGATGAAAGGGCATCCTGCAACATGTATCATCCTCCATATTTTCTCATCATAGACCGTCTCATTTATAGATGACACCATTGTCCACCTTTCAAGAACTTCATTCCTGTGATGCACTTTGTGATCATCGCAGTTGCAGACTCATTCCTTGTTTTCAATTTCCCCCAATGAATAATCTCTTCGTGTATTTGGATCAAAATAATACGTAAAAGGATCAAACAACCTGGAATAATCGTATTCTTCCGGCATTCTTTGCGTGTATCGCATCAATTCGCCCCGCAAATTGGATTTGAGAATAAAAAGACAATGCAAACCTCCCTTGATCGTGTATGTATATATATGCGTGACCCATGAATAGTTCCGGTTCCTCAGATGCTTTGCGCAAGAAGACATTAGACATTTCAAGAATAATAACAAGGTCGCCTCAACCGTGGATTATACCGCCGCCAAAAAAGCAAACTCCAGAAAAGAATAAAAAGTGCGAACATCCAAAAAAAAAACGCCATCTCCACCTGAGTTTTTCTTGCCGTGTATGTGGTATCGTGCCCCGACACCGTCCTCTATGATTCCGTTCGTCATGAATTAAAATTGTCATGTCCAAAAAGTAATTTCGTTAAGGTGTCATGAACCGCTCTGTGCTTCAGCCGATGATCGGCTGCAGAACCAGCCGCCCGATTCCCACTGTCCTGGCACGTATACGCTCGAGTTCCGAGCCTCATCGTCATGGATGCCCCCCATCAACACACTCAGCCTCTTAAAGTCAATGGGCTTTAGAATCCAGGCGTCGAAACCTGCATCGATATAGGTCTGGAGCTCTTTTTCGACCAAAGATGCGGAAACCGCAATGATCGGTACCCTTCCATTGAGCGTAGCCATGTCTGAATGACCTTCTTGCTCTGATTCCTTTTCCATCGAGCGAATCATCTTTGTGCTCGCCAATCCATCTACAATGGGCATCTTTTATAATTAGCATATACCCCTAGCTTAAACACTGGAAAACTTACCTGCATATCCATTAGAATCACGTCCACTCCCGCAGTGCTAGATTTGAAGATAGCAGCGCAGTCCTCGCCGTTGACAGCGTGGGTAACAGTGTGACCAACGCGCTCGAGACGTTTTCTCAAAATCTTAAGGTTGATAGGGTCATCCTCTGCTATAAGAGCTCTCAAGGGAATCTCTTGTGCGATGCTGTTATTTCGTGCCCGTCCGAACTGACTACCAGTAAGAACGAGCTTCTCGGTCGGCCGTGCTGAACTTGGGATTTGTGACTGAGCTCCGTATTCATCGGGTATCTTGACAGCCTTAATGGGGGTCTTGGAATCCTTCACCAGTACAGAACCCACTTCAGAACGCGGTCGTGAGGTCAAGCTGCCCTGCCGAGGCTCCTCGGGTGACGCGCGACCAGCGGGTTGGCCGGATAAAGAGGAAGGTAGGCTGCCGCTGCCCTTCGAATGTCGCTTGGGGCTGACAAACTCAAAGTCCTTGTTTGCTCCAGACAAAGGTGTTTGTATGGCGTCAATAAGACGGTCTGCATCGCTTTTACCACTTTCGTGACTTCCACGGCTACCTTGGCTGCCGCTACGGCGGCTAGCACTACCGATGCTCATTTCTCTCAACGTAGGGACGGTGGATCCTAATCCCCTCTGCACGAGAGTGATCTCCCCATCCGGTCGCTTCGAGTCGCGCTGTGAGACTCGCCTAACAGCATGTCCTACCGATCCTTCCGATCTGGAAGAATCAAGCTCGCTGTCGGGCAGTTGAAAGGGAAGCTGAATGATGAATCGGGAGCCTTTTCCAACTTCAGACGTCAACCTGAGCTGTCCATTCATGTTGCGCACAATTCTACCAACAACAGCCAAGCCAAGACCAAGAGCATTCGAAGAATGAGAGCTCTCTGTTTCGCTGTGTGAGTCTCCTGGGTTAGACATTGTTGCGCTGACTTGTTCCAAATCTCGAAAAAGGGCATCCAATTGGCGAGAAGTCATTCCAGAACCCGTGTCAGTTACTTCGAATTCAATGGTGGCTTGCTTCTCTTCTAGTTCCGTAAGTTGAATATTGATAGTGACGGAACCTTTCTCGGTATGCTTGACCGCATTCGCAGTGACGTTTGATACGGCTTGTCTTACGCGGCGCGTATCCCCATGAACAAACTTGGGTAGGCCATCGTGTCGAAATACTTCATAGGAGAGACCTTTTCTATCCGCATCAATCTTGAATGGGTCTGTTGCCTCCTGGATGCAGAGACCAAGGTCGAAAACCTCGTCCTTGATGAGGTTCTGGCCTTCTTCTGCTTTGGTGAGATCGAGAAGATCGTTGATCACATAGATGAGAGATTTGGACGCCGAGTGAGATCTCACAAGATTTTCTCTGGTCTCGCTATCCAGACTACCCTCGAGGGCAATTTCGAGATAGTTGATGATTGCATTCAACGGCGTCCGAACCTCGTGCGCGGAATTGGCCAACAAAAGCCGAGTAAGCTTTGTGTTTTGTATCGCGGCTTCTTTTTGCCTCCAAATTTCGATGAACTTGCCATATACCAGGCAAAGAACAGATGCTGTCTCAACTTGCTCCTCGTCCCATTCACGGCATTTACCAATGACGGTTTCATTCCAGACTTTGAAGCTTGCTCTGGGCTCAAGATATGCAGCAGTTCCTTGGCGGATGTTCTTTTCGTAGGGATTCCCGGCCCATTTTACTTCCTTGACTTGGCCTTTGCGGAAGAAGACAATGAAGTCATTGCCACCGACGCTAAGGGGGACATAGAGGAATCCGGCAATAAAATGGAAGCCAGGGCGATATCTCAGGTCAGGGAAGTCGAGTTTCACATCTTGCGACGCCAAGACCGAGGTAACTTTCCTCATACGCAGATACTCGAGTAAGGCCAATGCCTCTTGGCTGTGCTCCATGACACCGAGCACTTTTGTTTCGTCCTTGATCGAGAGGAGGCCACAGTCTGCGTCGAAGAGTTTCAGCAAGTCATCGGAAGAAGCCACAATGTAACCTGACGGGTTCTTATCGGTAGGCGACGTATTGATGAGCTTCCGAGCTTGGAGACGGGAAGCATAAGAGAGTCGTTCAATGTTCCTAGATGCCGTTTCGCCAACTAGTCGACATAGTTTACGAACAGGAAACGAAACTCTCATGCCTCGGTCACCGTAAGAATGACAGGCTATCAAGCCCCACAGTTCGTTGAATGCATTGATGGAAATCGACATGGAAGAACGAACCTCCATGTTGCCGAGATATTTTATGTGAATTGGTGACATGGCTCGAAGATAGGCATGCGTCATATCCAGAGGAACATCCAGATCTTGTTGTGAGCGGCAGACGATTCGCGATGCCGTTTGATCACGATCATAAAGCAGCCGCACTTTGTTTACTTTGTAGAGCTCACGGGCCTGGCGAGGGATATCAGAAGCAGGAAAGTGCAGTCCCTTGTAAAGATCAAGTGTGTGAGAGGTGTCGACCAGTTCAGTGACGACTTTGCCATTGAAGTTAGAATCAAACTGATAGATCATGATGCGATGAAAGCCCGTGAGCTCCTTGACGATACCAATGAGGATTTTGAGGAAGACCTCGAGACTGGCTGCAGACGCTAGCTGCTCCTGCACCTGAGACAGGATGTCAAAAACCTGCATAGCGCCTTGCTCGCCGCGTCGTTTACGCGCGCTTCGGAGAATTCGCAGAGGCTTGCTGAGGATCTCTGTGCTTTCTTGAATGGCTTGCTCAGATGGATTGCTTTCAAGGGTGTCGGTAGGGACGTCGGGTGTAAGTTCGTTGCGCGGCCGCAGAGGGTTTTCGACGTCATCATCTAGCTCGAACTCACAGATGATGAGATCTGGGTGAGCGGCATTGATATGAATAGCACACCAGAGCTTAACTGCTCTGCCAATTTTGGGGTGGCGAATGGAGATGCTGAGGATTTCGGGACCGTTCATGGTAGGATCAGCATCCTCGTCCTTGATGAAGTCGACATGGTCGAGGAGGTTGTCTTGTTGGTCGTCGGTCATGATGTCGAGGAAGTTTGTTAAGCGAAACAGTGACCTCGGTGAGTATCCAAGAAAGCGCTTTGAGTTTTCACTGACATAGCGGACGAGAAAATTGCCGTCGGTCTCCTCATGCATGGCAAGCAGACATCCAAAGCTTTGGACAGCACCGGGGGTATGGATAGGTTCATCCTCACATTGCTGTAGCACACCGTCTTTTCCTGTGATAATGGCGTGGCCTTCCTCGGTGTCGATGTGCGTAAAGCGAGTGGTGAAGAGGGGAACGTCGGTAGAGGACTGGCCTTCGGAGAGGGCTGAGGACATTTCCGCTTCAGTCTGGAGCCCAGGTCGGCCAAGGGCTCCTGATTCAACATCACTGCCGGGTTCAGATGCCGTAATGTCGAGTTCGATTGGCGCAGTTGAGGCGGTTATTCTCGCGCCATCGGTCTGGGCGCTAGAGTTTAGCTCAACGGATGCTCTAGGGCGGCCGCGGCCAACAGGCGACATGGCAGCGGGCGATGGAGGCACAGAGCCGGGACGGGTATCCAGGGTACCGCGTCTTGATCGGGTCGACCTTGCGACCGGGGTCCCGACTGAGCCGGCGTAGGAGTTGTAGGAAGCATGTTCGTCGGCGTCTGATCTAGAACTCGACTTGTCGACACTGACCACGGAGCGGATAGGAAAGACGAGGTCGCTGACTTCAGTGGCGGCTGAGGGGAAGCCTATGTAAGAGTCCGAGGCGACGCTGGGAGATGTGGCCGACTCACGACCAGCAGCATCCGGGGAGGCGCGGGCAGCATCTTGATTGAGTGGGAGGGGTCGGGACTGGCGCTGGGGATGGGGATGGCGACGGGCAGCAGCATTATCGGATAGGCGCTCGTCAGGTCGATCGGCCCTCGGACTGCTCATCCTGAGAAGAGGCCGGTTGGGCACGACGACAAGCTACAGCAAGAGGTAGCGAGGATGAAAGTTTCGGAATCATGCAGGAGAGGGGGAAAAAGTAGAAGTAATCAGAGGCTGGCCGGTGGTCGAGAGCGTAGGCGCAGGTGGGGTGTGGAGGCTCGCGCCGCTTGAGCGCGGAGGTGCTAATAATAAGCTCTGGAGCAAAAAGTGGTCGGTTTGATTTATTATGCATGCGGCGGCGTAGAGTAACATGAGTAGGTAGTCTGGTCAGCCAAGGCGGTGGCGATGAAAACGGGTGAAGAAGGAGATGAGGCGAGCGAAAGGTCATTCGTGGGTGGATAGGCAGCAGCATGAAACGGGATAGACGAAAGGAAGGTCCAGAAGTATGTACATACATAGATGTGGATGGGACAAGACAAGCGATGAGACGACGAGCCGTTTGGCGGCTCGGGTTGGCGTTGTTGGTGGCAGAGCCGCCTACCAGTAGAGTGTCTGCGAGATGATGGTGTGTGGCTTTACCGGGGGAGGTTATAGGCACTTCTTGGTGGTGATGAGTGCCCACAGTGCCTGGGGCTTGGGCCGGGACACTGGTCAAGACAGGAAGGTGGGGGGGGGTTTGCGCCGCCTCGGCAGCCTCGTTCTGGAAGACTGGTTTGACAACAACAGGAAATTCTACACTGCTACCAGAACTAAGTCAAAGGATACATACACCATCTGCACGGTTCCTAAATCTTGCATACATTTGCCACTTTTTATTTATGACATCTCTGTCTCCCTTTCCACCTATGGCTCGTCAGTATATAGCCAACACCTCTCCCCAGCTCTTCTCCCTTGCCCATTTTTCGCCCCGTCCCCACAGCGCTCCTCCCGGTGCAGATGCTCCGGCCTGTCGATCGCTTTCAGCCCACCTGATCTAACATGTGTTTTTCGCCAAGTATATCTGCCTCATCTCCAACCCACAACTTTTACAATAACCTTAACCTCCATTTCACCACTGAAACCACCAGTATCCATCAATCAACTTCTTCATCCATATATGCTCCATACAGGTCCAAAGCTATCTGTCCACAGCCTCGCCGTTACTAATTCAGCCGTAACCCCTGCAATCTGCAAGACAATGTCAAACGCCACAATGCGATCGAGGCCACGCCGACATTATTCCCACCAACTGCAATAAAGCAGATATCGTCACCCTTTCAGTCCCTTTTCCTCTCTATCCAATCAATTGTCCGACCCAGCCCCAAAGACCCCCCTCCGACCGTGCTGTTTTGTTGCCTCCGCCTCAAACGAGGACCAAATCGATACTTCCCCCAACGACCGAGGGCAAAACTAAATCCCTACCTGGTTCGAAACGTCAAAACTCTTCCGTCACATATTCCATGTCCGCTTTCATCCTGATGTTCCAGCAATTGGTGCATCTGTTTCCATCACTGGCGCACTCGCGACGCAATCATGTGCGTCGAATCATCGTATAGGCAAAAATAATGTAGACAGTCAGCGCATCATCGGACCAAGCCAGAAAAGCAGGAAGAAAGGGAGAAGCAAAAAAGACAGCCGGGGGAGGGAGTGGTGGCCTTGTGGTTTCACCGTCGCGAAAGGCAGATATGCCTGACACAGAAGCTGGAAGGACTGCCACCACAACGGGTGAAAGCGCCCGTCGTACAACTGCATTTCATGGACTCTTTCCCAAGTCGCAGTCCTATGAAAGACTTTCAATCGCAAAATCTCCATAAATCGTAGTAGCCATCCTACAATCTCCAGTAGCCCGCCTCACATGCTACTATACGTCTGCGGAGCTGAATTTGATACGGTCGGTGTGCGGTCACGGAAGCTAGACCACGCCCTTGCTCACATAAACAGTCTTTATGGCCGAAACTTCATGAATTACAGGCTCAGATTCATAAAACACCTAAGGCAAAGCCGTATTCTCATTACATCATAGTAGTTCAGCTCTGCCGTCAACGCCAGTTGTCTGATGCAGAAGTCTCTCCGAGTACGCATTCCTAAAGTCCGTAACAACGGCATTTGCTTCTCTGAGTAGTCTGAGACTGAGAACTTATTTATTCAATAATTCTTTACATTTATTGAGCCATGACTGGCTGCCGTAAACTGTTGGGTGCTCGCTTGTCTCGGACCTGGTCTACATGACGCGCACCAAAGTCTCGTGCTCCAACAGGTAAAACATACGTTTGTTGTAGAAGAGCCTCAATATTTTCACTGGATGCTACGCAGTGAAGTTTCTGTTCAAAGCTGTTCAGTATCCGGTCTCGGGTGTGCAGAGCTTCTGACCAGTATCAAACAGGCAAACTTCGTGGTCTGGGAGGTGTCGGCTGAATCATAGCATGCAAACTGTGTTGCCGGCGCAATTTCATGCTGACCAATGTATAATCACCTTTCTCTGACAGTTTCCTTCCTCTTGAACCGTCTAGGGGGAGTTGTGTGTAACTGAACAAGAGTGATGCTGGGTCGCGGCCATCGATTAGCACTGATATCATGAAAGCAGCATTGGAGGCTACTACATTCCTCTTGGCGTGGACCATACCGAAGTTCTTGTTACTATAGCCGTATTTACTTTGCTCGAGGTTACTCAGTTGGATTAAATAGTTTATTCTTCTCTTGCCCATCCGCCACCACCCTGTCTATCTTGGACTGGCCGAGATTCGGCGGTCGAGAATGCGAAACTTCAAACTAGTGACACCCTCCTGCTTCAAAATGTAATTTTCTTGTGCATCCCTTAGCTATTTTGTATTACAGAAAACCGTCACTAGATTCAGTAATACCTCCAACGACAGATGCCTCGGTATAACTCAGCTTTGCGTAGAGCGTCTTCGTCGCAAACCTCAATGCAACTGCAACACAAGGCAAATTCGGTCCTTAGAGGCAATTGACCTATTGATTTTGAAGAAATATTATGCATTATTCATGGAATTGTGACCTCAGCAGCACTTGCATTAATACAATCATTGCCCACTCCCTCAACACAAGGCATCTGCCTACTCGAACATGTCATCTGCTCAGAGCTGGTGACACTCTGTCATGCATAGGCAATCTACCAGTGCGTGTGACCCTTGCGAGATCCTATTCACCACTACTTGCTGTCTACGACTTAGTATTACCAGCAAACTTGTGACCTCGTACAAAGAGCGTCCGAGGGCCGTCACTCTGTGCGCCATAGTATGGTGTAACTTGATCCGAGAATCTGGTCAAGTCATTTTAATTTACGAAGCAGGCCATAGAAATCAGCCTCTGGAACGTCTCAAACTCTATATCAGCGTGTCGCAAATTCCAGGGGCCGAATGAGCCAGTTACCACCAACACATGCGACGGTTATGCGAGCGCCGGAGGATAACCCCCCCCGTATGATATCCAGAGAGCGGTACCACTGCTAATGCGATGGCGAGGTAAAATCTAGTGGATAACAGCGAGGTTTTGTAATTTATGGTGAGGAGACGCCAAACACTCTCGAGATTTCTTGTCGACCTCCGATTGGGGCCAACAGGAAAGGAAGAGAGAGCAACAGTGATTGGCCCCGGGAGTGCGGACAAAAGAAAGGAGAGGAGAATGAATAACTGAGTGTTCTTCAACTCGTCTCTAAGATTTCATTACCTGGAGATGGCGCCCTTCTTGCCCTTCTTGCCCTTCTTGCCCTTCTTGCCCTTCTTGCCCTTCTTGCCCTTCTTGCCCTTCTTGCCCTTCTTGCCCTTCTTGCCCTTCTTGCCCTTCTTGCCCTTCTTGCCCTTCTTGCCCTTCTTGCCCTTCTTGCCCTTCTTGCCCTTCTTGCCCTTCTTGCCCTTCTTGCCCTTCTTGCCCTTCTTGCCCTTCTTGCCCTTCTTGCCCTTCTTGCCCTTTTCGTCGGCCTTGCTGTTGTCTTTGTTGTCACTCCCGTGTATCCCGATTGGAGTATGACTGGGCCGAAGCCTGCACGAACGAAGGATTACTTCATAAAGGGTCGTTACCTGCGTTATTACTCACACAAGGATTGCCCTTCTGCTGGCATGTCCCTTTAAGAAGTTGTGTCTATTAGGTAACATTCTAGGAGCAGACGTTGACAAGGATCTAGATGCAATAGATACCAAGCATATCGAAGATACCAACCATAACAACGAACTACAACGAATACAAAATCTATTATCGGCGTAGAATCTACAGCGCTGGACATGACCTTCAAAAGGAACATTTATTCAGCGGCGATCTCAGTCGTTCCTGCCCCAGCTAATAGTTTCAATGCAATTACGCATCATCGGGGCAGTTAGGCTCTTGACAGACTCCAGGGCAGTAAAATTTACGGATAGTGACAGTAAGGTCAGCAACGTCAGTAACGCATGAAACTACAGCCAACAGCCGACTCATCATCGCATATGCTGAAGCCGTCTCCAATTCAGGTTCTCAGCCGCGAGTCGGGATTTCTCTATGCCGCATCACAATCATTGCATCTACGTTCAATCTCTACGTCCTCTCGCAAGTCCAGCATCATATGCCGTGCAAATTCCCGAGCATAAAAAACATTACTTACCCTGGAAAGCACTGCTGTGTACTCGACTCTGCTATGCCATGCGAACTCCCCCGGCATTGCAAGCACTACCCTGAAGAAGCAGTTCCATGCCTCTCGCAAGCCGTCCACCTCCCATATGCCGTGCAAAGCTCCCCGCTCAACACCAGAGCTGTCCATGTTTGCCACCGCGGAGAAGGGGCGATCGGTCGGGTACACCGTCTCGTGGATGAGCGCCATGGCACGAGGCTGGCTGGGGGGGGGGCCTAACCAAAGGCTCTTGAACGGCACACACAATGGGCTGCGAAGCCGCGCGACGTCATGTCAACGGTCGATCCAGCTTCTCGGCCCGAAAGTCCATTGTACGAGGGCGCCGCCGGCGGCCGCCTCTCAACGATGGCGCCTCAGAAACGAGAACGATCAGGAAAAGCCAGAACGGCAGCTCCGCTGGCAACTAAAAACCAGGTGTGTGGTAGATCCATGCCTCCCCCTTGGCTGAAACTTGCTAACTAGAACAAAAAGTTTGTTGGTGGCGTGGCGGACCATCAAGTTAAGTTAGTTGGTTGGGTATGGCCCCCGACGCCGGAGAAGCAGAGGAAAAACTTTTTTCACTGATAGATAAAGATAACGTCGATGCTGATAAGGGCCGCTGGACATAGTACAGGAGGTCATTTGTTAGTGTAAGACAGTGGGGCGCCCGCCTTGCAGTTTGCAGAACTCCATTGTAAGTTGGCAGAAGAAGAGTTGATGCAAACAACAAACAGAACAGCAACAACAGGTAAGTGTCTTTGCCGTTCATTGTCCGGACGTCCGGACGTCACCGGTATCATTCATCCGCATCTTCTTCGTTAACAATCGTATGCTCACGCGAACAGAATGTCTCTAGCAGCATCATTCCTTTCGGCTCTCTTACCATCGCAGGGGGGCACTGCAGCAGTGACGCCTCGATGGGGCCCTTGGCGAACATACCGCAGTAATAATATCAACCTGGCCCGCCGCGCTTTACTCAGGACGATGATGAACACGGAGTGTCCCCTTGGGGAAAGCCATTATTACAATTACCCGGTAACTATTACAAGCTTTTGCGGGACCCCCATCCTCCATCTGCCACAACGTTCGACGGAACTTGCCACACAAGCCAAGGTCAGTTCACCGGCCAGCTCCAGCTCCAGCTCCAGCTCGCATCTGGGTCTCCCCGGAGGCCAGTGAAACACACAAACCAAGCTGTCGAGGAGAGAAAAAGAACGGGCCGAAGCCATCGCCTCCATCAGCCAAGCAACTACCGGCGCGAGGCTGGCTCGCGGCAAATGTTGGACGCCCAGCCCACGAAGCGACGAGCGACAAGGCCATCCACCAAAGCAAGCCCTCCTGCAGCTCGCGCCACCAATGTCCCTCCACCACCGTACGGATACAAAGTTTTCTAAAATAATGCTGCAGCGATGCTGTAAAACGTTAGTCCGGCAGCGCCTGGGCCAGATGTTAACCATCTAGGGCCAAACGCTTCAACTACCACCACTACGCTGTTGCTGTGGAGGAAGGGCCATTTTTTTCATCATTCGTGAGACGCCAATCACCACTCCCGCATAATGCGCCGGGTCTAAAAATCAGCGACATCGTCCCAACAAATTACTGTCACAATGTGCCGTTTTAGCTGGGAGATTGAGTATTTGCCAATGCAGTCAGCTCATTGGGGGCGTGGTTCTTGCATGTAGCAAGACGCCATCACCAAACTTGTCCAGAGCTGAATACTGGCCCAAGCGTGGTACATGTCATCCGTACTGCATATCGACATCGAGGGATCCCTGCTAGCTAACAAGACCTCGTTCGCCATCTCAGCAGGAGCAGTGGCCACCGAATACATGACGATACATTCCAAAAGAGTTGGAAATCCCCTTTTCATACTGGTCGACGTTTCATCAATAGTGGCAGCCACCAAATGTGGAGTTGCGCCAGCTTGAAGACTCTGCCCTAATAACTAATACATCCCATCCTCAACCTCAACACCGACGGCCGTTGAATACATGCCGACACACTCGCGTCAGCAATTCTGTCGACTTTCCAGAAAGCTAGGTGGAAGAGTCCTCTTGGCCACTCCGACAAGGACTAGGCGCAGTGCCAGGGAGTTGTCATGCCTAGCTTCTTGCACGGTTCGACAATTTCCGATCCATTTTCGACCATCTGTCTGGCTGAGACATTGAGAACAGACCAAGCCTATAATGCCCCCGCCACCATTCGATCAACGGCTATTGATGCGACCGCCAAAATCTTTTTCGGCAGCGTCTTCATATTGAAGGTCGGCCGGCTGGTCTTTGCTTACCAGACCAGACCAGATCAGTCGAGCCAAGGATCGGCACCGTGCTGACGCCCGTACTTACTCCTCTGGTGCCAAAGAACGCCCGTTCACCTGTATGTACGTGCAATCCCCATTGACGTCCGAGACGAGGCTTTGGGCTCAAGGCTGGCGCAGCAACAGCATGGGGCGCCGGACGGGTCCCCTTTTGCGCCTTGCGACTGATCCTGGAGAAACAATCCGGGGTGTGCATGGAACTGGCAGTTCTGGTGGCCGCCCGCCAAGTTATTGCTCCGTTCTGCATTGGCTCGAGAAGGAGCAATGGGCGTCGACAGGAACGCCCATGCCCATGTCTGGGGTTTTTCCGCAATGACCCGAAACAGCAAAAAGCCCTTTCGACACATTACCTGCAACCGTGGGGTAGGTACTTGTGTACGTATAGTAACTCAGTCCGGGCAGGATGGCTGAAGGCCTTCGGCGACCAGGGAGGGAACTTGCAATTGGGCTTGGCGACGGGAATACACATGACAACGAGGTTTGCGACCCGGTCCTATCTGTGTGAACCGACGCATGCAGTTACTGGTTTGAGAGCGGCCCAACATCAGAACGATTGCACGCTAGCGCCTCTGCCGCCCAACTAACTTGGTAGCCTCGGGCCGGCATGATCGGCTAGCAACTGGTCCTCGATTGCTGCTATGTGTTACCAGAGCGTAAGTTATGCTCCGTGTGCTTCTGGTCTATTCGTTACTGTTCTTCTTCTGGCTTGTGAGCAAGAGCTAGCGCCATGTTGGCACCGGACGAGAGGAGCCGGGTATTGCTTCCCGCTCCTTGTGATTCCAGATTTGCAATATCCAGCCCTCCAGCCCTCCAGCCCTGTGCGGATATCTGTAACGTGATTCAAGTACTTGCGAGTCGCTCTCAAACGCTCGTGTCAAGATCACACGACTGCGAGCCCCGGCCCCAGGGTAGACGAGTCGGTCCTCTTCGAAACATGATTCGAGTTCTGTCACCACTTCCCACGCCCTCTCGAAGCGTGTGCAAACAGGCATCCGCTTCAGCATCAACATGGACGGTGTTACCTGGCTGTTCGCCGATGCCATGCTCGGCCTGCAGGATGGCTGCCCAAGGTTATAATACGCTTATGATTGAAGCCTCGTTGATTGCCACCTGCAGATGAGCCCGCGCGTGCAAGTCGGTGACCAAGGCCTGCACACTTGCGATTGTAAAGGTATAATATACTCAGTTAGCAGAAAAGCAATACATACCATTTATAGAAGCCATGTCTCAAGCCTGCTCGTTGCTTTTGACGCTCAAGCCAGGCAGCTCAGCTTGTTGTCTGCATTGTACGCGGTACAATCTCCCACTCAGACGTCGATTTCTTCGCCTCTCACGCAGTTGCGTGGGGGGCATGAAATCACATTTTGTAATGCGATACTTGAAGTATGGGGGGTGTGATTGTCATTATGCCACCTGTCTCTCATTCTAGAGACGAGTTGGACATGTAAAGGGAGGGCCATGGGGGCGAAGATTCCACGTCTGGCTCAACCATCCAAATCCAACCCTGGGTCCGAACGACGCCATGTATTGCCAAGACCCGTCCATCGATGCATGCCCGTCCCAACTGCCCGAGAGGCGATGCCAAAGTATCTGCGAGGGGTCTCCATGTTTTATCCCCTGATATCTTACTCATGACCCTTGCCAGACAGAACAAGATGAGGTAAAGGCGTGTTCTAGATTAGGGCTGGCTGACTTGAAAGCTCTTTCATCGTCGTCACTATACAGGCTTCTCCGTTTTCCAGTCTGGCGGCTCTGCAGCAGCCACGATGGGCGCTAGAGGGTTCTGCGTGTATCGACCAGACAGGTCAGTCATTACGAATAATAAAATCGATCTCGCCATGATATAACGTATTAGGACCTCGTTTCTTCCTAGTTACTTGTACTGTATGCCACCTGTCTCGGAGGCAAGCTTGGCGCGCAGCACTGTTTGTGGCAGGCAGCTGTGTGAGATGTTCACGGAGAGACGAGGAGCTTGGCCAGCTGGTTCCAGCACACTCAATTCGACTGGTATCCGTACTCCGTACTCCGAATACTGGGTAACTAGAGGGGGCAGTTCAACTCCTAGACGGAGTACTTGGCAACCCCGTCTCTGTGATGACGGCCTTGGCGCATAGCTGCAGTTTCGCCTGCAAGGTCGCGGGGAGCGTTCAGTCTGCCAACGCCGGGCTAATGGAGGTGGCTGCTTCCCTGCTGCGAGCCGAAGTAGTTGTTTGAAAGCCACCAGATGAAAGCTCCGCTAGACCACCAGAAGCCCGGCTCTTGCTCCGTACAGCATTGTAGCATCGGCTTTGTGCAGTCTTGTGGCACACTGGTACGTACCCCCTGCTGGATTTGAGAACGGGCAACGTTGAACTATTGTGGATATTGTAAGGTGGTTTTGCAACATCAATGGGCATGCACGTAGTGAATGGCCAGTCAGTGGAGTTTTGTACAAAAGTTGAAACTGGAGCCGTGCAAAAAGAAGAAGTGATGAACGACCAAGTCAGTGAGCTCCAGCCCATTTGTCGACTGCTCCGAGCGCAAAAGCTGACGCAAAATAAGTTGCTGTCGTCGGCGTGCTAGTTATTCCATACATGTTTTGTAGCATCCGAGCAGGGTCATGGTAGCTGGTGTCTGCCGCCAGCTCTGACCACCATACATGTACCAGGGCCTTCATAGGTATCATCAACCTGCATATCCGCGATCGCAACTGTGTGGAGGGGCAACGACCGAGTTCACTCGAGGATGGAGGGGTAGTTGGCAAAGAGTCGCAGGCGGCGACGGCAGGCGACGGGCACGAAAAAAAGGTTGTGCGCCTCACTGGCTACCACCGCCAAGAGGAATGGCGTGCTCGGTCAGCGACAGTTGAATTGCACGATTGATTTGGCTTGCAGGCTCGGCGGGGCCCAGACAGTCCCGTGGACCAGGGCTGATCGGGACAGAGGAGAAGGATTGGAGCGAAACACAGACTCGGGAGGAGAAGGAAAATCATACACGTCGCCTGCATGATTCAGCGCTGTGCCACATGTGGTGTCGCCGCCGCCGCCGCTGTCATGTTGTGCGATGTGATACACTGGAAAGCCAACCACGAAAGCCCAGTGCTTCTACTCGACACGGTAGCCCGACAATGGTTATGAGGCGCTCTCAGCGGCCAGCCATGAATCCTGCCCATTAATATCTTTCAGTTTCGCTACGCGCCCGGGCTGCAGGATGACGTAGCAAGACCAAGAGTTTTTTCGCCGTTGTGCCCAAGGACAAAACAGCAAGAACTGAAAACCCCCCTTCGTCTGGTCGCAAGGCCTAGGTTGCAACGAGCCACGTTACGGACTGTCGGGGCTTTTTCGGGGATGGGCCCGGACGATGGCGGTACAAGAACCAAAGGCACCAACACAAAAGCACGCCCCCAAAGGTGAAAAACGGGCCAGAGCCAAGGAAGGACAGGCTTGGTCTGGAGGACAAGTTTCGAGTGAGAGGTCGATGGTCCCTTTCTAACCCAGCTTTTTTAGCTTGTCTGCTGTCGCAGGGAAAGCGGTTGTAAGCTGTCGGATCGCACGGTGGTGAAATACGTTACACGGGAGCCGATTGGAGGTCAACGAGGCTGGCTCTTGCGGTAAAACAGCCCAGTCTGGTCGTGACATTGCCTGGCTGAAGAGCATGCAAGACACAATCTCCAAATAGCCATTTCGTTCACTCTGTGTGCAAGGCCACTATTTGGAAGACCGCAAAGTTCAACGGAGCTGCGTGTAGTAATCGTTTCGGCGATTGCGGAATCGGAGGAATCTGTGAATGAAAACATATGGTTTTCTTTTGTAGGTCAGGAGAAACTGCACCAGACAGACAAACAGGATTCGATAGACCATCCCTCCGAACAGTAATAATATTGACGGCACCGGGCGACACATATTCAAACAAGGAGGGCGCTACAGGCAGGTGGCTTTCTTCTATCCTCCTTATTACCTACCCAGTAGCATTTGGTAAAAGAGGCCCAGCAGTGTCACGACTTCAATACGGAGGGGTCAGGGGCATCCACTCACACCACAGCAAGAGCCACTTGCTACTGTGCCATGGTTGTTCTGGCCATTTCGTACCAGCGGGTTGTCAGTGGATATCATGGACCGGCAACTATGTAGCGACGATGACAGTGGTTCTGTTTAGCGAGAGCAGCCATGTCGCAAAGAGAAGAAAAACGGCAGTAAGCATCATGCATACATACAGCCACCGAGCCAAGCCATCCACCAACAAGCCAAATCAGACCCTAGTTAACAGTAAGGTTACAGGGCCCCTGTGGCCTCATCGTCATTGAGCAAAGCCTCACCAAAAGGGAGCTGCTGCAAAATGATCCAATTGCTGTGCTTGTTTATTAGCGCGAGCCTCGTCACAGTGTGTCCGTATGACCAGTCACGGCCCGGGGCCGTGGATGACACGATGGTGCCCTGGTGGCAGGCGGTAGGATGAGGAATGTTGCTGGGAGCAGTCAATTAATTAACGAGATGCACTCATCTTCTATTTTTACCAATGCATTGATTGAGTGGTTGGCAAATACTGAATGTATGGTGCTGGGATGGGTGGACAAGACCCTGCTCCAGGTATGTACATATGTCGCTGGCTCCATGCCTGTCAGAAGCGCAGTCGAAGCCGCGGGCTCCGTTGGAAAGGCAAGCAGCCATACAAATCATCAACAAGGACAAGCCGTAAATAGAACAATGCCCAAAATCGCATTTCGGTTCTGCGCATGACGGTGTGCACAGGCAGCCGCATTGTAGTGGGCGCTCTTTTTTCCCTCCCAAACAGACCGTGGCTATCTTGATGAAAGGTCGTCTTGAATGCCAAATCAAACACGCAAGTGGCATCTCTTCTCTTCGAGCTTCCCTTTACGGTCGGGCTGATTAGTCGTGGCTTTCTCAAATACCAGTAGGTTTACATTTTGCAATGACAGGGCCATGAAAGAGGAGCCAGAGAGAGCCCATATTAAGCCAGTCGTCATCTGCACGTTGACGACATCGGCGGGCCAAATTTTTCGGGCCAGGACGAGCGCCAGTGGTTGGTACGGTATAGTGACTAACGAGGCTAGTCCCATGCAGAAAAAAGGCCCAAGACATTTGCGTTTCTCTTGTGCCAGAGTAGTAGCTAATAATAATGGTTACGTGGTGTAGTAACGAGACCAGAGTCGTTCGAGTCGAGAAGTTGTGCTGCTCGGTGATTACCTGTGTACAGGCGGCGCAGGAAGAAGGCCGAGCCAGCGCCGCCCTCCCCCATCGTACCGCCCGTTACCGAGCGACATTCCGATCCGCGTCGGGCAGTTTCGCCATTGAGGGCAGCCGGCTATTGGGTGGTGGGCAGGTGAAGGCGGCCGGCGGCGAACTAGAAGAGAAGCGGCTCGCACGGTGTGGGCGGCGCTGCGTCGTCGATGGAGATTGGTTCTGATTGAAGCCGACAGGGCTCCCATTTTAGAGGAAAATAATTGTGGTCACCGATTCTATCTCTGGATTCTGTGTGCTGTTGTAATAACATGGACCCTGAGGGTCATTGCTGCTTGTTTACGTTACCGACAGAGTCGCAACCAGGAAGGAGGAGCACGCACCGTACCCCAACATCATCTTCCACCTGGCTGGCAGGCATACTTCGTAGCAGCGACAATCGAAGCAAAACATTTGTATGGTTTGTTTGGTTAGCCATCGTACGCAATAAGCTGATGCTGAATACCGGCGACCGAGTAAGTTAGTTTGGAGGGGCAATTCAGAGTGCAGAAAAAATCGAGTTGACACTAGTGCCCATTGCAGAAGCACCGCACGATGGCTTGCATCGTGCAGAGAGCGTGTGAGGTGACGCCTCAGGCACTCAACTAGGATCGCAGAGGCGAGTGAGGCTCCACCCGAGCCCTTGGCTGGGAAGGAGGGCCCACCACAGCCTCTGTGGGTGAAAAGCCGGGCTTGCCCATCGTGGGCGAGGCGGAGCTGAGCTGAGAAGAGACGGCTGGTGCACTTGAGGTGTCTACAACAAGGAATAGCAAGTAAGAAGGGCGGGGAGCAAAATTAGAAGGAAAACAATAAGGCAAGCGTGGTTTGATGACTGCGTACCTATAGGTAGTCGCTGTCCTTTCTGGTCTTGAAATAGCCCTACCTGTTTGTTTTGGTCTAACAGGTAGGTACAAATCTTACTACTGTAAGTACGAATTACACACTACGGAAGGCAAGGTACATAGTTAAGATACCTGGCTAATCAGGTGCTCAGTGTCAGGCAGCAGGGCCATCCCACATCCCACCTCATAAGCATCATCAGCAGCGATACCATCATCATCCTGAGGTACCTCACTCTGTGTAAACATTCCGCATCTTATGAGCACAATCTAATCTGTAACCAGGTACTCCGTAGTCATGAAGTACATGTGGACTACAATGCTGTACGGCGCTGCTCCCCATTTCCTTTGGCCCTTGGCAGCCCCTCCCCCTTCCACTGGGGGGCCCGGGGCACTGGGGGTACTTACAGGCTGCATGCACTCCCAAAGCCACTGAACACCACGCCCCATCTCACCCCCCAACTGGCTGGCCTGCACCCACTCTTTCAAACCGCTTTTTTACCCGCTGATTCCTCTAACTGTAATGAGGTACCTAGGTACCTAAACGTGTCCGGCGTCGCCAACCTGTTTCTTGTGGAAAGACAGCACTATTGCCGCGATTTCGAGTTCACGATTTGGCTGTCGTGGATGTGATTATCCCGGTCCTGTGTTTCGAACATTTTGCACTCATTCTTGTTTCTTCCGCTGAAAGACATGGTATGCAGCGCTCAACGCTGCGCTTACCACCACTGCGATTGATTGATCAATGCCGAGTGGATAATATTATGATTCTGATACTCATGCTCATGCTTAACCCGTTCGCCAGTAACTGACTAACCTGTGACCAGGAGCTCGTAAACTCTGGTGAACGAAGGAAGGCCCCTACTACCTACCTCTAAAAGTAAGATAACCTTACCTCTTCCTCCGACTGTGCTGTTTGGCTGTGCTGGCTGGTCTGGTCTGGCTGCCCAGACCCGACTGCATCGAATCCTGCATGCCACAGCCAGCCCAGCCTTCAGGGCAACCTCTGTCTCATCATCAGCGCAACAAAACCTGTGCTTTACCCACCTCTTTCCTCCTACTTCTTCTTGACCTTTTTTGTCTTGACATATATTTACTTGCTTTCCCTTGTCTCCCTGCGTCTTCCTTGCACCACCCTCCGCATACATACCTACCTACTAACCACGGATAACCTGGTCCCCCTCCAGCTGGAAGCCGGAACCCGCACAAACGGACCCTGTCCTGGGGCTCGTTGCTCACTCGACCCGCCCGCCACTCACTGACCTCTTGGTCTCTGACACGCTCGTCCTCTGTCCTTCTCAGCGGAGGTCGGTACGGGGTACATCCTTGAATGGCATAACGGCACCCATCTTCCAGGTACTCATTTTAGCCAAGAAGTTACCATTGTCATCTGATACACAGGGCAAAGTAACCTCCCTCATTACTCACTGGCAAAAGGTACCTACCTCATCGGTACTTTCAGACTGCACCTGGAGTCAACCGCACCAACTCTGAGCCCACCCTCCGCCTTCTCTGCCACCACCCTCTCTGGCTCTGGCACTCTGCCACTTTCTGTCTTCTGCCCGTTTGCCGCCGGGCACCCACACCCACTCCGGGCACACCACATACATCCACCCGCCAGACTGACTCTCCGTCTTCTTCCTCCACCGACGCTTTTGCTTCCTCTTATTCTTCCAAAGAAAAAAAATCCTACCATCCTTCTCCTTTCACTCCTTTCACCTCCACCTGCTCCCTGGTTTCCTGCCTCGCATCTGCCTCCGCAGATATCAATATCCTCTCGCAATGATAATTGACGGCGAAAAGTACGCTTGCGAGGCATGCGTGCGCGGGCACCGTGTTAGCAACTGCCAGCACTCGGGTAAGTCTTTCAGCACCTGGACGCCCCTACAACACCCCCTACGGCGACCGTTCCCAACCCCACGCCCACTGTCGCCGGCGCCCATGACAAGCACCACGATGGCCTCTTCCAGTCGACGGATGCCTCTCGAAACGCGCCGACTTTTTTTCTCTCCCCTCTGAAGCTGTATCTAACTGCCTCTGGTCTTATACAGATCGTCCTCTTCAACATATCAACAAGAAGGGCCGTCCTGTCTCTCAATGCGCCCACTGCCGGTCCATGCGCAAGTCGCGCGCTGCCCACATCAAGTGCGACTGTGGTGAGAAGACGAGCAAGTGCACTCACTTGCAGCCTACCGTCGAAGGACACACTGGTGAGCTCTATTGAACCTTTCAGTCTCGTCTCGCAACTTGCTCCGAGTCCTAACGCGCCCTCTTCTCCCTCGCTCAAGAGACCTGCTGCTGCAACCACGGTGGCCGCTGCACTTGCGCCCTCAAGAAGGAGCCAAGCCTCGACACCGTCCATGAATCCGACTCGGAACAAGAATCCACCGACGTTCAAGCTGCTGCACTCGCGGCCAGTCGTCCCAAGCCGCCCGTCAGACCCCGACGTCGTGCCAACACCATCCACGCCGATGGCGGCCTCTCGTTCGACGAGAACGGCCATCACAAGCCCATGGCCAAGCACAACCGGGCTGCCCAAAAGTGCAACCCGTACCAGCTTAATCGCGTCAACTCGGCCAACAGTGCCAGCAGCCTCGGTGCTGGCGTTGAGGGTCTGAGCTTCACTCACAACTCCAAGAGCGCTGCCGCCCGCGAGCGCCGAGTCAAGTCGGAAACCGCCTCGCCGCTCATGGCCGCCTCCAGCTTCCAGCTTGGCACCGCCAACCTGCCACCTCTGGATCTCTCCAGAATCGACAATTCCGCCTACATTGGCAACGGCGGCTCCTTTGACCTCTTTGGTTCCGGCTTTGACCAGGACGGCCCCATGTACAGCGCTGGCCTCTCTGCCGCTTCGGTCGACTGGAGCAACTACGAGTTCAGCGACGGCCGCCCGGACAACTTTGCTCCCTCGAGCTACAGCCAGACTGGCGGCCGCAACTTCAACGGCCTCTGTGAGTTTGGTAGCGGCTCCGAACAGCTTCCCAACCTCGCCAACACCACATCCACCTCGGGCGACGTCTCCGAAGTCGAAGACTTTCTGCCGGGCGGCGACGACATGGACGGCTTTGGTAGCAACAGCTTTCTGCGCCAGAACGTCATGGCCGCTGGCGCTGCTGACCTGACAAGTATCGATTACGACAGCTTCTACAAGAACGCCGAAGCAAATGCCATGGCCGGTTCAGGCGTATCTCTCGTCGAGGAGGACCCCGCATTCTGGATGCCCAACTACAATGACGGCATTGCCACCGTTGATGAGAGCGCCGACCCGCTTGGTGCCGCGACAGCAAACAACTATTGGCAAGTATAGTCATGCTTCTTCGCATTCATGACTATGGTCGTCTGCCTTCTTCTCTTTTATTTTCTGTTCTGTCGAAACGTTATGTTTCTTCCACAAATTTTTACAGGGATACGGCGTCGAAGCTTTCTTTTCTTTCTTTTTTACTTCTACTTCAGGCGTTTTTGCTTGGGATAAACGAGATTCGTTAGAAGGAACATTCGGGATACATTTTGGGCGATTGATCGTGTGGTGTGGCTACATTCACTTTTTGTTCTTGTTCTGGCACATTGACGGGCTCATGAGGGCCGAGGCACGAGGCAGAAGAAGGGACGGAATGGAAACGTATCAAAGCGCTTGGGCTTCTTTGTTGCTGTTTCTACTTTCTATGCAGAGTTGTTATAGGCGAGATCGTCTTAGCTACTTTGTACTCTTGCGCTTGCCTCCTCCCCCGAATGCTGCTCCCTGCAATGCTCCTCTGCACATGCCTCTGAGCTTTTCCTTGGTTTTGCACTATAGAATCTGATGCGCATGATGCGTAAAGAGGCTGGTTGGGTTGGGTTGGGGTTTTGAAAATGGGATATAAGGGGCGTTTGGTTTGGTCGCAAAACTTACAAAAATCTATCTCTCCGAGTTCAGATGCAAGGTCTGCTTTGGTCTCGCCATTGCCCACAACGATGGACAATGACGGCCGTCTTCTAGGCCTTGCATCATGGCATGTGAAAGATGGGGTACATATACTTTGTGGTTTGGCGTTTATTTTTCTTGTTGGATAGATCAGATTCTGGCTAGAATCGCCTTTGTTTTTGGTGTCTTTTTCCCTTTTCTTTTCGGCTTTGCCTGGTGTTTCTTTAAAGGTGTTCGTTTGATTCGAGGTCTTGACGTTGCTTACAGGCGAGAAACCAAAGATAACAGCATATACCCCTTGGGATTGGGCAGCGAAAAAAAAAACAAAAGCTGGGGCGCACAAAAAAAATATATTTAGAGGTTCTCTTTTACTTGTTCAATACACTGTTTTACAGATGGCAGAAGCGCCAACAACGCACACGCACACTTGCAGCACAATACGAGGGCCGTTGGGGATCACATGGGCTAAAACCCCTGCCAATGGAATGGTACAGCCCAGCACGACAGAACAGGCTGGACATGTGCAGCGTCTTTCGTTTCCTTGGCATACGTGACTCGCCCCGTTCATCACCGGTGAGGCTTGACCTTGTCCTGGACTGGATGAGTGCGGGGTGGTTTGGTCAAGGAAGAAGTCGGGGGCAGATGCAAGCGTGATGATCCTTCAGTGTCTCTTTGGCCACCTCACCTCGTTGCCGATGAACAGGGTATTTCGGGGCAATTCTAGTAGGCAGGACAAAGAACAAGAACAAGAGCAGTGTGAGCTTTGTGGCTGTCACATCATACCTCGTCGCTTCCACGGAACACAAACAGGGCTACACAACCTACCCGCCGTCTTACAAGAGGCTGGAACCGGGACGGAATCGATCGGTTTAGCCCGCCCGCCTTGTAGCAAAAAGGAAACCTGCATGATTTCCCTTCCCTTCCCCCTCCTTCGCCTCGCATCCCCCCCCTCCCCCACCTTGACGTTGCAACGACGGGCAAACGCGGGGTTGGGAGAGAGGGCCTTGGAGGGTCTTCGATGGATGGAGGGGAGTGGCGAAACCGCCAGCCAGAACCCCTTCGTTTTTTGCGTTGGCAAATAATTACTGGGCTAGCAGCGGAGGAGCAAATCGACACCCATTTATTTCTTCGACTTATAAGGAAACATGACAAGTGCCGTGTTTCTCCCCCAGAAGGGTGGTGCATTCGCATAAATCATGGGAAAGGCACGGATGGGGAAGATACACCGTATAAGTGAGCAACGGGAAACAAAAAAAAAAGGCACGTTCCGTCTCACAGGGCAAAGGAGGCCTCCCCCAGCCCCAGCGCCCATTCCCTTTACGAGAACAAATAAAGAAAAAAAAAGATGCAAAAGGCGGGGATCTATTTTCATGCCGTTTCAGGCCATCATTGAAAAACAACCATTACTACCTAACTACAGGCTGTGTCGTCGTAAAAATCAGCCCCCGTCGCTGCAGAGCCAACCAGCAGACCTTGGCCAAAGCAGGAAGTTCCCGCAAAATATGCTGGCACGGGAAACTACAGCGAGCCCAGTATAACGGGGGGCCACACAAAGGTAGATCCAACGTTCCGTCGACAACCGGCGGAAAGGAAAGGCCCGGCGGCAGCCGAGAGGGGTGGTGGTGCTGTATTTTTGCGACCCGTGAGCACAAAGGAGGGGGTGAGGCTGCGAGTTTGGTGTACGGAGGGGTAAAGCAAAGGGCGTGTTACTGTAGATGGGATAAAACATCAAAGCAAGGTGGGCCGATAAAGTCATGGTTGAGCATGCGAACAAGGAGGGCGGTCGTGCAGCTATACAAAGATAGACTGCAAAGGGGACCGGCGAGGATGAACCGACAGACGCATGATGATCAAGTTTGCGGCGCACTCAGATAGAAGCACACAAGTCAGAGGTTAACCAACCTAGTGTCGGGTGCCTTCGTGAACAGAGCTTGTAGATATATTTTATAGGATCCATTGAATATCCATTATCCATCTCCTAGTCCTCCTTTCTTTTTTTTGGCAGCATCCCTCTTCATCTCACTCTGCGCATCAAACCGAACCGTCTCTTCTTCCATGATAAAAAAAAACCAGCGCTATACAAAAGCTCCCTAACAACTCCAAAAAGCGACACCAACATAGCACCGCCTGTAGGGTGGCGGGTTCAATTAAATCATGGTTTCATTAAACCAACCAACTAGCTGTCTTGGCCTTTTCTGCTCAACTTTGCTTTGCTCTTGTTTTGCTTCGTCTTAGTATACACTTGAGTTTACCAACGCCATGACTTGGGAACCCCAAAAGAAACGTCATCTCAATCACGTACAATACATACACAAGAAAGGTCATTATAGCCTCGCCAGGCCGAAGCCGCTTTAGACATCAATGATCTCACGCGACTTCGAGGTATCCCGTGGCGAGAGATGCAGTCGCCGCCGCTGCTGCTACAGCAGCCGCCGCCGCCGCAACTGCCGCGTCGCCTTCTGCAGGGGCGATCCCCTCGTGCGCGGTCGCCAGGTCCGCGAGGTGCTGCAGGCCCTGGCTGGCCGCCGCGGCCGATGCCGACGACGACGTCGGAGGGCGCAGCACTTCGGAGAGGCGGTCGCGCACGCCGGCCCAGTGCTGAGGGGTGCCGCCATCGACGACGTCGCGCGCCAGCGCCAGCGCCTCGTCGCGCGCGCGCTCCGACCGGGACAGCGTCGTGATGGACATGGTGGCCAGCGAAACGTAGTGGTTTACGAGAGGGCTGCGCAGGTGCGGCGTCGCCAGGAGCAGCTGCGTCACCTCTTTGGTCGGCCACAGCGCCTCCGACGTTGTCGAGCCCGGTGTGATGAGCGTGACGAGCAGCTTGCAGTGCCAGTAGGCGAGGTGGATCAGCGGAAACGCGCCGGCGTCCATGTGTGCGGGGAGGTCCTCGCGGTAGTTTTCGATATAGTCGCCCAGGATGGCCGCCATCGGCGGGTCGGCGGTGGCGACCCCGGTGGGGAGGTGAGAGATGACAAAGGATATCCGGTTGAGAAGCTTGGAGAGACGGGTGAAGTAGAAGCAGGTTTCACCAACAACTGCTTCCAGCCCGGCGGGAGCCACGACGCTATTGTCAGGGATCTGCGCTGGCTTGCCCGTGCCCGCCGCGTACCACCGATCCATGCCGATGAGCGACCACCAGATGCGCGTGCAAAGCGCCTCATTAGAGTCCGTCTCGGCTGCAGGATCCACGGCCGGCAGCTTCCAGAGCTTCATGCTATTCGCCAGCCCGACGGCGCGCGACAGCAGGAACGGCAGCGTCGACACGGAACGCCAGTCAGCGTCGATGATGAGCAGCAACAGCGTCTGCGCGTGCACAATGTCCGTCGCGCGTGTGCGCGGCGCCTCACTACTCTCCCAGTCGTGCAGCAGTGCGTTGGCCTGCTGGACGTCGCCCGCTGTGCTCTGCCCGACGGCGAGCAGGGCAATCTCAAACGCCGTCCGGACGGACAGTGGGCACTGCGCCAGAAGCGCTTGCTGACGCGTCTTGGTTGTTGCAAGGATGGGGTACAGAGGCTGGACAGAGTTGAGGAAGTCGTTGAGTACGCCCTCATCAATGTTGGGTACGTACTCGCCATCCTCCATGGGTAGATCATCCACCTCCTCGTGCGCGGGCTTTGAGGGCGTATCATTCACAGCAGAGGGCTGCGGTGCCAGGCTTGAGTTGTGGTAGTACGTGTTTGAATGCGCCGAGTCGGGCGGCAATGATCGAGGCTCAGATCCCCAGGGTGCTTGGCGATTGGGGGCGGGTGTGCTGAATTCATTCGAAATGCTCGAGTACGGGCGCTTGCGGCTGGCATCATCCACAGAGGTAGTGCCATTTGTACCCCGGTGACGCTCAGAGCTAAAGAGCTTGTCGATTTCGTCTTGAGACACGCCGCCATCAGATTCGAGCTTGCTCTCGATGCTGTTGATTCGGTCGGCAAGTTCTTTAATGTACCTACGCAAGATATCAGCAAGACTGCGCATTAATTATAGTGCAGGTATACCATACCCTTTGCTAGGACCTCGCTTTTGCGGTACGCGACTGAAAAGACAACGAATTGCAGACCGCGCGCAGCTAGAGCACGGAGCCTCGCCAGTGTCAGACTGCGCGTCGCATTTTATCTTTTTCCGTCTACACTCGTCGCAAGCACGCGACACTTTGGATCGTTTTCTCGGTGGGACTCCATCTCCCATGTTGTACTGGCCAAGGGGCGGACCGACGGGCACCTGTATGCTGTGCTGGACCATGTGGTCCGAGGTAGGGGTATCGTGCACGTAGCTGGGGGTGCGGTGGTCCGGTTCAGGATGGGGCATAATGCTACGCATGCCCGTCTCATCGACACCCATGTTCGGATCGGTCGTTGGCAAGAGGCCAGCACCAGCTAGGCCTTGGCCCAGCTGTGCTGCGAGCTGCAGCTCTTCCAGGTTGTCGGGGCGCGACACATGTTGCGAATCCTCCTCCGTATGAAGATGGCTGTGATCGTCCGTGCCGGGCATGTGGTCTTCAACATGTTGCTCCGTATGTTCGTGGGGCTCTTGCGTGTCTTCTCGGCCGTTGGTATTATAAAAAGGGCCCGTGTCCATGGTCTCGGCTCCCGGCGATGGATAGTTCAGGTTGGGGTCGTCGGCCTCGCCATCGCGACTAGGACCCATAGCAGGCAACGATACACGGGGAAAGGAGGGGTTCCTTCGTATTAAATCGCCCAACAATAGTGGTCAAATATGTCAACCAACGAAACAAAAGTTGTTTGAGCACGTTCAACCGTGCAGCGGCCAGAAGCGTAGAAATACTTGGACGCACGTCGAGCGTGTTAGTCGCGACGATGCTGCCTCGTCGCGATGGGCAAAAATAACTAACGAGCCATTGTTAGCACGAGGACAAGTGCAATGCACCATCGAAGGCAAAATGCCTAGGGGGAGGGTGCGAATATTTCGCTGGTAGAAAGTGCAGCCAATTGCCGACTTATAACTACAGAGCCGTACCTGGAATCCGGACGATGATAAATGCGATGGACCCGTCGCGCACAACGGAAGAGGAAGAACTCGGCGCCGTGAAGCGTGTGATTTTTAGGTGCGCTGCGATCAGACCACGGAGGTGGAAGAATTTTTCTGCAGCCCAGGCGAGGGCAGAAGTACCAAGGGCGACAATGGCTTAGTCATCAACATGCGCAGAGCCGCATGGCGACATGCATTGCTCGGCATACTTACGGCTCCCGTCAGCAGGTTATCCCTTTGTTCCGGAAATCAACAATTCGCCCAGGCAATGCACGGTGCGCCGCCCGGACAAAATGGAATCGATCTAGAAGTGGATTTCATGGCATCTCTCACCCCCTAACCCTTCTCCCATGCGCCTTCTTTCCGTTGCCACAGCACTTTGATCGCAGCAAGCCACATATGGACATCTTGACTCTCCAGAAGTGGGCCTACACAGACGGCGTTCCCAGCTACAACGCCATGGCGTATAGCTTGCTTCAGCACTACAGTGGCATCCCAGAGGCTAATATTGACAGTCACTTGCTACATATTGTAAGAAATCTTCTTGATGTTTTTTTTTTTAAACTTTCTTATGCTTGTTTTACTTCATTTCTTTAGTTCCATTCGCTTATATGTCTTTTCCTATTGCCCGAATTTATCTAACCTCTTCACAGCGCAAGCTCGCCTGGGATGCATCTCGACAGCCATTCATTGGGCGCTGGAAGTTCTTGCGCCTCGCCAAACCTTTAGACCCGTGCTACCAACAGGTTCTATTTCGTCTCACGCTTCCAGAATCTACAGACAGCATACTGGATATCGGCTGCGGCTTCGGGCAGGCACTGAGGCAACTACGCGCCAATGGGGTTGCGGGCTCCAAGCTCTTTGGTGCCGATATTGAACCTCGCTTCATCAGCCTGGGCTACGATCTCTTCCGTGACAAGGAAACGCTGGGAGCAACATTTGTCACTGGCGATTTGCTGAATCCTGACGATCGGCGGTTAGATGTGCTGTCTGGGCGCTTCACAATCGTCCACGCCGACAGCTTCTTCCACTTGTTGTCGTGGACGGAGCAGCTATACGCCGCCAAACGACTGATTATGTGGCTGAGGACTGATAGAAAGAATAGCTTCATTTACGGAAAACATATAGGGACGATCTACCCGACAAGGGTTTCTTCGGCTGGCAGCAGGCCGTATCTGCATAATGGTCAGAGCTTCCAAGGGCTGTGGGATGAAGCTGGGAGAATGACGGGTACACGGTGGTTTGTAAAGGTTGAGGAGAGTGGCGAACACGCAGATGACGCGATAGGGCTACAAGATGGGTTGATACCTGTAAATTTTGCAATATATCAATTGCCATGATGCTGGCGGATTGTAGACCGTTGTATGCCAGTCGGCGACAGGACCACCTACTAACGTGCCTGGTCCCTGTAAGTTGTTGTGAGACACTTGGAGTGTTAGCGGAGGATGAACCGCCCACGACATGATATAAAGATAGACCAGTGGATCACAATCGTGCTAGCTTGAAATTCTCTCACTAATGTGAGTATATTTCCGCTATATACTATAAATTGTAGTGTTCGAAATTGCGCGTTGAAATCGCGGGTTGAAAATTCATAGTCGCGATCTCGGGTAACCTCTCCGTAGCGTTAGTACTGGCGTACGTACCGATACCAATACCCCTCCAAGCTTACCGTCCGCTGGCCCACTAGGCGCGTCCTCCACATCGGAGCCCGTGTCGCAACAACTTCGGCAATCAACACCCACGATACTGCGCACTCCTGTGCCTCCCTTGGGAAGCCCGACTCAGCATTAAAGTATTCGCTATTTTCAGGAATTATGATATTGAGGATTATGTGAAATCAGCCAAGATGGATGCAGATTGGGACGAGGTACGGCGCAGCCCCCAACACTTGGCCTCTCCGCACACGATGCAATGACGCGCATGCGAACAATCACCCTCACACCGCGGCATTCACAATGCGCGCTGCCTGCCATACCGTTCCTCTAACGCATATCCATATCTTAGGTCGCCCGCATCCAATTCCCGCCACCAGGAATCCACGCCATGCCAAGCCCGGTCACGACCATGATGTTCGATACGTCGCAGGAACTGCTGTGGACTGGAAATGACTACGTACGACTACACACTTACATAGAGACGAATGAATTCTCACATTATTCAAGGGGCGCGTTACATCCTTCTTCGGAAGCGAGTTGCAGCGATACACCTCGTTCAAAGCACGCCTGTCCTCGGAGGGACCCGTCCGACAGATTCTGGTCAACGATAAAGGCGTGATCGCTCTCGGATCCAACGACGTCCACATGTCTCACAGAAGGGGTTCAGCAATATGGCATATAAAGTATGACCAATGACCATAGGACAAGGCTCGTGCGCTGACTCGGCCATAGGCACCAAGATATGCAGGACCTTCGCTGCATGAGCTTCACTTCCAAAGGAACCACCGAGATAATTGTTGCCGGGATGCAAGAGCAAATGCTTGTCATCGACCTCAATAAAGGCGAAGTCGTCAAGCAGGTACGAACGGCCGTAGCCTGGCGCTCTACCGCGGCTGACATTTGCAGGTCCCAACCGAGCACCAATATATCATCATGAAACGAGGCCGTTACATTTGCGCCGCAGCGCAGAATGGCCTTGTCAACTTACTTGACCCCGTCTCCTTTACTGTCGTCAAATCCTGGAATGCTCATTCAGCGCTTATCAACGACATGGACGCCCAGCACGACTTCATCGTTACATGCGGATACTCGCTACGACAAGGGCAGAACTATATGCTGGACCCTTTCCTCAACGTCTTTGATATCAAGAAGATGTCGTCTATGCCGCCAATACCATTCCCAGCCGGAGCCGCATATGTTCGCATGCACCCGAGAATGCTGACCACGAGCATCGTTTTGTCACAGAGTGGCCAAATGCACGTCGTCGATCTCATGAACCCAAACACCAGCAACGTCAGGCAGGCAAACGTTTTAACCTATCTCAGCATGTTTGAGATTGCCCCATCTGGGGAGGGCATGGCACTGACAGACGCCGAATGTCACATCCACCTTTGGGGATCACGTACCAAGCTCCATTTTGTAGACCTTGCGACACCGATTGAGTTTGCGGATACAGAAGAACAATTGGCCCCCATGGACTGGTCTTCGGAGATGTCAGTATACATGATACACCCCAGAAGCCGGGATGAGTGCTAACGCGCTGTAGACCACTGAATACCATCGGACTACCATACTACCGCGATGTTCTAGCCTCTGCATGGCCCGATCTAGTGTCGGATGTCGGAGCTCCGCCACCCAAACTTGACCAACAGTTCGTTTCTTCACTCAAAGCTGCTGGCTTTGCGTTGTATGGACGTAACACGCGGGGTCTAAGACGGAATCAGGCTGAAAATACTCGGAGTCTCGTCAAGTCAGTCAATGCTGGCATCAAAACGCCCAAGTTCCTGAGTGAAAAGGCGCGCGAGTCGGCCAAGTCAGACAGCGCTGGCGATGACAAAGCCGACGACCTTAATAGCCCATTGGCTGAGACTGAGATTGAAAGCAAGAAATCAGAAGTACCTGCCATGTATGGAAACGTGGAGATCAAATACAGCAAATTTGGTGTTGATGACTTCGATTTTGGGTAAGTCAGCCCTGCGACTCTCCGGCGCAAAAGCTAACAGTAGCAGATTCTACAATAAGACAAAGTATTCAGGACTCGAAATTCACATATCAAACTCATACGCCAACTCTCTCCTGCAGATCATGCACTTTATTCCCGCCATCCGAAACCTTGCTCTTCGTCACGCTGCTACATCATGTTTAAGCGAGACTTGCATGCTGTGTGAGCTTGGCTACTTATTCGATATGTTGCAAAAGGCCGAAGGATCCATCTGCCAGGCGACGAATCTGCTGAAGACACTCAGCAACCAACCGCAAGCTGGCGCGCTTGGTCTTTTAGAGGAAGATCCCCGTGGCTCTTCGCTTAATATGATGCTGCAGGGCTTGACGCGCTTCCTCCTCGACAGGATTGTACAAGACTTCCGGGTAGTAGAGGGCACCTCGGCGCCTATGGAGCAAGTCCTTTCAACTTCCGCAACTAGCTCCATCATCTGCAAATCTTGTCGCAGCGAATATACACACCCAAAGTCAACCTTGGTCAACGATCTGGTATACCCCTCTCCCAACACACAACCAACGTTTTCGTCAAAGATGCCGAAGGTCATATTCTCTCAGGTTTTGAAAAATAGCGTGGAGAGGGAGCTTATAAAAAAAGGATGGTGCGGAAAATGCGGCAAATATAAGGATATTGCGACAAAGAAGACCATTCACAGCGTCCCGTCCGTTCTGATTTTAAATACTGCCATCAGCAAAGCCGAACACCGCATGCTCTGGTCTACGCCAGGCTGGCTTCCGGAAGAGATAGGCATCATTGTTGACCAGGGCCAGTTCTTCTGCTATGAGGGGGAGGATTTGAAACTGCACCTTCAACGTGGCATGCACAATATCGCCGTCTATTCTTTGATTGGTATGGCAATCAATATTGAAAACGGACAAACTCAGAAGCCACATTTAGTGTCGATGATCAATGTCGCTCACGCTGAAGCAGAAGCGCCGGGTAAGAGTCAGTGGCATCTGTTCAACGACTTCCTGGTGAGGTCTGTCAGCACAGAAGAGGCGCTCACTTTCAACCCCTCGTGGAAAGTACCGGCTGTCATTGCCTTCCAGATCCGGGACGCGAACAACAAGCTGGACTCGACGTGGAAAGATCAACTTGATAGCTCTGTCCTCTACGAAGATATAAACCCGCACACTCCTGAGAGCAAAACATACCAAGTGCTCAAGCAGTTGACAGAGCATCCAGGTCCTGACACCATCATTGCCCTGGATACGGAGTTTGTGGCTGTCAGGCAACCGGAAATTGAGATGAACTCGGACGGCGAACGAGAAACAATTCGCCCAATTGTATACGCTCTGGCAAGAGCCTCAGTTGTCCGGGGCCAAGGCGAAGAAGAAGGGTTACCGTTCATTGATGACTACATCACTATCAAGGAGCCAATCGTGGACTACCTCACCTCTTATTCGGGCATCACTCAGTCAGATCTAGACCCACGGGTCTCCCAACACAGTTTGCTACCCCTCAAAATAGTATACAAGAAGCTCTGGGTCCTGCTCAACCTGGGCTGCAAATTCCTGGGGCATGGCCTCAAGCAAGATTTCCGCGTCATCAACATTCACGTACCCAAGTCACAGATTATCGACACGATTGACCTCTTCTTCCTCAAGACGCGATTGCGGAAACTGTCGCTTGCGTTCCTCGCCTGGTACCTGCTCAAAGAGGACATCCAGATGGAAACGCACGACTCCATCGAGGATTCGCGCACCGCGCTCAAGCTATATAGAAAGTACCTCGAGTTCGAAGACGCCGGGATCCTGGAGCCGATGTTGCAGGACATATATCGCGCCGGGCGCGACGTCAACTTCAAGCCGCTGCGCAAGGATGGCCAGGACGTGGAGCGCACGGACACGCCGCCGCTGTCGGTGGACGGGAGCGGCAACGGCGGCAGCGTGGCTCCATCGACACCGGTGAGGCGAGCCGCGACGCTGGCGACGCCGGGGTTTGGAGGGGGTGCGTGGACGCCCGGAAAGGGCTCGCCGCTGAGATAGGGTGTCAGGCCGGGAAGCACGATGTGAACCTTGCAGGAAGGAGCATCGAGAGGTTTTGATTATGCAAGATATGCAACAATAGCTTTTATGATACAATTGGATTTCGTGATTGCCTTGGGTCTCGGCTGAGCTTGGCTCGGCGCGTTATGGATTCACAGACGTATGACGGACAGTACGATGAAGAGATTAGGGAATTCGCAGTTGAGAATTCAGATGAAGTAGCTCTATTTCCCGCAGACACCACATTACACGTAGTATTCAATCGATGTTATCCTCATTCTCTGCTCCTGCTATCGTCAATCGCGCCCCCCCCCCCACAAAACCTGAATTCCCGTTACAAGGGAAAACATGAGCCCCCAAAACCGACAACGCAGCTCGTTTCACCTGGAGCTACCATTTTCAAACATGCTGGGGAGAAGGAAACGAAAAAGGTACACACGAGGTCCCGCCAACAATCTAAACTACTCATAAAACGCCAGTGAAGGAGGAAAAAGCAAATAGTGTGAGAAACATGAGCAAGACATGGACTGCGCGGTAACATATATAAATTGACAAATTCTGCAGAGAAGAATGGGAAGAGGAGAGATATGGAAACTGAGGGAAAAGAAGAGTATGTTTCAATGGTGACTTGTTTTTTGTTCTTGCTTGAGTGAAAGAGGTTTCGTTGTTCTGTCAGAGTCGTTCCAGCATGATCGTTCCTGCAGTTGTCCTAGGAAAGTGCCTACCCAACGCCAATTCTATGCATAGAAACAATATCCCTCCGGTATTCCCTACGGCCTCCCGCTTCCTTCTAGGATTCGTAGTCTTGCCTGCGACGTCTGCGAGAATCTTCAAAGCACTGTGCCATCTGCAGTGATGCCAACAAGGGGCAGACGGCCTCTTCTAGGTTGACCTGGGTCTCGCACTCGTTGTGGATTTGGGTGTGGAGGCGCTTGTAGCTTGTCCAGCGTTTTCGCAAGTGCGTGGTGCACCATCGCACAGCCTGGATTGAAACGTTGATGCGGTCAAGAGACTAGTAGCCATTTAGTTGGCGGCTATGGCGGAGGATTTGAGGCCACAATGTATCGGACTTCCCGCTACAGCTCGGATTCAGCACCATTGGTTGACATGGCCATTGGGCTGCCGTTTTGGATTTGGTTCCGCCGTTGGCGGAGGCGCGCGTTGCCTGGCGGCCGTCTGCGCACAACAGCGCGGCTAGTAGTGTCATGCTCGTCTTCATCTGAGTCAGGGTGTTGTTGGCGATAGAGCCTCGCCTCGTCGAGCTCAGTCACATCGGCGGGCCGGTCTCTTAGCCAGCGCATGCGCGGGCCTGTGCGAGCACGCTCCGACACCTTGAAGCCGTAGATCTTGGGCTCGTATATGCGGTGGGGACCAAGTCCTGGGGCAATATTCCTCGTATACATGCCGTTCACGATGGCCTCCCCTTCGGCAATCGGAATGCGACTGTTAATGGAGGCCAGCGTTTCTGAGCCGCGTCGCGTGAGGTCATACTCTGGGAAAGTCATGAGGAAGAGAGCGCCGAAAGTGCGGCCGAAGAACGCTCCGTCGACAGTCTGAAACCGGCTGTTGGGGGGGACATAGACGTCTAGACAGGAGGGACAGAAAAGCTTGACCGTATCCTCGCCTGGGATATCAGACAGGCCGACGGGAAGCGTGCGCGATTGCTCACAGTGCGTACGAGGGCAGGCGCCGAAGTGTCCCAGCTCATACTTTTCGCTCATCTGTTGAATGCCGACTCGTGAGCAAATGAATCGCTGGTGGATAAGGCCGTATAGCAGCTCGGCGGAGGATTCGATAACAGTAAGGTCGCTGGCCATTCTGGAATGTCCTCTTCTCTCGTTGCCGAACCGCGAACCATGCTCCATAGCAGACTCGTTGTCGTAGTCTTCCTCATCCTCGTCAAGGTCTTCGTCGTCTTCTTCGGGCTCTACATCGAGAATCATCTAGAACCAAGTGTCAGCGGCCCGTCCAGAAAGAAGGAGCTGGTACTGATGCAGCTTCTTACCTCCAAAGCTTCCTTATACCTTTCGACTTGCGTCTGAAGACCCGTCAAGTTGAAGTCATCTTCAATAAAATCTTCAGACACCTCCGCAAAATATTCATGCCCGAGCAGGGAGCAGAAGCTAGTGATCCAAGACTCGGGCGCGGCCGAGGATGTCGACATGGCGCCGCTCAACACGCTAAAAGATTGAGGTTCAGGAGCCGCGCGATGCCTTGTGTCTGGCCAGCTCGCGTCTTGGGGGATAGTCGAAGCTCTGGGCCGTCTTGCAATGCCTATTGGTGGGTGTTGGAGCACGTCTGTCAGGCGTCGCAGCGCGCGTCGTCTCCCGCACGCTTCGAGGCAGGTATTAATACCGCAAAAGCTCTATGAAAGAGTATAGTCGCGTGCGCACCGCTAGAACGACTAATATGAGCCCCGGACTCAATGGGGTTGCTGGGATAAAGCTGCTGAAACTGCGTAAAATGGCGTTTTGATGGCAGTGGTGGTGGGATGTTGCGGTGGGGAGGGGCGAAAGACGCCGCGCAGCCCGTTGGTGGACTGGCGGAAGCTGGGTTTACCCGGCCTCCGCGGAATTCACCGTAATAATACTTACTGTCCAGCAACTTAAGTAGCTGTGATAAACACTGACTGACTGAACTTGCACCGCGGAATAATAATAGAGCACACCATATCACTACAACAAATCCCGTGTGCTTATTTGTTTGGCTGACGGATTGACCGGCAGGGTCATGTCGTCCTTATACGTCGGCCGTTCGGCGGCGAGGCAGTTTCACAGCAGTGCAAGCCGCAGCCTCACTGTACTCCCCGTACAAAGCATGCATTGGAATGCCACGCTCGACAACATCCAATCATTTAAGCACGGCGCCTTTGCAGAAAAAAGGCCTGTCCTGTTCAGGAAAGATCATGGCTCTCCAACATGCTCAATACCTGCTCTAAATAAATGGTTCGAACCCCCGACAGAGGGCTCTCATGCAACCAGGGGTGGCCTATCAAAGCACCTTGAAGAGTTTCATCAGCTACCGTTCCCATACGAGATAGTAGCGTCATCAAAAGAAAATATGCAAGCCATCCACGCACTTTGCGACTCATTAATGGCAAGCCAGGATGTGGAAGATCAAATAATAGCCGGTATCCTGCACTCGACTGTAGCAGCCTCTCCAGGCAACCGCTTCTTCCAGGTCTTCGCACCTCTAAAGCTGCTGCACAGGGCATTGGATTTTAACCAGCTGAGAAAAGCTTCCGGTAAAGACGTCGTGGAATTATACATTGCGCAGTCGCTCCTGGCGGATCTTCCAGCAAAGCTTCATAAAGACCTTCCAACCCCAAGGTTAGTCTTGGAAGCTGGCAAGGGGGACGTCTACAGCTCATCAATCTGGTTCGGCACTGAGCCTACATATACACCACTTCACCGAGATCCCAATCCCAACCTGTTCTGTCAACTCTATAGACAGAAGCTTGTCAGACTTCTCCCGCCCCAGCTAGGAGAACAGCTATATCTACGAGTTCAGTTGCAGCTTCGCCTGCAAGGCAACAGCCGCATCAGAGGTACAGAGATGATGGAGGGAGAAGAACGACAAGTTCTCCACCAGGCAGTTTGGCAGCCTGAAGACGCTATCGAGGAGATGTGCGAAGCGGAAGTCGACGCTGGAGACGCGCTTTTTATACCAGAAGGGTGGTGGCACTCTGTAAAAAGCAAAGGGGCGTCAGGAGACTTGAATGGATCTGTAAATTGGTGGTTTCGTTGAAAACTGCTCGACCTGTATATGTTCGCTATAAATTGGCGCGGAATATTGTCGCAATTAGATGTTCTCCTGTATAACATTATCGTGCTGCTTCGTACATTATCTTCTTACTTTTGATCTTCTCTGTCTTCCCTATATCCCCTATTTTGCCTATCTTATTATATAAGCTAGACAATTACCGTTACGAAATCGGTCTTCTCTCACTGACGTTAAAAGAAGGCAAACGCCAATCCGCCAACCGACGCTGAGTTCAAGGTGAGGCCTAAGCTTTTTTGTAGGGTGGCAAGCTAAATAATAAACTGGTGCGACATAATTTTGAGCTGCTGCTTGAGATAGTCGCTGAAATCGAGCCACGCTCAACAAAACGCGGCAAATCGTTCAACTTCCATAGCAAAGGTTTATGTACGGTAACCGACCAACAACCAGCACATACGACCATAGATAACAGAGAATTCGGGGTCCCGTCCAGCTCTTTATTTTGGTTCTTTAGACCTAGAAAAATGCAGCCTTCGACGCAATCCTTGGAGTAGTGTGCCTCCGTTTTTGGAGGATAACGGACCTCACCCGACCCACCCTTGACAGCCTGGCGTCTATTGCTATTGAAATGCTAACTACTGAGTACTCTCGGATGCTTTTTTTTTTATTTTTTTTTTTCGACTTTTAACTTTTAACTTTTAACTTTTAACTTTTGCCACTGTATTTACACAGACGTGCTTTGTGTGATTTTTTTTTTAACACACACGAATCTGCGGTCTGGAACGGCCCGACTGGGTCTATCTGTCCTGTCACACTATGTAGGTAGGAAATCGTTGTTCTGCTACGTCATTCCTGGAAAAAAATTGGCGTTGGAATAGAGCTAGCACATCCCTATACAAACCCCGAATCCCCTCCTATGCGTTTGCAATTTCCATGTTGCTAAAAATCTCCGAACAACAAATCCCTATGCGCCACGCAGTACCACGATTAAACCATGAGGGCTTCTAGCCGATGATGGGGTTCAAGGGCAAGCCTACCCCCTACTTCTGAGGCGAAACACTACACATGCACACATAGAAAGCGCGTATCAATTTGGCTGGTCATGAAGAGATTAGCCAAGGCCCAGTCCTTTGGAGGCCAGCGTCGAATGACGCAGAACAAACCATGAGAGTCTTGGCCAGTGATGATACGACCGGGAAAACCCTTGCTGTTTTCTCTGGGGTGCTGAGGCCTTTTTTTATATTTCTTTTCCAAAGACTTGCACGGTACGGAATATCTTAGGAGGAAGGATGTGTTTTATTTATTGCCACTGCTCGTTGCCACTGGCTACCTGCCCTCTTTCCTTGCTTCATGACTACGTCCTCCGATCCGCGGGTTTCCTTATCGCCATCCCCCCTTCGTCTTTCCCAGCTTAACCAAACAGTGAGGGGTGTTGTGGCAGGATTGTCCGGACAACGTTGTCGGAGGCGTAGCTAGTGCTGCTGCCGTGAGTTAGCGACTGAAGAATGAATCAGATGTTCCTGAAGTGGACGTACCGGTACGATCGGATGGTATTGAATCGGCAGGGTCGGTGAAACACGAGGTGATGGACGCCCGATGGTGCTGTTGCTTTGGTGTTGTGGCTTCCGAGGTGCTTGGTTTCCGAATTGAACCTAGAAATTGGGGGGTGGAATCAGCACAAGGCTGAGTGGTATATTCCATAAGAAAACCGTAACTTGGGTAAGTCTGCCGCTCGTTTGACGGAGGTCCTGCCATTGCTTCCCTCTCTGCCATTAGGCGAACGATTCCGATTGGCCATTTGGCCAAAGTCGGCTGCTCGGATATTTTGCAATCCGCTCCTGCTCGATGCACTCTCCTAAAAGGGGAATCTGTGATGGTCAGTTCATTGACCAGATTGCCGTTTGCTATGGGAGCCGCCTGGCGATTACCACAACGAATGCTCCAGTGTGTAGCTACATACTATGTAGGTTACTGCTATGTACGTATGCACTACGCGATTATGTAGAGATTGAAGCTGCCTAACTAAAAATACGAAAGCAAGGAATACAATATCAATTAATAGCAGAAAGGGACATCAATCCGTAGTATAGTATGGAGTACTAGATGGTCCTTTACGCTGTTGCTTGAGAACAAGTTCCGGCCCCTCGCCTGTCTGTGTGAAGCTCCTTCCGCCCTCTGATGTCCGTTCTAGCGATCCCCGTAGCGTTAGCAAGTCACCAGCGATGCGCTAGCTTGGCAATGGCGATGAAAAGGCCCAAAGATCATTTTCTGGCAGTACCCACCAATTCTTCGAAGAATTTGTGAGCGAATGTTCTGCGGATCAGGACATGGTCACGATGTGGCTACATATTAGTTAAGGGAGGCACCAAAGTCGAGCCAAGAGTAGACATAGCATAATATCGCCTTTATATATTAAAACTGTTAAGGTATTAATACATACGGCCACAGGCAGTAGAATACACTACGTCCTGTCTCATTCTTAATTATAGTTATTTAGTAGGCTAGAAATACAGTTATTAACTTAGAAAATAGTAAGCCTTACTTCTTTTTTTAAAGGTACTATAACTAGAAGCTCCCTACTAGTCCTATCTAAGTATAGTACTAAGAAAAAATAAAACCTACTAGTTTATAGTGTAACGGTGGCTCTTCTCTAATCCACAGTAAATCTGTTTCTTAGGAAGTGAGTCAGGTTGAATGCACCACAGGTGCAGATGAGCAGTATCGTAGCTTGAGTCACGTTTAGGAGATTACTCCCAATAGTAGAACTATTGCTTAGATTGATCAGTAGAGATCTAGACTACCTAACTATGGGAATACCTCCTCCTTAAGTACCCGTCTATCTCTCTACTGTAAGCTGGCTCATGAGGCTCATCTAACTATCCCAATGATCCTGCGTAGCTGGATCATCTCAATGATCCAATGAGCCATCACGTGACCTCATGTGCCAACTAGGCTGTGGGCGTGCCTACCCCGGCGGTCCGGCCCAGCCCCGCATTGATGCAGCAGCGTTCGTAACATATAGAGGTAGACACTATTTTAAATAGATGAATTTTTCTATAATAGTATTAGTATTAAGGACTAGCCCTACAGCTACTATAAGTAGGCATTAATATAAGGTTAAATTAAATCTCTTATAGAGGAAGAGATAGGGAGGTTATAATAAAGTGGCTACTATATATAAGGGGGAGTCCCCCCCCTATTAGCCCTATACTTTAGGCCACTAGGCTATTAGTCTAGCTCTCGTCACGTTCAGCTGTGGCCCCCTGCTTGTAGGCGCCAGCGATGCAGAGCAACCGGCGGAGGGGGGGGTGTTGCCTCCATGGCCGTGTCCTAGAGCAGGGGGGGTCCGGCGCTAGGGTGCTGTTGATTCTATAGACCGGCGCCGGCCCCGGAGGTGTTGCCTAGGCTCTTCGAGCAAACCGTTCCGGACGGTAATGGCATTATAGTGGGCCTCAGGGTAAGGCCGGCTAATTGTCGTTCCCGGTGGGAAGACGTCCCGTCTACTCCCCTATAGATAAGCTGTTAATTAGTAGATTAGTAGTTAGGTCAGTAACGACTAGCGAACACTGGCTATTGTATGTTTTTCCTTTTTGCCCTTTTTTGTTCTAATTATGCTGTGCAATTTCAATATTCAGTTCAATAGGTAAATGCTGGGGCAGCCTTCTCCGTCCTGTTCTGCCCAGTATCCCCATTCCCGATGAACCGTGCTGCCTCGTGTCGTGTTACTTGATCGTGGGCTGGGCTATGTGAAAGGGGCGCATTTTCTTTGCACTCAAAATTTTAGATCTGACATTTGCAATTATCCTGCGCACCAAACCACAGAATGACTCAACCAAGAAAGAGCATCAACAAAAACTCCAACAACGCCGCGCTATTCTTTCGACCGCCCCATAGTGATTTGATAGTTCAGTTTGAAACGACAAGGCAAAGGCAGATGTACATCCATGATCCATTTTCAAAAAACCCTCAACGCCCTTGTCTCTGCCTTTTCACTTCAGGGGCTCAGGTACAATGGCATTGACTCCATTGTAAGTCGACGACGAGCAGCAGCCTTCGTGGTGAAAGACTAGCCACGCCATGTTGTGAGCTGCGTTGGCCGTGTTCCTTTGTGTCGAGGTGGAAGGCTTGTCACAGATTCCGCTTCTATCGCCGGTGTGACACACGGCACGCCGTAAATTCTGCATGGCCTAACAAGGCCGGCGCTTGTTGCTGCAGCTCTGCCTTCTCAGTCTGCGCCACTCCGCTGTTCATTTGACAAGAACCCGAGAAGATGGGCGAAAATAGGGGCCGTTGACGGCGCCTTAGCCAGCCTCTTCCATCATCTGCATAAACTCGTCGAGGTTGACGCCACCTTTGCCCTCATGGTCGAGGTGGTCGATCATGCTGAGGATCTCCTCTTCGGTCAGGCTGCGATCCTCTTTGATGTCCTGGGCGAGATGGCGCATGTCGTCGACGGAGATGATGCCGTCCTGATCGTAATCGAACATGGCAAAGACTTTGGCGGCCTCCTCGCGCGGGTCGCGGCCAGCGATAAGCTTAGAGGCGCAGAGGCGGAACTGATCGAGATATAGGTGCAGTCGGTTAACGGGGCAGTCGCGGTCCTGCCAATCTGGCGGCACGGTGCCGTAGCTCTCGAGCTCGCGGTAGTATTGAGGCTTGGAAAGGTCAAATCCGAGCGCGGCGAGGGAGTGGCGGAACTCGTAGCTGTTGAGGTAGCCCTTTTTCTTCATGTCCATAAGATCGAACTGTAGTTTTTGGCGCGCTTGTGTGAGCTGGGCTTGTTGATTTTGTAACGGAACAGGTGGGCGCTTACCACTTCGTCAATGTGCTCACGGTCCTCGTCGGGGATGCCGGCGTAGTCCTCGTTGGACGACACCTGCGGCGGCGGCGGAGGTTGGCGCTGTCGCTGCTCCTGGCCGGTGCCGACGGCGGCGATGGAGCGCCCGGCGAATGGTCGCGGTGTCGCGGACTGCGAGCTGAAGCCCATTGGTCTGGAGGCCATGGTCGCGGCCGATGGGTTTGTCGATCGGGCAAGAAAACGGCTTGTTTGTGTCCAAAAAAAAAAAGGGAGCAATGCCCAGATGTCCAAACTAAGTGGGAACAAAGGGAAGCCAAGAAAAAGGATTAATGGAGATTCATAAACACAAATTGTTTGTAACAAAGTTGCGACGCAGCAAGCAAGAACGGCGAGCCCGTCTGATTGATAATCTTGCGCGTGGGAAACAAGGTTGAGATGAGAGAAGGCGGTAAACGCTCCCACGATGGCCGATGAGGAACAACTGGCTGGCGGGTTTGGTCACTTTTGCGACGCGACCTGGCAAAAGAGACGCGTGCGACTGACTGAAGTGGGCAGAGGTGCGCCTCGCAGTCACACGCATGTACTTTGCTGGGCGGTAGCTCACAGGCAGAAGTAGGCAGCAGGCCACCTGCCAAAAGGTTACCAGCTCTAAGCGCTGTGATTAGTGCAGGTTAGTCAGCACAGCTCACCTGGCCAATGGCAGCAGTGAATTGACCAGTGGAGGCAACAGCCTGAGGAAACGCCTAAGAACGCCTAACCCAGCTGGGTTGCACCGTGCACAAAGGCTGCCTGGGCACCTGAAGACCTGAAGGGAATAAAACCCCCCCAGCACACCCAAGAACACATGGGCACCCACTCTAACTAACTGAACTTCCCCCGAAAGCTGCACGGGAAAAAAACGAAGGCTGGCTGGGGCGAACCTCTGAACCTCAACCCATCCAGGCTTCGTGCTAGAGCGAAACCTCTCGCCACATCACATCACCAAAGCTAAGAGGTCACCTCTCCGCGGCGCGTCTTCGCCATTCACTTCTTGTCCTTCATCTACTCTGGCAGAAGTGTCTTTTTTCGTGGCATCTCAAGCATTCATTCTTTGATTTTCTTTTTTTGTCTTCTTCCTTGCGGCGCGTCAGCTACGTGGCGAGCAAGGTCTCTCAGGCCGAAATTTCTCTCCTACGCGCGCAAACGAGCAGCTGGTCAGAACCGCGCGCCAGTCGTTCATCCCAGCCCATCACCCCATCCATCTACGCTCCCTCGAACGAATCAGCAACATCTTTGCGGTCGATGAATCTATAACGCGCGACTCGTATCGATCATCGATTTTTTCCCTCGTTCAGGTTCAGCAAGGTCTACTGGTCAGCAAGCTTGCCTCAACACCTCCTGACGGCACCACATCTGATCCCCCTGCCCATCTCCAGCGACCGTAATCATGTCGTTTGGAAGTGGTGGCTTCGGTGGCTTCGGCCAAAACAACAACCAGCAACAGGCCTCTGCTTTTGGCACCTTCGGCCAGAATAACAATACCAACACAGGTACGTTCCACCAGCCCACTTCGCGCCTCCATCTCCTGTCGAAGCCATCCCTACTATGGGTGATGTGCTGACCAACTCTTGTTTTTTTCACCCAGGCTTCGGTGCTGCTGCAAACACAGGCGGAGGCTTTGGCTCCAACACCGGCGGTGGCGTCTTTGGTACCAATACCAATACTGGCGGTGGCTTCGGCAGCGGAGGTAAGCTCCCTCAGCTTTGGCTCCTCAGGCCAGCAGTGCGAGCTCGGTGACGACACGAATCGATGCAGAGTACTAACTTCTACAGGCGGCTTCGGTACGAACAACAATACCGGTGGTGCCTTTGGCAGCAAGCCCGCCTTTGGCGCTCCTGCGACGACGACTGGGAACTCCATGTTTGGCGGCACGACTGCCCAGAATTCTACGACCAGTGCGTTCGGGGGGTTTGGCGCCACCAACACCGCCAACACAACCTCGGGCTTTGGCGCCAATAACAACACCTCAGGTGGTTTGTTTGGCGGCAGCAAACCTACAGGCTTTGGCACCACGACTACCGGCAATTCTCTCTTTGGCGGCGGCGCCAACAACACCACCACGACTGGTGGTTTCGGTGCCGCCTCAGGCTTCGGAGCAAGCAATGCTGTAGCCAGCGGTGACCCCCCGGGTACTGCAGTCGCCCCTTTCCAAGCTTTCACCGAGAAAGATGGCTCTACAGCGACTGCAGCATCCAACGCCTTCCAAAATATTTGTTTCCAGGATCCTTACAAGAAGTGGTCTCCCGAAGAGCTTCGACTGGTCGACTACCTACAAGGCCGAAAACATGGGAACGCCAGCGGGACGGGCGCGTTCGGCGTTTCCTCTGGGTTTGGCGGCGCGTTCGGCGCGACGAACAACAACAATCAGACGGGCGGCGCCTTTGGTTCCAATACCGCCAACACTACGACCGGCAGTGGCCTTTTTGGTAACACTAACAACACCAATACAGGAGGCGCTTTTGGCTCCGGAGGAACCAATGCTTTCGGAGCCGCCGCCGCCAACGCTAACACTGGCGGCGGCTTGTTCGGCAACGCGGCGAAGCCTGCTACCGGTACTGGCATGTTTGGTAACACCGCTGCGCAGACTCAGACCGGCAGTAGTCTTTTTGGGGGCGCCAATCCCAATACCACGAGCGGGTTCGGTACAAACAACAATGCCAGTAACACATTTGGAGCCCCTGCGAACAACACCGGAGGTGGTATTTTCGGCAATACAAACCAGAACAAGCCTGCTGGAACCGGTTTCAGCTTCGGCCAGAATGCCACCAGCAATAATGCCGGCTCAGCCTTTGGCGGTGGCAATACGGCCAGCCCCTTTGGGGCCGCAAACACCGCAAACACTGGCGGCGGTCTCTTTGGTAGCAGCAATACCAATACCCAGCAAGCGTCCGGTGGTCTTTTCGGAAATACCAACAATACACAACAACAACAACAACAACAGGGCAACACCGCCTCCCCCTTTGGTGGTTTTGGCCAACAAAACCAAACGCAGCAGTCTGGTGGCAGCCTTTTCGCAAACCAGAACAAGCCCGCGACAGGTGGACTCTTTGGCAGTGGCGCTGCGACTACCACCAACAATTCCGGTGGCGGTCTCTTTGGCAATGCCGCCAATACTACCCAGCAAGCTGGCTCTGCATTTGGACAGAACACCTCTGGAGGTCTGTTCGGAGCCGCAAAGCCTGCTAGCGGCGGTGGCCTCTTCGGAGCCAGCACCAATGCCCAGACCAACACCGGTGCTGGTGGCCTCTTCGGCAATGCTGGCAATAACGCCCAGCAGAACACATCTGGCAGTCTCTTCGGTGCCGCAAACAGCAACCAGCAGAAGCCTAGCGGTCTTTTCGGCTCCTCGACGCAAGCCACTAGTGGCAGCGTATTTGGCACACAGAACAATCAAGCGCAGGGTTCGTCGCTCTTCGGCGCAGCCAACAATCAGCAGAACCAGCAAGGCTCAGCCTTTGGTGGATCCCTGCTTGGCAATTCTCAGCAAAATGTTAATGCTCCCCAGGGCCTCACTGCCAACCTAAACGACGTTTCTGCTTACGGCACGCCAGCTCTTTTCTCCAATCTTGGTGGAAACGAATCCCCCAACCCCGGACCTCTTGCCACGCCGCTCAACGGCAACTCTAAGCCTCGCCGGAGCTCTATTCTTCCTATGTACAAGCTTGCCCCAGCTTCCGCTTCTCGCTTCGCCACTCCCCAGAAGCGCGGCTTTGGCTTCTCCTATAGCAGCTATGGTACTCCCGGAGGCAGCCCTGCTAGCCTCTCTAGCACACCAAGCGGTCTTGGACGCAGTCTCCTTGGATCTAGCTCTAGCGGAAGCCTGAGCAAGAGCATGTCGACGAATAACCTGCGGCGCACCTTCAATAGTGAGGATAGTATCCTCGCTCCAGGTGCATTCTCTTCGAGCTCCAATACCCGCTGGTATGGAAGCACTGGATCCAAGAAACTTGTAATCAATCGCGAGATCCGCAGCGATCTGTTCACCACCCCCCAGAAGGATAAGTCTGTGGCCGAAGGCAACGGCACTGGTCGCAAGCTTCTGAAGCGTGTCAGCTTCGACACGAGCAATGTTGACTCGGAGGAGACCACGACGCCGGTCCGCACTCTTCCAGCGCCATCCAACGACAGCCCCGGCACAGAAGTGGACGATACCCCTCGCCAGCCTAAGCCTATCACCAATGGTGCCAAGTCGCCTGAGATGGAACAGGTCTCCAGTGGCAAGGAGCTTGCCGTTGTGCAAGAGGACAGTAATGCCACTGCTAATGTTGCTTCTGAGAACACCCTAAGCAACGGTTTTGATAATCTGCCTGGCCAGTACTGGATGAAACCGAGCAAGGAGGAGCTGCAAGCTATGAATCGCATTCAACGACAGAAGGTTGATGCATTCACAGTCAGTCGTGACAATGTCGGTGAAATCAGGTTCAAGGTTCCGGTCGATCTGAGCAGCATAGATTTGGACGAGATTTGCGGTGGCATCATCCAGCTAGAACCACGCTCCGCGACAGTCTATCCTATCGCGGCCAAGAAGCCTCCCATGGGCAAGGGCCTCAATGTTCCCGCCAGAATCTCTCTGGAGCAATCTTGGCCTCGTGGCGGGCGTGAGAAGCGTGTCACAAGCGATCCCAGACGGTTTAATAAGCACATTGAGCGCCTGCAACGCATTCCCGATACTACTTTCGAAAGCTACGACAAGGACAGCGGTGTCTGGGCCTTCTCTGTTGAGCACTTTACGACCTATGGCTTGGACGACTCTGACGACGATGAATCGGACGCTGAAATTGAAACCTCACGTGAGATGGCAGTTGATGCAACTCCTCAAGCCAAGACCCGCGACGAAACGACTGAAGTGTTGAGCGAGCGCAGCAGACAACTTTTTCGCCGCAAGGCTGTACCTGGTGCCTTTGATGAGCATGAAGATGTCTATGAAGATGATATGCCCCTAGAGCAGTCTTTTTTAGGGGTTAGCTCCGCGGATTCTGCGCCCAATGAAGTCAGGCTGTCTCTAGAAATGGAAGACGTTGCTGACATGGACGAAGAATATGACGAGTCCGATGACGAAGACATGGCGAGAGCTTTAGTCGGACCGCATCACGCCGCGGAGCTCCTCGAAGCCTCGCCGGAGGATGAGCAGGATGCCAAGAGAGGAATCCCAGGCGGCATCCTTCGAGCCCGAATGCGAGCCATCAAGGACTCAGCTGGTCCTGTTCGGCTCGAGGTGCCTGATGGCGATGACTGGACGGAGATGTTACGAAAGACTGTTAGCCCGATGAAGCGTGACAGACAGGAGCTTCGAGAATTGAATGAATCGCCGTCGAAGAATGCTAGTGGCGAGCAGGACGACAACCTCATCGGCTCTGTTTGGGGACGACGCAGCATGGGCCGCCCAGACAAGAATGAGAACTTAGTAGCAAACGCGGCATTGGATAAGAGTCGCGGGTTTGCCACCAGTATCGACTTGATGAACTCATTGTTTGAGAAGCCCAAGCCTATCCGCGAAAGTGTGCGCGTTTCTCGCCCAGGAATTGGATTCCCCCAGGTTGGTGCCCTTGTTACAATCTGATTTCTTTTCTTGTCGTCTGCCCAACGGAATTCTCTCGAGAAGAACAATTTGTACCTAGTCTTGATTCCCAATAAATGCTAAAAAAATTTCGTTTCAATAGTGGCCATATAACCGACACGACAAGTCCTTCGACGCGGATGAGAAAGAACTTGCCTCTCAGCGGACTCCAAGAGTCACCTGGGGACCAGACGAAACGATAGTCGTCACTCAACCGCACGAGAAGCTCCAGTTACGGCGACTTCTCCGCGATGATGTTGATATTCTGAGCGTCCAAAAAACCAGCATCCAAAGCGAGAAGCAGAGTATTTGCCTGGCCAAGTTTTCTAACCAGGTACGCCTAATTCTACGTAGAAGCACGACGGTTTACTGATTAGTCAAATAGTCATCCACGAAGTTCTTGCACTCTCAGGATCGGCTGACCGACGTCCACATGCTTGGCGGAGCACCTTTCGCTGTGCTGCGTCCGACTGGCCTCAAGGACATTTTCAATCATCAGGATATGACCGACCCTGCTGTTCTGCAAGAACAACAGGTGTGGGAGCTTGCCAACATCCTCTTTGGCCATGAATCTACCCCCAACATGCCTGTGCACATGGCGCGTAGGAAGAAGCTCGCTGCGTTTTGGACCGAGCTTGTCGAACAAGCCTCATCTGCAGCCATCGCCAAAGCTGTCTCGAGCGAAGAAAAGGCAGTCACTTGTCTTGCTGGTCATCGTATCACAGAGGCTTGCAAGTACCTTTTGGAAGGAAGAAACTTTTGTGTTAGTACTCTAGTGTCTTTGATTGATACTAGCGACTCAGCCAAAAAAGAGATGAAGGAACAGCTCAAATCCTGGCAAGACTCCAAGATGCTGTCTGAATTCCCGGAAGCCATCCGAACAATCTACGAGATACTAAGTGGCAACGTGTCAGTTTGTGAGGGTCTAAAGGACGTGCCAGTCGAGGATCGCATGGACTCCTTTGTCATTTCGAAAAAGTTTAGCCTTGACTGGAGACAGGCCTTTGGTATGCGGCTGTGGTATGCGCTGAACAAGGACGAGGACGCTCGGTCTGCGGTTAAGAAGTTCAAAGATGATATTTACCAGGACAAGGAGGACCTCCCAGAGCCGTGGTACGTGGAGCAGGGCGTTACAACTATCTGGTTTGATGCAGACTCCGGCAGGCGCCAGAATCTTCTCTGGGGCTTGCTTCAATTGTACGCTGAGCCGGACACGGATCTAGAGGCCATCCTTCGACCCGAAAACTCTCAGTTGTCACCTCTCGATGTCCGCCTCACCTGGCAACTCGGACAGGCTCTTTTGGCAACCGGCAACATCGCATATGGAGAGCACGACATCATTAAAGCTGATGCTGCAACTGTTGCTTATGCGGCTCAGCTGACCAGTGCTAGCGAATGGTTAGAGGCCACCTTCGTCCTGCTGCATCTCCGTGACGCGGGCGCTCGCAAGCAAGCTCTCCAGGAGCACATTTGTCGCCATGCTGACCGCATCGGCGCTGAGAACGGACCCAACTTCACTACGCTTACCGAGAAGCTCCTGATTCCTGCTAGCTGGATCTGGGAAGCTCTTGCGCTGTTCATGCGCAGTGTGAGGAAGGATGCCTCCGGCGAGGTGCAGTGTCTGCTCCGCGCCGGCTCATATGAGGAAGCGCACCGTGTTTTGGTGAACCAGGTGGCTCCGCAGGCTATCGTGGAGCGTAACTATGCCGGTCTATCGGAGCTCATCTCGCAGTTCAAGGGCCGCCAGGATAGCATATCGCAATGGTCCCTTGGGGGTGAAATATATGGCTACTTCCTCAATTTGATGCAGCACCGCAGCAAGAATGAGAGCGTACCGTCTACGCTACTTGAAAGGTTGCTCGTTGGACTGAACTCCATGAGAGAGAGCGGTCCCGACAGGGAAATTCTACGATATGCCGCGGTTTCGGACATGGCTGACGAAACGGCAAGGGAAATTCTCAAGATGGCCCAGAAGAAGCAGGTACGTCGTTGCATAGTACAGTAACTCGCTCTCCCTACATATAGAAGCTAACATAGTCTGGCAGGATATGGATCTGCGGTCAAGAATCTTGCGACTGCCGCTGACACAGGACCGACTTCTTGCCTATTCTGTCGACCTAGGTCTCGATAGGTATCGCGAGGTCATGTCTCACTGAAGGAAAAATGGGTTCACGAGATTGAAGGGAGTTGTTATTTTTTGTTTCTTTGATAATACAGGTGTAGCCTAAAGGGCGCAATGGCAATTTCTTTTGGGAATGTAGGAATGGAGGAGAATGGGCAAAAAATCGGCGAAGTTGCGTCTGCGTCTGCGTCTGCGTTGCTGTGCCAGTCTTGCATTGGTTCTTCTTTCAAATCATTTTATCCCCTTGCTGCTAAATTGCAAGGTGTTTTTCGGGGGGAGAATTCGCAGACAAAAAGCTTTATGTAGAATACTTATAGTAAAATTAGATAGGATATTATTTCTTCTTCAAAGTGTCTTGTTTTGGCGGCTTGGTCATTGTCGTTCACCTTGGGTGTGTATGTCATGGTTAACGTAAAAGCCGGCTCCGTTTGTCTCCGTTAACCAGCAGACACTTTAGCAAAGAAAGCAAAAGCATTCAACAATTCCAATTGATATCATACCCCGTATCCTGACCAAGTTTCGCCCTATCATCGTACAAAAGTCGATCCAGACGCCCCTGTACCTCCTAAAAAGCAAAGAATTCGCAAATCCAAAGCGCCATCACCGTAGTAAATATACGAATACAACATAGTTTGTGTCCATGGACATTACTCTTCCTCGCCAGAAGCGTCGACGTCCCCTTCCTCTTCTTCCTGCCCTTTCCGTTCCTCCCCTGGCCCCTTGTGTTCTTCTTCTCCTTCCGCTACCGCCACTTGCTCCTCCTCCCCATCACCATCACCGTCCTCTCGCCTTTCGCTTTCTCGCTGGTCCTCCTCTTCCTCACCTTGCTCGTTGTCGTCCTCTTCGTCCTCTTCGTCCTCTTCGTCCTCTTCTTCGTCGTCATCTTCCGCTTCTGGCTCCTCTTCCTCGTCTTCGTCCTGATCGGCACCAGACTCTACGGCGGACTCCTCCTCCTCTTCCTCCTCCTCCTCGACTTCGTTGACAGCGGCGCGGCCGCCATCCCCGTTCGGCCCAAGCAGCTGAACCTCCACCTGATCCTTGGCGGACTCCTCCTCCTCTACAGCCACACCGACGCTGTCGCCGTTGGTCTGGGCGTGATGGGCCGCGTCGGGTTTCCAGCCGGGTGGCAGCCCTGGGCCGCTGTCCGCGTTGCCGTAGTCCGACTTCTTAGTTCCCTTAGGGAAGCGGCCTGGGCCGCGGCCGGTGCCGCCGCCTTTCCGCCGGGAAGAGCTACTCCGGGCGCGGTTCAGCGGCGGCCGACCACGTTTTCGAGGGACGCCGTTGTTGGTCGAGGCGCGGCGCCGTCGGTCGCGACGGTTTCCACCGACGGCAGGGAAGACTTCAAATCGAGTGGGCGGGATGTCTTTGTAGGCGGCGTCCCACGTCCTCACGACATCTTCCTCGTCAGCATCCCGCATCAGCTCATCCTCAGGCTTGATGGGCTTCTCTTCCGGCTCAGCTTTTTCAATGGATGCTGCCGGCGCCGGTACGGGTTCCTCTTGATCAGCAGCATCTTGAGTCTTATCCCCATTCGTCTGCTCTGACTTTTCGGTGCTCTCACCATTCGACCCCTCCAACAACTTGGCTTCATCGTCCTCGCGCGGAGCAATGGCGTTGATTGGGGGTCCAAATTCGAAATTAACGGCATTGGATCTACCCATCACGTATGGGGTCCAAACCAAGGCCTCGGATTTGAGCCTAACGTAGCCTTTGCTTTCCCATTTTTCCCAGTAACTTCGGCAATATTCCAGGTCTATTCGGAAGGCGTAAAGTTTTGTTTCGGGGTCACGGACGAGAGCTCTGAGCCCCTCGAGCGCAGAAATGACATCATCCGGCGTCATGCCAGTGTCATCCGACATCTGTTTGATACTTAGTCCGTTCGTTTTGAACTCTGCGGATTCAACTATGTCCAGAAAGTAACGACAGAGGCGGAGCCGCCAGTAGTTCCTGTATGACACCAGACCCATGTCGGAGAGAGGTTTCTCTGGCGAGCCAGTCTTCTTCTCGACTCTCGTAAGTAGGTAGGAAAAGTCAATCAGCAAATTGCCATAGCCTTTGCGTTGGTGAATCGGGAGAGTCAAAATACACGAAACGTTGTTCTGACTGCTTGCTCGTTTCTCCTTCGAAAAGTAGCCGACAAAATGATATCCGCAGTCATCGTATTCGCACAAGACGTAAAATAGGAAAGGCTCCACGTCATAGTACAGCGTCTTGGAGCCAAGAAATAGCTTGGCCAGAAGACACAGGTTCTGGCAATACACTGGGTGCTTGCGGCCGTCCACTTCAAATACTGAAATTGATTCATGCCTGTAAATCTCGTCGCCAGGTGGGTGCTTCGTACCGCATTTCAGCTTATGTCTCCACGCGACATAATCCGAGTTCATATATTTGAGACAGAATTCGCATATGTAGAGGACTCGGTTTCTGCTATACTCGGCAGGGTATGGCGCCGCGTACCAAGTTTCAATCTCCCAGCCGCCAAACTCGATACATTCGATTTGGCTCGCGTGGTCGCTGTTCTTCTTGTGGCGTCGCACAGGCATGTCTTGTTCTGCTTGCATCGCGAGCACACGAGCCCGCCACTCATCTTCCGCTTGTTGCTTCGCTTTGTCGAAGCGTTTGCGGTCGTCAGCTGTGGGAAATGTCTTGGACGTGTCTGCTTCCGCCTCTGTCAAGATGCCACCGTACGGCTTGCCCTTTGCTTCATCCGTCTCTTTATCAAAGAATGAATAGAAGGGTTGAGAGTACACATCTGAGCTGAATGGTGTCGGCATGGCAGATATCGGTACGTCAAATCCAACCGAAGAGGATTGCTGGGCAATTGAGCGTGGCGTTCGGACAGTGCTGGGACGCTTCCGGTCCCGGCGCCGACGGGAGAGGAACTCCTTGAGGTTTCCAGGCCGAACGTGGAACTTCAGAATCAAGGAATGTCTCGAGCGCTTCTCCGTTGTAACGAGACGCTGCTGAGTGGACTTGTGTCTGGGCGTGCGACCCCGCTTGTGACTGTTGCCATCCGTATCCTGTGTCGAATTGGCTTCGGTGGACAAGTTCCGCCGACGCTTTCGGACGGTAATAACGTCATCCTCGTCTTCATCTTGCAGCGGTGAGGATTTTCTCTTGCGACCGGCGCGAGACACAGTGCCAGTGCCACCGCTTACTTGTGATGCTTTTGCGTCGGAAGCAGCCACGCTGTCAGCTTCGGCATCGTCTTCGTCATCAGATGATTTATCGACGCAATCTGGACATTTCCAACTTTGTGCGTCATTGTCTTCTGTCATCGCTGCTGCTTCGCGAGCACATTGCTGGTGCGCGTGGTCACTGCATCGTTTGCACGACAGGTATGCTTCAAAGTCTTCGCTCGGGTCATCCTCCTCATCTTGCTTGCAAAAAATACAGGCATTGCTGGGGCCAGCGACGGACGCATCTTCTTCTTCCCGCTCGTCAACTTCTTCCTCCCAGGCAGCTCCCTCTTCGTCGTCGGCCTCGCTCTCGTGCGTTGAAGCTTCGCTGTCGCCTTCATCGTCGGATTCGGGTCGTATTTTGACAAGATCGACATCCTCATCTTCATCAGAATTCCCCTCTTCCCCTTCTCTTTCTTCTTCTTCTTTTTCTTCTTCGTCGTCTTCGTCATCGTCGCCGTCAGTCGGGGGCTTTGCGCTGGCAACTATTGATTCGTGTCCGGCGTTGATTTGTTGTTGAAGAAGGTCATTGTCTTCCTCTCCCTCGGCATCCTCATCCCCCTCTTCGATTTCTTCTCCGGATGCATCACGGTCGCTCATTTCGTCGTCGCCATTACGGAAGATTGCATTCGCTACGCCAGGGCCAGATGAGGAGTCGTACGCCCCATCCTCTGAGATCATGACGCTTTGTTGGAGCTGTTCTTCCATGTCTTGGGCGCTCGCCATTCTGTTTTCGGCTAACGAGTTCCACTGACGAGTTCCAAACTATTATTGCGTGCGCATATCGGTCAATTTCGTAGCCTGCGACTGGTTCTAGGACTGCGACACGCTGCAGGCATCCTGTCGTTGCGACGGCGAGGTTCTCATCAACGAACGAATAGGCGAGCTTCATAGACTTCGAGTCAGCCCGGGGCACTTGATGCAGCACTTGGAATCTTACCGTTCAGATGCAGCTTGCGCAATCCTTGCCTTGTTGAGGGAGTTGGTCGCGAATGTGCCCTAGGACAGGCTGTCGCGTCTCCGATCCTCTTCACTGTGCCACTGTCGCGGTTAGCGGCGTACAGTGCGCGCGATCTGATGCCTCGTGCTGACGGGGCATTTTCCCACCTAACGGACCGTGCGCATTTCTCCCTGCGCTAACTGTACAGTCGCGCAGCACCCGTCTCTTTGTAGATTGTGGAAGCCTCAGGCATGCACTGTCCTGAACTAAAGTCAAGGACCGCGAGCCTTTGACCTTGACGGAATTGTCACCCGCCCGCTTGACAGGACAACAACCGCAGCCACGCTATCGATCCGCTCACCAGCTGAAGGGAGGCTCTTCTTCAGCAGTCAATTAAATTGATCCTTACGCATTGATCTACTCCGCGCCGACGCCAAATCGCAAACATGCCTGTCCCCTTCGAGACTCTGCTCCCGTACGCCATCATGGTTGTCGTATGTTGTCGATAATAGCTGCCTCCGATACGGTTTATGGAAGTTAATGGGCTCGCTCTAGATGTTTGGTGCCACCGGAACCGGTCTCGCTGCTATCCGCACCTGGCAAAATGACGGCAAGCGTCCTCGCTATTCCCTCGACCAGTGGGACAAGGTGAGCCTCGCTCATTTCTCGATCTCGGATTGCCTGTGCATCAATTAGCGCTAACATGCAACATAGCAAATGATGGAGCGCGATAACCGTCTCACAGGGAGACCGCGTGGGCAAACGGACAAGCCCGAGGCTCCATTTGGGTTCGAATACTCGAATGGGTGGAAGGTTAGCTTGAGCGAGTCTCTTCCTACTCACAGCCCATCATGCTAACTCTTGGCAGCTCGAAAAGCGCTACAACTAGACGAATCGAACAAGTCGCAGAATCGAATAAATGTTCATCCACTGGGTGCGATGGCGAACTGCCGCCACATGTACATACTGAAGCCTTGTCAGCTGGGGGCCATACCGGCGATAATAAAAAAAATACAAAAATTAGAAACATTACTCGTCATGCAGGATATCGCAAGTCAGTTTCTTTGTCCAGAAATGGCCAGTGAAGTTGGGCGGACCTCGGCTGGCGTTGTCATTATATTGCTATATCTGCTCTATTTTTATTGAGTCGCTCTACCAATGTGCATGCCTGGCAAATTTCTTGACTCGACATATAGCCGCATCGGATACAGCGACCGAGGGTCTGCAGCTGACCGGGTACTGCCTCTCGTCTTTGGCCTTTGCGCTGTCTTGGTCGGATTGGAAGCTTGACCGTGTCCTCCTTGGGTTTGGATATGACCTCGGTCTCAAGTGCCGTATTGTCATTTTGTTGCTTGATGCTAGCCTCCATTTGCGCCAACTCACTTCCAGATGTTGCCGCATTCGCAGAGCCGCAGCCACCGCTGCCCTCGCTATCGTCACACGCGCATGCTGCCTGGCCCTTGTCCGGGGTCAGGCGGGCCAGATCTTCGCCGCTGCGGACGATATCAAGAATAGCACTGGGGCGGACTTTCTCTAGGTTCTTAATTAAACTTCTCGCCGTCCCACGGAAGGCCTCGGGGCTGTAGATGCATTCGGTGCTGAAGTAGTCCAGCTTTTTGTGGTGTGCGTAGAGAACAATCTCCTTTTCGTACGCGTATTTGAGCGGCTTGCTTCTCTTGACGTCGTTAGATGAGTTCCCTGTAACAATACTGGTGCTTCTTGAGAGGCGGGAAAGGTCTCCCCGGAGGAGGTTCATGAGGACTGTTTCGGCGACATCATCCGCGTTGTGTCCGGTGACAACATGCTTGATCTCTAGCAATTTCGCGCCGCGATCAAGTGCTTGTCGTCTAAAAACACCACAGTATGTGCAGTTTCCCTTCTTTCCAATGGTCTCGACAACTTGGTCCATGGTCCAGCCATATAGCGTGTCGTAACCAACAATCTTGAGGGGCATTTCATATTGAACCGCGTTGCGTTTCACGGTTTCTAGAGAATCATCTCTGTATCCCTTGATACCTTCGTCTACGCTGAGCAGCACGAGGTCAAGGCCATAATCATGTCTTTCGTTCAGTGTCTTGAGAACCGATGCAAGAACTGTTGAATCTTTGCCACCCGATGCACCTATGGCGACCTTTTCGCCTCGTATAAATAACCTGGATGAAATAATCGTATGGTGCACTTCATCTTCAAACACTGCTAGGAAGCAATCTTTGCAGAGCTTGTGGTGGTTCTTCGGCCTCTTAACGACGGCCTTTTGTGAGTTACACCTCATGCATGGTGAGGGTGGCATGGTAAAATCTTTCGAGTAAGAGTGGACGGTCCGGGGACAGGGCAGAAGATCCCGGAGGGAACCAGGATCTACCAGGAAGATGTATGCAGCAAGGCGACGAAGTCTAGCCTTCCCACTCAAATGCTGAACAGCGTATCGCGTACGATGGGAGTTGAGTCACACGTAGAGAGGACTGCCACAAATTTTGAAGCGCCGAACATTGTACAGGGTAAGCCACTTCGCGCCACGCGCATCACAACTTCACGTGATGCACAGCCACAGCATCACCAGCCACGGGTAGAAGCGAAGAAAGGTGGACCCACAAACTGTGGCACTGGCCCACTGAAAGCCCTAATTTTTCGCCCACCAGCGCAATTTCAGTCTTGTCTGCTTTTCACCCCATCCGCAAAGGGCCTCTTGACTTTTGCTTAAGCACACCCCAGAGCATCACCGCCCAACAGTCAAAATGGTGAGTACTTGAACATGGAATAACCTCTCTATCTCTCATGGCCGCAGTTTTGTGAGTCAACTGTGCTTCGGCACAATTGATGCCGTGCGCTCGAAGCGATACCGATTCACCCTCGTCGTCGCCGGCGCCGGCAACAATACCACACACATCCCGATCGAAATTTTTTCCTCCACGATATCACATCGAGAAGGATTGGTTTCAATGGGATTGACTTGGCTGGAGATCATCGCATACGTGCCGGCGCAGAAATGCAATGGCCGATGCGTGTCTCGTTTAGAGTTCAGAGAAGACCTGCTTGGTAGAGCACAATGCTGATGTCTTCTTTTCTCAATGACAGCCCCCCAAATCTGGCAAGAAGGCCGCCCCCGCCCCTTTCCCTCAGGGAAAGGCTGGCTCCAAGAAGGCTCCTAAGGTATGTCGCATTTCCAAAACCTGGTCGTCGACTCGACATGCCGCTAACCAGCGCAGAACCCTCTCATCGAGCGCCGCCCTCGCAACTTCGGCATCGGCCAGGACATCCAGCCCAAGCGCAACCTGTCCCGCATGGTTAAGTGGCCCGAGTACGTCCGCCTCCAGCGCCAGAAGAAGATCCTTCAGATGCGCGTCAAGGTCCCCCCGGCGATCTCCCAGTTCTCCCACGTCCTCGACAAGAACACCGCCGCTCAGGCCTTCAAGCTCCTGAACAAGTACCGCCCCGAGACCAAGGCTGAGAAGAAGGAGCGTCTCCTGAAGGAGGCCACCGCCATCAAGGAGGGCAAGAAGAAGGAGGACGTCTCCAAGAAGCCCTACACCGTCAAGTACGGTCTCAACCACGTCGTCGGCCTCATCGAGAACAAGAAGGCCTCGCTGGTCCTGATCCCCAACGACGTCGACCCCATTGAGCTCGTCGTCTTCATCCCCTCTCTCTGCAAGAAGATGGGCGTCCCCTATGCCGTTGTCAAGGGCAAGGCCCGTCTCGGCACGGTCGTCCACAAGAAGACCGCTGCCATCCTCGCCGTCACCGAGGTCCGCTCCGAGGACAAGACTGAGCTCTCCAAGCTCGTTTCCACCATCAAGGACGGCTTCATGGACAAGCACGATCAGGCCCGCAGACAGTGGGGTGGTGGTATCATGGGCGCCAAGGCCCAGATGCGCACCCTGAAGAAGCAGAAGGCTCTCGAGGCTGCCACCAAGATTTAAGCAATGTAATACCCGTTCATGCATTGGGTTTTTTAAAACGGGATCAACGGTGTTGCCAGGTTAGGTCATGACAAAAAAATGAATAAAATGTTAAGCCATATGATCTATCAACGTATTTGCCAATGTGAGCGCTATGCGATGCGTACACAACGCTATAGCTGTGATTGTTTCGTCAACAACATATCCTACTAACTACCTACTATCGATCTGACCTTTTTTTTTTTTTCGATGAGCGTGGTTGCAAACTGAATGTCTTTGGCTCGGCTAATCCTGAGCTGTGAAGCGCTTGCTAGTTAGACGTCGCGACGACTGCTCGATCGAGTACAGGATTGGAAAATCTAGCCTTAACATGCCTTCCCCATACCCAAGCTCTCTATGCAAGTTCATAACAATATTGCCCTGGACGTTATCACTGTCGATGGTATCGTCATTATCGCCACTATTCTCACCACTGTTATCAGCATCGTCACCGTCATCACACATTGCCTATATTGTGACATCAGCAAATCAGCGAGCCTGGGGTGACTCAAATGTCTTTCTATCGTACGAGATGTATAAAAGAGCCAAGATGCCCCCCAGTCAATGGCTTGTACAGGTGGATGCATGCCAAAGCCCTCGTACCAACTGGTGACGTGTCTCTGGCTGAGCTCCTAGAGATTGACAGTCATTTCGAGGATAGTTTGTTTTCTCTCTAATCTGAATCTTCGCCAATAATGATGAGGGGCCAAGGAGGAGACCTTTCGTCAGACTCCTCCCTCACAAATGCTTCTTGCGTATCTGCAGGGCAGATATTGGGTCGATAACCTCCTCTAACAAACGTGAGTGGTAAATAGCATCGCAGTTTTGCTCAACGATTGCTTGTTTGCAAAGAAGAGCAAATCAAAAGTACAGTCGGCATGGGCGCATCTTTGCACAAGCTTCTGCATTAGGCCTTCGATTACTGCTCCCGTAGCCTTCCCGTTTCGGCAGGGGTCAGAGCAGAGGACTACAGCATATGTGCATACAGATGGATGGGTTTTACAACGTGGCACTGTTCGAGGCGATACTCCGTTCACTGTGCTTGGCGAATGGGCGACGCGTGTGGAGTTTCCTGAAACCATAGGAGGATGAAGACGAGTCGTCTAGCTTGTGAGCCGAATGCAAAGCGAGGCCAGCGCATATGGAAAGAGCTTGATTGTTAACATAGGTCAAGTTAAAAAAAAAAAAGCAAAGAGAAGGGGGCCATTGACCTAATGGTATAATACTGCCCACGCTGAATATGCACAGGCGACCGACGGCAGTGCTGTCCAAGTAGACAAGGGAGCTACAGGGTACGTACATACATAGCTGCAGTTTGCACGGAGCCGGCTCGGAGCCGGTTGGGCATTTTGCCTACTGTTGATTTTTTGGCGTGTGCTTGCAACAAACTAAATAACTCGTGAAGAAATTTATTTAGGCTCCGTCTCGGTTCCGGAAAGCTCGGCGATATTCCCGAGAAGAGGAAGGAAAAAAAACACCTTTTAGTTACTAAGTCAATGGGGCAAGGCTATCAAGGAAGGCTCGCTCGCTCGCTGCTTCGCCTTTAGTGAGACCCGCGATGATTACTGTCATCTTTTCGTTCGGCTGGCTAGCCACCTAGGCTGACAGCTGTCATGTACGCTTCGTTCGAAAAAAAAAAAATCTTCATTTCATTCCATCATCGTCTATCTGTATTCCCAATTGGCGCCATTCGAAAACTTCACGCGATCACATATCGTGGGTTTGTTAGAATCCGGTACATTCTTCGTCTCCCCACGCTGCCCATTCTCAGCCACCAAGAAAGAAAAAAAAGTCGGTGGCAGACTTAGCGGTCATCATTGGATAGGGAAGCTTTCAATTTGATACAGAGCCCTCCTCCGTCTGTTCTCTCGTGTTTAAGTCGCGGCCATGGGTGACGATGCTACAGCCATCACCAGCCACAGCGCCACTGCCGCCGCCGGTATCTGCGACAGTAACAAGATCGCCGTCACCGCCAACGGCATCAACGGCGCCGCATCACCACCACAGCCGACCGGCGCGGCCATCCTCCCGGTCCTCATCGTCGGCGCCGGCCCCAGCGGCCTGCTCCTCGCGCAGTCGCTGCGCCGCCGCGGCGTGCCCGCGCGCGTCTTCGAGCGCGACGCCGACTTCACCACCCGCGGCGTCGGCTGGGGCCTGACGCTCAACTGGGCGCTGCCGGCGCTACGCGCACTGCTGCCCGAGGGCCTCGGCGAGCCCGACGTCCTGCGTCGCGCCGCGTGCGTCGACCGCGCGGCTGTCGAGGCCGGCGCCGTCTCCCGCTTCCCGTACTACGACCTGACTACGGCGGAGCGCATCGCCGCCGCGCCGCCGGCCCCGGAGACGGCTCGGCTGAGGGTGACTCGGCAGCGTCTGCGGAGCCTGCTGGCGACCAATCTCGACATTGAGGTAAGAAACGGAAAAAAGGCTCGTTCTGTTGACTTCCGCCTGCTGCAACGACTGGCTCCGCATCACTGACGCCAACGACGCGCCATATGTATACGTGACAGTAGATGCTAACATCGGTATAGTGGAACATGTCTTTTGCATCGTCTGAGGACCATGGAGAGTCCATCACGGCACACTTCGCCAACGGCGCATCCGTCGAGGGCAGTCTCCTCGTCGCCTGCGACGGCGCCAAGTCGCTCCTCCGGCGACAAATTTTTGCCCAGCAGGACCAGGAGCACACCAACACGCTACCGATCCGCATGATGGGCGTCAAGCTGACCTGCACGCCCGACGAGATCTCGGAGCTTCTCAAGATGGACCCGTTCTTCCTGCACGGCACCAGCTCACACGACAACTCGTTTGGCTACTTTAGCAGTACGTTCCCGTCCGTTCCCAGGCAGAACTTGCGTGTGTGTGTCTTTTCACAACTAAAACAACCGTTCAACTTGTAGTTCTCGACGCGCCGGGCAACACGGAGGAGAGCACGGGGAATTACCTGCTGCAAATCTGCATCTCGTGGCTCGAGGCGGCGGGAAGCTTTCGGGGCCCGGAGGGGGAGCCGACGGCGATCCCGGAGACGAACGCGGAGCGCGCGGCGCTCTTCAGGAGCATCGCCGAGTCGTGGGCGGAGCCGTTCCGGTCTTTGGGAATCAAGGTGCGCGACGACGACGAGGTCAAGGGACTGAAGCTTATGGACTGGGTGCCGCCCAAAGACCTGCGCTCCAAGGGACGCGCAGTGTTGATGGGCGACTCGCTTCATGTGATGACCATGTGTAAGTCTTTTCTTTTCTTTGTCGTGCTACCATCTGCCGTCGATTTCCTTGTTGCTTTTTTCTTGTTGTTTCTTTTTCTTCCGCACTATTGAAAGGGTCCGGGTCCCGAGGACTCGGTCGAGGGGGGTCCGTTCTCCTGCATTGCGTTATCGGTTCTTGTCTGCATGCCGAGGGATGCAATGCAGGTGCCAACGCTCACTAGCGGCTCTTCTTGTCTCGGTGCTGCCCAAAATAGGCGAGACATGCAGGGAACGAACAAGGAAAGAAGACGCGGGCTCAGCTTCTGTCGCACAAGAAAACGTCATCCTATCAGAAAAAGGAAAAAAAAAATGAGGAAGAAAAATGACAAATTCATGATCCATGTACCGAGGCTAACTTTCTTACCTACCATCATCAAGTCCGAGGCGACGGTGCCAACCACGCGCTGGCCGACGCTGAGGACTTTGATCGACACGTGGTGCCGCAGCTGCTCAACAAGCTCAACGGCACGACCAACAACACGGCAGAGCTGCGCGAGGCGCTGTCGCGGTACGAGGCGTCGGTGATTTCCCGCGCGCGGCCGGGCATCTTCGCCTCGCGACAGGCTGGCCACGACGCGCACGACTTTGCCGGGATGAGCCTGAAGAGCCCCCTGCTGACGCCGCGCGTCAAGGACCTCGACTACGAGGAGCCCAGCTGAAGGCTGGGCCGGGTCAGGCCATTCGCGGGTGGTGGTGGCCGTGGTACGAGGAATGTCTCTTTTGGCGGTTTCTTGATGGTTTAGCATATAGAGCTGCTTTTCTTGGAGCACGGCACCGGCGCCGTGAATTCTACATGAAACACGGTGAACGTGGTAAATGGGGCGATGCGCGAAGGCTGAGCCATACTGAGGCGTGTTGGTTGGTTGGTTGGCTGGCTGGTTGCTCTGCCTTCCTTCAATACACCTGTGTGAATAGACAAAAGTCAACCGCCACGGTTTGTTTCAACAAACGAATCTCAGTACAGTAGCATGGACCGTCAAGACTAAAATCACATGATGATTGTAAGAAATCAAAAATGAATTTCGACTCACGTTTCTTCACATTTATCCTATTACTGACTGTATTGCATGTGCTGGTGGGACAACCGTTTTGTGTTTTATCGCGCCCGAGCCCAGATTGCGCCTCAAATTCCCACAACGGCAATGGGGAGGGAGAAGGGAACCCATCAAAAAAGGCTCATCCACACACAGATGGATGCGCCCGCCCATTCAAGTTTCCACAATCCCAAGCCCGCCCAAGTTCCCAGAAAAGCCCGCCGCCACATGATCGGCAGACCTGGAGGGGCTTGGTTGTGGCGTTTCTCGCTTGTATTCTTCCCTTCCCACCTTCCCGGTTCATCAATATCGTCTGTGTGTTATTCAAGGTGCTCTGGCCAGCTGAGGCGTCCCCGGCCCCCAACAAGGGTTTTATCGGAAGGTTGTTTTTTTTTTTTTTTCTTTTTTAAGAAAGGAAAACTTACATACAGACGCTTTCCAAAAAAAAA